GCGCTTAGCGTTGAACATTTTTTTTTTTTTTTTTTTTTTTTTTTTTTTTTTGGAAGTATTCTTTTTATCTTTACTGCTTCAAACACTACCCTTGTTTACTGCAGCTGAACACACGCACTACATAACGGTGTAACATTCCTTTGCCATTCTTCGTCCCAGCCACCCCGCATGGATTGCGATGGCTGGAAAACTGACCCTGAGGTCCTGAATATCTAACGTGGGATTAGAGACAGTCAGAGGGTCTCCGATAGCCACCCGAAGACATTGGAACGGGCCAGAGCAATTGTTCCCATGATATAGCGCAAAAGGTTGCCGTAGGCAATGGTGGCGGAAAACCAAAGGCAAAGAGAGCTTTCTCCACAAGCGAGTCAGAGGCGCCACCGGAAGACCCCCTCAAGGTAGTGGGGAAGTGTGGCTGGTGATGCCCATTCCTACTCAAGTAGCGATCCACCATCCAAGTGAACGATTGGCAAATGTTATTCCAATCACGATCTGTTGGTCGCGATGATCGGATCCACCGGCGATCCCTTTCCTTTCAGTCGGTCAAGAGCGCGGATTTACTTCCTATCCTTGATATCGGGCAGTCACCATGACGCTGCCTTTGACGTCGCCCGTAGTACCAAGTCCCTGTTTTTGATACCAAGTTAGTAAAACCATCTTGCAGGCTGCATGAAGAGACAGGGCCATAGAAGATGTTAATTTCAGAATGTAATGCCACTTTCAACACCATCATCACTCTCTTGCAGGATGCGTGGTACCTTTCTTCATGCAAACCGGGCTGAAACGGAAAAGGAAACGAGGAGAGTGATTCATCCATGGTTATCGGAAAGTCTTAGGATTGTCTAATCGCACTTTCGGCCTATGCCTGCCTATCTCTTCAGAACCGAACGGACTTCACCCACGCTGTTCCTTTGATTTCCATGGATACGATGGGAGCAACAAAAGAAAATAAGAAAACGGGAAAATAAAAACTAATCTTGAATCCACCCAAACTATCGCGCACTAAGTGCGCGTGTCCTATGAGAAGGCTGGGTAGGACCAAGTGGGCTGAAGTGGATCGGTGGCGGCCGAGTTCATAGGCCGTGATAAATCGAACGGTCCAAACAATTTACCTTGCAGGCCAAGATTAAGACCAAATTCGGTGGGCTGGTCGATGACTTCACCTCGCATAGGAATTGGTCCGTGTTGATGCCCTAGCCACGTTGGCTGAATACCTTGGATAACCAGCCGCGCGGTAGCCAGTGACGATCGCATTAGAGAAGGGTCAAAGGGGAAAAAAAAGGAAAAAGGAAAAATGAAAAAGAAAATGGGAACTGAAAAATTCTTATTGTTTACGAGAAGCTTGGAATAGAGCTGAGATTGGCGCGTCGCTTCCTGTCTTTTTAAACCAGTTCCTTCCCCCTCCGATCTCTTGCCCTTCTTTTCCCCTGCCACAATCCATCCAGCTTCCTCCCTTGATCACTTGGCTGACGCTCCATCCCCACCGATTGTCTATCTTCTACCTTGCCTTCGACTTTCTTCACTTCCAGCCTCACAACTTCCGTCATCATGAAGACCGCTGCTTTCTACTCTCTGGCTATGCTGGCTGCTGCCAGCATGGTGAGCGCTGATGTCTCCGTCGGCGAATGCGCTGTATGCTTATAACTGCTGATACTTACCCTGGAAGAACCGTCACTGATCCTTCTCTTTTAGCAAATGTGTATCAACAACATGAACGGCAAGGCTTCTGAATTGGGCTGTTCTAGCGGGGACTTGGCTTGCCTGTGCAAGTCTAACAACTACCAGTGGGGTATCCGCGATTGCACTTCCCAGGCTTGCCCTAACGATGATTCCGCCGCTGTCGTCGCTGCCGCTCTTGCTGCTTGCCCCAACTCCGGCTCTTCCTCTGGATCTGGCAGCAGTGCTACTGGTACTAAGACCGGTGACTCTGCCTCTGCTACCGGCACTGGTGCTTCTAAGACCGGCGACTCTGCTTCCTCCACGGGAACTGGTGCTACCGCTACCGGCACTGGTGCTTCCAAGACCGGCGACTCTGCTTCCTCCACGGGAACTGGTGCTACCGCTACTGGCACTGATGCCTCCAAGACTAGTGGCTCTGCTTCTGCCACTGGTACTGATGCCTCTAAGACCGGTCATTCTTCCTCTGCTACCGTGACCGGTTCTAGCACCCTGAGCACTGCTGCAAGCACCACCACCGATGGCTCCAGCTCCTCCGAGACTGGCTCCAACGGCGGCAGCTCCACCAACGGCTCTAACGGTGGTTCTAGCGGCGGTAGCAGCGCGACCGAGACCGCTCCCTCCAGCTCCTCGACCGGCGAGTCCGCTGCTTCCAAGACTGTCATCGGTAGCGGCGCCTTGGGTGCCCTTGCGCTCGCCGCCTTCTTCGTTCTCTAAATGCCTTATTTTAATGAATGACCGAGTCCTTAAAAAAAGCGATGGTGTTCATAATTCCCAGCCATTCCTCGCTTGATTTGTTATGCCCGGGTGATGATTTCTTGTGTCGGGGTCCGAAGAATCCGGCCTCTCCTGTACTGTACATGTGTTTGTAACGGTTCCTACGTTTATGACGGTAGATACTTAGTGACAACTCAGCCATAGCTGTGTTATGACTTACTAATTTGAAATGATTCATAATTCTTACATCCATTTGACCTTTTTCACTTTTGTTAATGCGAAGCATAACTTGTTATCCTTAGTGATCGAACTGGCGTACGGGTCGGAAGATTTTCCGTCGTAGAGCAATTAGATCAAGAGCTATCTGTTTTCTCTCCTTGAATAACAGTACTGAGATCGGACACTGTGGTAACCATTAAACAACGCCTTATCCCTCCCCCTTGTAGAAATGATGCTCGATGAAAACTGATTGTATTTGACTAAACTACTTTGTTGATTGTATGTAGACTAGTTGGGGGTATAGATAGGAAGAGGACGAACGAAGGCGGTGTCAAGGGGCGGTCAATTTAATTGCCCGACAAGTACTACATGGAGTAAGTAAACACCTAAGGCACCAGAGTCCATTCTAAGGGAAGACGCACGTGCATCCCATGCCAGTTCTCCGCATGTGATTGCTTGGCAAGACAAAAGAAAGGAGATCACTCGACGCCGTTCAGATGGTGAATGAAGATAGTGATGTGGTCAGGTTGGATATATTAATTCATTAAAAAGTTCCTGTCGTCCGTTACATACATCTGGTCGCTTTGACGAAGCGCGCCGGAGTAATGGCAGCCAACTATTTGGAGTTTGGCGCCCGTTCACCCGGCACTCTGACCTGGCGATGTCACGGAAGGGTTGCAGCATATGTGAGTGATCAGGTATCTATATAGGGAGGTGTGTCCAACATCATGACCTGGAATTAGCGCAATATTGTTTCTCACCACAACGTACCGACTCCGTAGTCAAGGCAGCACGGCACTTGGATTGAATCACTCGGGATTGAGCATCGTGATCAACTCGGTATCGGAACCCCAGTTGACCCGCACCGAGCCGAGGTCCAAGTCACGGGGTGTCCTATTCCGGTAATCCTCCTATTGCTCGGCCTCGGCCGTCTCCAGGCTTTCGACCTGTTGGAGTTAAGTTAATTATCTTTCTTCAGTCGCTCTTCTCCCAGTGAGATTGATTTTGTTGTCTTCCGGCATCCGCTTCCTTTAAATCCCAACACTCCTCTCACTGAACCCCGGCGACCCCCGGCACTCTTTTCAAACACCTCTCTCGTACTATCTTTACCCTCGTCTTCTCCCCCGCGTTCAGTTTTCCCCGCTCTCGGACCTCCCGCCATCATGTCCTCCGCGTCTGCCTCTACACCGGAGACAATCCGGGACGATGTCAAGCTCGCAGAGCCAAAGGCTGTCAACCAGACTATTGCGCAGATTCGTTCCCTCGCTGCTGGTGCTGCCGGTGGTGTCTGCGCGGTTATCGTCGGACATCCTTTCGACCTGGTCAAGGTCCGCCTCCAGACTGCGGAGAAGGGGGTTTACAGCGGTGCAATTGATGTCGTGAAGAGGACGGTCGCCCGTGAGGGCCTTGTTCGCGTAAGCCTTTGCTCTGCACAACTCTAAGATATCGTGTTAACCAGATGCAGGGATTGTATGCTGGTGTTTCGGCTCCTTTGGTGGGAGTCACCCCTATGTGTGAGTTTCCATTCCCATACACCATTACCTACAAATAGGTCACTAACTGCCTTCTAGTTGCTGTCAGCTTCTGGGTATGTATCAATTGGAATACAGGAATTTCTCGCGCCCCCTAGATTATACGCTAACAAGTCCACAGGGTTATGACGTGGGCAAGACGCTTGTCAGCAAATTCTCCGAAGTGCGTGTGGAGAACAACACCCCTCAGTACAGCATTGGTCAGATTTCTGCAGCCGGTTTCTTCTCCGCCATTCCCATGACCTTGATCACGGCCCCCTTTGAGCGTGTGAAGGTGCTCTTACAAATCCAAGGCCAGAACCCTCCTCCTCCGGGACAGAAGCCTAAGTACTCCGGTGGTCTGGATGTGGTTCGGCAATTGTACAAGGAGGGCGGTATCCGCAGTGTTTTCCGAGGAAGCGCAATGACGCTGGCTCGTGACGGACCCGGATCGGCCGCCTACTTCGCCGCTTACGAGTATATCAAGCGCTCCCTGACACCTAAGGATGCGAATGGCAATGCCACAGGCCAACTCTCCATGCCAGCTGTCTTGGCTGCTGGTGGTGCGGCTGGTATTGCCATGTGGATTCCCGTTTTCCCCGTCGACACCATTAAGTCGCGGTTGCAGAGCGCCCCGGGTAAGCCCACTATTGGCGGGACTATCCGGACCGTCTACGCCAGCGGCGGTTTCAAGGCTTTCTTCCCTGGATTCGGCCCGGCCTTGGCCAGAGCGGTTCCCGCCAACGCAGCTACCTTGTATGTTCCCTTTGCCCCATCTATCCCGACCCAAAGTATTCACTAATGAATATCAGCGCCGGAGTTGAACTCGCCCACAACTTTATGAAGAAGTTGTTCGACGACTGAATCTGAGGCCTCTTGGCCTAGTCATTCCCTAAAAAAAAGGAGAACCCCGGTTACGGTTCTGTATATTTATCGTTCATTTGATGTTTGAAATCATTGCGGCGTTCCTGTGTCTTTTGTTCTTGGTTAGATCTTTGAGCATTTAGCGTGCCTGGATATCCTGTTTCCATTACTTAGACTTGATGTTTTCCTTGCTGTCTAGATTGGTTTCTAGGAATACCCATGGTTTACCGGGTTGGTTTACATGTTTCCCTTTTTGCGTGCGGTATAGATGAAAACATCTTGTAGATAGTCCTGGCTAGCTATGACATCCTTTTAACTATACATATCAGATTCCCGATAATAACCTAGGAATCGAGCAAAGAAACGGTGGCCTACCTTCTAACAGATCGACCTGTACACAGATCACTCCATAAATAATACGCGCCGAAGGACACTCCCACACACCTGTCGTGGCACATTCGTAGATATAGACAAAAGTGCTGGTCACTGATTGGCTAATCACCTAGTTACATCCACGTGATATGATATCGGCCTTGTTTGCGCGAAACCGACCAAGAATCTGAAGCTCCTCCCGATTCTCAGTCAATCAATGGACATCTACTCACGAACCTGAAACCGCCTCCCTCGGACCTCACCCAATACCTCTTTCCACAAGCCACGCCACAATCCAATCCAATTGCCCGCCCACCCAGTCATACCCACACCAACCCAACAAACCCCCACCAATGCTCTAACCCCATATAAACCACCACACCAGCAGCAAGAATAAAGAAAAAAAAAATATGAACACCGAATTCCAAACTACCCTCTCAACCCTCGAGAACAGGCTCAACACCCTAATAACCAGCCTCACAACTTCCCCAACAGCTGCCGGTGCGCCAGCAGCAGCCGTCAACCTCCTCGACGCCGACACCACCCTCACATCCGCGATCCAAACCCTCCGCACCCACCAAGACAACTACGCGCGGATCCTCCGCCTACGCAGCGAAGCGGCAGACCTCGAAGACAAAGTAAAAGGCATCATCAAAACAGTCGTGGGATACGAGAAGGAGATCCGCACAACCTGCTCCTCCCACAAGGTGGACAGCTCCGACAGCGACAGTTCCGACGATGACAGCGACGTAGAGATGAGGGATGAAGGAGACAACCAGCATGCGAAGCTACGGGGCATAAAGGAGGTAGATTATCGGCTGTTGCTTGATTTTGCGCGGCGGATTAGTAAATATAACCATCAGGCGGCGGCGGATGCGGAGGAAGGGGCTAAGGCGCGGGTTAGGGGGGACGATGCGGAGATGACGGGGATGAATGGGAATAATGAGGAGGGGGCGGAGCCGGTGGCTCGGGTGACGAAGGATGCGACGTCTTGGTTGGATGAGTCGGCGAATATGACGCGGCAGATGTACATGTTGCCTTATCCGATGGAGGACCGGATACGGTTGGGGCTTATGGGGCAAATTCAGCTGGCTGCTGTGGAAGGGCGGCCGGGCTTTGATTCGGATCAGGAGGTTGAGAGGTTGATTCGCGAGGCTGAGGGATTTGGGGTCGTGGATGCGCCGGTGGCGGCGCAAGTGGAGGAGTCGAGTCGCGTTGGGGAGGCTGCGAAGGCGGCTGTTCAGGCTGGGTCTGCTGCGACTGGCAGTGGGTCGAGTTCTGCGCCGAAGCCTAAGCCAAAGGCTACCCTTGATTTGGATCTGGATGATGATGATGATGAGGATGATTTTTGAGCTGAGGGTGAACGTCCGTTCCAATGCTTTTTGCTGTTGTCTTTGGGGGGACCTGTACGCACGCATGATACCACGCATTTTGATACTGCATTTCTGGGAGTATACTGTATTTGATGTTATATCTTAATGAGAGATATATGACGAGCATTTTCAAGATCGAGTGAACTGGCTATGATAAGGGGCTATAGGTCTGCTTTGCGGTCTTTCCGAGCATCTAAGCTCTTGCCATGGCGTATATTTAACACAACGTCTTCTCTTCAACTTGCTTCACAAATCATTGAAAAGTGTCTCCGACGTTCGTGCACCCTACTAGTCACTTCTTACATAGTTGCTTCATTTCCATATCAATAGCTTGCTGACCTAGTAAAGTGTCTAGCCACCATTGAATGATAAGCCAGACTTCATGTCTGAACAATACAGCGTCGTCCGTAGACGAGCCATGGCGTGAGAAAGGGGATCAATTTGTGTTCACCTCAAGGTGCTTATGCTATGCCCAGCTGTGTAGGATAAAACACGGCCTCGAAGATTATGCCGCGTAGCCTGTACTGTTGAACAATTGAATGGAGGTAGATACATTGAGCGAAAAGTCTTTGTCACTGTTCGAGTTGTAGTCTTGCTAGGTGAATCTTTGAGCTGTCCACTCGAGGGACATGTATGCAGGGACTGGGGGGGGTGAACTCGATGTCAATGTATGAGATAGATTCAATTGGACCTTCGAGTTGGGTTTGAACATCATAATGGGAGTAAATCATATTATGTCTGGACAGCCAACCTGAAAATATGTTGTTAACATCGGATTCTAACAGTGAGATTATAGTGAATTCAGGACGGGTCAGATGATCTGCTCAAAGCGACCAGAAATTCGTAGATTCCATGTGACTCGACGCTAGACATCGAGTGAATGTTTCAGTTGTGTTGCAATTCCCTCATTCATGTTCTTCTTCCAACCTCACCTCACCGATACCGACACCGACGTCATGGGTGATCTATTTGAGTCGAAGTTCCCTGGCTTGGACCAGCGTGAATTCATCGCCCTTTCAAACCTCCTCTCGCTTCGAAATGATGGACTGGCGGAGCCAGTTTGTTCACTCTATGACGATGAAGATGGAGAGCCAGAAAATCAAAACGATGTAAGTAGCATCAAAACAAACTAGGCTCACCAAATCCAAAACAATGGTCACTACAAGCTGAAAAGGAAGTTTCAGGATTGCTTAGCTGAGTTAGCTGCTACTGTTAAAGGCGAAGGGTTTGTCGCAAGCTCTGATATGAAAGAGGGACAGGACGGGTTTACAATTTGGATGTTGAAACGAAGGTTTTGGAGATTCTGACCACGCTACTTTTTCAAACTTGAGTTTGTTACTAAGAAATATATCCTCTCACAAAGGAGGTAAGGATCCATCAACCAGGTGTGCAGTACAAGTTGAAAGCTGAGATGCCTTAGAAAAAAGAATTTCTTCATTCATTGCGGAGCGAGATGCTCACGTACTATTGTCCTCGGCTCGAGAGCACCTATGTCCCAAACCTGAAGTCGAACTTGAAGGAATGCTGTCGCATTTTCCATGATGATGAAGACGACAACTTTGTCCCAGCCTGTCGGCACCTTCGAGCTCGTCCTCAACTGATCTTCAGCAAGGATTTACCCGGCCGGGCGTTGAGTTTCAAATACTGTCATTGCTACAAGAGCTTACGGGGTACGCATGACGAAGCTAGCCCGAGAACTGCTCCTATGTTCACCACACAGCACAACTCAAGCCAAGGAACTATGTGAAGATATTTGCTTCCTCAGCAGGCTGTGTGTCGCTTTAGAGACATCCACAGATGTTTGAAGCCAAGCCCGAGCTTCTGAAAGGTCACGATAATCCCTATATCTCGTGATATCGTCACACAACGGGCGCTCCAAAACCCTCTCAGCCTCGAACGGGCATTCACAGCCTTGGCATACCTCTAGATTCAGCGATAGCCAAGAAGGTAATCGGCCAGAAATGGTCTGTGCCTAAAACAAGGGATTGTTTTAGCGACATACAGAAACAGGAGCTCAATGTACATGCCGAGGTGCAGATATTCTTGCATTTGAGTAGGGTTGGACCAAACTTTGGTCTGTTGCTTCCATACTTCGGTTGCAGTAAATATAGCTATTCCATGTGCTGGAAATTTCTCCGTTTAAGCCATGGTCTATCTGCAGTATATCGGCATTGACGGCTGGCAATTCAGAGAAACTATCGAACGCTCTGATACAACTACAAGAATGTCTCAAGGAGTTAAAGTCAGAGATCGAAAAGGGGATCAGCCAAAAAAAAAAGATGCCCTCTACCGGTGAAGGCAGCGACCCACCAACTACGATCCTAGCAGGACGCAGAGAAAGTCTGAAATAGAGTGGAGGGGGATGAAGGTTGAACTGAAGCATCCCGCGGTATGACCACATAAACCCGACATTCGTAATCGAATTTGCGCGACTAGAGAGCTGACACAGATAATCCAGACTTTCGTGTGAAGGAAATTCATTCACCTTTCAGCCAGAATTTTCCAGTACCCTCAGTGACGAAGAGGAGTATGTTGAAAAATGATCGACATGCTCTAAACCAACTTCCAGAAGATGCAGTATAAGCCAGATGGACTCTTACTGTAGCTCGTCATGCGGAGAAAAGTGATCTGTAACTCATCGCTTCTTCAACGACAAACGTCGCGTAACCTCTGCAGACACAAGAATCCGATATGATATGCTGCCTGAAGAGGAGGACGTTTGTGCGGACTTCGGCTTCTATTACTTCACCTCGTTTGCTGATAAGTGCAAGCTTATAGGGCTTTACAAAGGCCTACATCTTTGTGGCATTCCCACTAAGGATATCCATAAGTGGCAAGTCGAAGGTACGCTTGTTAATAGGATCAAGGAATTCTTGTACAAAATCCCTGAGCAATGCCGAGGTGGATACTTCCCTTGGTTCCTGAGGAACACAGAATATCTAGATAAGCCCATAATGCAGGAAGAGTCGATGGACAAGTACGCAGCCACATTTTTTGACAAAGCACGATCATATCTGGACAATGAGGACCAACTCAGGAAGCTCGATGAGCCAGAAACAGATGCTAAAAGACAGTGCTACTAAGTCCTAGCTCTTGCTTTACATATGATGCGCCCCAGTCCAATCGACGATGCTTGGTTCGACTTGGGATATTGTGCCTGCCTCGACGAACGCGAGAAATCCTTCGGAAACCTTTACGGAAAACTACTCGTCGGGAACAAACTATTCGAAGATGTAGGTGTGCTCCATAGTCTGAATCCTGTGCAAACCGCCACCTTTTCCGAATTTTTGCACGCATATGAATCGAGAAAATTCGATCCCCCAAGCGGCCTTCGCCCTTCCGTCTGGTCGCCAAACAATTCCTCGTGATCAACGACCCGGCCGAGTATTCTCCACATCGGGCAGTGGATGTCACTACGGCTTCATGAACTGCGAAACTCAAGAGGAAACCTGCTCCTTGATGGGAATCTACAAGGGCCTCCTGCTCAAACCCAGCCCACTTGACCTCCACGAAGCATGTATCACAGATAAGATATTCGAGTTCGCGGAGGGTTATCATGAGATGGACGCGTCGCACAGGCGCTTGATGGGGAACTTTTAAATACCCTCTACGTATATTTTTGGAGAAAAGAGAGGATTTTGATTACCATGGTTCGACTTTTAGCGTAGGGGACAATCAAATCAATAGACGATAGGCGATAAGCAATTAATTTAATCTCGACTCTGGATTTTGAAAATAACAAAAGAATAAACAATCCCCTCAGCTCGCAGAGACGATTACTCAAAACTTCCGATTAATGAATGGATTAATCAATCAACTACCATACCTTATCCCTTACTCATGTAAACATCAATAACACGGCTCAAAAAATGCCAGTATGGCAACAAACAAATAAATCCAAGTGGAGCCAGTACCCATACTTACCAGTTGACATCAATTTATCGGGGAGGAAGCTAACATTAACAATCAAAAAAAAATCCACGAATAAAAAAACAACCCACCACCAAGACCCCACGACGTAAAAGAAAAAAAAGAGGACTTCATGTCCCGCCTCCCAAAACATGTCATATTATTGGAGAACGGTATCAAATAATGAATTAGGGAGGGAAGGTCTAGGAGAAGGCCGGGCCTGTTTTCGGCGGTTCTTCGGAAAATTTTTCCTTTTCTTCGATCAGGAATAGAAGTTAAGAAATGCCACGATGCTAATTTTGTTTTATTGTACTGTGGAGATTCCAACTCCAGCTCTCGGGCGAGAAGGACTCCGTAAAGTCTAGACGCAGGTACCATAGCAGTGTAGGACCCAAGCATTGACTCACAGTGTTAGGGTTTGAGTTACTAGGTTTGACACGGTCAGACAGTTGGGGAAGTCTTCACGGGCTCGTTTTGTCAAGAATAGCTTTCTGATTGTCGTTTGGGAAACGGAATGGGGATTGTTGGGAGTGATGTGCAACAGAGATATACTAAATGAGCTCATTAATTGTTCGTATTATTAATATTACTTTTTACAGCCGTGATGTTTCGGTCCCACTGAGCCAGACGAAGGCTTCGAAGGGCTTGATAGTGACCGGTGGTTCTGATAGGGTATGGGTTGTTCGACCGGGGTAGTTAGAGAGCACGATATCTCCTTGGGAGCTGAAAGTCTTCTCTGGGATCGACCAGGATACGTCATGCGGGCGGAAGTTAGTAACTATAATCGCTCGACCAGAGGAAGCTGTTCGGGAGTAGATAAATAAATCCGGATGTTCGGGGGATAACAGCTCGAAAGATCCGTATATCAGTATGTCGGGGTACGCCTTCCGTAACCGCAGCACGCTAGCCCAGTAGTGGTACACGCTCTCCTTATCGTTGACCTGAAGTACGGCGTTCAGGCTCTGGTAGTCATCGTGAACTGGAAGCCACGGTCGAACGGAGGAGAAGCCAGCGTTGGGAGAATCATCCCACTGCATGGGCGTCCGTGCATTATCTCTCGACTTTAATCTGTATTCAGCAAGACAGGTCTCGTGTAGCGGAGTGTTTTGCGGGTCGTTGGTGGTAACCCTGTCCGTAGTTAGCCCGTACTCTATACGAAACAATGATGAGTAATGTGCGTACTCATTCCAATGGTTTAAGGTTTCAATATCCCGATACTGGTCGATTCCCCAATGTTTGGGCACGTTGGGCATTCCCAGCTCTTGGCCTTGATAGATGAACAGAGTCCCGCTCTGGCATCCTAGAAAAGTGGCCAGCATCTTAGCCGACGGCACTCGAAGTTCCGGCTCGTCGGAGCCGAATCGAGAAACAATTCGTGGCTGATCGTGATTTTCTAGGTATAATGTGTTCCAACCATTGTTTTCATGCATGAATGTTTGCCATCTCGAGACGATCGTTTTTAGTTCCTGCAGATCCCATTTTCGGGACGTGAATTTGCCCCCTGGTCCATGGTCGAGGGAAACGCTGGACTCTCTTTTAGCTCAGGCACAAATATGCAAAGGTAAGAAGTAGAGGCGTACGTTTCAAAGTGAAAGACCATGCTCAGCTCATTACGATCTTCGCCGACACTCCTGAGCATCTCATTGAGATCGTAGACTTCGGGCATCTCCCCAACAGAGAAAGCATCGTATTGTTTCAGAATCTTACCAAGACCCTGAAGATACTCGTGGAGCCTGGGGCCACATGCGAAATGCTTCGTTCCGTCTTGCCATGGCGAATCAGGATTTGTTACTTCCGCGTTGGGGTAGTCCTGATCCTTGCTGATAAGATTGATCGCATCCATCCGAAAGCCATCGGCGCCCTTGGTAAGCCAGTATCGGATGATATCATGTACTGCCGCACGAACGTACGGGTTCTCCCAGTTCAGGTCCGGTTGTTCTTTCGCAAATAAATGCAAGTAGTATTCGCCGGATGGTTCGTCGTATTCCCAGACACTCCCTGTCAATCATTAATATAGGGACCATTCGAGCTCATTGGTCATATACACACCCCCAAAGTATGATTTCCAGTTGTTCGGTGGCTGTGGCTTTCCATCTTTTCCAAATACGGGCTTCTTCCAGATATACCAGTCACGGTAAGGGTTGGCTTTGGAGGAACGGGCTTCTTGGAACCATCGGTGCTGAACATATAGTGTTAACATCGTTCTCAACGAAGTGTCATGGGCAACGAACCTGGTCTGATGTATGGTTCACCACTAAGTCGAGGACTAACTTCATCCCCCGCTCGTGAATTGCGGCTATTAATTGATCGAGATCGTTGACCGTCCCGTATGGCCGATAAATATTATAATAGTCACTGATGTCGTATCCCATATCGACTTGGGGAGAACAGAAGACCGGGTTGAGCCATACTACGTTGGCCCCTAGACTTTTGATGTAGTCCAGCTTGGATATAACGCCTTGTAAATCTCCGATTCCGTCATCGTCGGAGTCTTTGAAGGATGCTGGGTAGACCTGGTATACTGTGCTTTCTTTCCACCACCGTTTCATGCTTTTCTGCGCCGGACTGGACGATCCGGATATGGTGCCGGGCTTGACTGAAGGCATGACCGATTCAGTAGAGCCCGAAGAGCCTGAGCTGACAGCAACAGAAATAGAAATAAGGCCAAAACAAAGGCAGATGAAGTTGACATGCCCGTATAAATACACAATTGATATGAAACCATGACACTACGGTTCTGTTCCTCCTCCTTTCCTTTAGAGCCCCCGATAATGATCCGCTTAGCCTGCATATACCCTTGTCGTCCCGGACATAGTCGTACTCCATAAGTGGATCTGGGCCGGCAGATGAATCCCACCAACAGCCGAATGACGTGCGAAACAGCGCATATCATTCGTTTGTGACTTCAAGCCATTGAGCTTTAAATGTAGGGCTTGGTGCGTGCCGATCCACGACCCGAATATGAGTGAAAAAAAATGGAGACATATAGCCTCCACTCGGCGAGATCTCCGTTGCTCAAATGGGTAAACTGGTTGGTGCTTTGAGACGTTAGAGTACTCAGAGTAGTGTGTGAAACAGTGGGGAGGGCTGACGGGCTTTCTTCGGAGAGACGTAAAACCTTGGGCTCCGATTCGAGAACGGCTTGGCGCGCTTCAGTTTTTCCTTTTTCAGGAAGGTTCTTTGATGGCATTACTTGATCAGATACTACTGTATATGCGCATCGGTTGTAGTGTTAGATTCAAACTTCCTGCGGACGCCTTTCCAAAGGGACGTGCATTTTTCTAAGCACCGACTAGTAAGTCAAGAACTGAATCGGTTAAAATCGCTTAACCGAGGCTGTTTTTTGCACTAGAGAATGGACTTACCTCGTGGGTTACATTAACAGGATATCTGACGAGACCACCATATTTACTCAAAATGTTGAGTTATTTGCCGAGTTCCGATCAGTAAGCAACCCATTCCGTCACCTGCTGTCTCACCTTCAGAATAGCAAACTACCCACCATTCGTCACCCCCTTAGCTAGATGCTTAGGTATCCACTGTTGCATAGCTAAGCGTTAGGGCTTGCTGTGTAACTAAAACGACCAAGAAGAGACAGTGACATATCACATAGCCTCCTTTCTTGTCATTCTCATATGATAGGACCCATTGGAGGATGTTCGGAAATTATACAAAAAATATGGGGTACCCACGAGCTAGCTCTAGGATCGACCGTGTAATTGTCTATCTGGATTTTCTTGTCGTAGATTGAATACGGCCGCATATCCTGGGTAGCTCCAGAATCCCCGAAGGTACCCGGAGATATTCAGATATCGGAGAAATTTGCCGTACATTAGGTTAGGCGCAAAGGCGATGGTCAGCGCCTATTATTTAATCAAAATTGGCGTGAAAATGAGTTCCTTAAGACGGGCTGTCCCGGGAAGATTTCCATAGTGGCAACGAAGTTACGTAGCTTTCACCCAAACCCTGCATTTGGCTCCCAACTCGAACGCGTCAATTGCTTCTGACCACAAAACATATAATGATCATCTCGGTGTAGAGGTCGCGTTACCTATCACATGTGGACTGGTATCATTCAAAGGCAATGATCTGCCCCACAACAGCAGTCAAAAAGTGGATACGGCATTGAGCATCCGCAGCGGTTGCCCCAACAGCGAATGTGTAATGTAGATCGACAGTGTACCAATGCCAGGCTTATGCCAACTAACAAAAGTAATGGCTGGCGACTTGGGTTGCTGTTTAATGCATGTCAGGTTTGCAAGTCACTGAAGATTGCTCCTCATGACATCTAAGGAGAGTGGGCAAAGAAGCAGAAAACTTGGGGTCTATCTTTGATCCCATGAGGCTTGCAATTTCTGAATTCGGCAGCTTGTCTCCCATCCTAAATCTGCCTCAATTCCGCGTAGTAAGTCAGCAACGATTTGACGCTCCTCTGGGTTCTCAAAACACTGTCCAACCGCAAATAAGAGGGGTATCGTATAGACGCGTGCGGCACTCTGAGGCCGACCAAGCGCAATGCCACAGATTTCCCTGCAACGGTAGTCGGTCTCTTTCATCAACTCACGATACCCTTGTAGGCGGTCAAAGGCAGTGCTGAGACCACTGACGGCATCTGGTGGCCTGTTGAGTGATAGGGCAAGGCGCCCAAAGTGGTATTGCTGCATTGTCGCAGCACAGGATGTCAAGCCATAGAATATTTCTGGGAAGGGCAAATATATCATTTCCGGAAGCTTTGTTATGTCCTTCGGATGATCCAATCGTAGGCACGGGCGAAACGTCTCCGGCAACCCTTCAAACCAGGACTGAAAGTCGAAGCATAATTTTATCCAGGTGGAGGTAGAAGGATATGGTGTGGATGTTGCCGGGACTGAAGATGGTGTAGGTGGGTCGCTGGGTGGATGGCCTGTGAGTTGTTCCCATTGTGACTTCTTAGACTCGGCTAAGAAATTGATTACTTTGGTGTTAAGCCAAGTTAAGCTGTTCGCCGCCCGGTCTTCGTGTGACAACGTCGCGTCAGCCGTCGCCTCGGGATTCAATGAAAGATTGCCCAAATCATCAATGGAAATACCGGCAGCCTTCCACAATGAAAGGTTCTCCTGGTCAAACTGGGTTGACGACCGGTTTATATATGAACCCAAGTAATCTAAGCGGGCGAAATTCCAAAAGGCTGCTCTAGCCCCTTGGGGGAAAGAATGGAGAGCATGCGAAGTACTGCTACACAATTGTAGCAAAGAGTTAAATAACGGCCTTACTCCCGAAAGGTGTCTAAAGCGCATTTGAGCTGTCAGCTTCGAAAAAGAGGTTGAATAGGCTAGTGACGCACGATTGCCAGTTTTCCGCAGGTTCATCCAGAATCTTGCACATGATCATGATTGTGGAAGCGGCCAGAATATTTTCGGTCTTCCTGCAAAATGTGCTAGAAGCCGATTCTTCAGTTGAGGAGGTATTAGACTGCTGTAGCTGGAGACTCAGCCATCGGCTGGCAATTTGAATCGGGGATTCCAAGATAGCCGAGCTAGATACAGACGTATAGGCTTCAGAAATGCTAGAATTCATGCGTGAAGCGGCAAGATAATAATAATTAGTTGCTTTGAGAAACCAGTCTACTTGTGTCGCATTTGGATAAATTTCCATAGTCGCAGGACTCGTGAACATTCCGCCACCTGTTGGTGACTTCACCCCTTTCATTCTGCCGAGATGCTTCGCAGCCAGAGCAGCAATTGCGTATTTTAAAAAGGGATCATTGATCGCACGTATTGGCACGTAAACCTCGAAAAATTTCGTCGAGTCTGAAATGTCCAGCCTGTCATTCAATAAGCGCGGTTCACACGGACACTCTTTCGAGCTCTAACACACCAAGGTCCTAAATAGTCCGAGAAATGCCGTATTAGAAAGGCTAGCTCATGCTCAGTCCCAGTCATGAGTTCCGAAAAGATATCCTGGAACTCATCGCTAGGCTTCGTTGGACTCCCCGAGCCGGCATTAGAAGATGGTGGTCTAGATCTGAAGCCATTATAAGCGATAACCTGGGAATGCGGAGATGTGTCGCTGTGAATATTTAGGGGACTATGACCCGCGCTTCTACTTGAAGAGCTTCGTTGTTGTTCCAAGGATGCAATATCAACAGGTCCGGTTTCTGCTGCGGGCTGGCTTGTCATGGGATTAATAGCATTAATTCGCGCAGTAGCTGATGTTAAATTAATACTCATGTTTTGGGCTGGCGAATGGGTTTCAGGTTGACTTGAATCGCTAGCTCTCCAATCTGCAGGCGATGGAATTGCAGAGTGAGCCTGGCTGGGTCTAACACTCTGTTGGTCTTCATTGTGGTTTAAGGTCACCAGATATTCACCAGTAGTCTAGTGGTATGAGATATCTTTCAAGGCAAGTTGAGCTCAAAGGACTAATGCGCGAGCTTACACTTTCTGCACCTCTGCTTGTATGTGGTTTTGAGTGGCTCTCTTGATAGGGCGCATATCGGCGCCTCACCGAAGCGCCTTGGTCTATGAATTTGCGCGTTTGAACATAACCTGGACATTCCACACCGGCGTTCATGCAACGCTGGCATTTCGGGCGTGTCTCATCACACTGAAAAGTTTAGATTGGATGGTAAGTCCGTCCGTCGTTGGTACGCACCTTGAGATGCCTCTTTTTACATCGCTCACATGCCTTGTTAGACGGCACCCCAGGCATGGTGTCCACAGGGCAGTGGGGCTTCCAATTGAGGTGAAATAGCTTCTTCTTTGATGATTCGCAACAGACCTAAACCTTCACTACATATCGAGATCAGGCTTTGACCCTTGCGTACTATGTGCGCGTTTCATTAGATTCGAAATAGAAGTAAGGAATTAGTTCGGGCACTATCGCAAGGATTGGGAAGCTTCTGTCGTCAGGGATGCTTGGCGATCACGGGACGGCTATCCCTCGGAAGACTTTCGGATATTACGGATTATAGTTCTTCCACCATTTCTCTACTCAATCTATGGAAGCCATCTCGTATCGATCATCCCTTCACCACCAACCATGCTGCGGGCAAAAACAAAACAGTGCAATTTGCCTCAAAGACCCGTGGGTCAGGCCACGTCAGGATGCATCTACTCTCCAATTGAGGATGCAACGAAATCGCGCCCAGAACATGGACGCTACGACTCGGGCAATATCTCAGATGTAGAAAAAAACCACATATATAATGGATGGATTCGTTAGTTACTTCTGGGTAATTCAATGAACGGCGTATACTTGCTAACACCCCTAGATGCTGGGAAACCCCACAATCTTATCTGCTCCCGCTGTCGGGCCCCAGGCAACTTGATGCTGTGTGAGACCTGCTGCAGATCTTACCACGTATCTTGTCTACCAGCACACGAAGTATCCGGGTCGATCAAGCCGTTTCATTGCCCATCCTGTAGAAGCAAACGGTGGGACCAGTCACCGCCCCAATTTGGAAGGTCCGCTCCATCGTCAAACGCCTCACGGTGTAGCACTCCAGGTCTAAATAGCTATAGCAGAGTGGCAAGTCCTTCTGAACATGGCCATCATGATGCACACCACATTTTGTCAACTTTAGGCCCATCTAAAATGGCCGCGCAGTCTCCTTCTGTCTATTCTTCTCCGGGAGTAGACCGTCAACAATCTTTGCCGTATCCCGGAACCCTCGCGACTCCAGAGGCAGTCATGTTATCCCGCGCCAGGAACTTTCTAGTGAAATTTGGCCAATTTCCTGTTGATCAAGATTTCAGGCCCGAACTAATACAGAGAATATCATCCATGATGACAGAACTTGATGCTCAACAATCGCTACAGCAGGAAATTCAGAAACAGCAGGCAGAGAATGCGGCTTTACGCAAAGAAAATGCTAATTTTCGAGCATATTTTGCTCCAAGGTTGCCAATGAGTGAGCCTATCATCAATGCTTCAACAAGCAACACTCCTTCGATTTTCCAAGGACCGTCGTCTGATACGAGCGGGAAGTCTTGGGACCGGATTGTGATGGACTTGATTTGATTTCGATAGACATGAATGACTTATATGCGCGTCACACCAGTTGCGAGACCCGAGAGTGCTAGAGCCTTATGTATAGGACGTGCTGTATATTTCTCACGCTCAACATGCACATGTTCTCATCGAAAGGTTGAGATCGCGGAGCTCAACATTATTGACAAGTCTATTGCGATACTTGATCCACAGAACCTCAGATCCACAGCCATATTCGCCGTGCTGCTTGTGGAGCGCTTGCTGGGTTGAAGTGCAATACGTTCGAGGCATCCTGGGCATTATAGATCGCCTTAACCCTTTCTAGGTCCCCTCAACAATTTGGAGAAGAGACCCGAAAGACCCTATGAGACAATTTTTTGGAAGCTATACTACCATGATCTCTGATCACACGCTTAAATACTTCAATAGGCAATAATACTGACGTGGGAAATTTAATAGACGACTGAAGGGTACTGTGCAGGCCACCACCAACTACTAATTCGTGAGAGACTGAAGCTCAACCGACTGCCAAAGAGGACAATCGACTTGATTTAGTACACGCACTATGACTAATTCCACAGCGGTCATAACTACGATTTCGATTGATCTTCGACTGCGGCCCGTTTCAGGAGACTCGAAGAAAAAGAAATGAGGCGGTTGGGGTCAATATTTTCCGGTGCAACATTTTCTACCAATTGCGGGGTTTTTCCCTGAGGCTATAACGCAGCCGAACTGAATTCTGAAATGATCGGCATTTTCAATGTTACATGCAGAAGCCTTTCAGGTCTACGGCTTTTTGTGGATGGTTTTTCCCTTCCAGGTAGTTATTGCTACCAATTATAGCGGCCATTACCGCCATACTATATTTCTCCGACAAAGAGGGGTTGCATCCAATGTCACATTTTGAGATTGAATCAAATAAGCCAATTGATTTATTCCCAGCTCTCACATGGACGACTTGTTATTGCGGGGGGACGTCAAGGATACCTGTGCCCCCTCGTGAGGCGCTGGATTGTTTGGTATTGGCGCGAACATTCATAGCCATATAGTCCAGCCACATGAGAAGCAAGGGATGAAATACAGCAACGATCTGCGGGGTCCCCCTTTTCTTTGCGATTTTTTTTTTGACACTGTGCTGTTCATCATCCTGTTTGCTTCATCATCTGAGCATTTGGTTCAATCCTCACATCATGCTAGGTTTAAAACCGAAGAAACTCTTAGAGGGAATAGCTCTAACATTTCTTTTACCGAGTCCAATACATGGACAGCATGGGGGACAAAATGACTTTGACGTGCTGGACTATGTTGACCCGCTTATTGGGACAGCCAATGGAGGCATGTATTTGTGTGATAGGGGGACCTAGATACTACTTGCAATGACTTGTGCTAATCAAGCATAACAGGGCATTCCTTTGCTGGGGCAACCTTACCATTCGGTAACGTATCCCTGACTTGAACATTTATATCGCTCTCTAACGTAAGAAAAGGAATGGCAAAAGCGGTAGCAGACACACAGGGTGAGAATCAGGCTGGCTTTGCATTTGACACCACAACCGTCACTGGCTTCTCACATACACATGATTCTGGGACTGGTGGTGTAAGTGACTAGACAATCTTGTCGCGACTTGAAAATTTTTGACTTGCTTTTAGTCGCCATCCATGGGGAATTTCCCAATCTTTGCGCAACCAAACTGCCCGGACGATGATATCAACAAGTGTAAATGGCAGCAAAATGATCGGGCGGTCGCATGGATACGCGATTCACCTAAAGCCAGACCAGGCTACTTCGGTATTGATTTACAAAATGGCGTGCGCGCAGAGATGACGGTGACAAATCGCTCCGCACTATATCGATTTACATTTAACGATGCGTCCACGGAGTCTCTCAGTCCAGTTATTCTTGTTGATCTCATGGACCTGCCCCAGTCGCGAAAGGGTGGTACGGCTTCAGTTGATTCGTCGGGACGCCTTACCGGAAATGCCACATTCAACCCAAGTTTCGGCATTGGGACTTATGAACTCCATTTCTGCGTAGACTTTGAGGGCGCCGATGTGCGTGACACAGGGACTTGGGTTAAAAGTCGGGCTAATTTCAGTGAGAAAACAGTCACGATCACTGCAGACGGGAGCAATACTGCAGCCTCACTCTCGGCTGGCACCTTTACAAGGTTCCATGCATTGAAGGATAATACTATCACTGCACGAGTTGGCGTCAGTTTCATGAGTGTTAAGCAAGCTTGTTCCAACGCAGAGATAGAGCAACCAGATTTCGATTTTGCTAAAACGGTGTCTAGCGCCGAATCTGCGTGGAGAGAGAAACTGAATGTGATATCCATCAAAGCTGATGGAGTCTCTTCTGATCTGCAAAAGGTCTTCTGGAGCGGTGCATATCGGGCCATGATCAGTCCACAAGATTACACAGGAGAGAATCCTCTTTGGAAAAGTGATGAGCCGTATTATGACAGCTTCTATTGGTGAGAAGGCCTCTAGATATGGTTATCGAGTTGCTGACAAAGAAATAATAGTATATGGGATTCGTACCGCGGAGTCCACCAGTTGCTGACTTTGATGGACCCCTTGTCTCAATCTCGGATGATCAGGAGCCTGGTTGACATTTACCGCCATGAAGGTTACTTACCCGACTGTCGCATGTCCCTTTGTAAGGGGCACACTCAAGGAGGCTCCAATGCAGATGTTCTGATTGCTGATGCTTTCTTGAAGAATGTCAAAGATGTTGATTGGGACACAGCCTATGAAGCTATTGTAAAGGATGCAGAAGTTGAGCCGCTCAATTGGGATGTCGAAGGACGCGGAGGTCTTCGGAGTTGGAAAGCACTTGGCTACATACCTACCGACGACTACGATCCTGATGGCACAGGGTTGCATACCCGTAGTATTTCGAGAACCGTCGAATATGCGTACAACGACTTTTGTATCGCCGAGGTTGCTAAGCGAATGGGTCATCAAAGTGACTATGAAAAATACCTTAAGCGCGCTTCTAACTGGCAGAATATGTTCAAAGAGGACCAAACATCAGCAATCCATGGTATTGACACAAATTTCACGGGCTTTCTGCAGCCTCGCTATTTGAATGGGACTTGGGGATATCAGGACCCCATATTCTGCAGTCCATTGATGAATTTTACGTCTTGCTATCTGGACCCAAATGGCCACGAGACATACGAAGGCAGCTGCTGGCTTTATACATTGTATGTTGTCATTCTCTGGCGCAAGTGTTTAGGCTGACGTTGCTCTGTAGTTATGCACCACAGGACATGGCTTTGCTGATAAAGCGTCTTGGAGGTCCCCGTCTCTTCACATCCCGGCTCTCCTACCTCCACGATTCAGGTATACTCTATGTTGGAGATGAACAGGCCTTCCTTACCGTTTTCCAATTCCATTACTCCGGGCGACCAGCACTCTCGGCCGAGCGCGCCCACTTTTACATTCCCTCCCAATTCAATACATCAGTTTCGGGAATCCCTGGGAACGATGATGGTGGGGCAATGGGCGCCTTTGCAGTATTGAGTATGATAGGGCTCTTCCCAGTCCATGGGCAAGATGTCTATCTTATCACGCCGCCCTTCTTCGAAGAGATTAGTATCCGAAACAAAGACAACGGCAGAGTTGCGACAATTTGTAATATCAACTTTGATCCAAGTTACAAGGCTATTTATATTCAAAGTGTTAAGCGGGATGGTAAGCCGTGGACAAAGAACTGGATTGGCCATGACTTTTTTACTCAAGGTGGTGTGCTTGAGCTCGAGCTAGGCCCGGAGGAAAGCGCCTGGGGAACGAGGGTTGAGGATCTTCCTCCAAGTATGAGCGACTACTCAGTATAGTAGTGTCAAAGTAGTTGAGCTTGCTTGGATCAATTCACTTGACTTATTTGGGCTCGGTATGATAACGCACGAAGTAACTAGCTCATATAGCTTGCACATAATTCCATATTGTACTGATCTCGGCTTGCGCATATAAACACTGCCGCGACAATACCCGGGCTATAGCGTTCAGCCACATAAGGAAGTTGAATAGATCTTCTTAACGTTTAATTAACCAGTTAAGCACGTTTGTTTCGTGATGTGGGCACTTTTCTTGGGATATCATAGACTGTCCCCTATTTGATGTATCAATTGGGATAAACATTACGTTCGATGACGACTCTTCAGAATAGCAAGCACTTGGCCTCACCACAGACCAGATTTAGATGCACAGACTGCAAGCGTGATAACTCGGATACAGTTACCTTCCCGGCGATTCACCGAATTTAAACGAGACTCGGGGTTAACTTACGATCTCGACTATTACAATCAGTCACTAGTGCAGACATGCTTCCTGATCTTAAGGAGCCTCGTCGGTCAGAGTTAGCCCAATCCACTGCGTCTGATATTTTAGACTCCTGTGCCATGGTTCACAAAGACTCTCCAGTTCCCCAAGCTCATAGTACTTCCTCTATTCACTGCGGGCAAATTTAAAATTTAGAATCAGGATATAAGAAGTATAATAAAAATCAAAATTTTGAAAATCAGTAGTTTTTCGAATCTATATACTCTCTTAGTCATATATATTCAATAAGAAATAACTCTATAAAGAATTGGTTGAGTTATATGTAGTTCGAGAGACCGGCTAAGCCAAGAAAGAGTGCCAAGAACTGAAGGCATTTTTGTACACACTAAAATCCCGAGTCGAATAACTAGCCAAATGCGGAACACGCAAACAGCAACTTAATGATCATGGATTCAGTTTCCGGTGCACTTCCCTTCATATATAGCTGCCATGAGCACAAGGTCATCCATATGTACTGTAAATTCTCTAAGTATTTTTGCCGCGCCTCGACTAGGATCGACCTCTTCTACACATTAACAAATCGTACCCAAGGCCCTCGACATACGATATCGAAACTAATCCAAAATGCAACTTCCTTGCTTCGTACTAGCCCTGGCATTCGGTGCTACAGTGTACGCAATCCCAGGTAGTATGACGAGGATTGCAGTGGAGACAGGAACGCCGACTACTACGACTGTGATGCCCACGGTAACGGAGTTTGAAGGGCTATCGCGTTACGCGATCGCTGCACGTGATGTATAGGGAACTATTCCAGAAACCATTACTATCAATCTGGTGCTAACATCGAGATAGCTTGTACGCGACCGTCTTTATTGTCTAGAATGGTGATTTATTACAGGGACTAATGTGTGTTCGGCAATTACAACAGCTAGTACGTTACCAATCTAAGCGACCAGAAACGGGACTTTACAATATAGGGCTAACAGAGATCAAATGGAAAAGGATGTAAGAATTGAAGACATCCCAATATAAGAGATTTCTTGATTATAGATTCACGAGCTAATATTACCCGGCTGCGCAGGATGTATGTAATAATCCCTCTATCGCCTGAGGGCCTGCTTCTGGAGTCACAGGGTCATGCAATTAATATGATCGTCTAGATTGTAAGTCAAATCCTCATCAAAGCCAGCGTAACGGAAAGCTAAGTAATTTGAAACCAGGTTAAGGTACATTATTGGATATCAAAGATAGTGTTCTGTACCTGACACGAAGAAACTAGGACGGAGCGGTTTGAGCGCCCATTCTAATCGCCTAGGTTGATCGGATCATTGAAGACTAACGGACAGGAACTATAGGCTATAGTAAGTTATGATAACGATACTTTTATATAGCGCTAACATGCCCTGATCTAGGCCTCTGTAAGTGATAGCCCATACAACCAGATAAGAAATAACAACTACTTTGAGAGAGGTTGACGCAGTTTCAATGGACAGTTAGTAAGTATAGTTATACCTGGAGGTGCCCTGCTGCAATGTGAACTAAAACATAAAATTGATAGGTGGTAAGTATTGCTTCGAACCCAGGAACAGCGGTTTAGGGACTTGACTACATAGTTGACTGTGAAATTAATAGGCGGTAAGTATAATGATGCTTAGACAAAATAGGCCTGTGTTAACACATCAATAGCCGGTAAGTCATTTCAAAGGTTCAAAATAGTTTGCTCATTGGCGAAGACACACATCTAAATAATTGAAAAGGTGAGAAAACATAACATTCAGCCCCCGCAGTACCTTCTATAGACAAACTGGCTGACGCTGAATATTAGATAAACCTAGTAAGATATGATAGTACAGTTTTCCTTGACCAGTGAGGCGAAAGCTTACAGGAACTACTAGAGCGGAATAAAAAAGGTGGGCGTCTGATAAAATCCCAAAGGCCAGCCGTACCATTGCCAAGGGGGTGCTAATATAGGACTATTACCTGCAGAGAGTGATGGTGAGTGAAGGTATTCAGACTCGATGTTAGAGACTACTTTGTAATGAGTGATCGAATAAACAGGCAGTGGTAAGTCCACCACTGGCGACAAGAAATAGAGTGGAACATCATATCGTTGATGACGATGTGAATAACTCTATTGTTATGAGTATGTGGAGCTGACAAGCTCAAATAACAGCCCGAACCGGTAAGCACAAACTTCATCTAAACTGGCACAGATCACCATGGCTTAATAGCACCAAAAGTCTGTGAGTAGAGATCTCACATCAGAACGAGAAAAATCTGGACAGGCGGCTAATGGTGATCGATAGGTCACGAGCAATGAGATACGGGTTGAAGGAGAAGCTGGAGCTTATCACGAAGAAACCGACACAGATGAAGTTGTACAATCTGTAGGTTTTACAGAAAGCCAAAGAAAAATCCAAAGAGAAATTGGACTGACCTAGTTTAGGGTGATAATTAGGGACGGAAAAATGCCTTTCGACCTAGCTCATTACAACCTGCTGTGGGCCAACCGAACGATATGGTGCTGTGGACTAAACAATGAGCACCCCATATGGGAACCATGCTATGGATTAGATTTGCTCGGTTGTCAAATAGAACTCTGGGACGTAGCTTGACATGGGTTTTTCTCCTTTAGTTAAATAGGTTTTCCCCATGTCCATATGCAAATGCAAAGCCTCGTCCTGCATTTACTATAGCCTACAGTCAAGAATCGTCTATGGTATATAAAGATGTATGCAGCTGGGGACGTATTACTTTCACGAGATTAGTTATCCTACTAATTTACCACCTATTCTTAAGTGTTTTCCCTCCCGAAAAGCGTTATACTGGGGGTCTACAGTATAACCTAGAGAGCTGAGGGAACCAGCATGGATTGGAGAACTGAGTTATCGGTCGACGATTCTTAGCTCATGAAGGGGCTTCCGGAAACGAGTAGGGTGACGAGGTAGCAAAGGACGGGACAACAGCCTTCTAGTTTAGATTACAGAATATCTCAGCCAATTTAGCAGCCGCAGCCAAACGGGCCGTACGCCAGAGAATTAGAGCACGCGGGAAGAAGAAATGGGAACTAGAATAAAGCCGCACGATTAAGGACATATTCTTCTATGATACCCGCTGCACAATGACATACGTAAAGGAATGCAAAATAGGCTTAGGACAGTAGAGAGTACAGTTCTATTCGTGTATAACATATATAACATAATAATCTCGTAATCAAAAGCTGGCCCACAACGTTGCTAAGTTTATATATAAAGGAGGAGCGGAAGAAGCATCAAGAACAGTTGGCATCTAGATGTCTTCGTTTGGACGACGCCTTAGTTGTGCAAGCTTTTCAATTATGTTTCGATCTGGTTGTATGTCTTTTCCTAGCATCTCTACAGCGACTGTAGCAATTTTCCATCGAAGAATACTGGCGACGCTTTTGTCAATACTTCGGCCTGTTTGCCCGTCGCCGCCCGAGTGACAATGTCTATGAACAGATGCGACGAGTACGTTGGCCTTCTTGATCCCTACAGGCGCGCCGCTAATATTGGAGACAGTTTCTCAATCAAGTATTCCCTGCGGAACGCAAGGTCCCCAGGCGTATGAAGAACACACTGGACGTGGATGTCTTTTGTGTCACATACAGCCATCACTGGGTACATTCAAGATTTTTCTGCCACGGGAGTATGATCATTCAATTTGCCACTGTCCAGCTCTGGTCTGCCATCACCGGGACTCGACCAGGCGTACTACTTCCGCAGAAAGCTTCTCTAGGCAAACGCAGACGGGACCAGACTTTCCAGAGCGACCTTCCCAAACATGTTTCGGCAGACAATCTTCCAGACTCAGTCTGCTACCGCGATATCGAGCTGGAATATGATTGCAATGCGTTGATTTTGATTTTGTTAGTTGTCATTGTACATGAACATTTGACGATCTAAACCTTCCACGGTAGTCACACAGATGACCCAGAATTGCGTGTGGGCTTGCTTTTCCCCCGTCCAGCAGAACTATTCAACCAACTCAAGTATGATTGCCAAAAAACAGAGAAGATCGATGTCACAATCCCTCGAGACTGGGGTTTGATATATGAAAAGTTGAACGCCGTCACCAAAGGCCAAAATAGAAAGCTTCTGGGAATACTTATAGATGCTTTGTCTTTCACTCTTTCAATTGCACCCCAAAGCCCCTCCCCGGCGAGGAGTCCATGAAACGCAAAGAAATAGATGTTGAACATCGGAGTATAAAATGCTTGATTGGCAGCTACCTTTGCCCCCAGGGACAGAGAGTGTGAGCTGTAATTAAACCGCCGCCCTAAGAGCAGGAACCATTCGTGAGTAGGAATCGCGATAACAAGACCGATGATGACACTCCGTAGCGAGCGATGAAAGTCAAAATCCTCATCTCCTATCATTTGTGCTGAAAAGTCGCCAAGACAGAATATCAGCGGTGTAAGGCACAGTTGGGTCATATATGGTCGTCGGCTTTGAGAGTGTGAAAACCAATCAAATAGTGATGCAATGGGTCTCTGAAGTGTTCGGGCCATCGGCCTCGAACTTGTACCACGAGGAACAGCATCTTTGTTTGTTCGGGAATTTGTGGCTTGAGTGTGGTGATAGTTCACAGGGATACGACTCGGTAGCCGGAGACGCAACCGAGAGAGCATGATTTTATGTCAAAGATGAGGATGGGAATAGGCGAGAAGATACCGAGGGATCAGCATAGTTCTTGTAAATGGACGGATCCGAGAGAACGCGAGCTTGCCAGAAGAATCGAATCAGTCGGATGGGATTCGTTATTTATAGAGACCACAACTCGAATTCCCGACATACCAAAAGAAGGCGGTACTCTCAATGTCCAAAAAGACGTAGTTAGTTAAGGGGTGGTAGCTGATTATATAATACCTGTCTTACACATCCTGAATTTTGACCGCCGTATCAGAAATAATTAATGCGTCAGGCTCAGGAGGCCTGTTTATTTAGTGCTTCAATAATTTAATCACGGTTCGATTTGCCAGCGACTGGTTAGGCTTCCTATTTTGTTGGAGTAGCTATGTCTGTTGCGCCAATCACAAAAAAAGTGCAAGTGGAGAGTCACAGTTCAGAGGGGTCAGTCAGGATTTATATGAGGGGGTCAGAAAGGGTCAGAGTGCTAAAGTAGATTTCCAACTCAGATCAATTGGTTCTCCAGTCTCGAAGTGGATCGGAGATTCTACCTAACGTGAGTAATTATTTAAATAAGTAAAATCAAGTCCGGCACGGAATTTCCTGTTCTTAAGGCGAAAATAGAATCAGCCGAGTGATTGAAAGGATATAGACACATTTTAACCTTGGATACAAAGGAAGCAATATCTCAATATGTATCATTGAGAGACAGAGCCGATGAGATGTGGTGTGGCACACAAGATTCAATTTCAGGCTATTAAATTCTCAGATCCAACAAGTATCTGTGCGGCCAATGGTTGAGTAACGCATCAAAGGACTTGAGACTCCTTTGAATATATAACCGTGCGCTCAGCATGTTAGCATCACATGTATGGAAACTCCGCTCACGCACGGCCGATGTGATACATAACTGGGAACCCCAAGAGAAGAAAACTACGTGGAAACGATGTCTGAGCTTGCTGGTAGCAGAATGACCAAGCAGAGACCCTCTTGAATTGTAGAGGTTTTTATGCCCCCTTATTATTATTATTATTCCTCCGGCTGTGCGCGGCCTTAGGCTGCATGTAGCCTTCTGAGCTAGCCTATCCTGACATAATCAGCTATGTGCACGTGACCTTTATTCTCCTCTGATGGTGATATGAATCTATACGAGACTACGTGATCCTAGTGGCTTGGCCGGATCACCAACTCCAGCCCCTGAAGGCTTTTCCCATTAGTAGATAATAAGAAGCACTTAAGATAGTCGATAGAGTCATCCATAGAATTGAGTATCTATCGGAATGGCATCCGGTTCTCAGTAGGCTACGTACGTGTAGCTGATACAGCATCATCCTGCCCATCTTTCCCCTGAGATCACAACAGATGGTGATTCAGTTGTCTTTGTAAAGACTTCCAGTTTTCTTAAGAAATCAGAGTATAGCATTGACCATGTCCATGTTTGGAGTCCATCTATTATTTCCGTTCTCTTGTCATGAGTCTACTAATCCCTGGTTTGGTTTGCCGCCCAGAGCCTGGGATAGATTTCTGTACTGTTGGTTTATCAGTTCTTTTATTTCCTTACGCATACCTCCCCATTGGTGGCAGTGAAAGAGGAAATGTTTAATAGTCTCTGGTCTCTACATATATTCACGTGCCTTATTGTCAATCCTGCCAACTCAGTGCAGTAATGCGTTCAATGGGATATGACTCTTCTGGAGCTGTACCAGTACTGCTGTTCGGTACCTTATAGATTGATCATATAATTGTAGAATATAATTTTCTGGTAGGGCAGAGTTAATTTTCTTGGTATAATTTCCTCCGGCTGTTCTTTAGAATTTCTGGATCTATACATGCTGAAGGGATGCGCGATTCCTTTACCAGGTAAAGAATCTTAAATAAGTAACTGCTCAGTTAGATAAACAGAATAGCTAGTCTTCTCTGATTACATGTGCTGCTGTCTCTTTTACTAGTTATACACCCTTCTTACCACTGTCTGTAGGAAGCTATTGAAGCTGAAGCTAAATCCTTATTTTATGTAGTTTCTGGAGCAGCTTATCAATTTTAATAATTAGGGCTTGCCTACTTTGATAGTGCGATATATAAATAGATATTAATATAGTTTAGCTATTAGTATACATAGTTATTGTCAAGGGTATCTACTATCCAGGGTAGAGGACCTGTCAACTAGGTAAGGGTACATAGGCTAAAAGAAAGAGAGAGGTCAAAGACAGGCAGTAGATACTATTCAGACAGGAGACTGATTCCTTGATCTCCTACTGCTAACGATTCGCTAATTTATAGCTAAAGGCTCCATGCCTAAAGGATTCCGAATCCCCCTTGAACCCAATCTGTCGTGTGGCCTGATGTCCCTCATCGGTGGCCGATTGTCTACGCACCTGAATCAGGGTATCCTCCTCTACGGTCATCAGGCCGAATCGCTATTCAATCTGTGACAGCGAGGATAAGAAGCCAGAAAGGAACCCAGTCCCATGCTAGAGACCCTAAAAGCCTCTATTCCGGGTCTAATTAATGTTCCGCACATTATACGCAAATCTCAGGAAGGCCACGAGGATATGCAAAGTTTTCTTAAGTTGTAAGCACTGACTTATTAGATATAAAACTGCAAACTTTTCCAACAACCAGCCGGGCTAGCTCAATCGGTAGAGCGTGAGACTCTTAGTCATCACGGTATCTCAAGGTTGCGGGTTCGACCCCCGCGTTCGGCTTGTCCTTTTTTTATTTTGCTTTTTCTTCACCTCTCTGACTCCCTTCTGGTCTTCCTCGCATCTCCTTCCTCACCTCAGATGAGTATTGCTTTAGCACCTATCTTTGTCATTCTATTTAAGTAGGTTACTACTATTGCCATTGTCTCTTTGCATGACTAGCTGGCTGGCGCTGGCGCATTTCTAGCACTTGTATAACACTCAGTCCTATCGTAATTTTTAACAATTTTTACATCCAAATGTAGTGTTTGTATGGGTTCAATGGGTGCTGCACACCCTTCTCAATCGCCTCATGTTATAATTTAGTTTCAATTCCTCTCATATAACGTTCATGGTGGCTTGTCCACATTACCCTCTTACTAAACACAACACAGATGCCATGAGACTTCAAGCATTCACCATTTCACTTTCGAAGAACTACCCTGGATGTACCTGCCGTCCGTTCTGTAGAAAAGTGAAAGCTTCAGAGTGCTATACTTAAACGTCGGCCTCTGATTTACTGCACTTGCAGAAAAATAATGGCGCCGGGAAGGATCTTTGCCGGGAGTCTCCAAGGAGTATGCCGCTTATTATAATATATTATAGAGGTCGCAAGCCGAGAAGAAGATTTCTACAGATATACAACTAAGCGATGGCTGTGTGTCCTTACTGCTAATACAGACTACATTTGACGATGTATTGACTTAACGATAAATCTAATGATACCCGGGAAGCTTTGGAGCGCTATTGAAAATTCGATATCCAACAGCTTTTTGATATTGCTGCTCAGTCGAGTGGCACACATGCTAATAAATGTACTCCATCATAAACTCTCCCAGTTCATGATTTACTAAGAATGTGCATAGGTAGCAGTATGATAAAACACGCAGAGGGACAGTATAACAAAGCCTTTCTTCTAACGTTCGATAATGGGGTAGAGGTGGTTGCGAACTTGCTGAACCCTAATACTGGCCCAAAGGTTCTCACTACTGCCAATGAAGGGGCAACTATGGATATGCACGCTCTGAACCCGTTAGACATAAATACGGAAGCTAATTTTGAAAGGCACGGGAATTGCTGGGCCTACCTGTCCCACGGTTTTTAAGTTGGAGCTTGTCACTCCTCGAATCTGGTTGAGAGTGAATACATCATCATTGGGGAAGGCAAAAGAGGTTGCTCTTAGTGAGGTCTGGTATCAGCCTCCTACTCCGTCTAATCACAAATTTATACGGCAGGTGGTGAACTAGAACAGAAACTGGCGTCAGTGCTCTTCATCGAGAACGGTCGTATATATCACGCAGAGGATCTGCCTGGGGAATAATCGCAAAGTTCACATTTGCTCTACGGCGACAATTTGAAGAGATACTGCATCGTACCAGTCGCTAACCCGATCTTTAGTCTGACGAGAGTGCTGAGATGGGGCTACATCGAGTTCCTTATAAGGCTTTTATGTTCCTAGCTACCATTGCATCTTTTCAAATGCTTATTTTGTTTGGCAGGGCGCCAGCTATCCGATAACGCGACAGGCATAGATATTAACGAGAAGATATAGGCAATGCAGAGTGCACATCCGCGCATGGATCATTACCGAAGCAACACCGAGTCTGAGCCGCCTACTGAATATATGGATCTCATCGAGAAATACCTGCTTGTTGTTCCACACTTAACACCGTATAAACCAGACTCCGTGGATCTTCTGCAACCAACATTGTGGCACGGTAGCCTCCATCTCAACAACATTTACGTGGACCTCAGTACAGAAACCATCACCGACATCGTCGATTACCAGAATACAACAGTTAACCTCCTGCTCTTGCAAGCCAAGATACCTCGGATGGCCGACATATCAGTCCGCCGCTCGGTTGGATTATGCCAGAAAAGCCAGAGGATTACGTGACGCTATCCGAGAAAGATAGACACAATGCAAACAGGCTCTATGAGAGCACCTTGTGCCATAAGTACTACGAAGTTTGGTCTGCTAAAAGACATCTACAATACTATGCTGCCATAAGTTATTATGATACCTGGAAGTCGCCTCTCATCCAGTAGATCATATTATTAGGCGGGGCTTGGTCTTCGAGAGAAGCCTTCAGGTTTCGCTCATCATTGATATCTGTGGTGGATCACTGGGAGGAAATTCAACCTGCAGCTGATTGCCCTATTTCTTTCACAGAAGCAGAAAGGAATTTGCACAACGAAATATGGAGAACCGTGAATACATCGAGGGTCTCATGGAGGAGTCCCAAGGTTCAGGTATCTTGCCAAGTGATGGAATCGTCGACACGGATGATTATGACATCGTGCAGAAGACAAATTACATGAAAAAGGAAAAATTCTTGTTGGCAGAGACCGAGGAATAGAGGGAGTGGATGGACAAGATCTGGGTCTTACCAGGATCGTTCCGATAAGGCATAACATTTACAGCCGTATTATAGCCCCTTTCTTATACCGCGAGGAGTGTGAATATTGTCAGTATGCGAAGCAGTGCTGGGGCCGTGTAGTGGGTCTCTTCAGGCCGCATGCACCCGAATTTAGAAGGCTATGAAAGCGTCGATCTTTACACAAGAACACGTAGTAGGTTCACATCCAACAAAATCGGATAAGGACGAATGGATACGCTTTTCGTGCGTACTTTTCAGATAGAATAATCGACGAGGGTTTGCCCTGAATGCGTTGATACAGGATGTCGGACTTAACTCGGTGACCACCCGACTGACATCACCCGAACCAAGGATCAGTATCCTAGACCAACCAGAGATGAGGTTTAAACGCGGGGATAATGATTCTAGACACTGTCGCAGTGGCGATATGCCCGCGTTTATCTTATCGTCTGGTATGAGGTCATACTTGTCTAAGTTGATGGTTTCGATATAAATAGTTGTTACTCGGCCCTCTACCTCGAGCAAAGGTTAATATTGTCTGGAGCTTTCCCGAACCCCTTAAAACCATTTCTCAATCATATAAAGTATAGCGTACATATAGCTCAAACGAATCCGAAATGTCCGAACAGTCTCACCAGCCTGATCAGTCCACAAATACATCATCCCAACGCCGCAGATCTTCACTCCCAGAAAACCTTCAAAAACTCCTAGATAAAGAAGAGCAGTATTGGGATTCCTATGGCGACTTTGAAAATTCATGGACTACTACGTATGTATACTATACGTTATTTTGACTACAAGTACTAATTGCATAGACGGAGGAATAATGATCCACCGATGGTGGTAGGAGATATGGCAGGGAAGCAGGCTCAGGAGGGTCAAGTGGGACATGAAAAGCTGGAAAAGGTAAAGGGAGATTAAGCATACGTTATTTGATATAGTGTGTTATCGAGGCATAGTGTTTAAAGGGATGGACCAAATTGAACTGTAGTACTCACTAGGCGAATGATTATACTCCGTCAGGGTCTTGGTATATGAAGGAATCCTGTGGCTAGCCACATATATCTGTTAAGCTCATACTCGTAGAAGACCTCTTGTTTTAGTTATGCGGTGAAGGAAAAGGTCCGAGTATGTATTCCGATATGGATTCGGTTCCCCTTGTTTCAAAATCCTCTCGCTTACTAGACGCGAATATATCAATAAAACTAAGTCATTCCCTGCCTGTCTGTATACTTCACCAAGTCCACTTTCACTACCACCAATACTGGTCCTGCAAAATATTTACCGTCAACAGTTTAATAGTTGGAAACTTGGCGTTCAGCTCCGCAGGAACGCCTATAAATTTTGGATCCTGGCAACACAGGCCAAAGAGTGCATTCAGTGCCTGAAAGGTACTCTTCGGGAGATGCCGTAGGCGACAGCGTGTAAAGGCAGTTCAGTGATTTCAGACCTCACAAGCTTCTCTATATTATCATAAATAACCGTAAATTTGGATCCTATTCAGCAGCTAACAAAGCTCAAACTAATGGGAGCATTGGTGACCAGAACCTGTTGATAATCCGGCTAATGGGAGGACCTCATTCTAAGTTAATATCTCACTAGCCATGCGGCTCTCCTCTGGCCAATAATCCAGGTCCAGGGATGCAACCACGAATTTGACTACATCAAACGAATAAGTAGATATTATCGGTACATCTCCATTCCCAGGAATGGCAGCCATCCAATTTCCAATATCGATCACCATTGAAAATGGCTCGAGATAGGACTTGAGCTTCACTAGAGCAAAGTAGTCTATGAAATAATCATTCTGGAAGATAGTACACTCTAGGTTTGTCTTCCTCAGTTCATCGATAGCACGAATATACTCACCGAGTGGGGAAATTTCGTCTCTCATTCTGAAGTATACATGTGAATACTTGTTGTTTCCCTTCAGCTCTACTAGTGAACTTACTTCGAAGTATAGGCGCAAGCAAAAGCGCTTGGTGCAAAGCGCTTTGTTTCCGTGGAACTTGCAGCGGCCTTGATGAGGTTGATTTGTGATCTGCTGAGAGAATCACCCTAGTAGCCGAGCGCGGAAGTCACCGTATAGATCTTATTTTCCTTAAGTGTGAGCCTCAAGCTATCAATGCTCTCGTAGTCAACGATAATAGAAGGAACGTCAAAGATATCCCCCGTCGGCTGTTGGTTCTCGTTAATGATAATCCTAGTCTCAAAGCTCTGTCACATCACCTTCCGAATGAGAACTACTGCCTCATGGCGCAGATTGTCTTTGATTACCTCGACGATAGTCGGGCCAACATCGCCAGTACCCCCAGAAATTTTGACTTTCACCATCTTGGAGTTTGGAGATGAGAATATACAGTATCTATTAGAGTCTTGTAGCTTGCTATTTTAGAAGATTTTCTGTTGCCTGGTTATAAGTATATATTAGTATCTGCGGACGGCCGTCTAGCCCGTCCAGCCAACAAGTAGTCTTTATCTGAAGTTCGGCTTCGGATACCTATGTTCCCGAGATCTTGTTTGGGGTTATTCTCAACCGGAAAAGGATATAAAGCTACCGATAGTTGGACTTGGTGCCGTCTGGATGCTTTGTATTTCTTAATGTTAGTGGCCTTCTACGATTACTGATTATTAGCTGAGCAGCGTTATAGGACAAGTTTGTTGATGATTTTCAAGACACAGCTTGTTCTATTTGGGTATATATCAATATAAAAGTAGTCATGACTGGCATGACAATCGGCGCAAAAAAGGTATATACAATCGAGAAGCAAGAAGAACTGAACTATTGGCAACCGAAGGTAAGTCAAATCAATACTCCAACCGATCATCATGAACTAGTTCCACATCATATCGCTCGTGACCCTTCCACACCCGAGCCGGGTCGTTGAGCGACACCACAGTGTTCCGAAGCGAAGTGATCAACCCCGCCGGCCCACTCGCAATAACACGAGTAGGCCCCTGAACAGTCCGTTGGACAAAATCAGCCAGGTCCGTCGGGATATCAGGGTGGACCGAAGTCCCAGAATTACCGGGGCGCAAACAGTGCACAGCAAACGGGTCGTCTAACCTATGTGTTTCGTGAGATATGGTCGAGAGAGGCCTCTTAATTTCGGAATTGGTGATGTATGTAGGCGTGAAGGAATTTCGGATATTCGCCCTGTCATCTTCGCGCGTGACGTATACCCGCACCCGGAAATGAGTGCAGGTATGGGCAGCGTTGCGTAGTGCTTCTAGCTCTGCGCTGAGCCACCGCATGTCGGATTTTCTGCGAACGATCCAGACGAGTTCTACTAGGCTTCTTCGCGTTGGGAAGAATCTATTGAGGACGATGGCCTGTAAGATAGGAAGGACGAAGGTTACTCCTGTGCCGCCTGCGACGCAGAAGAGATTGATATCGTCTGAGCAATGCAAGTCGTTATCGACGATGGATTGGCCGTATGGCCCGGAAAGGACGATAGATGTGCTTGGCGGTTCGCTAAACGATTCTTCGGACTGGCGGGCAATCCGGGCTAGGCCCTTGGTTAATCCCTTCTTAGCGCGAATGATATACGTGTGGGACTGCTTGGTGCCCCCAGGAATAGAGGATGGTGTCATGGGGTGTGATTGCCAGATACTAAGACCAGGGAAACATAGGTAGAAATGCTGGCCGATTTCCCAAGCACCATGGTCATGGTCGAAATCTAAACGGACGACGTCTCCGTCCTCGTCATTGGGGAAAGAGGTCATGCGAGCTTTGGGTATGTGCAGACCCCAAAATGAGAAAGTCTCAGAAGAATGAGGCCCGAAATGCGCAAGGAAAGTCCGCAGGAGCCGAATGGCCCGATCGAGGAACCACACAACTAACGAAGCGATCATCCAGCATGAAAGCTGCGCCCAGTGTCCCCAGCAAGCACCCACATATAACATGGCCACGACGTAATGCGCCTTGCGGAAGAATTCGTATCCCGTGTACTGAATGGCCCATTTTGTGCTGAAGAAGACCAGAAAAGACAGGAATATCATAGCCACGATGCCCCAAATAATATACTCCTGGGCGATAAAGGTGTTCCAGGTCTCAGGCTGCGGCTGGTACATCTTTCCTTCGATGATCGTCCAACCGAGTGTGTGAAGAGCAGATTGAACGTAGATGATGTAGCCGAGCCATCGGTGAAGGAAGTTGAAGTGATGGTATGGTATTCCGGTGCAGATGGAGAGGAGGGATTCTCTGGTGCATAGGAGTACGGCAAGGGGCGTCAAGGCGTATGCTAGAACCCCAATGCGATCTGCCCAAGGGCCAAGACCTATGCGGGTCGAGCGCAAGTTCGTTCCCTTGACAGGACTGTACCATGTTTTGTAGACAATTCCGACAAAGGAGAAGATCATAAGGTAGCCGGTAAGAATAAGGAGGACGAGGATGTTGAACCGAGTGGTGCGGCCGAATATTGGAGTGAGAGATTCCTGGATGAAAAAGCGGTGGTAGGCCGAGCCCAGTGCCCGTTTGAGGCGATATAGAGCGCTCTGTGACCTATGTTCACTTTCACCCTCTTTCTGAACGCATGAGGACGTAGACTTCCGCGAGATGGGGTTACAGTAATGGCCGATGAAGCAAAAGAACACAATCCCGAGAATCACGGCCCAGAGGATAGCGCTATAGAGGATTGATAGATCGTGACTATGATAGACCGTATCTAGATATCCACACTTTCCCTCATCACTGGTGCAGGGGAGTTGGCGATTGTAGTAACCCCAGTGGTGTTCGACACCCGGGCCACTATCTGGAATATCATGGGCATGGCGCGGGGAGAGCATCTCGAGTAGTCAATACTCGATAAGTGGGACGAACGTTGCTGGACTCTGGGTAAGAGAGGAGAGACCATGCTGGATAACTCTGGGGGATGCCCATATTAAAGTGACCCCACTGTCACGAAAGTCGTTAAAACGGACATGTTAAAAGTGGGTTGCCAAGCAAGAAATCTGCTCAAGTGCAATGCCAAGAACGTTGTGACCAGAACTGTTGTCTGGAACTGAGACAGTGCGTCACTTAGCCTGTGTGAAGTTGATAGTAGGATGAATAATTCTATAATTCTGAGATCAATGTTAGAAAGCAAAGCACCCAACTGGAATGACTCGTATAGAGACGACTCCCCTGAGGTTCTTGGCCTGTCTTGTTGTATAAGCCTCGTTGCAACACAAGATATCGGACATGCTTGGCGCGTCGGAAGTTAATCTAATCGAAATTTGCTCAAATTGGATCTGGGTCCATTTACCCAGGGCCAATCATAGTCGGCGCCATAGCCACTTAGGGCTCTACCGGCAACTGCCGAATTGGGAAGATAATTTAGCCGTTCGGTGATGCAACAACCCTAGATCAACTTCAACATTCGTGATATTTCCGGATTATATTATTAGATTGACGTGGAGCAGCCTTCCGGCCTGTATATGTACAAGAAATGGCCAATATTCTACTTGCTAAATGTGGCAATACTACTCCTACTACTGTTAGTGAAAAATGGGTATATAATTTGATCCAACGCAGTGATACGCTGAAAACTTGCTTCTCCTGCCGCTATAACTATCAACGCGCTAAGTATAAGGATTCTGAGCTTGTATATAAGTGATTCAATTGGGTTCAGATCACTATAATGCAGTATGGCATTACGCCGGACGATATCTATAACTTTGATAAGACTGGTTTTGTAATGGTCCTGATATCTACTACTAAAGTAGTTACCAGAGCAGAAATATATGGAAGGCCTAAACTACTACAGCCAGAAAATTAGGAATAGATTACTTCTATTAAGTGTATTAACTCTACTGGTTAGGCTCTTCCACCTTGTATTATCTTTAAAGACAGGGTCCATGTTAAGGGCTGGTACCTGATAGATCTATCACCAGATTGGCGTACAGAAACAAGTGCAAATGGCTGGACTACTGATAAAATAGATCTACATTAGTTACAGCAGATTTTTATACTTACTACTACTGGTCAATGTACTGGTCGATATTGTCTTCTGATACTTGATAGGCATGGCAGCCATTTGACACCTTAGTTTGACAAGATATGTAGTTAAAATGATATTATATCAATCTGTATACCTGCATATTCATCAAACCTACTTCAGCTGCTTGATGTAGGTTGTTTTGGATTGTTGAAACATGCGTATGGACAGTTGGTAGAGAATAAGATAAGACGAGGCTTTAACTATATTAATAAGCTTGATTTTCTTGAAGCCTTTCCTCTAGCAAGAGCTCAGATATATACTGCAAGTCATATCTGCAGGGGATTCTCTGCTACTGGCCTTATTTCTTTTAATCCTGAGCGTAGGCTGACCATTAATTCCCACTCCCATCCCATTTCCCATCCCATTTTCCCTCTTGGCATCCCGTTTCCCATCCCAAATGTAGGGCTAGAACGGGAATCCCAATCCCAATTTTAAAATGGGATGGGATTCCCATCCGGATTAACCTTAAAAACGGATTCCCATTTCCCATCCCAAAATCCCATCTCATCCCGAAATCCCTGGGATTATTCTGTCCCAACGGTCAGCCTACCTGAGCGTGTGCTTTCTCAGCTTAATATAAAGCTTTAAACAATACCTCCAGGTAGTAGACCTAGTAGTAGATCTAGTAATTCGGTATCTAAGACACCTCACAATCTCAGGTAACTGTAGAAGCAAGAAGCTACATTAAAAAGGTTTCTTAGAGTATATATAAACAGCCCTGATTCGCCTACGAAAGCTGCTATAAAGTAGCTTATTAAAGGATGCGAACTAGCTTTAAATGAAGCTATAATTGCAAGGCAAGAAGTCAGGGAATTACACGCTGCGCATGAAAGAACACTTAAAAAGAAAAAGTGCTCCACTAGACAAATTACTTTAGAAGCAGACACTTCAGTCCAGGAAGCTCAGGAGCTTATAGAAAGCAGAAAATCTACTAATGAAGCTATATCTGCTATATCAGTAGATATTGCTCCTACAGTAGAAAACCAGCGCGTACGCGCTCCACTAAAGTGCTCTGGCTGTGGTATTCTAGATCATAAAATTACTCAATGTCCTAATCATCAGAATATTTAAACTTCCTATAGAAATGCAGAATTTTTGGCGTTTCGAATAGCTTCATTTCTAGGAGGCGCGCAAAAACGCGCGGGTTGACCGGATACGTTAATTTTTAGGTTACTTAAGAGCTACAAGCCTTTTTGCTAACCTTAATAGTCTATTATTGTTTATGTGGATAACTGTATTTTGGACCAGAGAAAAAATGTATCAGCAATTATTTAAATCCTGAATATCCATAGAAAAAGGGAATCCTGACTTTATAATATTATCTTATTTAAAGCTAATAACTTCTTCTCTATAAGTTTTATTATTTCTTCCTCAGCCAGCACATCACTTGTGTATAAGTGTAACTGAACTATTTATTAAGGAATACCTGTCATATTAAAGTTGTGATCAGATTTTGACATCTTAACCAAACCGTTACGGCTATCAAGCCGTAAAAGATAGGACCTGTTGTCCTGGGGTGTCAGCTCATATGTGGACGCAAGGAGAATGTCAACCCAGCGGATATCATTGTCAATCTCTCCATTTTCGTCTTCCAGAACGCGAAGTTCGCCGAATAAATTCCCAACCCTCTCCGCAATCGAACCACTAGCGAAAGGGATATGGAAATACTGCGCAAGGCTATTTTAACTTAGAGAACGGCTACTTATGAACACGACAGCTCAAGTACCGATTATAACCATTGCCGTGGGGGTAAAATGCGCTCGGATTCCCTTTTCGCTGGTCCGCACAGCTGAATCGATGCTGCTTTTCACAGTCAGTTGGCCATGAAAGCTGGAATCTATTTCTGGGGGACACAGGCCTAAGCAAATTTGAGAATATTCGCAATGCGAGACTTTAATGTCAGCTAACAGGCTTCTTTTAGCTTGAATAAGAACGCCGGGGAGGAACTATCGAGGTTCATTCCACCACACACGGCTGAGTGTTGGAGCCAATCATGTGCAACAAAAGGAAGAGTAACAAGAAATGTGCAAACTGGTTGTGCATAACTAGTGTATAGTTAGCGCCTTGGCAAGCGTGCGGGGGTTTTTAACCCATGAGAACCTCTCCTTCTTCCTGTATCTATTCAGGCAAGATACTGCTCCATTTACGTCTTGTCTCCTTTCAAATGCTATCTTTCCCTGAAATCACAACAGTTGGTTCGCTGACTAATCATGATTACCATAACTATCGGCTACCGCAGGAGTTTATTAATCATGATCACTAATGCAAGCTGCTGTTTCATAGTTTCCTCAACAGATGGCTGTATAGACCTAATCAGTAAAAATAGCTCCTACCAACAGAAATATAAGAATCACACGAGAAGCCCTCAATGCTTCTCACTCTCTAGTAGTATCTTTTAAATTAGTGAGGAGCCCGTATCGTATAAATTTATTTCTCTATCATGCCTCTCTGGGTTTTCTCGCACAGCCCTGGTGCTTTTCCCGAGAGAAGAAAGCCCTAGCCAAAGATATTACGTCCGTCTATACCCGAGCCGATCTTCCAGCATTCTACGTCAACGTGCAATTCCAGAACCTCGCTTCCGACGAAATATATGTCGTTGGAGAGACCCCCTAAATGTTCACATTCGTGAAGGTCTACTATATTGCCCGGTCCTGGAGACTGATGCTGAAAAAAAGACATTTCTATCCTATGCTGACGCCATCTTCAGTGCAAGACTCAAGCCAAATGGAATGCGCTGGGAATGTTTTATCCAGGAATGCCCCCGCGATGTGTGGAAGATTAACGGGCTAACTCCCCTAACGTAAGGGTCAGCTCGGGAGAAACTATGGCGTGAGCGAAATGAGCCCGTTGAGGTCGACGGACTGAACGATGACTTGCTGTGAGGTTGCTCTTAAGGTTAGTGTAGCTACACTGTGCTATTGATGTGACGTGGTTATACATTAACACAAGAAACTAGGCTAAATTATTATAAACGTGAAATGTGGAGGGTGCACGCTTCATTTAAAGGAAGATGCATGTTTATTCCTCTGATGGTCATCTTTCTGCTAGATAGTAAGATGCAAACTGAGAGGCAAGATTACACGAAGTTGGTGTTGTATTATAAGGATCATTTAGTTCCAATATAAATATCAATTTTGATTTGATTCTTCGAAAATGTAGACTTCTATGAGATATCATCGGTAATAGAAAAAGTATAATAATAATTCTGGAGTATAGCTCCTACCGTGGACCTTCTAAATAACTCCATCCAGTGACCCGTGCCTAAGAGAGTAAAGGGTATATTAGATGTATAAGTGCGGAAGGGGCAACTACGGGGGTTGAATATTGAGGGTTGGTTATACTAAATAATTCTCCTTTTTAAAATGTCAGGCTCGAGTATTGCGGCAATGGTATCTGATAACACTCGTATCAGACAATTTCCAAAACCTTAGAGAAATTATTCTGAATTCTAGAAATATTTAAGTGGAGCGGTTTGTGACATCCCTCCACAGTGGCTTTTACCAAACACTACTAGATTAGAATACTGGCGCCTGTATTATAGAAGGCTCTAAATATATGAGGCGTTCTCTAGTTAATAATTATATTTGACAATCAATATTTAAAATAAATTATGCTACCAGAAGATAACTTAATGGGATTAAAGTCAATCGTTTAGCAAAAATCGTGTATCTAAAGAGAAAGAGTGGAATTAAAAAACAGCTAAAGTATTCCGTATTGCACGAGCTGGCAGGGGAATACATCTTATTCGCAAAATAGATCAGTTGATAGGTACTAGGTACATAGCATGATCCGAGATCTTTATTTCCTCAAATCTTTGCCTGGGACAACTTTTCTAAGTGATCCTGTCTCAAGCTCATATGCATAACCAACAACCTGAGCTTCTACTGGTAAGAACGGCCATTGCCTGATTGCTTCGACATCCTCTCGGATGCTCTCGTCGAGGCCAATACTAGGTATGTAATTAGTAGATGAGAAAAATAATGAGAATAAAACTTACCTCTGAAATGTACCAAACCACTTATCCGTAATCGTAGAGGCATGAGCCGGGGCCCTGTCACACAGTTTGGATCGTATTTCATCATCGTTGGTGAATAAACCGCCACAATCTGATTCCCTTAGAGCTGCACTGCTCATACACATGTTATCTGCCGCTTACCAGTATGGTGTACCACCACAATCAAGTCAATAGGAGCAATTGACCCCATAACTTCAAGACTTCTCAAGGCATCGGCAGCTCGACCACCCGCGTTGCGAATTACTAGAGCTTCTAAGAATAGTATTAGTAACTGAGCAAGTCCATTATTATACTGAAGATCTGTACCTCCACGTGTGAGACCGAGAAATTCATCCGGGTTGACTCGGGCGTCAGCACAGGTTACTTCACAAGTTAGCTCCTGAGAATTAGTGAAATAGACAGCAGGTAAGACTAACTGATGCAGATAGCTCCTGATTCAGGTTTCATTTCCACTATGTTCTGTAGCAGGGGTGGGGCCTGATAGTTACCAAGCGATCTCCTATGCATAATGTTAACCTGCATTTCTTCGAGACTTTGGGTCGAACATACTGATTACGCTCGAGAAGCTCTTCAAATCGTCGATCAGCCATGATGAAGGAATAGTTTCAATCAGGGTTTCTGATAAGCTGAAGAACTTGCGTCGACAAACGTGAAATATAAGTTATGTTACAAGCGAAGTGGAAGTAAACCATAGAGCTTTGAAATAATTGAAACTACATTCCACACCCATGAACTTATACAGCAGTGTAGCCTAAGCAATAAGCCGCGCAGTACAATTGCTGCAAGGCTCTCGTCATTTGAGTTTAGTGATAATTTGAGTTGAGAACCACAGTTTTTTTTTTTTTTTTCGTTTCATACGCCGACCCCTCGCCTCAAGGCGATATGCGGGAAGAGCTACTATCTGTACTCTATCTGCATGGCTATTTACAATGAACTATTACTTTCCTGACGAATTTGGAGCCTCGTCAAGGCCTGTGTTGGCCAGTGCCTGGTGCTCTGTTCTGCGGCCCTCGTGGCGCGCGACTTCGAAATCTCTGCGATGCTTCCGCATAGTCCAGTACCGCACCTAAGACGCTACTGTCCTGCGGGGCATCTTGTAGTCTACCTTCCTTACCTTGGTCAGCTCCTCCTAGCATATCTGAAATATTGTTGAATGCTCCTCCAATTTTGCGCCGTAGCTCTTGGCGAGAACCACAGTTGAAGCTGCAACCTGCCCAACGACCTATTTTCCTAATCCGGCTAGTTTGACCATATAAGGCTAGGGCTATCCCCAACACAATATCTCGTGGCAATAGTTGAAAAGAAAGTGTCGCAATCTAAACGGTCTGGTGGAAAACCCTAATTAGTTAAATGATTAATCAAGGCCATTCTATCGAGTCACTGGTGAACTATTGCAGGATGACGATGACCCGGTGGAGTCGGGACTGAATAGTACTGAAATCGTCCACTGTGATTTCTACTAAACCACGCCTTATCACTCCACTTGTGGAAATGATTATATTTCAATGAAACCGGATGTATTTGACTAAACTTGACTTCATTGATTGTATGTAGACTAGTTGGGGGTATAGATAGGAAGAAGACAAACAAAGGCGGTATCAAGGGCAGTTAATTTAATTGCCTGGCACCTCCTGTTAGAACAAAGGTCAATATCCCGTTGACATAGGTAAAGTAATGATGTAGAAATGACAAGGAATAACATGAAGACAATGATAGAAGTAATGAAAAGAAAAGAGATAAAAGCAGTATATTATATCTAGCAAGCAATACTATTCCAGCCTTATTTATTTTGGTTCAACCCTAGTGTGACTCTAATTCAGCGTCTAATGTCGAAGAAAGACAGCCCTTTGCCTAGGAAACCCAGATATAACTATTAGGGATCAGTCAGCCTATAAGGCAGGCACCCGAGCAACTGTACCGTCAGCCCGTTGGAAAGGATTAAATCTCTAAAGATGATAAATTTTGATATTATCTATATAATATTTCTTCAGGCTACCTTGTTGTCCCTGTTAATATAGCTCTTCTGCCATGACAGTATACTTATTCAGCCTCACACTGACTATCTTTCTAGGCCCAAGCTATTAAGCATCTAGCTTCCGCCCATGAGCCTTATCGCGCTGGAAGTCACAGACCAGAACCAGGTTCCCTTTCTTAGGAATTTGCTAACTACTGGATCCAGATTATTCTTGAGCCTATTTCTCAGCGGCGGTATTGCTGATAGCTAATGCCTTGATGGTCAGTTACCTTCTTTCAGACTGAAGCATATGGTACAGCTGGGTCAGGTGTGTAGGGATTAAGTCTATGCTATTTAGGTCTATACTATTGGTTATAGCCCCCCCCTATTAATCTATCTTTTATTTTCTAAAAGTGTGAACAACTTCTCTAAATTAATCCTAAGATATTCTTTAAATACTAGTATTACTGTCACAGATTGAATAGCGATTCAGCCCGATGACTGTACAGAATACCCTGACCCAGGTGCGTAGACAATTAGCCACTGATAAGGAACATCAGTGTCACGGGTAAGCCTTAGGCTTAAGGCCCCGATGGCAAGTTGCGATACTATATATACCGCGCCTGGGAAATCAACTCCGACCGGAGTTGATTATAGTGGATCTTTTTACCTAGTGGGAAGATCCTACATATCGAATTGCTAATCCCAGGAGTAATCCTTTTCAATCAGGCTATATGACAGATTAGATTTAAGAAAGATTCTGAATCCTTTAGGCATGGAGCCCTTAGCTATAAATTAGCGAATTGTTAGTAATAGTAGGAGATCAAGAATCAGACTTCTGTCTAAATAGTATCTACTGCCTGCCTTTAACCTCTCTCTTTCTTTTAGCCTACGTACCCTTACCTAGTTGACAGGTCCTCCACCCTAAATAGTAGATACCCGTAACAAGTATAGTACAATTATATTAGTTATAAACCAAAGATCAGTTAACTACAAAAGCTAAATAATTATTTACTTAGTAATCAATTGGTTATATGGAAAGAAAGATTTGTTTGGCGTGGCAATTGAGATTTCGCCAAGGTTCCGGTAAAAAATCCATTTTGGCCAATTGCTCGATTCAGTCCGCCGTAGGTAGCACATAACCACACGTGCTACTATATCAACCGCAGGCGTTGTAAGGTGCGCCTAACACGTTGATTGGATCCCCTGACTCGCCGGCTCACCCTCTTCAAGCAGCAACGACTGAACGAGGCAGGCAGGAGGTGCTCGTAGATTTTTCAACGATAGATATTCCTAACTAGATTAATATAGAATCCCGGCCTGCTTAAGTGGAAATTTTGTGCCATTCTATCCGCTGTATATAGTCAATTTCAAACACCTCTCGCAGTCTATATAAATATCGTAAAACTATTTGGTAACTAGGATGCGGTAGTCGGGCGCTGGCTCTACTGATGATGTAGCGTGGCAACCGCCAGGTGTCGTGTCGTTCGTGCCATGAAATCGCTTGATAGAATCCCTCAGAAAGAATAGCAACGGTTCCTCAGAACTACAACATGAATGAATAATTTTCTTTGTTCAAAAGTATCCTTATATTGCGAAGGTTGCTCAGAACCACAAAAAGTCAACAAGAAAACATCAATAATGCAATTGTCATAATCATAAAGCCCATTGCCCAAGCCCGAAACCATTTCAACGGCCCACAAATCAAAGATGAGTGATTTGAGATAGCTCGATACAGAACGGACATGTCATTTGTCTCAGGTGGTAGATGAAGAGTCCGCCCTCGAGAGTATGCATTTCTCCAATCGCGTAGACATTCATCCTGGCATCGTTTAAGCATTTTACCCAATGGGACGAGCTCAGGTATCTGCTCAGCTGTGTGAATCCACATCGTATAGTGTTCGAAAGCCTTCTTATACAGCTGCTGGTGTTCAAGTGAATAACCCAGATTGCGAGCCCAGATAATGGCATCTGCATCATATCCCACAAGATGAAGACGTCCTTGAATTGCCCTTTCATGCAGTGGTATTGCCACAGATGATTCTTTATTCGTGTGGTGTATCACAGCAAGGGATTCCAAGGCCTCAAAACAGTATATGTGATATCTGGACAGTTCAACGGGCTGCTCAAATTGTGCAAGTTGCTGGACATCGTCAGACTCTTCGAGGAGATATTTTGCATCTTCCAGCCTTTTCATTCGGAAGAGAAGATTTGCCGTGTTATTTGCTGCGCGCTGGGTTAATTTAGAGTCGCCTAGATGCTCCTTCATATCTCGATACAGCTGGGGGAGGATGGTGTAGGCTTCTGCAAGCTGTCTATCATAAAGGAGTGCTAACCCAACATCATGATGGCAGCGAAGAGTATCCATATGAAATCGCCCTAGAACACGAACGAGCTCTTGATGGAGATCGGCGAGGTCTGAGATTATTGTTGCTAAATGGCTCTTGGACTTTGTTTTGTCATGGTTCAGTTGGAGTAGAAGTGACTGATGGTGGCATGTGAGTGACAGTGGATCTTTGGGCCCTAAGTGCAACGTTGAAAGGGCAAGTGCCCTGTCAGCCGTTCTTTTAGCCTGGGAAAATCTTCTGTTCGTCTGATATGCCCTGGATAAATTTAAGATGGCCTCAATCGTATCACGGGAAGTTGGCTCAGAATGGGACTTCATAGAAACCGCGTTCTCAAATGCTCGAATGAGGAAGATTTTCAGTCCATGAGAAGCCTCCTCAAGGAGTGATATAGTAGCTGGCTCAGACATAGATGGCAGCGAGGCATTCAGATGGAGAAGTTGGCTTTGTAGTAACGAGAACGCAGATGATACACTCTCTCCTTTACCCTGTTGGAAATACGGGTAGAGAACCGCAGCCCATATAGTTCCGGCCCTTGAGTGGATGAAAACGTTCAGATCTTTGGAAAGGTCCCGTGAAAGCGTCTCGATATGCGTTATGTGAAATAGCCAGTTGAGGCAAGCATACTTAAGGAACGGAAAATATCCAACCCGACTAGAGTCAGGCGAACTTGTCGAATCTTCAATATAGGCCAACAAATACTTCAAACACAAACTGGCAAAAAACATGTGAGCTTCTGTCAGTAATATGAGTGCAGGCGCTTCATCACGCCCGTTTCCTGCCTCGAGCAGGAAGTCTCGGACAGAGCAATGTGAAAAGGAAACCTTCCCATTCGTCAATTGAATCAATGGTCCACAGGCACTCGAGCATAGCGTCTGGAAGTCCTGTAGTCTCTGAGCACCTTTCAAGAACCCGATCACTTCAGTTGCCTCAGACACACTCAAGGGCGAGACTGATGCACAGCAAATCTTAAAAATAAGATTTCGGTATGAGGCCAGCTCCGGTGACGAGCCTTCCAGCCCATCGAGTATATCCATATAAAACGACGCAATTTGGGCTTTGGATCTCTGCAAGTGAATCTCAACATCCACATGGCCTCCTATTTGGCTAATGCCTTGGAAGAATAACGAAGCCCAGATGAAGAGGCCCTGTGATTTCTCCGTGACAGTCCTGGCAATGTTATGCTTTTTAAAGCCAGATATGCGAAAGTCATCTTCCAATTTGATGGAACTGAAAGTCAGGATATCGTTCATTGTATGTGCCGGCTCCAATAGAATTGAAGAATCACAGCCTAATAGACTCTCCAAGGACCCCATAGTGCGACTAGTTAGGATCAGTTTTACAATTGGGGTGTTCTGTTTGGCCATTTGCGAGATGCCTTTGACGAAACTTTCAACTTGCATGGGGTCGCCACACTCATCAATTCCATCGAGCACGAGTATCGTCGGAGCACATGCCCTCGTTATTTTGTCGAGTAGCTCCATTAGCTTGTCCAGTGGAATTTGAGAAGCACTTGGATGCTGGTCAGGTAGATCTTTGAGAAAATGCAGTATGCTGTTCCTATCGCCTGACTCCTGTAGAATCTGACCCAGCAAATTGCAAATAAATCCAGGTATACCTCTCCTTTTTTCCTCCAAGGCACTTGCAGCACTGTGGACTACCAGAGCACGACTTTCAATTCTCAGGCGTTGAGATACATAGAATGAAAGTGTGCTTTTTCCGATACCTTCAGGCGTAGACGTCAGTACCAGGCTCGGGATACTGAAAAGCGTCCCTGGAAACTTACCAGGTGGGCCATGAATCCATAGTAAGGCTTTCTCATCCGCAAGGAACTTTTGGAAGAGGTCAAGGTTGAAAATCCATTGGCAAGTCCCTTTTGTTGGCTGCGGAAATGTAGGATTTTGGAATTGAAGCCACGTCAAAATCCCATGTACGTCCACCACTTCCATACTCAAGTATTAATCACGGTGGCCATGAGGACGTTTGACGTTTATCGACAAGCATTTACAACTCACCTTTAGGGGGGTTGCTGTCTGGGGTTGTAATCAAACTGTTGATTGTTCCTTTCACAAGTTTATATTGACTGCTTTGCTTGCCTGGAAATTGGCACATTGTTCGATGGTCGCCATCAAGGGGAATAGGGTGTTGTACGGGGCCGATTGGATCCATACTCCCCGACGCCCGTGGAACGATCTGCTCAATTTGGCGCGGTTAAAACTTCGCCTAATGACTATGCTGCGAAACCACATACCGGGAGCCGAATAGGACCAACGTTATAGGTTGAACTTTCAACAAAGTTGATAACTTTCAAAGGGGGGTTTGTCACGATGGAGCCAAACTCGTAAGCAATCTCACGCAGCTCTTCAGAATCCGAAACCAGTGACTTGATATGAGAGGTTGAAAGGTTGAAAGCGAACTTGATGGCATTTATCAAAGATTTGCCGACCGATGCCAATGGGGAGCCTCGATGCGGCGTACCCATGAAAATTACACCAACAGTAGAACGACGGATCTCGAGGTACTGTTCAAGCCGCGATGCTTGGATTAAAGCCTGTTTCCCCGATTGGCAATTGGCGCAAAACGTAACAAGAGTCTGGTAATTACCTTCTTCACAACGAGGCCACCGAGACTGTGACAAACAAATACAAGTGGGCGGTTTTGAGAGACCTCCCAAGTCAGCTTGAGTGGATCCCTCCTATAATGCGTGCCGGTCTTCTTACATCACGGTCTCGCTCCAGGGACAGATGTGAGAGAAGGAGAATGCCACTGTCTGATAGTGTATTTGAGGTAGAGCGCTTCCAACTGGCATCATACCCAAAGGTCATGATTCTCGCATGGGGCATATCGTGGGGAAGCAGATCCCTAATCCACAAACAACCATTCCGATGGGTCCATGTCTGAAGGCGATGCCCACCAAGTCCATGGACAACTACGATGCTATCCTCTCAACGTAAGCCAGCTGTTCCATAAAAAGAGGGGGGTCCTTATTATTTAGTGAGGGCGTACTCTGCCACTGGTTCCTGTCCTTCGGATAAAGTTAAAATGCCGTAACTGTCGTCTCTAACGCTCGGTACCCTGGCGAGCTCCATCTTCATGTCCCGGATATTGGCAAGCTATTCAAGTATCGCAATGATGAATAGCCCACCGTAGGGTCTGAGATTATTTGAGCAACCATAACAAGACCAACGCCATCCTACCAGTGAGCCAGGACACGTGTGCCGCTGTGGTCGCGCTGTTTCAATGTGCATGATGCATCGATTTAGCGCACGTCTGATTGGTAGAGTGTTTGTCCACACAGCCTGTGTGGACAGCTATTTAGTGAGGGGGCTGAGTCACCCAGGTAGTTGCTGCTGATTCAAAACGAAGCGCAGCACCGTTCCATATTCGCAATCAACTATCATCATTCTACTCCGGGCCGATCCTTGAAAAAAAGATGTCTCTCTACGGTTAGTAATGACCAAGAACTCTTAGATTTGTCCGAATACTCTGTTTTTTACTAACATTATTTGTAGATTTTTTGTGGTACTTGACGAACCAAACTGGTAATAAGTTTCCTAACGTTCCAACGTCAGCTGAATAGAGCAGCAGTCATACCAAATCTTGTCAGAATCTGCTTTTATTAACTATTGTGTTCTCTGCTAGAACAAGGCGAAGATGACCCTAAACCGGCTGAACCCACCACCACTCCCTACGGCGGTTGGGATGATTGAAAGAGAAAGGGGAGCGGGCCAGTGGCAACAAAAGGCGATTTCCTGCAAGACGAATGGCGGTGCGCACCGTGCGTTTGCCTAGGACTGGAAGGTTGGATAATGTCAAGAATCTGTCTATAGTCAATGACATAACTTCTCCTGTCATGGTACTGTGTGCAGGTGCTCGCTCCATCATAAGCCTCCCAGGAATTGAAAACAGAGAGGTTGACAGCACATTCAACTCAAAGCTCCACTTTGAGCCCTCCAATTATACTCATGGCCATGCATAAGTAAGCCTCATTGGAGACATCTATTGGGAACAATGTTGCCAACACAGTCACCTGTTGGAAGGGAGGCTACGACAACCAGCAGCCAATCATATCCGGCAGGGTCTGATTTCAACCAGTAATAATGTCCTCCGGTGCATTGGGGCGACGAGATACATTAGCAAACAGCCATAGCCACCATAGCGAGACGCGTGGATGTGGTAACTGGTCGCAGATGAACGAGATGGCCCTCCTGTTGGCCAAAATCCCTCATCGTCCCTCTCCACCCTCAGCCGGAGCGCGTGAGCTCGTAACAGTGCTTCCCCAGAAGCTCAAAGTGACTGCGTAACACAGCTACCCCTTTTTCTCTGCCTGATAATTGCGGGTAGTTATTTACTCTTGTACATCTATTCTCTGTCGGGCTAAATTTGTTGTGTCCTGGATTATAATCGATTGATTGCCCAAACACCGTCCATTGTGAAAGGAACCCAACATTTTGTTCTTGAAATACCACGCAAAAATGATTCCTATTTCCCTAGACCAAGCAGCCCGGGAAATTGCGGACTGGGCCGCCTATGGCGCTCAAGAAACACTGGACGAAACCGGAAACTTTTCGGCCATCAATCCGGTCATGGGTAGAATGAACTGTGTGGTTGTCTCCATCGCGGCGCTTTTAGGGTTTAATGCTGTCTCCTTTTGCCAAATGGTCGGCATCGAGCATCCTGAAAATGGATACACTGAGGAGCAGTTCCAAGGCCTCTTGGAATCGATACATTCATTTTTCGGGCCTCGCCTGCAGATGTGCAAAATGGACTCTCTCGCAGAGCCGGAGCAAGGTCGTCGCGGCAAAATAGCTTTTTTATCGTGGGATTCTGAAAAGCCTCCGCACCGACAAATTCGCCACGCCGTTGTTTATGCTGGAAACAGGTTTAGGGACTACCAACGCGACAGTGACGGAAGGGATGTGTCGGATATGCTTCGTGAAAAAAGAGCGGAGCTTGACTTCTGTTATTCTATTGTGATTGATCAATGTTATATTCCAAACATCGCAGGAAGAACAAACAACAATCCACAGGTATCACCCAAGGTACCTGAGCAGGCGGCAATAATTCTCAGAGCATGTAAGTCGTTATCTTCTCTGAATAGAAGTCAATAGATCTCGTCGCTTATCATACTCTCAGTGGTTGATCTTCAAGCCCAGTTAAGCTGGCTTGAAGACCGTTACTACATTTTTGAGCGATATCTGAATATCTTTGTGCAGACAAACGTATGTGAATTCTAGCAATAAGTTCATTTAAAATCCAGACCAGACCGACTAATCACAGCTCAAGGCCAAAATTCAAAATAATATTTCTGTCAATGAAATGGAACAGGGATATTTTTGCTCCGCTCTTGACGAATCCGTGTGTGCAATAAAAGCTACGGTGGACGAAATGCCTGATCTTGAACCCTATTATAGGTTTTTTGATCGCGATTTGTCATACGTCCTTGAGGATGAGAATAACCCTCCGGGCTGGGGCCCAGTTGAGAATCCCTGGGAGGGAAAAACCACCAGTGCAATGGCACTAAATAATAGGTTCCAGGTTTCTAGAGAGCAATACAGAGTGATCTCCAATCCCGGAATAGATAACTATCCATCGCGAGTGGTCGAAGCAACAAGGTATATGTACCGTACACTGACTGTTTCTATTCGTCCAGTCGCTTCCGAAATACATTGGAAATTGGATACTGCACAGTTCGGTTAGTTTTGAGTATAGTTATATGATTTTTGCGGGCGCCATGAGCATCACCAAATACTCTAGACGACCCGAGTAGTCTTACCTTTCTTATAGCTACCAGTTGGCGGCCGTGGGACCGTGTAGGTCGTACGACCACGGTTGCAGCATCTACCTGGCCAGGCGCCTATGACCTCGCGCTCCTGGTGGTACACCACAGAGTCTGCGTCCCCAATAATACTACCGGAGTCGTCCACACCTCCACCGTTTATGATCATGCTGACGACTGGCTGATATTGATTTAAAGGCCCGGGTCCATAATCTGCAGTAAACCATAGTGATATCCATTGCTCAAGGACAGAGCCATCAACGGTATTATCGGAAGCCTTAGATACCTTTTCTGGGGTTATACTCGCAAGATTGGATTTAAGGCTCTCTTAGAGGGAGTCCATGGCTTAGTTAAGAAGTCGACGGATTTGATATGTCTCGCAGAATATCACTAAATCTATAACGACGTCAGGGTCGATATCTTTTCCTAAAATTAATGGGTGGGTATACAGCCAGAGAAAATATTCATTGAATGTCTCTACCTGAGCTTCTGGGAGGTGTATTGTCTCATCTGATCCAACGAGCACCTTAAATCACTCGCTTTGGACCGCACTATCTAGCGTGAGCAACCGTCCTTCTAGTTAGATAGTCTATTTACTGAATAAATGCAGAACAACGAATAGTGGATGGACACGGCTCAGGAACTGACCCAGGCATAATAGCAGGGAACGGCCGACTCTAATAGTGCAGATATTTGGGTTTGGATTAGCCGTAGGTGCCTGTCTATGCCCCTCCCTTTTAACCATGTGGGGTAATCAAACAATATAAGTAATACTAAGAGCACCACCAACTTGATGGTGGTCACATGAGTCAAGACCCATGGCTAACATGATCAATCACCAAATTCCCAGCAGTTCTCGATTTCTCCAGCTTTCGCACCGCGCTGGAACGATATCTGAAACTATCAAATAAAGGTTCGTATTCAATAAAGTTACAGATCATTTTAGCCGCTAAATATATATATCTATAGTATGGATAGTTCATCGAGAGCCGGCCTTTTATCCTTACCTACTGAACTTCTTCTTCTTATCCTAAGTCACTTCGACTATTCGTCAAAGCTAGCCCTCCAATGGACGTGCAAATCGCTAAACTCAGTTATGAAGGACCATCGGTTTTCCAGAGCGTATACCATGACTGATCTTCTCGAGATAGAGCGGTGGCCATGCTTCTCCATGGGGCAACAAGGAGAAGGCACAAAACAACCAATAGGAGGACTGGACTATTTTGCTTGTCATATCTGTTTCAAAATTCGGTCTGCAGAATACTTTTCCAATGCGATGATGAAGGGCCATCGCGGAAAACTGTCCCCTACTCTGTCTCCAGAGAGAGCGCACCGGTTCTGCATCCCGTGTGGTGTGCGCTTTTACCGTTACCATCCCGGAGTAAGGCTTCAATATGGGGGTGCAACTGGAGGTGATGGAGTCGTTTGCTATAAATGTCATCGTTTCAAAAAGGTGGTGGGGCTGGTTGGATTCAAGGAAAGAACTTGTGGTGCTTGCTTGCGATCGCAAAGCCTCTCATTTAACGGGGACGAAGAAGGCACGCCATATTGTTGATGATATCGTCGAAAACCCTGAAGACAGCTGATAGCCAAAATAATCACGCAACCTTATTCGTTGGCATACCGCTTGCTCAAGCTACTATAGACTGCGAGCACAGCCAAGCCAATGACCGGCTTGGGTGACCTACCCAACTCAGCATAATACAATTATGTGCGTACAGGTAAACCTGCTGTCGGCCTTGCCTCCAAGAGCGAGAGTGGGGTCTAATGTATTTTGATGAGAGATAGGCCATCATGGACGGAGACAGGCGTGAAGCGGTAGAGTAACCATGAGCATAAAAATTGATTTTAATAATAGTGCAGATGAAGCGGAAGTTGGTGGAGGGCGGAGATAGTCTCAGAAACCAGACATAATAGTGGCATATGCCAGCACGGGCGTGGGAGTATTGACTCTTGATATGTGCATTAATGTGGTTCATATGTAATCCCTATAAACTTATAAATGCCAGAATGGGTCGATGGAGACCCGTCAGCCAGCCCCTCCGACCGCGACGGCTTGAAACCTCGTCGCCTTGCTAACCTTTGCCTACCTCTCGGGAATATCAATATCCCTGTATAGTTAGGTATCTTACAGCTATATTTGTGACGATGAGAATGTGACGTTTATACATAACCTCTCCTGGATAGCTAGCCCGGTTTAAGTCCTTTGAGTGCGTTATGAAACAAGACAATAGCATCATGATTGAATTCTGTGGCTTGCAGTTGAGCACTGCTTGGGAAACTAACAATGATGAAAGATATGGTATCATCGAGAGTTCGATGGTGTAGAGAACAACCCCCAATTTTCTATGTCGTCTTCCGGAACTCTGATCCAACTGCTGGGTCCAAGTTCTTCTTGTGCTCTGTTATTAAACTGCTCTTGGGATTCAACTTGGAGTAGAGATCGTCTGGCAACAATTTCCTGCTTTCTGTTTTCCGAACCATTAACTTATCTCCCTGGTAACCATATTTAACAATTGCATTCCCACCACATCTTTTCGCCGCATTGATAATTCTCCTTATCAGTGCAGCTAACATCTTGAGGTCTTCCTGGTGCTCATTTTCCCATCTTCTGATCTCAAGCGTGACATTTTCAACCTTTGGTGGCTGAAACAAGCCATTCCTGTGGTAGGCACGCACGAGATTAGGGGTTTGAGATACCCATAGCTGTGGCAGGACTTCCTGAATAGCGATTGGCTTATGAAAGACCCGTGTTTTGATTTCAAGTGTCGACTCAATTGGTACGCCTTGGCCTTCTTCGTTTACCCTCAATTTGGACTTGGTAGAAGCGGCATGAGGAAGGCTGTTAGCCGAGTGAAGTGACAACGACTCTATCATACTGGATAAGGTGTCGCTCTCTGCATCCTTGTTCTGAGCCTGTGCTTTGGGTGGTATGTCGATGTATCCGTCTGTTTCATAACGCAGGAGGAATTTCAAACCACTGAATCGGTATGAGATAACCCTGTGATGTCCAGTGCTGCCATCTACCTGGCTAGTGGTATATGTTTTCTCAAATTCATGACCGAATCCCACGAATTCATGTGGTCCGATGAACCTTTGCGTCTCGGTCTCTGCACGGCAGAAGATGGCAGTGTTGTTAGCAACCTCAACATTGATAGTGAAAGGTTCGAGCCTATGCTCAGTTAAATATGGATTGACGAATGCGAGGAGTTTTCGAATGTTGTTTCGGTCAGTCACAAGGTCAATCGAACAAATGTCGAATGAAGGATTTGATATGTACAATGCACGAAAGAGGGGTTCAAGTGGACATTCGGGATAGCGAGCGGCATTCTGAGCTATGTATATGTGGCCAGAATCCTTTGGTACCTTTTGGGGAGGCTTGGGTGGAGTCCAGAGTGGGGGTGTTCCTGGGACGGCAATGGTGGGGACGGATGCATCAATCCAGTTATAAGACGACAGATGCCTGACATCAGTGATCGATGCTGCAGCCATCTCAAGGATTTTGATATCTGAACGAGAGATCTCCTCCACTCTAATGGAATCCATTATAACGGAGATTGTGTGGAGGCGGCACTATTAGAATGGGATGAGAACGAAATATTCCACACGGTAAGAGGGCTACTATGTAAAGAAGTAGGTTCCGTGGGAAGGTCGCACGCGATATATATCTGCCTGGACCTCTTTGTTCTCTTTCTCTTTATTCACATTTTGCTCGTATTACCGTGAGGTAGTTGATTCACTGGCTATGAATAGAATGCACTTTTTCTTGGATAGTGGTCAAATATTTTGTGTGAATACTTTGGTCGATAAACATTAGAATTGGCCAGCAATGTGAAGTATGTCAATCTTGCTTTGAGCCAGTTCTTTAACTATCCTTGTTAAGGATAGTTAGCTCAGCTATGTCAGTCAAATAAGAAGCCCTCACGGTTAGTTGCGTTATTAATTGTGAGAGCCTATGGGGGCCTGAAGGCAGCAACCACGTGACCTGACCACAACACCAAGGAATCTCTGTAAAGTAGATTTAGACCTTAAGACAATCAATCCCACACACGTGAGCTACACCAGCTCTATCATTAATTATTGCCGCTCCTAGGTTGAGTTACCGGACAGTCAATGCCCTGATCAGCAAGCACCCGACGCTAGTGCGCTGAATGGGGAGGCGCGGAAGATTCCTGTGGCCCAACTGATGTTTTACCTTCCCTAGATTATTTACCGCCTTCCCAGGATTCAATACTTTATTTTTACATCGTTTGGGCTCTATCTAAAATAGCTAGTCGTAGAGAGAATTCATGCTATTGATACTCTATTAGACCATGAAGGAAGATCTAGAACAGAGGGATGCTGCTAGGCTGATTTAGCCCGTCTCTGTAACTAGTGGCATAGTACAGTGTTCATTGCTATAGAGCCTTGACCCCAAGTAATTCATGGGATAGTTATAAATCTCAATACGTTTCTATCCCCAACATGCGGTCACTTCCGTCAGAAACCCCTGCTGGATATATTCCAGAGACTTGACCAGCCGTCTCTTTTTCAACCATGTCTCGTTTCGAAATCTCACCACACTATCGCTCAACCGCTGCTTTATCAACAATTCGCATGCGGGTCGGTATCAAAGGAAGCCTTGAAACGCCTGGATTGCTTTTTACAGAAAAGTCAGACCATTTTCTTGCCAGCCAGGTCAAATAAATAGAATCCCGAGGGTTGAGGAGTATGACACTATAGTCCTTCAAAACCTGTTCGGTATCCTGATCTAGCACACCATTCTTCAGTATCTCATAGTCCCGGGAGAGCAAAGTTTACCACCATTCTTAAACAGCTTACTAAAAGAGAAAGAAGAGAAGATCCTTTGTCAATTGTAGTATGAATCCTCTTTTCACAATGAGGAAGTTCTTTTACAGTCATGGAGCTTTTTATTTCGACTTCCACAACTATCAAGTCTTATCATCAGGGCGTGCGGATACCATGAGACTAATTTAGATTCCTCCTTTCATCGCAGTACAGTAAGAGCCTTAGGGGTATTTTTGTTGATGGAGGCTGGATAGGCTGCACTGGGATTTCTCGCCTACTTGAGAGCTGTGAAAGACTGGAATCATAATACTATACCCGACTATACAATTTCCGTCCTGACGATGATTTGGATCCTGCACCAATAATACGGGCTCTTCCATGGCATAAGAAGAGCCTTAAGAAGCTTGGCATTGAAACTTTTTCATGAAATATTGAATTAGACTTTATCCCAACCCGGCCGATTGAATATTTAGCGGAGCTAGAATATGTTGAAACGCTACACAGCAACCAAGCCTGCCTCCCGTTGGCACCGTTATTACCTTTGTCACTAAGAACACGCTATCGCGATCTATTAGAGACCTAGCTACTTCACAACATCGGCCTCGCTAGTGGTACTTCGCTAAAGCTACTGTCATCAGTTATAGTGAATTTTCCATCCATGGATCTAGAGGGCGTGCCTAATGATATAAGCAGTCCATTTGACCGCAGGGTTTCTTTTTTGTGTGATCGGTATTCTTGGCGGATTGACGCATGTGCTGATTGATCATGGCAAGGAGTATAGTGTTGGTGGATGTTTTCTTATTAAAGTAATGGATTTATTTAGCTGTATCTGAACATTTTCAACCGGAGCATCCGATATATTCTATGAAGCCTATCCTCCTGGGGTTTTGGGATATTATCTGGTTATTGTGGGTCTTTCTTGGTTATTGATACTAATTCGAAGTCACGGCCACTTCTACAGTAATTTTAAATTCTCCTGCATGACTGTAAGTCTCATACGTCGGTATAAGCTAGTCGTGGTCTGACGGTCATTTACAGCGTACTCTATCCATCGAATTATCAAGCACTCAGCTCATAGAACTTACACCACCTCCAGAAGTACCACCCGAATGTCATCGATGCTACAGTTTAGGGGTCTGAGACGTTAGACGATCATCAAATCGTAAGGGAAACGCAGGGCCTCCATACTACAAGTGCATCCGATGCAGGAAGTTCCTTTATTTTGCTGATGACCGTGGTAATGATCCGTCCAATCCGCGGTGCTATTGCGGGTTTTCAAGCAAACGACAAGTCTCTGGTCGTAACAAGGCAGTGGCAAGAGGCTTGCACTTTGTCTGTCCGAAGGGAGGCGGCATCTGATTCCAACTCCAACTGTAGAATCCCGTACGCTTGAACCTTTATAGGATGCTCCCACTTACTCGTCCGAACAATCTGTCTCAATATTGGGTGGGCCTATTTTACCTTTGTCCGGAATCATCCAATCACTTATATGGGTTTTCTTATGTCCCAGCAGCTACTTTCGGGTGGCCTGTGTGATGACTGCTCATTCATAGATAGCTATTCCAGGATAGACAGCTAGATATGGTAGCATTTCCAACTAAATTCAACTATGAGAGGGGAAACACTATCCTATAAGAAGGATTGTTGTGGGAAGTGGCCTGCCTAACCACGTGACATACAGGTCATCACAGCCTGGTCAGGAAAGAACAGAAAGAATCTATACTGAGACTAGTAGGTAGATTTGCCCCCTGATTTTCCACGCAGCGGTTGATTTTCGAGAACCAAGAAAAGGTGTAAATGCTATCTCTACTCAACCACATCTCGTTATAAATCGCATAAATTGCCACGCAACTGTCTATGGACTGGGATATCTACTATCCTGGTCCCACATCCTGTATAAGTTATAGTTTGTTAGATTAAATAATCGATGTACTTCTGTATACTCTCCATATTAAATCTGTGGAGATACCTGTAGCTAGTCGGCAGAGTGATAGATATCTTCCAGTCAGGATTCTAAGTATCAAGTATTTTACGCAGCCCTGTAGATAATATTGTAAAGTCTACAGTATTCTTTTCTATCTCCCCGAGGTCTGATATAGAGGGATACTTCCAATTGACGTCAATACTGTCGAAATAGCAGTCCTGCAGGAATTTTACAATGGAGTTGATAACCTTCTACCGGTGTTGAAATCAAGCCACTGGGTAAAAATTCATATTATTGATGATGTATTTTTCTTTTCAGAATATGTTCGAGTCTACTTACTCTGTGTTTACAATGTTTGACTTGGAGAAAAGGATGTATAATCTACAGTATCTCTATATTAATTGATAAGAGTATATTCGTCCTCAAAGTTCACGAACATCGTACTAAATTATAAAGTCAAAAAACAACAAGGGCTGCTAGTAGATAGCCGAGAATAATAGTTGGCGCAGGGACTCGCCGTACGTGTAGACGTCCGTATCAGGTACGCCCAGGAGATCCGCATTCTGTCAGCTTTGATATGGTTTACAAGATTATTCGACTATTCCGCGCTTACCATTGTATACGAATCTATCGAAGGCTATTGTCAACACGGAACCGGTAGTACTTCGCTTTCGGCTCTGCTTGGCCCTGCTGCTGATGATCGGAATTATTAAATAGATTCGTTTTGTTCAAGCGGTAACAAATGCCACCGTACCACAAGCCTAATAATGTATTTGCAACCTACCAGAATGATTTTTTAACCGTAGGCTATGTACAATTATCTACTACCTGACTGACAACCCGGATTGATTTTCTGTGAGCACGACTGGTGAACTTCAAGAAAAATCTTTTGATGAATACTGACTCGTAATAAAACGAGTTAAATCGGAACAAGATTATACGAGGGTACCCTATCAATTCCTCTTGCTGTGTAGGCCGAGTCGTGGGTGGTCGAAGCGTTTGCGATTCCAGCCGCAGAGGTCGCAGTGCTTGCATTTGCCCCAGCATTTCGCCCTTCCCTACGGGTGAGGAGGAATATCATATCATATATTGGGACACCTCTAGCGCCTGAAACTTTTTAGAGCCCTTTTTTTTATTAAATTACTAAGTAATATCTACCAGTACTCTAAATTCGCAACTGGATATGTTTACTCTAGTATCATCATAAGCATGAAACCAAGAATACAGAGATAATTATTAATAGAGATATTGCTGAACACATAGGCATAAATAAATAGTAAAATTATAACTGCGTAATGATTTTGTTATTAGAGTCCCTCACCAGAGTCTAGGCAAGTATATTATTTGGATTATACATGATACTAAAATATCTTAAATCTTATAATCTCTAACTAGTATCTTGGTGTTATTTGGTAGTAAGTTAAGGCAAGTGTAACCGCCACGTGACGTCATGCAAATACATTGAATTTTGAGCGAGCTGACAAATGTAATATTTTGGGGAAGTATATAACTAGGTATCCTGAGAATAGTATCCTGAGAATAGCCTTCATTTTGAACCCTTTCCTCTTATTGTTCAGCTACATCATGGTGGACGAGTCCAATAGCGCCATCGTTGTGCGTGAAGCCAACGGGCAGCGCCCGACGCTGTCACAAGAGAATATTTCCATTCCTTCTCCTACAGCAAACCAGGTCCTCGTGAAGCTATCGCACGCGGCGCAGAACCCAACGGATAGTACGTTCCTGGATCGAGCATCATGATGGGATATTGACCTTAGCTCTGTCTTGACAGTACAAGCCTATGACAGTAACGCCTTTGGTGATGGGGCCGTCCTAGGCTGCGATTTTGTGGGAGAAGTCGTCGAGTTGGGCAGCCGGGTCACGCGCCTCGCCAAGGGCGATATTGTAGCTGGCTTAGTTTGGGGAGGTGAGTGCCGAAAAATTCTAAGACTCGGTGGTTCTCATCCAGGGCCACGATTCTGTGACTTTCTATGCTCACGGACTGGTATACGTAGGTGAAATTCCCGGTTTGGGCGCATACAGTCAGTATTGCGTGGCAGATGAACGGATATCCTTTCGCCTACCTCATTCAATCTCGCGCGAGCAGGCTAGCACGGTTCCATTGGCCGCCACTACTGCATGGCTTGCGTTGTTTTCTAAGGACTGTCTCGGCATTGATAGGGCTCAAGCTAATGGTACCAGCATTCTGATCTGGGGCGGTAGCTGTAAGCTTTCTCTGAGACTTCCATACTTAGTTGTTATTCGCTGACGGCTCATAGCAAGCGTGGGCCAGTATGCTATCCAGCTCGCCACAATATATGGTATGAACGTAGTCACGACCTGCAATCCAAAGCATTTTGGCCTTGCCCGTTCGTACGGCGCCAAGTATGTTTTTGACTACAAGGATCACCAAGTAGTCCAGAGGATCCAAGAACTGAAGCTAGGTATCCAACATGTTTTTGACACGATCGGGAATTCCACTTCATCAGCTGCCGCCTCCCGTGTCTTTTCCACGGGATCCAGTCATCTCTGCACTGTACGCCCGGGCAAGTCCAATACTGAAGACGTTTCTTCCGACACCAAGGTTACAGACGTGCTGGTGTGGACTGCCTTCTTGAAAGACCATAGCTACGGCGACTTCAAGTGGACCGTGAGTACATTGACAACACCCGCATTTCTCTATGAAGCTGCCTGTATACATAAATATACATTCTTCGTCTTCTCCCTCTCCGTCTCTCTCCTTTTACATTGGGTCAGCTCTTTAGTAACCTGAATAATACAGGCTTCCAAAGACGATCACGATCTTGCAAGTGATCTTTTCGAGAAACTCCCCGAATGGTTGGAAAATAAAACCGTCAAGCCAAACCAGCCAAGAATCTTGAAAGGACTGCACAGCGTGCTTGAGGGATTCCAGGAATACAGAGAAGGGAAGGTTTCGGCCTACAAGATTGTCTACGAACTATGAGATAGAGAAGATATTCTTCGACATTAACTCGACTTGATGAGGTATCGTTAGGTGAAGATGTTTATCAAAGGTATATTAGACCCTGACAACCAGATGTACTATTTCCTATCTTCGTATTTAGAAGTGCCCTTAAGACTTGGACTATTACTTCAGCTTACGCTAAACCCGGAAAGTGAGTATTGTAAGTGCTGGGTCTCATAGATATACAAACAGAGATATTTAAGTCACTCTCATACTTGAAACCTATGTTTATCGTGTCTTCCCTCAAAGAACGTGCGCTACTTTTCATCGACGAAAACTCGGACGTCTTTCCCATGCTTAACGTCTTGCCACAGACAGGCAATAGCAAGAAAACTACCATCAATGCTCATGCCCCGTAAAGAAAACGGGTGCTTCCACCCTAAGCTGATTTTGAACAGCCCCCGCATCTTCTGATGAGTCTGAGGCTTTATGCTCACCCTCAGAGTACTCAAGAGGCAAGTCGAAGCATCCGACTATAATCGGTGAGAATCACGTAACCACTCCAAACCCCACTTTTAACCAACAGCGCGTTTCTATGCATGAGAAATTTTGTTCTGAGGAAAGAAGAAGCGAATCCACCATTGAGAGGTTAAGGGGCACCTCCAATGGAAGCGGAGTGCGGCGTCCAAAATTGCACCCTCCACCTGGTCATGCGGAGTACTTAGAGCCACGTACATATACTGACTTAATCATGAGCCATCTTTACCTCCTTAGCTAAGACTTTCTACGTTCACTTATAGTGCTGCCTTGCCCTTACCCAAAACCCCAAAGACCCCGCAACTCCGAGGCCCGGTCGGAGGTTTTCCAACCTGTCTCTCGCTCAATGCGAGCCAGTTGCTTAAGAAGAGCGATCTTTTCAGAGGCATACTCCTCAGCATCATCCATGGTCATTAGAGGGGCCTGTCGGCTCCTCGGGGTTCCCGGGGAGCTCGCCCACCGGGTTTGTCCACATAAAGAGACCACCGTCTGATCTGCAAAGACAGTACCGGCCACATAAAGTGGTTGCAATTGGTTTACCCAATTCGCACTGTCTCGCAGTAGACCGAATCAGCTCCTGTCTGCTTATTGAAACAGAAAAGAACATACTGTGAAAAATTGGAGGCGGATATTCCACCTAGTTCTCGAGCATGCCAAACAGGATCCTAGAAATAGAAGCGTGACATTAGCTATCAGACGACTTTACAATCGCATAGGTGAGAATGCAATGTTTTTCGAACCGAACACACCAGATAGCGAGAAAGTCTCACCGTTTCAGAGTCTGACACATGGGCTCTTGTCCCGTGGTAGCCAGTTTGAAGGAGCAAGATCGAGCCCGTATGATAGAACGTATTACCACAAACTATCCACATTGTAAGCGTGTTGGGAACAGAACAAAGCGGAAAACCAACATACTGGACGACGGCCGAGAAAATACCACACTGGGGAAAGGGTTCGAGCCCGTTGAGCTTTCTCTGAGTAGAGGGCAAACCTCTTTGGGACGGAGACGTCGCCACGCTTGGAGTTCGTCCCACAGCTTCTGAACACAAGAAGAATAGGCAATATCGACTCCCTTGCCATCAGGTTTGGCGTCAGCTAATAGGTTCACAATCTGAGCAAAAACGAGGATTGCCAGATTGCAATAGTCATCGACGTTGCCTTTGGCTGCTGCCGATTGAATAGAGCTATCATTGACCCACGAGTCGGTCGGGATGAGAGTCTTTTTGCAGCTGATGAACGCAGCCCACACATCTGTGCGGAAGAGCGATTGGGTTAGATAGACGGTCTGAGGTTGCTATCCCAGTCACATACCGATTCGGGCGAATGCCCAAAAGCAGGTCTTGACAATACCATTGCATGAACCGTTCCATTTGCGAGTATGCAACAAACTAGCACAGCCCTAACGATAGCCGCTACGCGGTTAACCTGAGCATATAGAATTTCTGAGAAAACAGGGAACATGGGAAGGATACAAACCTTCAAGTGGCGACGCCACTCCCAAACACAAGACGCCATCATCTCATAGACGCAGAGAAGAGTGCAGGTTGCTAATACCGGTGCGCCCGCTTCACCTGGCTCCTGGCGGAGTAATAGCTGAATGGTGTACTGGTAGAGCTCTAGGGTCACCGATCGTTGGTGGCCCTGGGCGGCGTCCCGTTGTCGCGAAGCTAAAGCAAGAGCCGATGCAAAGAACGACTTGGAAGCTAGCAACTGGTGGACACTTTTTGAGGTAAAATGCATCTCTGAATCCGTGGTCTCGCACCAGGTCCCAGTCTCATATAGATACAACGAGATCAAAGAGGCACTTTCCACATTTGTCACAGGGATTGAGGGCTCAGGCAACGGCGACGTATTTCGGGATATAGCCTGTCCCAAAGAAAATGGCAGTATAGATGAGCCTGGACTCGTTGTCAGCTGTGACAGTCCGGCTCCCTCATGAATCTCACCGAACCGCCTAGGCTGAGCGGGCGACAGTAAGCTTTCAATGGTGATCTCACTTTCTAGAGTATGATTTGGACCTGTGTCTGTCCTGACAGAGTCATATGTAATAAAATCTGGTGGGTGGTGCACATTTTCTGTCCGGGGGAGAGTCGCAGTAGGCAGGTGATTATCATCCCGGTCGGCTTCCGAGTCGCTCGACGAGGATGTATCGCGAGATATCTGATAGTGTCTGATTACTTCATCCGTATCATCTATGAACTAGGTAGAATTACTCGTTAGAGTCATGTACTCTCGACAGCGTGAGAGTAGATAGATGCTGCTTAGCCTTGCGGAAGATATGGTCCGGTAATAGGCCCATACGTAGTAACCCAAAGGTACTGTAGCGATATAATGATGGGACGCAAATGGATCTTTCTCCAGAATGTCGAGAGAGTGACGGACAACTCACAATAGGTGTGGAAGGCTCTAGGCGAGACTGCGGAAGGCCGTTCTCAATGTCGCCCGGGGCATTCTGCCGTGCTTTCTCGATAGCTAGTAACGTAGCCTCGTCCGGGCTCGACAGGCGAAGGCTGCGGTTTGGATGGAAAGAAGCCTTCAGGCCCCATTGACAGGCGTAACCGCGCGCTTCACAGTTTCGGCATCGGGGCCGCCTTTCATCACCTGGAAGAAATATATTAGATGATTTGCCATGAAGCGCAGCAATTCAAGTGGCTGATACATTTCCTGCGGCGGCTGCGACAAGGCAGACTGCTGATAGCGTCAGCTCGCCACCGCTGACTTGCATTGTGGAAGGCAGTTTACCATCCCGAACGCGTTCTGGTTCGTGTGGAGCACATTAGTGGTCTGCTCATTCGCTTAACTATTGTTGCTATAATCAGCTGGAAGGATCAATATCTCGCAGAAGCAATGCAGGCATAATGACACAGAAAGCGGTTGGAATTGCCTGCTTTTGCTGTCTCCGATGGTGGAACGTAAGTGGGCCCGACTCGTTTATGGAACATCGCTCTGACTCGCCCAATCTGAGTTTTGCAATTCTCGGCACCGTGAGGGTCCTTCGGTCGGTGCAAGCGCAGCCGCCATGGAGCGTCGGGACATGAGTAGTCTTCGCGATGCAGGGAGGTTTATCCCTTTCATCAGCCATGGAGTGGGGTTCGGAGTCAGGGAAGGAATAACCATTTCTTCGAAAAGAGGAATAGGAATAGGCGGCAAACCCTAGAACTACAAAATAATTCTCTCGCTACTCTTCGTTTTCTTGCTCTTGGGGATTAATCATCATTGTCCCGGCGATTATCGGTTGGCATAAGAGTCCGTGCAAAGAAGGTATAGCAATTTTAGGATGTACATGGCCTCGGATGTTCCTCCAAGTGTCGCAGTGTGGATCAAAGACAATATGAATTGCACAAGAGAGTAGTGTCTTGTTTACAGTGGCTATGATAATGATTACAAAGCTCGCATATTGTCGTACGAGTTATGCTTCTATCCAGTAACTGACTCAGACAATCATATAATAGTTACGTGACGAAGGATAGCGTTATGTAACCATGAAACTATTTATAAGCCATATCACAAAGATTCGATTCTGATGGGCAAATAGATGGCTTTAGGCGATCCTGAGCTTACAGACGCGCACCGCAGGTGCCGTTGGAGTAGACAGCTATCAATGGATAGAAGAAAGTGAGGCAAGCCAGCCCTTTAGCTAAGATACATTGTCTCCGCTTTCGAGCCCGAGTTATCACCCACCAACTCTTCATCCTCGCGAAAGATGAAATGGAGGTTTAGAGTTTAGAGAAGAAGAAAAGTTGACGGTGAGAGCGGCTGAGAACTGGCTATTGTAGAACTATAGAAAGCATTCAAAATGTAGATGACTGCTCACTTTATGTTAATACTTCGTTAAATTGGTAACCTCCGCCGCGTCCTGTACACTTCTTTGATCAATTATTTAGTCTTGCCATCCCAGCTTCCAGGGATACTGTATCACCGTGATATATTTGACTTCTCTCAAAATCAATCAGCCTCGCTATGTCGTTTGAACAATAAAAAGTTATATCTGCTGACGCCGCTATAGTATCTACCGATAGCATGGAGTTGCTTGAGAACAGACTATTGGTATAGGTTCCGATAAAGTAGATAACCGCTGTCTCGAGTAAGCCACTTTAAATATAGCTACAGTGATTTATTTCACTCTTCCTAGCTCCAAGAAGCCAGAAGGTTAAGGACTCTAAATATCTTGAACTTCAGATAAAGTTTTATTCCTTATAATTCTGCTTTAAGCTTACTAGTCGTGGGATCCCGATTAATGTGTGCCCAGCTCCAAGCGTCGCCTCTAGGTAAATCCAGTAATGAGTCCAAAGGCATAGATCATGTTGACCTGTTATATATATTACGGGAAATAGTCAAGTATCTAACACGGTCCTGAATCAGTACCCTGTATTCACTATCGTCTTTCAGCAAATAACCATTGAAAGTATAACTGGAGGGCCTGATTGAAGACAGACACTCGCTTTGTCAAACGCAAGAGAGAGCTGAAAGAAAATTAGGAAGAAGAAACAGTGAGAACAGGCCAGATTTGAATAGAAGTTTTTTCATTTCTTTGAGGTTTTTCAAAACAAGGAGAGGATATCCTCCTCCGTGTTGGTAATGTGAATGATCTTAGGGAAAGGCAAAATCTCAGTCGGTTCTACTTGACTGCGAGGGGACCTAAAGGCGGGGAGTGGTTAAATCAACCGATGGCTTTTTGAATATTATTAGCCTGCACTTTGCTTTCTGAAGGTCACTCTCCAATCCATTGATAGATATCCCTGGAGAATCAATTTGGCGGGTCGATTGCCGCCATCTATTTTGGCATAGGCCTAATGTGATTTATACATATGTGTGATTTTTCCTCAACGTCGATTCCTAATCGTTCAAATTTAAGTACTTGTGTAAATCAAATCTGGTGAATTGAAAGCCCATCTTAATTAACTAACTATATAATGATAAAAACTACTTGAAGCGCAGGTTTGATCGAATATTGGGTTTTCCCCAATTTTCCCCATATGCTCCATAGTCAAAGTGTTGTTGACCTCACACTTCCGATGCGGTATAGCGTTTGTGCATATGAAATAGTTCTAATAACTAAAATAGTCTTAGAAGATTATTCTGACCATTTTTTGATTAATCCATGACTTGCCGGGAAATGTATAACTATGATCACTAGGCACACGATATAGATAAGCCCGGTCAATCACATCCCATAGATGTGAATGTATCAGATGCCTTCGTGAAGACCTCGTACCGACGTTACAACCCATTCCTTTACATCTCTTTTCTCATAATTTCGCTAGCTATGGAGCCTCGGGCCGGAGTGATATCCACCTTCTGACCCCTATCGATTACGGCAATTTCTTTAGAACATGACGCAAGGAACGGCATCCGGGCGCAGGTTCCTTAGCACCTCTTAATGTTGCGGTCCAATTACTGCTTTCGGTAGTGTAAAGGCTGATGGCTATGTCCAGTTTTCAGTCGATGCTTTCACTTAAAAGAGATTCAGAGGCCTCTTATGCTTCAATTCCCCACGAATGTTGTGTCCGCTTTCAGCAAGGGACAGTAAATTTTATATGAAGAAATTGAATAATATACACGTGTGATGTAATGTAGAGGTGTATGTACATATGCTCCATGCTTCAACAAGTGGGACAAAGTCAATAAGCGGCCAATAACAGTTGACAAGTCTAAATTCATTATGCCACACCCACCAAGGTCGCTCGATCTTCCACAAGGGCTAGATCCACATCATCATTGCTGTAACCCCATTTCAAGCAACGGCTGCAGCCAAAGCCATAGCCACACCCCCGGCAGTCAGATAGGCATGTCTTGTTGGCAGAGCCACGGCCGCGTTCTCCGTATGTGAGGCATTCGCACCACCAGACGACGAAATAGCCCCAGTTGACGAAGCACTGACAGCAGCAGTAACACTAGCCTTAGTCGAAGCTGGAGTCGAGCTCGTGACAGCGGCATCCGTCGCTGTGATAGTGACCACAGTCGAGGTAATAGGCGACACATCGGTAGCAATAGATTCGCTCTTGGTCACTGACCCCGAAAGGTAATCAACAGTCTCGTAACATGTAGCACTTTTGGAGCCAAGATTACATCTCAGCATAGCCGCGCTATATTGTTAAATAACGTTAGTTTCTCTTATTGGTTGAGTTGCAGAAGAGAGGGCATAGCTTACTCTTGATAATTAATCTGCAGGGAGCTTGGGCCTTGGATAAATGTCATATCGCAGGTGTCAAGGATTGAGTTATCATCGGAAGCAGGGATCGCGGTAGGACTAGGCGCAAATGTGGCATTGGAGGGACAGTTGAATACGTATGATGTCGTGGAGCCATTCTAAGTTTGTATCTTATTAGTACTACATGAGCCGAGACTATGGTTTATGGGTAGCTCATACGATGCCAACAACTTTGCCTGAAAGGTTCTCGATAGTAGAATTATCGTCGCTGTCACTGGGCATGTAAAGCGTGACAATACCGTTAGCCACTACAGACGTAGCTGCTGCAAGTAGGGCGAGGCAAGAGAAAGGAAAGCGCATATTTGCTGGGAATTCAGTATTCGTTGGGGTGTTGATGTTATTATATTGTTGAATGGATGGGATGAAATGGTCGATTCAACACTTTGGAAAAAGAGAGGTTTATATACATAAACTCTCGGTAATTGTCGGTCTCCAGATGTGGCTGAGCTGTGAATATAGTATAGCACTAAAGATGCTGTTCGATCTGTTGGCAGTTCTTGGCCAACACGCAAGTAAGAGTCCTTTAGTAAGGCTTCTGTTTTGGCCCTCAAGATCGTATATCCATATTTGGTGCACTAAAGCAGACCTAGACGAAACAGCCAATCGCGTTCTAGGGTTGGCCTGTAGTTGAGGCTAAGCTTGGCATACGGATATTAGAGACCCACCTTGGCTAATGGGCATATTTAGCCTTACCAAGTCTTGTCGGGTAGTTGTTATTAATGGGCTTCCTGGGAGCTCAACTAGAGTTCGGAGATATCCGATTTTTTAGACCTCATGGCTGCAGTACTCTTGACTACACAGTGCTGGCACTAGCTGAGGCAGAATATGAGAGTATGGAGTAAGCACTAGCTCTGTACTAATTACGGTAGGATTGTCTACTAACAGGGACCGCTTGTAAAGTAGGTGTTATGATTGGTATAGAACTTTTTTCAGCTAGTCCACATCTTGCCGATATCTGTGTCGGATAATCCATGAGTGGCTATGCTGTGAACAGCCACGAGCTCTTGCGCAGTAAAAAGCGTCGGTTTAACCATGCCGTTATCTCCTGTATGTAGGGTTCCAATAATAGACAGCGTACAACTGTTGTTAAAGAAGCTAAGCGCTTCTCATTCCTAACCAAAGAGCAAACGTTTGTTGTTCTAAACCCCGGGCATGATCCAGGGCTGTCTATTTGCTATATCCTGACTTATGAATGACATTGTAGTGTACGGTGAGATAAAGAGATAGAAAGCTTGTTTTGTAGTTGAATATAGGACTATAAAGGATCTTCCCTGATAAAACAAATAAGGAAACGTTTATCTTGCTCAGTATGATGCCTTGGATGCCTATAACTGGTGCCTATGTCTGGTGAGCATTTGAGATCTTCAATATTACCCATCGGTAACCAGAGTGCAGAGTCTTGGAACTAACATTGATAGACTTAGTATCGTTTACACGGATTGCTTGGTTTTACTTCCATAATAGGTGCACCAATATTCCAAGTACCCCTTGTCGGCTTTTTAATGCCATCATTATAACAATTATTATTATTTAATAAATAAATGGACCTGCTGTACTGTTCCTTGTTGTACTTGTATATGGCTGTAAGGTGATTTACGGGGAGATTCCCGGTTTCGGCTGAGTCAAAAGCTCCAGGAAGAAGGCTGGGCAGAAGTTTCCAATAGTTCGGAGTCAGGCATATCCAACAAGAAGTTTGATATTCTGATCTTTTTGATTTGGCCGAGTGGTTAACAGAACCTCGTGTTTTCAACCACCTAGAACCATGCCCGAACGTCGAGCCCTGGGAACCTTAAACCCTGATATTAAGTGTAATACTGGGCTGAAGCCAGCTGAAAGAGGTCTCACACAGGGGGCTTGTTTACACTGCACAGAAAAAAAAGTTCACTTTCGACCAGACAAAACTCTTTGAATCGCAACATCGTGGGGTTTAGCTTGAGCCCACTTGACAGAGCTAACATGTGCCAGTCTCTTTCCAACAATGGGAAGAGCGCGCCAGAAAAGAGCTTTGACCACTTCTCTTTTGTATCGTAGAGCAAGGTCCTCGCTGGACCATAGCTTGTTGCTGTACTCTAATAATGGCAAACGGAAGATAAAATCGTGCAGATCTTCCACGTTGTGTTTTCGCTTCCCCTTGTAGCTTAAGCATATTACCACGTCGTGTATTTTGACGTGCGTAAGGGCCATGTACTTGCTAGCTCGAAACATCATTTCCGATAATTCATCTTTGTGGGTGCCAGTGCCGGATACTTTATCCTTCTGGGAATTACTGCACTGGGTTGACCCCGTGGCCTCCTTTGACGCAGTTTCCTTCGGATCAGTCTTATCAGTGTGTGCCGATGGTCGCAATTGAGGCCCACCAAAGGGCGTTTGCTTGTTTCCGGAATTATGCGTCAATATTAACTTTGCTTCGTACGATCCATCGTACACTTCCAGGGGCTGATCATTATTTTCGAGGGATGTTACCGGGGAGTCATTGCTAAGTTCTTGGGCAGACTCGGCCTTCGTAGGCAGCGAAAGGGTAGGAGAGAGCCTCGATTGAACACTATCGAGACCACTGGGGGTTGTTTTGCGAATATCTGTTGCTGTCCTGCGGCTTGTTAGGCATCTTGCCATCAAACCTTCGTGATCGCCCCCCCCGCCATCAGGATTGTCGAGAAGGCTTAGCTCCGTCGTTGTCGAAGGTGAGATATCACCAGTGCCAAGCGGATTAGAATCAGACCCAGGGAATATGTATTTGAAGATCATCTGACCTAGCTTGCGTTCCAATTGTACCTTCAGGCCGGTGGGCAGCACTTCAAACTCTTCTATGACCGCAATACCAGCGACAGGTTGTAATTCACGCCACCTGACCCGAAGAAATGGTTTGTCCGAGGATTGGGTTACCTCTGGATATGGAGCGAGTATTTGCCCATATCTTGCATCTGGGAGAAGATTCAGTCCATTTACGCGGTCAAGAATTATGGCGTTTTCGTCGGAGCCATCACTGTAGTCGGTACGACTGTATTGAGCATTGAAGATCTGGAACTCGGCCAAAGAATCCATTCCGCCACCCACTAAGTGCCAAACAGCTTCTTTCGCTGATAGGGTCCAGTGCAAGAGGGCAGAACGGTTTGACATGGGTGACTTCTTTCGTTTCTGGGCGGTATGAATCGCTTCCATCATGAAGTGTAGCTCCTCATGGCATCTGAACAGGTCGCATTCGAGCTTCCAACATACCTCTCTGACTCGATTACCTAATGCAAGGTCCTGTACTTGGAGACTCGATTTCACTTCTTGTAGCTGCCGGATGCGGACTTGTAGCCTGGAGAGCTTATCTGCAGCGCTTTGTAAGTCGCTGAAGTCAAAAGCGATCATCATTTTTTCTAGGCGTTCATCGTGCGCTCGGCTTAGTGGTTCACTGTATAGCAGGAGGTCGACAAGGACGGTATACAATGTAGAATACTCTGTCGAATCACACGTGGCATGAAACTGAGGGAAATAGACCGTTATCTTGTCCAGCTGAGAATCAGCCCACTTGGGACTTTGCTCACTCTGGTCGGTTTTGGCGTTTCCGCTGTCTTTGAGAGAATAAGTGCTATTTTTTATGTACTGTAGATGGGCGGATGCCCTTTCAAGCACCCGGGAGAAAATGGCCGAGTTAATATCAGAATCAAGGTTTGCCTCAAGACTCAGCCATGGCGGCCAAGCTGACCCTGACGGATTCCCGTACGTGCTACCAGAATAAAGAGGCAGATATGTCATTAAATTCTTCTTCGTCGCAACGAAAAATTGCCCCCCCTTCATGTCGAGGGTGAAGCGCCGTTGCACTAAACCACTGACATCGTCCGAGCCATGCGCTCTGTCGAGTACCGAAATCACCTTCAGGTCCATATTTTGAGCGGCTAGAAGGACGGTCGACTTCGGGTTTTTCTTACTCAGCAGCTGAATCTGGGGACGGAAAAACTGCAAATGGTAGGAGTGATGCGATAGGAATTCGGGTGAGTCATCACGCGAGTTGCTGGACACTGGCAAATCCTGATTGTTTGAAGGAGACGACGGGGCATCCTCGGGAGGGACGTAGGGTGCAGTAGCCTTGCTCAAGGACTGGTCAATTGGGAATTCCTGGCTCTGTTCGTTGCCATTGCTGGCTTCGGTCCTGCTCGCGGTCTGGTTTGAATGCACATTTTGGTTTTGCTCTTCTGCCATTTTATCGATGAATCTGAGAGCCCGCTGAGACATGTAATAGACGAAACCCCGCCGCTGGCTTACTCTGTGAACGTAGTGGTAGACAACATCTCGGGTCCGGTTGGCCCACTTCAGCTGGGGATTGTGCACCATGAAGCGATTATCATAATCGCTGGCAAACTCATCACGGTCTGAGCCGTCGTTTCCGTCACCATTTGATGTATTATTATTAGGTACCGGAGTAAGTCTTGGCTCTTCCCGGGAGGATGGCTGGCTCGTATGCCTGTGTCCATTTCCCTCAGGCTTGCAAGAAGTCTCTTCGTCACTACGGTCTCCCTCCAGATAATGAAGGGTGGATATTAAAGTTCTCTTTCTTCTCATCAGCGCTTCCATTCCACAGTCATTGACATTGCCACGCCTGGATTTGTCCTGGTTTGTGCCATTTATCATGGGATCACTACAATGCTGATTGCAGGTACCGATTTGGCTCTCGACGACAGCCAAACGTTTCTTGACTATTTCGGTTTGGACGAAGCGAGGGTCTGTGATTTTGGACATGGCGCATTCATGAGTTGGCTCTCGGCCAAAGGTGCTATAGCCTGTCTCATCTGCCTTTCTATTGCCATGTTCCGTGTGCCGAGTATAGATTATTCGCGGTGCGTAAGCAAGCGGTAAGATTTCAGTGTGGTGAGGGGTGCCCAGCTGGAGGATCCAGTCAGGCTCTACGAAGTCGTCCACGTCTATCCAATCCAAATTTCTGTCGTGGATCATGAATCTCCGCGGTTTAACGGATTTGGGTGGGGTGCCATATGATGAAAAGCTCTGTTCTTTGGAGTCAGCGTGTTCAGACGTGGCAGCTTGAAAGTGGCTTGAGATAGCTCGGAAGTCTGCACACTGTAAGTCAATCTCCGCCTCATGAAATCGCATGGTGGTGGTCGTTGTTGGAGTTGATTCCTTGTCAGTTTGAGCTCTGATCTTCTCACGCCTTTGGTGGGCATCAAGCACTAGGCTATCCAAGCGGACTTTCAACCCCGTCGCTCTCACAGGATTCCCAGCTGGATTCCCACTATCCATATATTTGTATATATGAGCGACGGACAATGGTGCCAGAAGAAGTTTGTACTCGATTGTCGCCAACTGCCCACCGGAGCTTTTGTTGGATTTGGCGGTTTCAGGCCATAGCGATCCTTGGCGCACTGGAAGAGACATTACGCGGGAAAACAAGGCCCACCAGCTATAAAAGTGTGTGAAGAACAAGGGTGTCAGGTGAATAGCGTTGTAAGTTATACTTGACTGTTCATTGTCAGGAGCCCAGTTTCTCCCTTGAGGAGCAATTATCCCAAGTGATAGATGTATATAGTCACTTCTGAACCCACGATAGGCGTCGTATTTCTGGTGTCCTAATTAGCATACTTCAGACCTTCCACGGTCACCTGTTAACACACCGGATCTTTGCCAATAAATCTAGGGTGATGCAGAACCACGTTATAATGTGGACTGCTATGGAAAGTCCGCATGTCATTGTTCAAATCACGCTCAAAGACCAAGCCGACCGTCCATTTCACATCACCAATTAGTTTCACGATCACTTTCTTGAAATCGGCAGCGTTGTGCTGAAGGGTTGTCGAACTGTTATCCAAAACTTGCGGGATCGGCACTCGCTGTTTCCGTGCTTCAAAGCTATAGTCAGGAATAGCCAATATATATTCCGAGCTCGTAACGTTCATGAGTTCCATTGGGTTGTCGTTAGTGTGGATTTCCCATTTGACATTGCCGCGCCAACACATCACAAAGCCGCCTCCGGAGCCTGTCAGGGCATACGGGTCACGGGAACCCTTGAGGCGAAGATGAACATCTCCCCCTTTCGTCCAAAGCACCTGTATCCTTGAATGGAAGCCCAGGCGCACTTTGTCCCAGAATCCAATTGGATCTGATGGGTCAATGCTCGGTTTACTGAATCCGTCCAGAACCCCCATTATATCCTGCATGACTGGCTGGTAGGAAACACCCCACGAAATACTTGTGGGAAGGCTTGTGTAGATCTCAAAAATAGGGTTAGAATAGCTTTTGATCGGTGATACTGAGCGCCAGACGTGGATAGTGTATGGATCACTGAACTTTCCGTTGGGTAATTTTCTCGGCGGTAAAAGTTCGACCTGGGCCTGTCGGGCTGATCGGTTATCGCGCCACTCCTCAGCAATGACAAGATTAGTTTGTAAAGAACAGCTGGGAGCCTTGTCTGCCTGATCCCCGCACAATGCTGGGATGTGTATGAAATCCAGGGGATAATCCCTGAGACTAACTTTCACTTCGCCCATTTGCAAATCTATGCTCATAGGTATAAGCAAATCGTACTTCATAGACATGGGCATCCCTTTTCCAATTTCATGAAGAAACCTGGGATATCCATCCAGGGAAAACGTGGGCTCATCTACAACAAGTCTCAAGCCGTGAATCTTCATCGACATTAGACCCAGTCTGTCCGGAATAGGGAGAATAGTTTCGGAATCGCCAATGTCATCTAGAGGTTCATCTGCTGTGGATATCGATTTCCTGAACTCGTCCGTGTCACTCCATGGAAGAGCAAGTCCAGTGTCTATCTTGTGCTTCCAAAGCTGAGCGTTGCGTCGCTGCAGTCGATACCACGCAGTTTCTTCCGAACATTTACCCTCTGAAGACAGGAAATTAACGTTGCTCGCATTTGGTGACGATGCCGCTCTTTGTTGTTTGTCTAGTTCTCCTCTACAACGCATATCTGAGCTTGTGGTTCTGTTTCTAGTTTGATGAACTTCTTCCTCGGTGGACTGCCGGTCAGCTAGATTCACACGTAATCCAGCCTCAGGGTCTCGCTGCTTGAAGCTTCTAGTTTCCTGCAATTTGCGGTAGAAAGCCTCTTCACGAGCTAAGCGTTGCGCCTGCTCTGCTAATCCGGCCCTAAAAATTCTGCCCAACTTCCACTCAAATGTATCATCTTGCAGCTCAACCAGAAGAACCCTGCTACTCAACAACAATCTAGGAATCCTTTTCGGTTGCTGGGGCTCCCTAACTGTCGAAAATTCATTTTGGTGATTATAGAAGCGGTCGCGTAACTGCTTTACGGCCTTCGCTGTATTTATCACGCTATTAAATATTGGAACCATTTTCAACCGGTGAGGAACAACCAGGCGAATAATGTCGGCCGATAATCGAAGAAGGACCCCGACAGCTGGCGCAGCGCGTGCCTCGTCGGATTTGTCGTTCAGATCCAAATGTACGTTAGCCACACTCCCAAGCCGTTCCCAGGTATCATTAAGCTCAGGGGCCTCTATGTGTAGTCGCACAAGCTGTGCTGCGATAGACGGAATGCATTCTTTCCGAGCACCACAATCGAACTTATGCAGTTGAAGCATTATTCGAACATCATCAGGAAGAAAAGATTTCAGCTGAACGAGGGCAATCCCGAATTTCGCAGTGCGTACCCTACTATGCAAAGCGGCGTTTGGTTGTGATGGCGGTACCCCAAAACCTGCAGGGTCTCTTGTGTCCCCGTCCGGCTTTGTGGGACGGTAGGGCGGCGAGAAAGAAAAGAGTTTCTGTACCATAGACCCTGCGACTACAGCACAATAAAGCCGATGCAAGGAGTACTCGAGGTAGATCCTGTCAACCTGACACTCCACATCCAGAGCGGGTACAATTAGGTCCTTGGGGCTGCACAGCGAGGCAGCAACGTTTGGGACTGAAATAAACGATTCAGGCGCCCCATACTCCTCAGACTCGATGGTAAAGCCGTTGAGGCCGGTGAGATGAGCTTTAAAGCGATATGTATCTCCACCGTCACGATGCACATTGTCGGGCCCCAATGTGTGCAAATTTTCAGATGCCGAGACCTTCTCTGTGCAGCTCTGGCCTAAAAGCTCATTATGCTTGATACTATCAACGCTCTGATTTGATAAGCCACCGCTGTATTCCAGCATCCACTCCTCCAATCGGACCGAGATACCGCGAGGGGTTTCAGAGACGGTGGAATCGAGACCGGCAATATTCAACGTAAGGGCCCTGGTGTTGAAACTGAAATAGAGAAGGCATCTTAAGATGCGGTTCAGAAGACTCATTCCTTTCCTGTCAGCCGAACCTTGCACCCCAGCCTGCGCTACCCAGTGGACTTTATATGCTTCCAGCAGCCCGCAAATAGTTTGCCAAACCACTTGGTTGGTCATGTGCAGGGTGGGCGTATTTAAGTTGCCAACAACAATACTTCGTACGTCTGGGTCCGCGGTCAGATTTACGTTAAGCCTTAAGCTCTCTGTCCCAAACATATCTTGCTTTGCACCGTCCGGGGACTGGTGATATGTTCGACATGATAACATCCGGAACTCGGATGACACTGAATAGTCGGTGCCGTTCGTCCACAGGAGAGATGATTCAGTGTCTAGGGATATGTAGGACATAGAAGAAATAATGAAACTGCATTCATTTGAGGTCTCAATGTCTTCTGTAATTGGCAGTAGCAGTCGCACAACCGGTTCATGAATAGAAAGCTTAATATTTGCCTTTGGGAGAAACCCTGAGAGAGCATAGTCGACATCCGGGCCCTTCCCCTGGCTTGCACGTGAGTTATGGGTATTGAGCAAGCCCGAGAGTTGTGAAACACTGTTGCCCTGCAGGTCTATTGAGGGTGACGAGATAGCCAAGCTTGCCAGCAGAATGCTGGGGTTGTCATCATCCACATGTTCTTTGAAGCACGCTCTCACGGTCTGCAATAGTATCGTGGACTTGATACTCAAGCTAACAGTAGGAATATAAACGATGCTTTCTGTTGTCTTCGAGTCACTTTCCAAACACACGGAAAGAGACGACACAGTGAGTTCGAGCTGGTGGACAATGTCATGTACTCGGAAACTAGTACGGTGTTCGGGTGCACTTTGTTCTATCCTCTTGATCCTGAACGCGGTCTCATGTGTCATAATGCTCACGGCAGTTGGATTTTGCCTGCCGAGCGACTGGACACCCCACGATAACTGGAAGGACTCAGTGCTCACCCTAATTTCCTGTAATACCTGAAGGAGTGACTTTGCCAATTGTTGAGTGTCAGACTCTTCCCCTAGCCTGTTGCTACCTATACTTGATTTTTTTGATTCTAGCGTAGAGTTTATGGGTGATGCAATGCCGCCCTTGTCACCCTTTGGAGGCCACAACGGGGAAGCTCTTATGTGTAGGCAAAGCGCCCGGAGATCGTCGTACGGTATATGTAATTTCCCTGCTCTAACTGCAATTGATAGATCCCTCGGCAGCGCTCCGAATGCCCTGACTAGCAGTGTGTGCAAGTCCACGTCTACCTTGTTTAACATCTCAAAGGGCTTCCTTCCTTGGACGTCAAGCAGAATATGTTGGATTCTCATACTCCAGTTTGCAGTTGTTTGTTCAGCAAGGATGGCCTTGGAATGCAGGCCATTGATTTGATCCAATATAGGCTTTTGTACATCTAACTGGAAGGAAATCGACCCGACCCGTATTCGCCCAGCATTTGAAAGACTAACAGAGCTATCATTGATAGTGATGTCTATCAAAGCCAGCACGCCGAGCCTTCGGTGTAGGTATTTAAAGAAACTCTTTGTCTGCTTTAATATTGTTCGTATCGGCTTGGGCCTTGTATGTCGACTATTTTTCTCATTCCGCCCATCAATTTGGACGCTGTTAGTCCGTTGTAGGGGCTTCGGCGCAATCTCCGAGGTTATCGCGCCATCGGTTCTCTTCAGAGAAGGGTCTAGCGTGATAATCAACTGTTCCAACCGAATACTGATCCATGTTGGCTTGTGGCAAGACGGCCTGTGAAAGGTGAAGCCGAGGTGATGAATCTTGATTTGCGGTCCTTCCCTTGGTGAGTATAGGATATGATGTAATGAAAGCCATCCAATGCGTTGGATTGATATCCCTGTTGCGACTCGAAATACTGCCAGAACAAGGAAACTGGCGAAGTAAATAAAGCAAACGCCCACCGCGACTGGGGCAATATGGGACGTCAAGGCCATATCCTTCTAGTCGGTTGCTTTGGAACAAAAAGCGGAAGAAACTAATGAGATGCAGGGAGGAGGTAACGGAAATTTTGCTCTCATTCCTGGTCACTCGCAGGTGTTTGCGAAGTCCAACACCGCACGATAGGGTCGCAATTGTGTGTGACTATGGCATAACTCTGATGGTCAAGATATGTCCCCCCAAGGGCTTAGGACGCAGTCCACTAGCTCAGTACAGTGCTTGAGGAAGTCGACGCCGACGCAAGATTAAGACAAAATATTTGCGTGGTTTATGTGTTCAGGTATCGGAAACTAACCTCCATCGTGAGTAAGTGGCACCCAAAATATGTATTTTAAGATTAATCCTAATCATGTAACTAAAGCGGTTCTTTCTATCCAATGACACCGGATATGTGTAAAGCTGTTGCTCTCTAAGGTCCCCCCATCAAGATTAGGTCTGAGCCCGCTTTTGCCAGCAAAGGAACACATGATGTCATGAGCTGGTCCGAAACTTTGTTATGCGGTATATCTCTCTACCCTTTGCGACTACATTGAATATTTCTACGGCAACGGGAGGTTCGTACAATGCTATTGACCCACAGATGCTTGGAAATTGGTGAGAAACGCGCTAGCCAAGTCCGTTAGTCTATGATACGTAGATTTTGCCCCCATGTTTACAAATTTACATGGATTGTCAGTTTCTCAATTAACTGTTGTATAGCCGTAATCAACCGCGGTCACCCAGCGCTATGGTGACTTCTATCCGAGTGTTAAGAGTGGCACAACTTCTTATTGGCATTCCGGGAGCCTGGTCAAGAATAGAAGTTAATAGTAATAGTAGTCAATTTCTTCCCTGTTGAATACTCTACGAGGAAATCAACCTAAAGCTAAATACAGATTGCTAGATTTCTAGAAGCCTTTGGTAGTGACATATGTGCGCGTCATAGACGGTCTGAAATTAGGGTTCCATGGTCTCATGGTTGATCTCCGAGGTTAGTCAACTAGTTATGCTACATCGTAATTTACATGATCAACGGGTTCTAAGTTATTGTAGTGATCACCTGACGAACGTTTTCTTCTATACACCGATTTTTAGGCGTAGCTTTAAAACCACCACAGCTCATTCATCATGGGCTCAATTGAAGCGGCTTTAGGTTATATCAATTTGTTGAAGCCAGGAGAGAAGAATAATTGGGCTAAATTTGCTAAAATGTTTGGTTTAAGCCGATTTTCACTATCAAAACGGTACCCTATACTAAATCGTCGAGGAAGGCAGATTCGGCTACCACAGCGCTTTCGAGATAATTAAAAACCATAATAGCTTCTTATTGACCTTAATTTATATAATCTAAAATATCCCCATAGAATTCGATTTGCGTGTGGCTCTACGGCTTCGTTTGTAAGGTGATTGCTGGGTGAGAAATCGATTCTCCGGCCGGTAAACTAAAAACAATATTCATCTTGTATTCAACACAACGTTTAGAAACATTATTAAACATTACAGTTGTCTGCAGAAATAACTACAGAATCTATATACCCTGCTTTTGAATCCGAATTTATCTCCAGGTGGCCTCGTGATCCGGCTTGATCGGAGCGCCTGAGAAACTGGGAAGGCATTATATCAACAAGGTATAGCTGTGACTCGGGAAGTAGGAACTACATTCAGCAAATACGACACATGCAGGGATATGTCTCTTCATTTTCTAGTTTTAGACTGATAAAAATGGCCGGCAGTTATTTCCGCCGACTATTTTTATCTATTTTTGAATTGAGTCTCGTTACAACCCTACAAGACGGTCTGTTATTGGCCTATGTCACAAACCCGTCAGAAGACACGCGCAATCTATAAGCATTATTATGCATATGGACCTTAAAGTGAGTCATTATCATGCTCATTATCATGCCTATGATCCACCGATTGAACTCCTGTATGGAGTGGTCTTCTGTTGGAGCTGTTTGACGTCCCAGTCGTGCTTCTATACTAGTGGATGATACCCAAGGTAACTATCCAATTCAGAATTTGCTCAGGAATGGCCTCCACTACTGTTTCTTATCAATTTAAGAACAGCAATATCATGTATCATTGATCTAGAATACTGAAATTAATAGAATACGCGAGCTAGTTACAGTCTCGATAAGTTGAATCTGTGTAATAGCGCAGCCTCTAGCTAGTGATTATTTTATTATTGGAATGCTTGACACTGGTGTTCACTATGGTAGGGATAAAGTTCTGACAGGGCAGATTCTCCATAAAGGTATACAGCTCCGTAAATACCTCTGACATACTTCTGAACGGTTCCTAGCCCAAAAACATATCTTAGCCATTAGTCAACCCTATACTGTAGTCGGCTTATTGTTTGAGTTCAAAGTCAGACAAGTTTTTTCCCTATATGTTCAACTAGAAGAGAAAAAGGGTACATGCAACCTTACGCAACCCAATAAGTGCCCCAAGATGAAGCCGATAATCCTATAGATATTGAGCAACTGTTGTCTAGTATTGAATATCAATAATCACATCATCAGAAATTTACATTTAATAGTAAATCAAAGTTATCCTTGATTTAGATCATACATTGAGAAAAGTGCTAGCTAATGTCAGTGAACAGAACAATCTGTTATCTCAAGATCATCCCGTGTCACCCCAATGTTGCTATTCTTTTCTTATTTGTCAATGCTCTTTGTTCTTTGTGCAGGACTGGCTTGTGATGCTCTCTTTTAAAACACATATACTGCGCAGAATGTATAGGAGTATTGTGTTTGCTAACACATAAGTGAAGTTCCATCTTGACAGTACTGTTATCTTATTCTACTCATTGGTAAATGTGTACTAGTTGCTTTTCTTTCATTTGGAGATATATGCTTGATATTTGAATTTGTAAATTGTTTCAATAGTTCTCCTAAAGATCTCTCCATAGCTTTATTCAATAGCATATCAGACTGACAAAGCTTGTTGAAGACAGCATTCCGCATCAAGATAAAAATCGACAGTGGTATCTAAAGTAGAAATAGAATATCTTAATTTCAGGTTCTAAGAGACTAAGAGCACGATAAAAATTCTTCTCATTGGTTGGTTATCGCCTGCATAGTCACCAGAACGTGGCGCAGGGACATGGGGTGTGCTAGTGGAAAAGGAGACTGGTACAGACCCTGCCCTGCCAGGCGGTATATTAGCCGTTTTGCTATTAATATCTTATTATGGAAGAGTATTCCATCGTCTCCATAAGTTCAAATTAATAGATCGACATACTATAGTCTGCATGACGCTACCACGGTTACCCTTTTGTCTCTGACGACGCAAAAATGTAGATAAAGCCTTTCAATTCTGCTGTATAATGCGATATGCTAGCCTTGAGAACACATCATCAAGCGCTTAGTATCCTTTTGTTCAACTCCGCTCAATTCAAGTTATATGCTAGCCTGGAGACCTCATTGTTCGACAAGCAGCGAACCCTGATGCTCGAGTGGTACGAGGTTTTTCCTTAATCCCTGTGGAACCTGACCTCTACTGATAACGTTGAACAGTGTGACAGCTGTCATTCAAGGAAGGTATGGGCAAAATATTTATTGACTGTGTCAATGAATATCTCACTTTTGGCTGATCTTTCTCAGGTCAAATGTGATCGACAGAACCCATGCGGCAATTGCCAGGATCAAGGCACTCTATGCACGCGCCTCCGGAGTGTGAGACGTGCTGTGAGGAAAATCTCTTAAGAGAATGAAAGAACAAGCAATGCAAATCGATCTTCTCAAGAATCCGCTAGGTCGTTCCCTAAGCTAGGCTCATTTCATGGTCCCGTCAACCCGTCAACTGATGTCTCGTTACCATCGATGTTCCGTGATGGTTTGTTGATCGAGGCATGCGAGGCCACTGTTTGCCCAATCCCGATAGGCAACAGTTCTTTTTCAGGCCCAGTCATTGATATGACGCCCAGTATGAGCGAATCCAATATCTCGGAAGATCAACATGTACTCTTTGCCCAGCTAAGAGAACCCACAAAAACGACGATGCAGGACTGGCTACTCAAGGAGGATGACCCAGAGACCCTCCGTAGTTTACATGCGTCTTTGGGCCAAGAGTTTCAGGAGCTCAACCCAACACATGGAGCTAATAGTGCGCAGACCCTTGGGCCATACTCAGCATTTGATCTGCAAGATATTGAATTGGACTTTATACCAAGCAGTAACTACCTGCAAGTACATAATTACTCTGCTGGTAAGTGATTTCAAACCTAATGTACATGCTGAATTCTAATGTATTGAAAAGACGCGAGGAGCTCAGATATGGATGACATCGCTCTAGATAATAATGAATCGCTCGCAGCTGCTACAAAACTCAAGCAGACTGTTGAGGGACCTCAACAGCCAGTTACAGCGAGCCAGAGTCTCAACAACCGACTACTTAACTCAGCTCAACACAACAAGTGTGATTGCTCTTACATACCAGAAGGGGATCAAATAATTACACCTGCTGCCGGGAACAGTATGCAGAACATTCCATATCCAAACCACGCCTGTTACTGCTGGAGAGAGCTCACCGATATTCTCGAGAAGATTGAGCTAAAGGATAATACTCTGGAAACCCTAGAGCAATCTTCTGTGGACTTAGCTCTATCATTTCAGCGAAGAGCAGTGGAAAAGTGTACAGCAATGATTGCTTGCAACTACTGTCGGTCATCCTCTGAGAGGATGATGCTCCTCGGCTTAATAGTGCATAAGCTTGTTATGAAATTTGGGGATCTTATAAGGGTATGCCAAGGGAAAGGAATATTCCAAGCTCTTCCAGATCCTCATCCTAGCTCTAGTAATGATCAAGCAGCCTGGTCCTTGATAAGATCCCAAGTCTCAGCGTCCAGTTCCAACATTTACTTTCCGAACACCACGAACATGGAGCGAAGGCTGTTCCTCGGAGATTATCAAGTTCGGTCTGCAGAATGGGCACCCTTGATGAAAACATTAATCACACTCTACGCCGAGAAGTTGGAGTCCTTATTAAGTTGCTGCAAAACGTGGGCTACAGCAGCAAATCAGAGTGCAATGCTTGCCATGTTCTCCAACGTGGAAGAACAGTTTAAAATCATCTCGGCCATACTTTGATACTGCCTCATGTATTCTTAAGCCATCGACCGTCGGTGAGGAACATATTACCAACCAGTTGGCAGATTCATGCCTATTTTTTGCTTAACATTGGAGCATTTCCTACTATTCTTCTTTCGTCTTTCTCCTTTCTCTATTACCTTCTTTTCCGTTTGGCTCATTCTTCTCTCTGTCAGTCTGTACATTGTCGCTTCTCCTATGTCTTTGGTTTCCCCTTTCCTTTCTTTTCTGTTTCACATTCGTCCCTCTGCGCTCGATGGATTGCAAAGTTTGGTATATGGCCTTCTTACATTCTTCAATGTATCGCCCATATCAGGAATCTTGACAGGTCTCAGTTACTATATGTGGTGATCTGGTATGCAATGAAGTAAAATAAATTTTTGTCCCTTAGTATTCAACATACACGTTCATGAGCGCTCCTAGGCCATTGGTAATAGTGTAATAGCATAGCAGGAAGAATGGGTATATCCCCAGTAAAAATCTCCTGATGTTAAGTCGACATGAAATCCACAGACCTTCCAACTTTTGGTAACTGTCGTCCTATTTAACCAGTGGGGTATCCCCTCGGGGAAGATCACGGTCGGTTGCCGGTCAAAAGGTGCAGATGTCTAGTATACATTCTGTCCATGGTGCTGGCGTTCCCAAGTAATGAAACAATTGTAACTAGCACCACCCCATATGTTTCCACTATACCCTGCATGTTAACAATAGATAAATACACACACTAAATACATATCTGCACCACCCAACATCCATGACCTCATGATTAAGTTTGACAAGGAAGCTATGGAAACTACCTCTCTTGCTCTCCGAGAATTGGCTACCCCAGTCCCCTCAGCAAAGTCAATGTCCTACGCGCTGGTTATGAAAACATCGTCTCTTTAGGAATGGCAGTCTAGTGGCTATGCATCGATAAGGCAGTTTCCCTATTCAGCCAGTGCGGCACCTTGATCCCATGAAATTAGTATCCCCTACTACCTACACCCAACGCCTCTACAGCGGGAGATCCCACGTCATCTATGGCCAGATGTGTTCCCTTTCCCGCAGTTACATGACAATCTAAACAGCGTGGGAGACGCTGTTCATAGAGATGGGCTATGTCAAGATGTTGTATGTTTCTGGAACACTCGAGAAAGCGGGCAAGTCTGCTAGTCTGGGGATCGCCATGGGATCCACAGAATTGGGAGGTCACTGAGGCATTTGTGAGGAAGTGGGGCTGGACACTTAGGGGTTGTCTGGAGCTGTTTAGCTCTACGGGATACATGGCAGCGCAAGTGAGGCGGAAGACAAATTCCTTCGGAAATAGTCTTAGTCGAAATAAACCCCAGTGTATTTAGACCTTGTTATGTGTGTTAAGCTAAATAATAGCATTAACCCTGTCTACTGACATCTTTTTAATAGAAATCATTAACTTAGTACCTACGTAGCGATTAGTCACCAGTACTAGCACATGTTCCAGGTATGGTCCCAAATTCCACGGGACCAAGGCGTAGGGCAATGAAAGATATGAAAGCGAATACCAGGGTTAGAAGAACCGTGAGGTCGGCTTGTCAGCTTTCGGAATCGGGCGTCTGCTACAGTACTCGAAAGCCGCTTAGAAAGTATCTGGTGGTATTATCGGCCGTAGGAGGAACAGAGTGGCTGTCCGCAACAGTGAGCTTGTATTGTCGGAAATGAGCGCTCTAGTGTCTCAGAAACCTCTGTTAGCTACAAATAGAACAGGATTTAGAAGGAGGAAAGGCCCCGAAGTCCGAGGCTAGTGGAGAGATCTCAGATGAGCCGTACCAGCTTTCAAAACATTTACAGCTGGCGCCTCTAGGACAAGGTCTGTTCGTACCCTCACATTGTACAGAAAGCCTTCATAACCAAGAGGACAAAGGATGGAAAGGCAAACTTACAAAAGTACGGACGTCAAAGCAAGAAGCAGGAATCTGCAACTGATAACCGTACGTCTGTTGAGCTCCCTTGGGACTTCCCAAAACCTACACCTGTGCGGGTTGGAGACGATTAGTTAAAGAGTAAGAAAACCAAGATTTATCAGCGAAAGACACGTAAGATTGCGATTTGGGGCGTATCTGCTTATATTTAAGGTGGGAAACAGAGTGGAAAGACCAACGGCAAAAGTCTAGGGCGACTTTCTTATGTCGATGATACCAACCTCAAGGTTGAACGATCTACTCAGCTTATATATATTACCACATATGAATAAAACCTCACGTGGAATTGCAGATAATTGAATTCTTATTTTTAGTCATTATAAAATTCCCCTTGTGGTTGTCTCCAGCCTAAACAAAACTCTAGACCTGCCATTCTAACATCCTTGATATGCGTAGATGGAGAGCATGCATTAATAGCTACATACTCTGTGTTTGGCGAGCTGCCTTCGCTGGCTATCTTTTACTGTAATTGGTAGTAATAGTATGTATGGGGTGTATAGCAGCAGGACCTCTTGCAGTTGATTTGTCCTATTGTGGATTATTTCAAATGTTATCACAGAACACGTCCCATTGCTGATTGCCGAGCTGGGCCATTTGCTGATTATACACTGATGTGCGCCTAAAGCCCTCAGTTACAATGGATGCCACTGCCTGCAGGTTGCCAGGAGGGTCAATGCTTGATGAGACACTGAATAGGTATTCTCCTGTACCATCTATAAGGGATCCAAATGTTGAAACACCAGCATTTAAATCACCCATATAAATCTCCAACAGTTCCCATATATATTCAGATATTATCAATACACGACTGTCGATGGGCATTACTTGCCCCTTAGGAACATAGAACATGGAGCTGTGTACAAACAAAATCGCCCAATGCAACTCTTTGAGCTCTACAGGGCTATGCTCAGTTTCCATTCATGTACAGTTCTCCAGGTAGGCCGATACCACCCTCACTGATAAATGGAAGGGCGACTTTAAGCGCAAACGCCGCTCTTACAGGACCATGGATCGGAGCAGTCGTCATCGGAAGAGCAGGAAGTACCTATTTGTCCAAAGGTCAGTTTGAAAGTACATGATGGACCAGCGGAGGAAAGCGAAGTCATACCAGCACAGTGGCCTTTCCAAGCGCAATCAGTGACAATAGGAGCAGGAGGAGTAGATCCAGTACCACAAACTCCGTTGTGGCAGCCCCAAGGGTCAGAGCAGTCATTGTCAGAGGAGCAAGAAGCGCCTGCGTTTTAGGATAAATTAGCTTAGCACATGGGGCGCCATGATTGTTTTCCTCGGGAATAGAAAGGTCAAAGAAAAGGGGGATGAGTGGGTACTCTTACCCTCACAATGCCCAGGCCATGCGCATGTGGTTGGGTCAGGACCACCACCTCCACCCGAGGACGAACCGCTGCAATAGTCCGATTTGGAACTGGAGGCGGAGGGATACGTGTTTGAGGTATGGCAAGTGCCAGAAGAGAAGAGAGCGCCAGCTAGAGATTCTTTGTTAGAGATTTCAGGAAAATAGGAATGGGCTATAAGATGAAGAAAACAGGGGCCTACAGTTCACTGTCAAACCGTTTGGCGGGTTGGTGACCACGATCTGAGATGCGCTAGGAGTCAAGGACTCTTCGCACTTGAGCAGCGTGCTACCACCGTTTGAGTTGGTTGGGCCAGTCCAGATATCGATATGCAATTTTCCATCGTTGTAATCGCTGGCTACAAGCTCATTTGTTAGCACATGTTGATTGTATGTGTGACAAAGCTTAGCCATGAACGTACTGCACTGCTCGCATTCATCTTCAAAACGAAGGTACTTCTGCAAATATGGCAGGTAGATGATGTCGCACTTGGCAAATTCACCAGGAGCGGTGGCGAAGGTCAGGGGGTCATTGTAAGTGCCGGTGCCTGTGGAGCTTGTCAGTGGTACTCTTATTTTGGAATGTATAACCAACAAGAAATACCTACCGCCTGCCTTGTAGCCTCGACCGCAATCATATGCTATATCAGCACCAGGAGGGTCGTTATCCGCATATCCGTAGAATGTCACCTCAAAATCTGACTCTGTGTTGCATGACTTAGCGGCAGCCGCGGCCACCAATGTGGCAAGGATTCCGGCCTTGGAAAGGGAAACAAGAGAGTTCATGTTGAAGGCGCAATCCCAGTTTGAGAACACTGAATGCTGTCGACTGCAATGAAAGGAGTACACTTGCCTGCCTTTTATACCTTTCCCCACGGGTAATACGGCATGATTCAAAGATAGTCGAGCATGAGTCTCACATGTCCGACTGACTAAAATTTTCTCAGACGCGCCTATTCCATCCAGAACGGGTCGCCTGGGACACATGGACGATGATTCTCCAGCGTTGTGCATGGGCATTAGTCCCTATTGGGAAGGATAAACGTAGTAACATAGTCAGAATCCGCAGTTGGTTGGCCCGGTAAGGCTAAGCCTTTGGATCCCCACCAGATGCCGCAGATGCCGCTTAGCACCGTCTAGCGGGAAGACGTTATTGCACCACAAGTCCCTCTGCGCTTTTAGAGATTAGTAGACTTTAGATTGTGTCTCACTAGATGTCAAGATGGCTCCACCCAGGCCCTCACTGGGCTTCATCGCCTAAGGGACAGTCAGCTGGCTGGTTCCAGATACAAACCTCATTCCCTGTTAGAAGTTGTACATGAACGGGAGAAATCGATATTGTTGACCTCCTAGGACACCCACCAAGTAGCAAGAAAAGCAAGAATGACAATACCACTCAAATCTACTCGAATCTAGCACTGAATCGGCCGCGTCCCCAGGGCCCCTCTGCGCTAGCAACTTGGAGCCTTTTGCGGAGTGCTGACGGTGGAATGAGAAGCTAAATGATTCGTGAATCAAGATGCGCAAAACGCATCGAAACTCCAATAGATCAGGCAATACTAGAGAAACTGAGTTGCCTGGATGCTAGTTATGAATCCTTGGTGACAAAGTATTTGGCCAACTTTTACCCATTTACCTTCTACGGTAGTTGGTTTCGGGAGTGGAGACAGGATAAAACCGATAATACGAGAAACAGAACCAGTTCTAGCCTTAGCTCGGGACTTATTTTGGCTCCGACCTTTTAATTTCCCCACATCCGTGTGATGGACAGGTTCCGGCCTTTGGCCCGCATTGGAATGGTGTTCTATGCACGCTGTGGCATTGACTTGTCTATATTGGCTGGGTTCTGTGTCTTACCTATATAGCTGGGCCAAAGTGGAAAAAGGGTGAAACAGACATACCCTGATCACCTAATTTTCACGCGACGCCCGCGCAACTAATCGAGAGGGATGTGAAATTGAAAGTGCGCTTTGATCAATTGAGACCTTAACGAGCGCGAAAATTTCCTGTGGCATAAAACGCCGTCTCCTCCGGTTTGGATCACTGGCATCGTCATAGGCGCGAATTAATTGAACTCCTGCTCCGAATATAAACCGAGCGTCTTGTCCCTTGGTGAGAATGTCGCTATAAACACGCATCTCTCTTCTCTTTATTTGTTTTAACTATACCAAGCCACGTTTGCTGATCCATTATCCAGATTGAGATGAGCAGCCACAGTTGCTTCCTTCCCATTGGCGGTCAGCAGCTAAACTTCAATAAAGTTACTGCTATTATCATTTACAGCAAAGTAATGTTCTGAGAAGATACCAGGTATGACAAGATTTGCCGAATTACTGTTACCAATCATCTTCGAAACACCTAGTTACATCTAGATAACCCAGAATGCTGCGTAAAGATCGAAAACAACCATATAACCGCAAGAAGATACATTCCTTGACCGCGCAGAGACAAGGAGATACTTAGGTAATGCGGCGTTTGTATTTGGGAAAGCGGCCTCATCAGATTGGTAGGACGAGCTGTTAGTAGTAGTCACGCGGTTAGCCTATATCTAGTGTCTAGTGTAGAAGTGGAAGAGTTATACGATTTTAAGAGAGCCGATTACCACTCAGTTAAAGGAATTAAAAGATGTGTAACATTGATATCGGAAATTCTCCTAGGCTGATATTTTACAAAGCTGGTTTGTCTTAGTAAGGACAGTATAGACGCAAGACCTTTATAAATATACTGCTGAAAATTGCAATTTGCGCACCGTAAGGTATTGTACCTCTTCCATAGAACTATTTTATAAGAAAAACGATTAACACTGCTTAAGTTGTAAACTAAAAGGATCTCAGGAAGTAGGTAAGGTCCGTTATATAGGAGAGCCCATGCATAGGTCCTCAAGAGGATATATTTGATTTCTCGAAAGGATTATGCAACACAAAGTTTCTAGAGGATGTTCGACGAATGTTCTACGGCGCGGGCCGGCTTTCCAGAAGGGTTTGGATTTCGGCAGTGAGGTTAGTCCCGCATGACTGCTTCAAAATGTCGCGTATAGTGAGATTATAATCAGCTTCTAAAAATATACTTGCAGTTGTCGCAGGTATGTGATGAAAATCTTTAAATCAGTAACTGTATGTGATACTTGTACTGGACATATTGGCTGGATATTCCGGCCGGCAGAGCGTTTAGGTGTTAGTGATAAGCTAGCTCTAGATAGTATCAAGAATAATCAAGATCATAATAAGAATGAGCTCCATATAAAGCTCCAAGAAGAGATAATCTGCAATAGTCTTAGATTCAGAGCACAGAACATCAATACGAATACGCATAGCGTGGGCCGGGGCGGAGCATGGTAGGATCCGGGGCACCTACTACCACGTAGGCAGCTTAGCACCAAAACATCGATACAGTTAACTCTATACTTCAAGATTTGCATCAAAATGGCAACTGGGACCCTGAATTACCTATCAAGATCACTATAGGTCATATATTAAAACGAGCGAAGCGGGCGGGTGGAACAGCCGCTCGTTTGTGAAACACTTTAATGCACTGTGACTTCGAGAAATCATAGAATACGTCGTACTGCACGCAGGAGACAAACTACTGTCAAGGAAGGACGGCGCACATGAGGTATTTCTGCCATTGGTGTTCTTCGTTGGCTAGGACGCCAACATCACAATGGACAAGCAACGAACACCAACAGGAATTCACACACAGATCCAAAAATCCTGGCGGACCGGCAGCTCACGTTGCCTCGCTTCAAACAGGGCCTTCCGATTTCCAGTTCTGGGTTCGGTTCGAGCCGGGATAAATGACGGCTGACGAGGCTGAGGAAGGATATATCAGCCGCATTGAAAAATACCTCTTAGCTATAATATGGATGAGTATTTCACTAACCACAATCCAGGAGCCGGGGCCTTGGCCCAGAATTTGATCCATTACTATTTTAATCTAGCCGATGATCCTTCACAAACCGCTCTTATAGCAAACACACCCAGCTACAACAGTACCGATCCTGCTTTCGTTCACGCAGCATGTATATTATTTGAGGTAGTTACTATATGTTTTTTTAATCTAACCGGTCAGTCAGCTTACTACGTTGATCTAGTATTAAGAGCAAACTTATACAATTCCATATTCAACAACGATCCATTGAAACCCTGGTCTATCGGCACAGCAGCACATCATGATTTGGCGGTGGTATACAAGAATGCTTTCCTGCCTCCTATCCAAATTATTGCTTCCAATGTTTTTGGTGTCACCGGAAGATGGACATTATTTGGTTCGAACAAAGTGGCAGGCCACGGAGTGCGTTATTGAACCAGTTGTTCGCAGCTCCAACAAAACTGTGAGGAAAAGTACCCACTGCGATAAAACTCTTGCCATCTGGACGGAACATTAGTCCTTCTGGAGACGAAATATCTTGGATCTGACTCCTGGCTGGTATTTTCAACCGTCATGGGATGTGGTGGGGGGTGGAATAAGCGGACAGCATAAACAAAGCTTCTTCTTTAGTGCAGTCTCCGCTTCGGGCATATCGTCATTTTTTTCTGGAAATTTTCTCGAGCCATACCACATTAGATAATTTGCTGGTGTTCTATCTGTTCCAAAACCACACAGTCTCTATTCAGGTTCCGACATCGTCCAGACTATTACGACACAAAATATTACGGGCTGTAATACCACCATGGCTGAAAACCTTGACTGCACTGTGAACAATGCTGCTGCAGCAATAAGCAAGACCTTTCGGGACTCACAATGTGTTCAGGCAAAATTTAAAAGGAGTAAGGCGCAGATGGCTAGGGGCATTCAATGACCGATGCTACCTATATCTCCGTGCATTGGCAGTGGGTTGCTCTTCCGGCCGTGCTATGGCTGCTAGGAGCTGTCATGTTAATCGGCGCGGTATGGAGGGCTCACCGAACTAACGTTCCCAAATGGAAGAATGATCTGTTTCCATTGTTGTTTCTTTTTAACAACGGGAGTGAAAATAAATATTGGCAGGCGAGTGATAAAAAGGGGATCCAACGGGCAGAACACGCCAATGTCAAACTTTGTAAAGAAAGTGACAGGATAGTGTTCTGCGAATAGAGTATATATCTGTTTTAGATATGATTAGGGTGAATACGGATATGGAATATCAACAGCGATGGGGTATAAACAGAGGGCTAAATGCGTGTGTGTTTGCCTTGGACTGGAGACAGATAATTATGAGTTACCCTAATGACAAAATTGCGCCACGAGAAGGACGATCTTTGCATAGATTTGAGCCATCGAACTACATAAATAAATTCACAGTTTTAAAACACACATAGCTAGGTTGAGGTGCATACAGTAGGAAGGTGATCCTGCTATCCGGGGGCTCCACTGACACTAGTAGAGCCTTTTATTGGTTCTGCCGCTTGCAATATGTCTCTCCAATCAGCCTTAGTTTAGGATTTTCTCGATTAAACGAAGTTCTCATACTGTTATGGAAATTCGGAGGCTAGATTTCAGCTTTTCGAGGTTGGACCTTGCTTAGCTGTTTTTGGCGATGTGGTATGAAGGCTAGTCGGAGCCTGGGTCTCAGTACGGAGTAGAGGGTCTCTATACCCTTACATTCTACGGTCACCGATTACTTTAAATCGAACTGGACATATTACATAACGAAGTCGCCAACCTAGACCAGTGAGTATTGGACTACGCCTGTCCAATATCACTGCTAATAGCCCAAGGTCCCGTTTGATGACAAAGAGGTTGGTCGTGCAAAAGGTGTTGTCCAAAGTCTGGCCTAGGCCCCATTATCCATCGCGGCAGAAATTGCTTCTCTGTACTACAAACGAAGGTGACACTAGGGAATCCGAGATTTTGAGGGCCATTACTGTGGCGATGGGTGTCCTCAGACGCGAATATGAAACTCTCCTGATCTGCCCTAATTGTCTATATCGCAAACTATCGCAGAGTTTAACCTCGCTCGCCATCTCAAGTGGGACCATACCCAAGTAGACCAGGATGCTGATTGCATAGGTTGTTCATGTTATTCCAGTCCTAACACAAACCGGCGCGGAATACGATTCTGTGGCGTGAATCAACCCCCAAGCAACGCACCGACAAACTTTAACTTTGGAACAGTTGACCTGTCTAGAAAACGGTCAAAGAAAAGCTCCTTTCATCAGGTGATGTACTACCCGAAGTCAATAAGATATGGCAAAAGACAAGATAAAGTTACACAGGGAGAGACCTTGAAGTTGCATTCGACTTCGAGACCATTAATGGACTGTCGGAGATTCTCTTTAAGCCTCTACCCTCCTTTCCTGATCCTTCAGCACCGGCATCAATAGCAACTGCACAAGCATAATGGCACGCACACCATTGGATGCCAGCCAGAGAGAGCACTTGATGCCGATTACGCATGCCTTCGACCCGGTGGAGACCTCCAGAGCTTCCTTCGACCCAGAGGCTTTCAAGTTTCTTCAAGTCTCAGGCACAGGAGCCGGCGGACCAGGATGCTATTCGAACTCAATTACCCTATGTCCTTCCAAAATGTCGATCCCCTGGCCTAGCTACTTTCTCGGTTGTAGACAAGGCAAGCATTGGAAAACAGCAGAGAGCATGACAAAAGAACTTCTGGACGCTATCTACAAGGACTCACGTAAAGAAGCTGAGGCGGATGGAAAGCTCCCCCTGGAGCTGGAGGACACATCGTCTGATATCAGGACACGAAAGGAGATCGAGCTCGTCTCAACATCGGTGAAGTCCGCTACGTACATGTATCCAGATGCGAGCCCGGTAAGAGCGGGCATGATCGCCCAGCTCATGTTGCTTATTTTCCTGCATGATGGTGAGAATTGCACTCAAGGGTCTCAATGACACGACAGTTCATAACCTCTGCTTTCATAGACGTCGTAGAAAATTCTCCGCTTGAAGCAGTGAGCCTGACCAACATCCTTTGGTGTATCCGAATTACTAACAATAAGTCTAGGGATCTACAATTGCAGACGCGACATTCGCTACATACGCGCCAATGTACGGCAGCGTACAGAGACCTCGAGGCGCGCTGCGTCGTTTCTTGGCAGCTATCGACGAGGAAGAACCTACCCTGGGAAAAGGCCTTCTTACGAGCGTGTTCACCTGGTTCGAACATACTAAGGGATATCAATCGATTCCACCTAAAGTCTTTGAGTCCTTGAGAAACTACCTTGATTATCGGTCTGATGATATTGGACGGGAGTGAGTGAACCCGAGATCAAGGATCTAGAAAAATAAGTTCACATCTAATATTCACCAGACTTCTCTTATCAATGGCCTTGTTCGCTTGCGATGTCCACCTCGTCGAGGGCGAAAGAAAGGCCCTGGCTACCCTGATTCGGCTCTATTCGGACCACGTCTCTCTCACAAACGACCTTTATTCGTTTGACCGGGAGTATGGAGAGCACCAGCGAACTGGCGCCCTCTTTCTCAATGCAGTCGATCTGGTGTGCAAGTTGTACCAGGTCTCGGAGGCCACAGCGAAGCAATTGGTTGTAGGGTTTACTTTGGAAACGGAGTGTGCGTTTTCCGAGGAGCTCAAGAAATTGACATCATCGGGCCAGATGAGCGAGGGGCAGATCCGTTTCGCCAAGGCGTTGACTGAATGTCTGGCCGGGCATATCCTTTACTCGGCGACATCTGGGCGTTATGGGGTTGCAAAAGCCGCAAGAGGCGTTTCCGCATGATGTAAATTATTCAAGATGGTCTAGCTTATCTTAACCAGCATCCAGACCATTTCGATACTCATGAGTTAAACCCAGATTAGCTCTCGGGAGGCAATGGCCCATCATGATGAACTAAATCCATTCATGACATCAGTTCCATTCCAAATTATGTTTCTTGCAAGTTCACACATCGTTTACTCTTTAGGGAGCCGCTCGAGTTCGCCTTCCATGTCATCATGTATATGCAATCATGTTCCCCAGCCCTAACCGCATGATACCCTAGTCAGATACATGCACAGCTACCATCATAAATTATCTAAGCCTCGAGTAAGGTCCTTAGTGTATTTTGAATTATCCCGCGATTATATCGAATATATGGCAAGCCGAAATTGACCTGCGTAATTTCCGTTCTTAGGGTTATGTTATGATGTACGCAGAGGTAGCTTCCGGTCCCGACAGCGGTAGTTTATCTTAACTACCATAAAAGTACGTAATATTACAACTTATTTCACATACGTTTGTTTAGTATCCTACGATTCGTATGTAGTACAGGTGAAGAATACAGGTCTAGCCATATATAGATCTGTACATAGGGCTACTTATGTCTGATGTGCCCGGACGTCGATTTCGATCTTGTCCGTAGCTACCTGGCATACAGAAAAAGTCACCAAGATGGTCAAAGCCAAGGACACCGTCATCGAGTACTTCTCCCATCCCCACCCCTCAATTAATCACCCCAATCTAACAACCACCCAGAGAATTTAATGACCTGGTCAACATGACCCCCAATGAGCTCCGCGACTGGCTCAAAGACGAGCAATCGCAGTCGTCCGGCTGGACCGGCTCATCCGGAGAAACAATCGGACATCAAAGGTCTTTTACCCACACCCTCCACCACCCACCTCTTACCTATCTAAACAGAACCCTAATACTCGAACCACAGCGGTCGCAAAATCGTCAGCATCCTCGAACACAACCCCTCCAAGGACCCTGAGCACTACACAGACGAGGACAAAGATCACATGCGGAAGGTAGTATCCTACTGCAAGCGACATCTAGCACAGGAAGCCGAAGCGAAGCAAGACCCAAATAGTAAGAGTCACCGGTCGTTGAAGAACTGGGGGCATGATCCATTTAAATCTTGAGTTTTATTATGATTTTCGCTTTGGTTCAACCATAGTATGTTATTATTGAGGGGTATCATTAGTACCTATATGTGAGAGATACACAATCTACATGCACATTCCTGTAATACCTTAGCCTATTATAATATCCTCTTCGACACGATCTTAATAGACTGGTGCTCCTCACTCCACTGGAAGTCATGTTTGACCCGGATACTCTTCGGATCGAAATCCGGTCCCTCCTGTAGGCTCTCCAGCTCGACATGCGCTGAGCTAGTGGTTAGGGCTGCCTCCTCTTCTGGTCGGAGATGAGGCTCCCTCGCTCTGGCATCTGCGTCGTCCAGAGAGCGGAATAAGCAGCGACTACCAGAGGGAGGCTTGTGTTGTTTACGGGACACGGAGCCTGTCTTGCCGGTGGAACCGAGTTGTTCGTCGATGTTCGAGGAGCGCACAATGCGCTTGAGGGTTGAGCGGAGGAGGGGCTGGAGGGTCGGGAGACAGGCGCAGACGATGCCGATGCAGGGCTCTACGCTCGACCAGATGAAGATATCGCCCATGATCCAGGTGATGTCGAGTGATTTGCTGAGGAAGGTCATGAAGTAGATTCGGACAATGCTTGCGACGCAGGCGCTGGGGCTGTTAGTATATTCCTCTACACGGGTAGTGGAGAAAGGGAAGGCGTACAAGGAGCCTAGCAGGAAGATGCTGGATACGAGAATCTTTTGCGTGGTTCGCATTTGGAGCTTCCAGACAAGGGGGATCGGTACGATGAGGATGACTGCGTCGGTGGCGACGTTGGCTGCTGCATTGCCGATGTAGAATGGGTACAGGTTGAAGATGCATTTTCCTCCGCTTGGGTCTCGGTACTGGGTCCAGTAGTAGGACAATGGCTGGCAGCAGACCAGGAAGGCGATGTAGCAGGAGACGAAGTAGCCGAGTGTTAAGAAGACGCAGATCCACATAGCCCAGTTCATGCCAAAGATACGGCGGTAGAAGAGGATGATGGAAATTTTGATGATTGGGATCGCGACAACGTATATCAGGACGTATGCAAAAAGAATCTACCCAATCTAATAAGTTTGAAATACTCAACAGGGATCACTATTGGATCTATACCCGGACCACAGTAATCGCATCATCGAATGGGACTACCCAGACGTGTTTTCCAAGGCCATAGTAGCCTCCTGGAACGGGTTAGCTGCGGCGATCAATTAAAAGATTAATAGACCATACCAATAATTGTGCAAACTAAATTAGCCGTTACAGATATCTGCTCGACGTCAGCAACTGCATGCGCAGTATATTGCCAAGTCCATACCAGTGCCGCAACAATCAGCCAGTCATCCGCCGCAACAGTCGCATGTTGTATCCTTATTCTAGCAATAACCCGGAGAATAATTGCTATGGCAGCAAGGGTATACACAGCAATGACAACCGCATTATTTCTAGCCGTATGGCTTTGACTAAGATCAAGGTCTGGCGGTGGCTCACCGAATGGACTAGACATCGTCGCTTTTCTGCGATCACTGTACACCTACAAAGCCATGTTGCGCGACAGGCTGGATTGCGAGGTAGACTCCAGAAAAGCCCCGACATTTGGGGATGTCGCTTACTTTAAACAGCTTACTATTTCGGAGTGCTCTAGACGAAGTGCATGCACCTGCCAAGCACTGATTCATGTTTAGCCTACGCTACGCATGAAGATCATGCACGACAATGTTACCTTCCTGTAATTGCATAGATAGGGTGGGCCATAGTACTGCCTGCCTTGTATTTAGTCCGGCCAAGCGATATCGAATGCCTGCGGCTCCACCTGACGGTGCCCGTTAGTAGCGGTTAGGGCGTTGGGGGCTGATCCTTCAAGGCACTATTAACCTCCGCCGTCTCAGCTACTGCGCGTCGGGGAGGACTCTGCCTTACATTACAGGAGTACAAGCGAATGCTGAACTGTATGGGGCAATGAGACATGCATTAGGGTGAAAAGGTGGAGTCATTGCAAATTTAGACATGGATATGGCCTGAGCAATGTGGTAACGTACGATAGGCGTTAACAGCCACATGGCATATACTTTAGCCTATCAAAAATTGTATTCCTGCTCCTGGGGGCCAATCCCATTAGGGATCCGGATGAAATAACCGGAATGAACAACTGGTAATTGTCCAATAAAACGTGCCACAACCTATACCCACTCGTAGACAGCCCCTTCCTGTGCCCTAATAACGCCGCCAACAGAAACTGGGGCCGGGTTTTACCCCTTCGGCCCCTAAGTCGAGCTACTCGTCTGACCAACGTTCGGCAAGTAAACGACGGCTGTCATGTCACTTTCGCGACATTTACCAAGTTGATCGCCATCGCCCTGGATAGAATCTAACATCCGGATCCGACGTATATAAGCAATGCCCTAATCCCACGATGTTACAACGCGACCTGCCCCATAACCTCTATTCCTGCGCGCCCCCCACCTTGGAACAAAATGTCTTCAAACGAGAAATCCTCGTTATCCAACGGTGACGCCCAGGATGACTGGAAAGTCGACCCCTCGGTCTTCTCCTTCACACCCCGAAAACTTCGCGTAGTCTGCATTGGAGCAGGTATCTCGGGGCTAAGTGTTGCTTACAAGCTCAAACACGAGAAGCCCCTTGACTACGTCGATCTTACTATCTACGAGAAGAATCCGGAGGTAGGCGGGGCGTGGTTTGAGAATGTCTATCCTGGTGTTGGATGGTAGGTGCAAACTCGTGATACTATGTATGGAAATAATTGCTGATGAACGTTGCGACTTTAGCGACATTCCTGTTCGTGAGTTAATGGTCTTCCGTACTAACTAATTGATCTTTTTGGTTTGAGCATTGACTCCGAAAAGATAGTTATCAGTTCCCGTTTGCGCCTAATCCGAACTGGTCGAGTTATTATGCCAGTGGTAAAGAGATTGAAGAGTATATCGTCAGCACTGCTGACAAGCTCGGCCTAAAAGAGAAGATTAAATTCAACATGAAGCTAGTGAAAGCGATTTGGAACGAGGTGGAGGGCAAATGGAAGCTCCAGCTGGAACAGGGCAAATTCATACTAGAAGACGAAGCTGATATCCTACTCGATGGTAGTGGCATCCTAAAGTAGGGCTTCTTCTAAACTTCATGTCGGTGATGATAATCTAACAGTACTAGCCAATGGAGATGGCCTGATATCGAGGGCCTTCATACGTTCAAAGGAAAACTGGTACATACAGCTCAGTGGTAGGACCCAATCCATCCCCCAGCTATGTGAAAAAAAAAAAATAGCTCACTTCGACAGGGACCCTGAATATCACTGGAAAGGTAAGAGAATTGCTGTCATCGGCAACGGCTCGTCCGGCGTTCAGATTATCCCTTCTCTCCAACCCAAGGCTGCGAGGCTGGTTAATTATATTCGACATGCTACTTGGATATCCACGAACATCTGTGGGCATTTAACAAGAGACGGAATGGGCACAAATTTCGAGTACACAGAAGAGGAAAAGCAGCGGTTCCAGGAAAATCCGGAAGAGCTTCTACAGTACAGGAAAGCCATTGATCAGGCGTATGTCTTCCACGTCTGTTCTCTCTTGAATTCCAGTTGACAATGTCATCACAGTACCAACTCCGTATTCAGACTGATGATCTCTGGATCGGAGGAAAATAAGGCCTTATTCGAGGGTGTACAAGCAGTTATGCGAAGTCGCTTGTCCAAAAATCCCGAGTTAGCCAAGAAGTTGATCCCAACGTACGAGATTGGATGCCGCCGTCTTAGTCCTGGCGATGGTTATCTTGAAGCCATCCAGGCAGACAACGCTGAAGTAACTTTCAGCAAGATCAATCGAATCACGCCAAACGGAATCGAGACAGATGAGGGGGAGGAAGAATTCGATTTAATTGTCTGTGCCACTGGGTTCGACTACTCATTTATACCTCCTTGGGAGTTTATCGGTCGCGACGGTCGCCGTCTAGACGATGAATGGAAAGACACCCCGGAGGCATACTTTGCGACATGTGCAGCCGGGATCCCCAACTATTTCATGTTTGCTGGCCCAAACTGCCCCATTGGCCATGGCTCTGTTCCAGCCATGCTCTACTGGTCAGCTGGCTACATGCTGGAATGGATCGAGAAAATTGCGACCGAGGATATCAAGTACGCCTCCACATTCTTACCCAGAAATTCCGGAGTGGGACTAATTCCGCATAGGTCGATCGTCGTAAAAGACTCCATAGTCCGTGACTATAATAAATTTGCCCAAGAATCCCTGAAACGCTGTGTCTGGTCCAAGGGCTGTCACGCCTGGTACAGTAAAAGGAACGAGGGCGCTGCCAACACTGTCACCGCAATGTATCCAGGGAGTGTACTGCAATTTAAAGGTATGTAGCTTTTCAACGTCTCTCGATGCTGCTAATGATCAGCGTAGCCTATATGGATAAGCTCCGCCCTGAGCATTTCGATATTCAATATAACACCTCAAACCAGTTCAGATTCATGGGTAATGGAGAACTAGCGTTTGAGCGGGAACCGAACGCTGATATGGCCTTCTACTTGAAGTAGTTTAGGCATCTCGTTTGGATCTGGTTCGATCATATCCTCAGATAGGTCTGTCACAGACTGCGTTGGTATCCAAATGCTCGCTCTTCTTCTTTTCATTTCGTGTCCGACAGACATCCCCCCATGATCCAGAGCCTTATGAAGGTATCTCATTTCGAACATACCACAAGAATTCTATGATGAATCAAGTAGACGATATCAGTATTATATGCAAACATCAAAAGACAATCGCCGCCACCAAAATCTTCACAGAGCCTGCCGTAATGTGTAAGAATCATAAACATGGAAAGCCACCCAACCAAGCCCATAGTCCTTTATTCACCAAGCAACTTCATACTCATCCAAGTGCCTTCCCACACCTCCGTATCTGCTTATATACAAGCTCCTTCTCGAGATAATCTTGCGTAGCATCAACGATAGTCTCGATCTCATCAACATTATCCAGGTCAATATCCGCCAGTCCATTAGGAACATCAAACCGGAACAACCGGTTCTCATCATCCAGCTCGGTATGTTCCTGAATAAACCTATTCGTATCAATTTCTGGATCGACAATGTCAACTTCCGACGATTTGACCAGACCAAACAACCGTCTGCGAGACCTCTTGATCGACGGCTCCCCAGTTCCAATCGAAACCATGCATTTCAACTGATTTTCCAAGGATCCAGACGGCCACACACCTCTAGCTTCAATCCATACTTCCCTCATCGGATTGCTGGCCTCCAGAGAACTGTCATGAAACCGTCGACCACTTGGGCCAATCCTCACGGAATCAAAAAGCGACGAGTGAGCAAAACAGGCCGCACCGGCCTCGTAGATCCTGGCCGTCTTAAAAAGCTCCGTAGAGCTATATTTGCTCGCGTAACTCGTCATATGGACTAATTTCCGGTTCGAATCATCAGTAGCGCAGACGAATCTTCGCATTGATTAGATCAGTCCAATTTCCCCAAACCCCAAACCAAGCCCCCAAATAGAAAAGAAGAAGAAGCAAATAAACTCACACTTTGCAACTCATATCCTCATCCCTCAACAAAGCATCCTTCTCATAGCTCAACTCCCTCAAGATCTTCCTCAACGCCCCCTCCACCTTCTTAATATCAAACCTCGCCCGACTCCGCAAATTACTCCCGATCGGCAACAGCCTCTTCTGCGAAAACACATTCTTCGACAGCACTTTATACGCGTGGATACAGTCCTCAATATCCATCTCCAGACGCCCAAGCATGATGGCTATCAAGCTGCGACATGGTGAGCATGGTACCTTTTTCAGTTGGAGACGAAATCAAGGGTTGCTGCGTGGCGGACTAACCCACCCGATCCGCTACCTCCTATCAAGTCGAAGTAGTCGCATGGTTTTGGGGGGGTTTCGCGATCGATGGATTCCATTATTTCTTTGAGGATGATGAGGGAGGAGAGGCCGCGTACGCCACCGCCGTCGAGGCTTAGGAGGTTGATGGTTCGGCCTGACATTGCGATAATAATAGATGCGCTCTTTGTTGGGGTATATAAAGTGGAAATAATTTATTACGATAGAACAAAGAAATACGAGAATGAGGGTTGTGGCTCCTACCACACGCCAGAAAACCCACGTCTTATATTTATGCAAGCAGCCGGGCAGCACTCGCTTTGACCGGAGACAGGCAGCCAGTCACGGTAAATGCCATGCGAAAGGTACAAACAGCACTCAGGCAAAAAAGAATAGGGCATCGGCATACTGCCAACGGGCGAAGTGTTGAAGCCGATGCGATGCCGTGGTGACTAACAAAGAACAAAAAGGTCAGGTCCGCAGTATCTGGAAAGCCAATAGACACCCCCGCACTTTGGGCATATCAGATTGGAAGATCGCCGTGTGCCTGTCCCTGCGCAATCGCTGATAGGTGAGGTTGAACAGAGACACATCAGGGAGTGGACCGCATGGCAGACACGTAGTCGGCGCTTAGCCGCGACATCGGATGAAGCTGAGCCTTCATTGGTGCAATGTGTTTCTAACGGCTGAGGCATAGCCACATCACCGGTGGGATGACGCTTTGCTCATGCTGTGTTGTGCCTCGAACTTTCATGTACTGCAGTGTTGGTCATGCATTGGGATTTTGGCCATGTGCGACCTGCATTCATGACTTTCCTTTTGTTTAAGGCAAATGCCGTTTCTTAACAAAACAGAGGTTTGGGACTTACTCGAGGCTACCAGTGCGGTACTAGAGGGTGTTTTAGTATGCTCCTCTACATTCTAGAATTATGCTATACTCGTTTTCACTGAGAATGCTCAGCTTCAAACATCAGAAGAAACGGTATCAAAAAGTAAAACCAGTAACCTTAACACCCTAAATAAAGCATCAAAGCATGTCTAACCCCCCAAAAATCCCAGTCCAATCCACCTTATCCAAACGCCTCCCTAACACGATCCTGATCCTGATGCGCCAACAAAGAGTCCTTAAATTTAGTCAATGGAATCCCAATCTCCTCTCTCCAGCTCCTTCAGATCAAACTTACCCATCGTCTCTCAATACAACTGCACACTGACCTAGGGATCCACGCGAGCTAAACGCGCCGCCACCGCAGGCGGAATATAGCCTACAAGAATATCCCAACCACTAACCCCCGACAAAACCGCCACAAAATGCTCCGTCGTCAACGCCTCACCACCGATATCAATAGCACGAGGCGAGAGCCGAGCCGAGTCAAGAATAGCCGCCGTTGCCAACCGTCCAATATCATCCGTATCAATAAGCATGATACGCTTCCCGCGCGCCGTAGCGATCCTCAAGTCCCGCGCTAGGCTAGGTAGCGTGGGAAAATATGCTCGGGCGCCAGGGAGAAGGAAATTTGTCATGAAGATGGGGGGCCGGAAAATTGTCCAATGCTGGAAGCCGGCGGTACGTACGAGGTCTTTGATAGCGGCTTTGCTGGCGAGGTATTGTTTCAGAATACTATCCTGGAGCCAATCAGACCAGCCGGGAGACAGGGCGCGTTGGTCGACGTCGCAGATACTGGTGTACACGATGGTGGTCACGATGCTCTTGCGGGGCGCGTGAGCGGCGGTGATGACGTCTCTTGCGTGACGCAGTTCGGAGTCGTTGTTGGGGGAGGGTAAGGCGTCGAGGAAGACGGCTGATACTTCTTCGCAGACCCTGTGGAGGAGCTCGTCGAAGGTGCCCTCGACTACAATGGCGCCGCGTTCCTCGAGGTCAGCGGCTGTGCTGCTCTTGTCGGTTCTCACGAGGGCATATACTCAATTTCCCTGGTCCAGGAGGTGTCGGGCTGTTGCGCCACCCTGTTGGCCGCTGGCACCCGTGACGAAGTCCCTCATGGTTGGACGTTGAGTTGGCTGTTGTGGTGATCGTGATGTTGGGGGATGAGGGAAAGGGTTCTTCTGCCCTATCGCGCAATGTTGAGCATAAATTTAAAGCGGTAAGGGCAAGCAAATTCCCAACGATGCATAATATGGCTATTTATTTAGTTTCGAAGGGTAGGATAAAATTAACGGTTAATTAAGGGATTAAATGAGATAGACTTAGGCTCTCGGGCTGCATTATTAATTTACAGGCATGACTGCAATTCTACTAAAAGCACTATTCGGTGGGGTGGCCTCATATGGCCACCTATTGGTAAATCATGACTCGCCCAGAGCTTATTCTTCGTATTGACGCAGTTCAAGCAGCCCTAGCAAGTCTAACAAGAATATAGGCTTGCCGGGCGTCAAATAAGAGTCTTGGTTGGCATTTCTTTTCCTTCGATAGGACAATTCTTTGTTTCAATCACCCATTTAGCGATGGCGGAGTAGAGTTTTGTAAGTGTGGGATTTGATCATCATGGTTTCGACAAGTTGTCTCATAGACTCTATGCAAACGATCCAGGTCCGCAGTGCTCGATTATACAGAGCAACGTAGCGACATATCTTCCGAAGTGGTTTTCCATCATTCGGAAGGAGTGCCTTACATAAAGCGGGTTGTGTTTCCATCGACTGGAGATGGATGTCAGTCATATAGGAAGCGCTCTTAAAGCTCAATTTCGACTACACACTTCGACTGAAGTTGGTGTCTGACGTGAGCAATAGACATCAGCCAGCCTAAAATACCCTAAACCCAATTAACTTTACCCCACTATCAATCAGAAATCTAATCTAGTATGGGAGGAACCATGGGTACGAGTAACAAATCTCAAGATTGCCCTTAGCCGGAAATAGGAGCATCTATTCGCATAGCCAACTGGCCATCATACCAAAACACCGGTGCTACAAGTGGCGCTTCAACTAGGACATACTAAGGCATAAAAATAACATCCAAGCCAAGAATCCATGACTATTGTAACTACTCAAGGAAGAGTGTATCCACCATCAATAACAAGATTTGCGCCGGTCATGTAGCTCGACGCATCAGAAGCACAAAACACATACGCCTATCCAACATTAGCAAGCTATCTCAAAATGATAGGATATATACGTACACCCTTGAGCTCATAAGCCTCAGCCATGCGCTTGGCCGGAATCATGTCGAACCACTTTTCCCGCCATTCTTTCGGATGAATGTCTAGAATATCTGTCGCGATAAATCCAGGTGAAATACAGTTCACCCGACAAAAATCGACCCACTCAACAGACAGGCACTTCGCCATTTGAACGACGGCGGCCTTCGAAGCATTATACTGCCACTATTAGCTCGACACAGCAACTGAGGGTGGAATGACTTACAGCAGCTTGTTTCTGAGGCACATTCACCAGACTTGCACTAACAGACGCTGTGAAAATCACATTTCCGTGTCCCTGCTCCTTGAAGATCCGCGCCGCGGCTTGCGCAGTATAAAATGCGCCGTCCAAGTTGACCTTCGTGATATTATGCCATTGTTCAGTAGTATAGTCCTCCGCAGGAATGTTGGAACAGATTCCCGAATTTGCGACGATGATATCTAGTTTTCCGTAGTCTGTGGCGATTTGCTTGATGGCTTTTTCTATGTCTTCTTGGTGTGCCACGTCGGCTTGGTATGCGGCTGTCTTTACGTTGTGCTTGGTTGCGATGTCTGTTGCGATTGCCTTGGCCGTTTTGGAAGAATTATAGATCAGGGCGACCTGGTCGATGGCTTAGTAGCTTGTTTATGCCGACAACATCCGAGGGATAGACAGGGCGCTTACGTTGGCTCCTGCTTCGGCTAACGCTTTCGAGGCTTCCAGGCCAATTCCACGCGCACCTCCTATGAGACGAGTAAGTAATTGAACAGACCTTTGGTGTCAATGTCATGAATGAACCAAAACCATACCTGTTACAGCTGCAACTTTGCCGGAAAGGTCAAAAGCCTTGAGCACATGTTTGTTTTCCGGCTGGGCGAGGACCATAGTGATGTGTTTGTACTGGGTATGCGGTCGTACGTTGCTGGGTTCATGAAAAAGTTCACAATTAATTCGAACTATTATCTATCAAAGTTCTTGGATATTGTCTCAGACAACCCCGCAGTGGCAGAATCCCCGCATCGGAGATTCTCCGGATGGTCAACCACACTGCACAATAATCCTACCCATAAATAGGGTATCAGGGTATCACGATTCAACTTACAAGACCCTACGGCTCAACATACTTGGTCTACGTAAGGATTGGCGATGAGAAATGCCTTGGTCTTACTCAACGGCTCGAAGAATTAGTAAGGTAGCCTCGCTCGCTTCTTAGAACATCCCCGTACAAGACAAGGTATGAGGACTACTCCTAGAACTACTAGGGCAATATATCATCAAATATCACACTAGCTGCTGGTTTAATCAATGCAAATCAATTTACAAGGATAACAGACTTCCGTATAGATGTACAGTATCGCAAACATTTAATTAAGGGATGCTGAATAGGACGCCTGCTTACTCTTATAAAGGTTTTTTTATACGATCCCTCCCGACTTATGAAGGTCAAGGGTATTTACCAACAACCCTTCCATAGCAACAGGGATGCTTCAGTCCAAGGATAGCTGCGTGTTAATTGGGTTAACTCTCAAAGCCAGTAACCGCCTGAGAAGCGATGTGAGGAAATAGTAGACTACCCACGGTGCCAATACTGAGTACTATGGGGAGGGGATCCACAAATCCTTGAGTGAATAGAGGCGTTAAACGTATCATCATTCCGGCAATGGCTATACGAAGTACAGCAATAGGGACCAGGAGGGACGTGCTAACCGCTAAAAAAGACATAGTGCGGCGCGCGGCGATTGCGAATAGAATACCCGCTGACAGAGAAAAGACCAGGCCACTCGCCGATTGAAACATACAATCGCACTGGAGTATTTGCAGAAACAGAGGGATCTTTTTACTGCCTATCAGCGGTTTTTATCTCGGACAACTAGTTTCTTATTAGATCGGCTCACATGGTATTGCAAGAGACTTTGGCAGACAGAGAGATAGAAATGAAGCCACACGCCTCTCGCAATTGCTTTCTCTTTATTAGATCGGCCAAACAACGATAGAAAAAGGAATGTGTTGCACGAATGAAAGACGATAGATAGCTTCCCGCTATCCAAGTCATATGCAATCGATGACCATATGACCGTGAACCAGAAACAGAGCGTGGCTGGCGCGAGAAAGAAGTAATGCAGCAAATCGCGCTCGCGAAATGTTTAAAGCCGAGCTTTTTGGAAACTGGCGGTTGCCGGTAGTTTGAAATGCCAGAGCAGCACAACTGGTACTGTTGACAAGGCCAGAATGATATGAAAGCACCATCTCCATGGAATAGACGGTAGGAATGCTTTACCACCCAGGGGAGCACTAGCTATAGCTAAGTATTCGCTGGTGTCAATGTAAACGGTGTGAGATGCCGATGGTTGAGACGGTCTCCAAGCGGTAAAAATGTTCATTCAAGGTCAGTCAAGGAGAGCCTAGGGGGCCATGCATGTACCCTACTTGCACCAGGCGGCCTTCGTATATACCCGACCACCCAAGCCCGACCATTACACGCCCAATCAGGAAGACCAAGGAACAGGGCGCTAGTCCGGAGACAAGAATCCCAGTGTTGAGCATTAAAATGCTCGCTAAAAAAGTCCATTTCACTGGACACATTTCGTAGAACTTGCGTTGGGGGTACTGCGATACACTGCAGGTAATTCGACTATTGAAATCTCGGAAATAAGCGTAGAACTACCAGAAGGCTTATCTAGCTTGCATTCTGCATCATAATACCCCAATTGTCTGATTTAAATTCGTCCCCAATATGTGGCATTGCCATGGCGAAAACGGCTGCGTCCGTCATCATTCATCAAGCATCATTTTCAGCATTTCTTTTTGGAAGGTAAATGGTGGTTCAATAAACAGTGATACAATGTCAATCGAGACTTACCAGGCTAATTAAAAAAGTGCAGAGCGACAAGGAGGAGGATATAAGCCTAGCCTGTAGGCTATTTAGGTCACAACCGGATATTTGGTCGCTATCATGCTGGGAAACGCCGGGCTGGTTCTTCTGAACTTCTTCAGACAGAGATTGCATGTTTTGCGATGTTATTTTCACCCATGCATAGTAGAGACGATCTAAGGCTTGAGAGGATGAGACGAAAAATGACCGAGTAGAAATGGGGCAGTTCATCTTTTATAACAGTGGCAATGCCTCAGGGTCGAGCACCCAACGAACTACAAGAGGCTAGGATCGGCACCTACAAGGAAACTATGTAACGTAGGAAGAGGACTTTTCCCGGGGCAAGGCGGAAGGAGAATAATTACAGCACCTACACCAGTAAGAGCACACATCCTTTGAATCTAACAAACAATGCCTAAATCCGAACCAATGCTGGCTCATACCTCCAACCATCCATTCGCACCTCATACCCGCCCGTTAAGCCAACCAGCGTCTCACACCGCTTGAACCCTACAAGGGGGCGCCGAACCCTAACTTCACTACCATCTGGGCTTTTCCTAGTAAATTCATAATAATTCTCAGGGTTTAAGATAAACACCAGGACCTGAGCCACGACATAAGCGACAAGCATGACATGGCTGATAGTGGCGTGCGGTCCGTATATGAAGACCATAGCGGGCCAGGACACCCCGAGTAAACCCGTCACAACTAAGCACGGCATTCGGGGATATGGACAGTCGTAATATGTTTGTGGCATGATGATTATGGACGGCGGTGTTTACTGTGGAAAACAAGCTGAGCTTTATTCCCTCTGAATGTGTTAATGTGTTTCGTTGGGTGTTCTGCCTACCGGTCGGTTTTGCTTCTAAGGCATCAATATGGTGGAAACTTCTTTTATGGGTTTCTTGAAACAGGCAACTCGGCGTACGATGTTGTGGAGAAGAAACAGCAGAGGATTTGTGTTGGTACATAAATTACTAACATCCTAGCGCCGTGATCATGTGCGTTGATCTCACCCTATCATCAGACCTCGCTTCCTAACAAATGTTATAGAGGGAGTTGGGTTGGGAACTTGAAAAACCAAAATTCATATCGATTTGAGCAAACGCTCCACCAATAGATGGTATCCATCGCACAAAAATATAACAGAACTTAATGCTCTCAACGTGAACTTTCGAGCAGTATGCAGACCAACTTCGGCCTGAGGCAGAAATGCTGCGCCCTCTCGCTGCCACACTGTCATTGATCACAGGACTTAGTTCCCACAGCTCTATTCTCGAACTCAACCACAGTTAAAATTATGTGGCAGCGGGCTTGTACCCTTATTATAGACGTATAAGCTTTTATGTAAAGCAACAGGAAGTAGGAAAAAGAGATGATAATGGTCAAGTCATATGAACTTCTACAAACAACTGGAAAATTTGAGTCAATGAGGCATTAGGCAATAATATATCCATATATTTGAAACTGTACCGTCCTCTTTTCATCTGGCCATAAGGGGTTTTCAGCTGAACCTTAGGAGAAGGCTTTCCATTGGTCGTTTTGTTAAGCTGTACAACTTGAAGGATTGACCATTGAGGAAAATGAGATAGGTTGGCCGCTGTGCAAGGAGTAGTCCGACCGGTCTTGCATGAAATCATACATCTTTGAAAACTGTCTCGCCGCGTGCTGGCGTGGATGATTGATCTTTTTCTGATGGTCAGATTATCACCATAATGTGGCTCACTCATGGGTTCTATTATGCGCGTCTGATATATTGAGATTCGGGTATCAATATATGGGATGTACCTTGTTTTCGCGGGGGGTGGTAACGGAATAGTACAGCCATAGTGGAAGGGGATGATTGGTAGTTTAAAGAAAAGCACAACTATTGCCGTCTCATGAAGCTAGAAATCATTATTCTACGTAAATGCCTGCCTAACAAGTAACCATCCAAAAGACAATAGCTGTCTTTAAACACACCATGAAGGCTTCCCCTGCGTAACAATACGCGTACAAGTCTGCCTGAAGTATCACGAAAATTACCTCGTAGAAATTAACACTCGCAGACAAACATTTCAAGGCGATGGGAGCTCGTAAAAGAAAGACATCCGCTATATTATGGAAGTTATAACAGTGTCTACGCTACAGAAACAGACTTGGCAATTCCATTAATAAATCCTTTGCTTGCACAGAAAATGGCACCTTCACTCTCTCTAGTAATAATCTACCCAATGGTAATTCTCTTCGCCCGGGCTTAGAAACTGGACTTCAAGCTGGCAATAGAGTTGACAGATAAATAAGAAGCGATCCGCCATGCAAAATGGACTTGCCAGAAGAGTCAATGAAATAATAGGCCAAGACTCATATTTATTGAGAGCCAGCCTCGGTCTTGAGCGAAATCCAAAGCTAAAATCCAATAGACAAACTCGGGGTATATTTCAGGCAGATTGCAGCTCATACACCTGGCATTGATGATAATTTGAGAAAGTAGACTTATATAAATCCTATTATCTTTTTGTCTATGTATCATTCCCTTAAAAATATAGGAAGGGCTCTTGAAATCTCTCTCTACTCAATATCTCGGATATACTGTACAGTCTGTACTATCCCGATCGAACAATTCGACCCAATAGCGCGGCACCGGTCACGAAGTCCATCGGTTGAGATTCAGTATGCAAGCCTAGAGCTCGAGGGTCCAGATTACCATAAGTAGTGAAGAATATGGGACATATATACAATACTTCTGATATTCAAGTGGCCGACTTCATTGGACTGGAAATGGAACAAACGGATCATTTTTGGCGTCATGTTGCTTAATTAATAGTTAGAGACTATTAATATAAGACACCTATACTAACAGTACTTTATAATTATTAGGGCTCTGAATCGGTGCCGTCAGGTGCCTCAGAAATTGGCAGTAATCAATACTGACCAATACGTGTCAGTGGCAGCACTAGAAAGTAAGGAGGTGCACTCCATAACCCCAGAGTACAAGAATATAGAGTATATACTTCAGAACATGCCAAAAACAAAGCCGTGACCGGGTAATGAATTATATACAGATATATTCAATGCCATGAAATACCAACAGAGTGAAGATTACAGTGACCTAGTCATCAGAGACAAGTTGCAGATCTCACACGTCATGCAGCCAACGGAGCCAGCCTTCTTGTGATTGATGCAAGACGTGACTGGTTTAACAATGTAGAGTATAGAGGGAGAAAGTCAAATTGGCAGGTGAAAAGCTCCGTATTGAGAGCACGAGATGCCCCCGTATGAGGAATGAGGCGCTCGACAACGCTAAAATTTTCGCAGCCAGTTGCGATCTGGGCCCTAGTGGAATTCAAACAGAAGGTGTTTCTTAAAGGTGCAATGATGGGGATACAGATAGGAAGAAGATCAGCAAAGACGGTGTCAGGGGCGGTCCATTTTTTGGGCTGACAGTACCTAGGGCTGCTTCGATCTCTCGCCACCGTCGCCGGAAGGTAGATTTCCCCCCTTCCTTGCCATTCAAACTTAGGCGCCACTTGTAGCCGGTATCTGATCATTATCAGTTCTAAGTTCGACTGTATCTTCAATATTATCGTCGAGGGTATGGCCCATTGTGGCACCTACGTCGTGCGCACGGGCTTTATCGTTAAGTTCCTCTTCCAAAGGCCCTAAAATTCTTAGGCTGCCGAAGGAAAAGGTAGGCGTGCCACTTTGGAAACAGATTGGTAATCAACAGGACAGATCTTATTTGAAATATCACGACGGATGTTATCGGGATAATCCGTTAATAAATAGTCTTTTATCCCTTGCTAGCCCTTGCTTGTCCCACGAACGTATAGAACCTTTTGAACATGGCAAGCCACTTGTGTTGTTCTCAATGATGGTAACGAACTCGATGAACTCGGTCTTTCGAACACACCCACTTTGGTCAAAAGCGATGTTTGGGTGCGATACTTGGTCAATCCTTGTATCTTAAATAGCCAATACTACTCAGTAATAATTCGTTTTTAGGTTAGCAGGTGACCAGCCGCATTTAATTGTCAAGCCCTAATCCCTGGTTGTTAACCTATCTACATGTCCCCATCCGTTGTAGAGCAGATCAGGTAGCGTCCAGTGATTTGGTGACTGTTTATATTGTTATCGTTAGGTTTGGCAGGACGCTTTCGTGTGGTTGAAGAAACAGGACTGGCAGCGAAAGTGGTTAATCCAACCAGGTATTACCAGGGGTCCATGTCCATTGGTGCCTAGATCGAGATGTCTGAGATCTGGGAGAATGTAGGCCAGGCGAATTGGGCCCTTCGTGCTCCATTTGCCATTCTTGGGAATCTCCCGGGGAAGAAAGAGCAGATCTTTCTTGCTCCTAGGCTCAAAGTTGTTGCACGACCTCAATAAGCCGTCTATCACCTTAGCAACAGGTGACGAATAGATTTGGTCTGCACATGCAACGGACCGTAGCAGTGTGTCTGCTTAAGGACGAACCAGCACTTAGACGCCATTTCAAGTCTGCTCTAAACAAAACAGATGCTTGGTGACAAGGTCCCTATCAGTGGCAGTTGCAGCATCAGTGCCTAGTGCCAGATCTGATAATGCCATCGCAGCTTGGCTTTACTAGGACCTACATAGTACATAAAGCAGCTTGCACAATTAGGGTGCAGCTTTTAGGTAGATGTTCAACCTCTCACTTACGGACTAATCGATCTTAAAGAATACTCTAAGTTCAAGTTATGCAGCCCATCCTGCGATATAGAAAGGCAGCCCTTGCTACCCAGGTGCGCATCTCAGAATGGAGGTTGTTTCTAATCCCTAGTCATGCCCTATCCTGATACGCTGTTAGTCTTGGTAAAATATTAAGCGTCCGTAGTTAGATAGAATCACTGACCTTTGCCCTATCATCCCACCTGGGTTTCTTTGGTAGTCCCGGCTACAGCGCAACTTCAAAAGCAATGATCGATATCGGGAATAGGATGGGTCTTTCACAAGGACTAACGACGACCATATCTTCCCATGTTGCGATGGCGCTCCTCTACGCGTCCAAATGCGTATAGAAGAAAATAATTCAGGGGCCATTCGAAACTAGCCTAATTCTGTGAAGGGCTGTCGACAAATTCGAATTGGCTCGGGTGTGGTCAGGAATCGACAACATACAAGTCACTTTTTGGCCGTTTTGTATGTCACCTTCCCTTGCCAAGTGGTGGAGAAAATGCTTCGTTTTTCATTATTTCTGGTGGAAGAGAAGAGCAGCTTAGAATTATGCTTCGCTTCACCCTAGATAGGGGCTAAGAGGTATATTTAAGACCATTACTGAAGTAAGCAGATGTTAGTTATTTATATGATAGCGAGAGTAGGTGTGGATGTTCCACTTAGTCAAGTACTTACTATTCACCACTATCGAAATTATGCACGTTTATCTATAGAATTAATCGACACGATTCAATCCACGGAGTTAGGGCACTCTACTAACTAAAGAATTCACGAGATAGATGTGATACCACCGAACATGCACGATCCAGTGAATCGTAACTCGAATGGTATTATTCAAACCGCGTAATTGTCACAAAGTCAGAGGATATTATTGCTGAACGGACGTATAGAAACAAACGAGAGCAAGCTCCTATCAAAGCCCCATAGCGCAAAGTAGTATTCAGTAATGGAACTAGACCCTCCATCCGCAAGATCATGATGCAGAAAGATCACGGGGGAGTAGCTCCACAGTAGATGATATTTACGTTCGCTGTCTTACCGACTCCCGCCTCTAATCAAATTGAACCTCCAACACCACACCCACCTCTGTAGAATAGCTTGTAAGATATTCGTATTAAACGACATCAAAACGATCAGTTTTTCAATCCTATCAGTCTATCTCAAAGGCCTATCTAGGTGGGATCATGAGGCCATTTATATATGGCCTGATTACCATAGTATTCAACAATCCACATACTTCTGCAGGTGGTCAATTCACCAGGCATATGTCGGGTGCTTGCGATACTAGGCGATTTCATGGGCGTATCCAATAACCTCCTATATAACAATGACAGTACGTAGTACACAAAATAAATTAAACCAAACAACACCCAAGAATCCAACCCCTCCTTCGTCCTCCGGACCATCCTAGACCTCGCCTTCAAAACCACTCTATCTCCCCCCTCAAAGACCCCAAGAGACGTGCACATCCACATCGCTCAGACCGGAATCAGTCGAATTGATATCTACTACCGTCAACGAGGAGAAATAGGAGGTCTACCATTCCATTCAAACCCACAAATCTAAGCCAGAAACTAAATTAGGTCACGAAAGTCCCGGCATGGTAGTTGAAGTCGGACCGGCCGTGGATAACCTCAAAGTCGGCGATCGCGTAGCAATTGAGCCCGGTGTCCCTTGTCGCCGGTATGTCTAGATACTTGACCTAAATAGGAAATCGTTAGACTATAGAAGCTGTCACCACTGTCGTGTCGGTTTACACAATCTCTGTCGCGATATTGTCAGCGCCGCGACGCCGCTCCATGATGGTATGTTATTCAAATACTACACCACGCAGTCGGTCTTCTGCTACCCAATCCCTTCACAAATGAGCTTCGAGGAAGGCGCACTGGTCGAGCCCCTCGCCGTCGCGATGCAAGTCGCCAAAGCCGTGGGGGTGAGACGGAGCTAAACTGTTGTTGTATACGGGTGCAGACCGATTAGAATACTGTGACAGACTGTTTGCAAGGCATACGGGGCGAAGAAGGTAGTTAGGGTTAGTCTTTCCCTGAGGCAGCTAGAGGTAGCCATGGCATTCGGTGCAGATGAGATGCATATATATGCTTTGCCGCCGGATCAGGAGGATGGGCCAAAGTGGAGTAATATCGCAGCTCATATGATACGGTGGGAATGTAAGCTAGAGGAGGCCCCTGGCGTTGTGGTTGAGGCGACGGGGTCGCGGCGTCGTGTCCAGGCGTATGTGTATTGACTCAAAGGGGAGGGACATATGTGCAAGTTGGGGTGGGAGAGGAGGTAACTGTGCATGTCTGTGTTTCACTGGGCTTTGCTGATGATTGAGTGTGCAGAATGTTGTGTTTCCTATTACTACGGCTTGTGTTTGGGGTCTTAATATTTAGGGCTCGATTCGCTATACAGCGGGGTGTTTCTCGGCGATTTTGGATTTGATTGCCAGTGGTAAGATTGATGTGAAGCGGCTTGTCGCGATTCGGTTTGCTTTTGAGCAAGTGGAGGAGGCATTTGAGCTGTTAAGCCGGGAGGACAAGGAAGTTGAAGGACAGGGGGACGGTGAGGTGATTAATGTGATGATCGCCGGGCGTAAAGACTAGTGGACTTTAAAATACATGCTTATTCGCCATGCTATCTTTTCATATCATACATCGTTGCCAAGGTGTTCGCGATTATGTCGGGTGCCTCAGCAATACCACCGGAGCTTCAACATGAAACCAACGAAGATAATTAGGGCTTAATTCCGCCCTTAAAGGCATAGAGCCAATTATACTCCAAGTCAAACCACCTCAATCGAACATCAACCAAAGATCGACAACCGAGGAACTCGGCCTTGGCATCATCCATCTATTTAACTTATTCTAATCCCAAGCCTCACCTGATAAACTGCTTCACCAACTTCACTTCACCTCACCTCACCTCACCTTTCACTTATTACTCAATACACCGAACCACCAGCCAAGCAAAATGCCCACCGCCCTACAAACAACAGCCCTAGGCTGGCTCCTCATCTCCCTCGGCCACACGGTAGATACACACCCCATACCCGACCAATCCTTAAGAAGCAAACAAGCACTAACATGAATGAAAAAAGATCTCAGCAAAAGACTGGCAATCCCACCCCCAAGTCCGCACCCTCCCTAATCTAGCCTACACCTGCGCAAAAGCAGGCTGGTACCAAGGAAGCGGGTTCTTTCTGATGAACGGTACGTATATACTACACGTACTACCTTACCTCATCTTTTCCTTTCCTATTTCTTTAAGCCTATACAATAGATTTCAATTGAAAACAAGTCGACATAAGACATACATAACAAGGGGTAACTAATGGATAAAATAGCATTAATCAATTATAACTGGTCGCAGGATCCGACTCTCCTCAGTGATCCTGTTAATCGGGCTTTGGCGGTCTTGATGACGGCTATTGTGGGGGTGAGTTCCGTGTGGTATTTGAGGAGGGGGGTTAGGTCGAATGGGATTGTGGTGGGGGTTATGGGGGCTTTGCAGGCTTGGGCTGTTTTTGGGAATTAAGTTCTTTTTCTTTATCACTTTTTGAACTGGTTTATTGGGGGTTATGGATTGATGGGGTAAATGGGGGGGGTGGTTTCTTTTTGTGTCGCATCGATTGTTGAGTTTGGAAAGCTTATGCTACGCATATTTGCGAGGTATTAGTAGTGAAAGAAGCTGATAACTTGAGCGCGTGTGTGTATGTATGGAGCTTCATCTAGAGCTTGGACATACGACTTCCATCATGAATAGTGAGGCAGCTAATCCTAGTTAGTTATGTGGTACATATATGCAAGTCAATGCAATATACAGGTGGACAAGGTACCAAATCTCGCTCTCAAATATCATTGTACGTACACCAGAATACAGCCTATCATGTACTAGGGATATATGGATGATTTGAAGAGATATCAAATGCAACACCAGTCCGCACACCAACTCCGCCATGCAAGGCCAAAATTACAATTGTATGAACAAAGCCAACCAATATGTGACGTGTGCACCCGATTTACACCTCGCATCTATTTCTCCACGTACTGCTCGTTACTGGTAGATGCGGCTCGACGGCCCCATCCAAAGAAGCCTCCGCCCGTGGCAGGCTCCGTGGGTGCCTTGTGGAGACTCCCCGTAGACGATAGGGATCGAGTGATAGAATTGCGATCCCCATTCTGCGACAGCGATTGCTGCGACGCGGCTATTAGCTTTCGCATTCCCTCCATTTTCACCTTAGTCTCTTCCAGTTCCTGCTTAGCAACCGCCTCGGCCGTCTTCGCATTGACCAATTCGAGGAGTAAGGCTTCTTCGGCAGCCGGCTTATTATTCTCGGTCGACAAGACGCTCTGCAAGCCGAGACTGCTGGTCCTTCTGGTGAATGTGCTCTTCTGCGAGTTGGTGCGCACCAGTCGCAGCTCCCGCAGTCCGCCTGGAATACCCTCTCCCGGCTCGCTGATCGGCGAGCCATAATCTGTCGGTGTATCGGAGCTACTTCGGGGGTTCCGAGCCGTGCGCAGCTCGCGCACCACGCGTTCGAGCCGCTGCCGCTCCCGATAGGTGTCCTGAATGCGACCCCGCGCTTCCCGCAGCTGCTCTCGTAGCGAGGAATTCTCCTTCTCATGTTCATCCATGCGGCGCGTTAAATCAAGGCACCGACTGGATTCCACAGCGTGCATTTCCTTCCACCGATTGAGGTCTTCGAGAAGCTGCTGCTTGCTTTGGCCGATCGATTCGTGTTCCGCGGCGGCTTCGGTCGCTCCAAACCGTTCTTCGGCTTTGGTGATCAAATCGGTCGGCGGATTCTCGAGCCCCTTGAGGTAGTTCAACATAGACTTGGACGGTTTTTGATCCGCTTCGCGTTCTTCGCGTTCTTGTTGCAACTCCCGGGTGAGGTCCGCGTGCTGTCGCTGTAGGTCACTGAGGGCCATGAGCAGGTCTTCGATCTGCGTGTGGAGGTCACGATCTTTGTGCTGAGACATGACAGACTTCACGCGCGGCTTCGGCGCGTCAGTGGACAGCTCCGTCGGAGCGGTGCTGGCGTCCGACGTGGATTCAATTGAATTGAGGGTTGAAGTCATGCTTTGTTTGGAAGTGGTGCGACGAATGCTGGCCGAAGTGCTAGCGTGATTAGGATTGAGGGTAAACGGCTTGGCAGAGGTGGGAGAACTAGACCCCGCCCAGAAACGGCCCAGGAAGCGGGACGCCGCGGCTTGCATCTGTGGGAAGGAAATGCCGGTCGGCACTCCTTGGGACTTGTAGCTGGCTTCCAGCGTCTGCAGACTATCCTTGGTTACCAGCGAAGTTAAAGAGACAAAGTCGTTGACAAAATCGTCGGCGTGGCAAGCATACCTATCTCGGTTAGTCCGCGGTTCTTTTGGTTATTGAAAATGAGCTGCGACTTACGTATCCCACAAGCTCCTGGACAAGAGAAGCTGCATGACGTCTTCGAACTCCGCACAGGCCATGATTTTCTTCTCGTTGCGCTGCATGAGCGACAGCGCCACTCGCATCAGTGTTTCGCAGGCACCTTCGAGGAAGATCACATCATAGATCCGCAGAAGCATCGGCATCGGACACGCGACCGCAAAGAACGACAAGAACCACTGCGACACGTAGATTGGTTCAACGTGTAGCGACTCCAGGTGCGCAAACAACGTCGGGCGGAGACGGGCGAGAAGGTTTTGGAACTGGTACACACGAAGATGAAGCCCCGATAAATCGGGAAGGTAGCATGTGCGCATATCATAGTGGTCCATGAGCCTAAATGGTCAGCCCCCTACTCGAACCCTTGCACGTTAGGCGTAGACTTACCGGACAAGGACGCAAAATGCTTCAGCGTCTGTCATGTGCATCAACAACGGACCAACAACGAAACCTAGACCTTGGCAGTAGCCGATTTTCGTATCATAGAGGCTGAAACACTTCAGCACTCGAGCGAGCATCTGCTGCCCTTCCCCATGAGGATCGCGGAACATCTCTACATTGGGAAAACTACGGCCGATGTCTTTGCCAATCAGTCCTTCGTATGGACTCGTCTCGCCGCAAAGTCTCTGGTATTCGGCTAATAAGGTCGTGTCTCGAGCTCCAGCCAGGCTAGGCCATACAACCCCTCGCAAAGGAGGCGGAATACCAGTACGGATCTTATTCGACGTCAGAGTCGGCAGTCGCTGCGCTGTTTGTGGGTAATCTGCGACCAGGGCAGCCCAGAATTCAAGCTCAGTCATCGGAGGGGGAGGGAGCTGGGAGTATCGCAGCGATCGGGGATCGTCGTTGATCAATTGCTTAACCTGACGCAAAGACTGCGATCGGGACTTCCTCACTCCTCGAAACTGCTGTGCTTGCAGGCCTGCCTTGGGATCGGTCGCCAGAGCATTGTTCTCCTGCTCCAAGCGAGCCAAGAGAAGGGAGGTGGACTAAGTTTGGTTAATTTAGGAGCGTCATATTTCCCTTGGCTTGAGCGCCCATGGCCATCGTATGATACGCACCTCATCGGATCCCTCCCCACGCGGTTCTTGTTCTTCTGATTTCTCCAATTCCTTCCAGTCTACTCCATCGGCCTCCCCGCGAAAAATCTCCTCACTACTTCGCGAAACTATCGACGCACGGTATGTATGTGGTTGTAGAATCGGTTTTGAGTCCCGCGTGGGCGTAGTTTTCGTCGTGGGTTCGTCGGCGTCTACGCTTTCTTCTGTGGGGGAAGTAACTTCGACCGGGGTCTGAGGAATATCAAGTGTCCGCCAATCGGGCTGCGTATGCTCTGAATTGGATTGTATGTCGGACAAGGGGACTGTCACCATCGAGTCGGAATGTTGATGGATTGCGGGGACATTCTTCGGCAGGCCGGGCGACCCGATTTGAGGTGTGGTCGATAGGGAATTGTCCATTTTTTCTGTGTTATTCCTTTTTCTTTTCCTTCCTTCCTTCCCTCCGTTCTTTGTATACACACTTATTCGAGGCCAATGGTTCGTTGACAATCGCTGATCGGATGACGGGGAGTTGAGGGGGACGAGGGGCTAACGGAGAGCGAGTACACGATAAGGGGAGTGGCGAGTAATCGAAAAAGTAGCTGTCAAAAAGGACAGCATGTCTAGGTGCGACGACAACGGATGGCAGGGTTTCCCTTATCGTGGCGGGGTTGTAGAGTCAAAAAAAAAAAGCGAGGGAAAGAGAAGGAAAAGAGAAACGAAAGTAATCGGGCTCCTGGAGAAGAAATAATAATGACGGCAATGTAGAAAGTGTTAGCTAGAGGATTAGTGTCGGCCACTACGACGGGGACCCTAAACCACTAGTATTTCCATAGTCGTTAGTACATGGTCGTGACAGGCCCCTCAGGGGGAAAACCCGTATTAACATACATTTCCGAGTCTCTTGAAGTCTCGCCTGCCGATCGCTTTCAATAATTCCCTTTCACTTTATCACGGAGAGATTCTCTACGATTTGTGCTTATCACAGTAAGGATTGACAGTTCGCAAGTACACAGTCGATCAGGTACTCCAGGGTACTTACCCCCGAACCATGGAAGGACTGAAAATAGACACCCATAACCAACTATGTGTCATTCTATTGTATCGAGGGGTAATCTCCGAAATCCAAGACGAGAGAGAAACCCAATGGAAACAGCGTGGAATCCGTGGGTGATTCTCTGGATCCGGTCGATCCAGACCGAGAGTCCCCACTGCACTATAAAGCATCCATAACCATTTCAATAGCCCTGCAGGTGATGAGTGGTTTATCCACTTCAAGACGGTGAAAGAAAGAGACAGAAGCTTGGACATCGGGGGGAGAGTCATTGCGGCGTTGTGTTTATCACAATCCGACTCGCCTGGTGTACAGTTCAATTCTTCAATCCATGAGTACTATACTAGTAAATGCATGCACGACGTCCCTGAATATGCTGCAGAGAATGGAAATCCCATGACTGGCCTAAGAGACGGCAGTTCCCCTGAATGTAATGATACCATGCAATAACCAGTTTCATGCGTTTCGGGTATGGCGATATCCATATTGATTGGCTGATGGGACCACTGGAGTGGTGTCATTGGACGCCATGTAATATAATCTGTATCGGGCACTGTATGCCAAGGCAAGTCCCCTTGTTCACCGTTGGGCAACCTCTCATTCGATTAATATATTAAGATGATTCAAAGGTAAAAGGGGATTATCAAGCATGAACAACAATACAAAATTCCATCATATTTTTAGAACACTATTGGGCAAGGCTAACCTCCAAGAAGTTAGTGAGCGACACCTGATAGTGTGCTTGGCTATAGCTTCGGCCGTTACTTAGCACAGCTCATATATAACTTGAAAGGGGGAATATCTGCGGAGGTCTTAGGGATCCCACTGATCAGATTACGGGATGGAACATAGAGTCTACAGCATTATTTTAGAAGTAAAAGTTCTTGTATATACTCAGATAATAAAAAGGATTTTGTGACACGAAAAGAAGATATATACACCAAGTAGTGTAACGTGCGCAATATTACCTTCAATCATCAAATCGCTCAATTCCGTCGTCTAGGGAGACTAGCTACAGTCTTTATTCTGAATGACTAAACAAACTCTCTAAAACAATGCGCGAGACAGCAACAGAATGAATCAGGATACAAGTAGTAGGTAGTTACAGACATACAGTGTCTAAATAAATAATGTCTGGTTCGTGTGGTGAGTTGTTTTGTTTTTCCCCTCCCCCGCGCCCCCCCTTGGATGTTTTGGTCACCATATCCCGTTCGGGCGCAAGTGTTTAGGAATTGCCTGATTCGGCCACAGCTCCGCCGCCACGAGGCGGAACAATGCTGATCCGATGGCGGAAGGACAGTTTCTGCCATCAACCCACCAGTCGCATTGGGCGCGTCAACAACTGAAAAGCAACACAGGATACGACAAAGGAGGCGTTTTTTGACTGGGGGCCCTGACGGTGGTTTTGTTTATTTCTCTTAATCCCCACCTGACTTCTTTCACTTTTCAGAGGTGGATTGTGTTTCTTCTCCCCCATTTCCCTAGTTTTCTTGTCACTCGTTACGCACCTTTCCTTCTGTTTTTGCCTCCCTACTGTTCGGCCTTTTCACCATGGATGACTCAATGGTTGAATCCGTCTTTGAGGACGATGGAAGCTCTGACTTCGAACCAGCTCCCGTATGTCCGAATACTCTCATCTAGCTCAGTCCACGCCGTGCATGCTAACGGTTTCATAGAAGCCCAAGGCGAAGGCGGCCCCCAAGAAGGCAGCCGCGCCCAAGAAGACGGCCCAAACAACTCTCACAGGCAAAGCCACCGGGAAGGGCGCCGCTTCGAAGAAGCGCGCCAAACCGGACAGCGACGACGACATGTCCGATAACAACCAGTCCGGCGATGACTCTGTTCTCTCACATACGCCCCCGAAGAAGGCAAAGAAGGCTCCCGCAGCCAAGAAGGGCGGCTCCAAGCCTCTTGCGGATATGGAAAATGAATCCTTCACAAACGATGGCGGTGATGCAGCCCCGAAAAAAGCAGACGCGTCAGAGAAGTACCAGAAGGCAAGTAGCGCCCTGGGTACCCCGCAAGTCGTCGGCTAACAGAAAGTTCAGCTTACACAACTTGAACATATTATCAAACGTCCAGATACATATATTGGGTCCATTGAACGTACCAAGCAGCAAATGTGGGTCTACAGTTCGGAGTCAGAAGGGATGGAGTACCGTGAGGTCTCGTATGTCCCTGGTCTCTACAAGATCTTTGATGAAATTGTCGTCAACGCGGCCGATAATAAACAAAACGATGCCAACATGGATGAGATGCGCGTGACAATTAACCGGGAATCCGGGGAAATCAGCGTGTGGAACAACGGTCGCGGTATCCCAATTGAGATGCACGCGAAGGAGAAGATTTACGTACCCGAACTCATTTTCGGTCATTTGCTCACCTCATCCAACTACGATGACACCCAGCAAAAGGTCACTGGAGGTCGGAACGGTTTCGGTGCCAAGCTCTGTAACGTTTTCTCCACCGAGTTTACCATCGAGACCCAGGACTCGCGGCAGAAGAAGAAATACAAACAGACGTGGACCAATAACATGACCAAGATGGGCAAGGCAAAGATAACCGATGCCAAGGGTGACGACTACACCAAGGTCACCTTCAAGCCAGACTACGCCAAGTTTGGTATGGACGGCATGGATGACGACTTCGAGGCCCTTGTGAAGCGTCGTGTTTATGATTTGGCAGGAACCACGAAAGTGGCAGTCAAGTTGAACGGCAGCCGGGTTCCCATTCGCAACTTCAAAAAGTACATGGAAATGTACACCAAAGCAATCCGTCGGGAACGTGGTGACGATGGCTCCAAGGATGAAATCATCACCTGCAGCCCGGACCCCCGGTGGGAGGTCGGCTTTGCAGTCTCGGACGGCTCCTTCCAGCAGGTGTCATTTGCGAACTCCATTGCCACAACCTCCGGTGGTACCCACGTGAACTACATTGCGGACCAGATTTGTTTCAAATTAGCTGAACAAGTCAAGAAGAAGAACAAGAATGGTGCAACTCTGAAGCCCGCTCAAATTCGGAATCACATCTTCCTGTTTGTGAATGCTTTGATTGTCAACCCGGCGTTCACCTCCCAAACTAAGGAACAACTGACCACCAAATCGTCCCAATTCGGCAGCAAATGTGTGCTTGAAGAAGACTTTTTCAAAAAGATTCTGAAGACAGACGTCATGTCGAACATTCTGCATTTTGCCCAGCAAAAGGCCGACCAGATGCTGAAGAAGAGTGATGGTGGCCGTCGTACTCGTATGAACAATCCCAAATTGACCGATGCAAACAAGGCTGGTACCAAGGAGGGTCACCATTGCACACTGATCTTGACGGAAGGAGAGTCGGCCAAGGGTTTGGCCATGGCTGGACGTGCGGTGGTCGGTCCGGATCTCTTTGGCGTTTTCCCCCTCCGAGGAAAGCTGCTTAACGTCCGGGATGCCACTTTTGAGCAGATCTCGAAAAATGTGGAAATTCAGAGCATCAAGAATTTTATCGGTCTGCAGCACAAGAAAGAATACACAGACACCCGTGGACTGCGCTATGGACACTTAATGATCATGACTGATCAAGATCACGATGGTTCTCACATTAAGGGATTGCTCATTAACTTCTTGCAAGCCCAATTTCCCAGTTTGTTGAAGATCCCTGAATTTCTTATTGAGTTTATCACTCCTATTGTGAAGGTGTGGAAGGGTGACCAGAAAAACCCGACGAAATCGCGCTCTTTCTTCACCATGCCCGAGTACGAGGCCTGGAGAGAGGAACACAAGCACGAACGCGGCTGGGAGCACAAGTACTACAAGGGTTTGGGTACAAGCACCACCGAAGATGCCCAAATTTACTTCCGTGACCTTGACCGCCACCTGAAGGAGTTCCACACCATGCAAGACAACGAGGTGGGACTAATTGAGCTTGCTTTCTCCAAGAAGAAGGCCGATGAGCGAAAGGAGTGGTTGCGGCAATTCAAGCCTGGAACATTCTTGGATCACTCGGTTTCGAAAATCTCCTACACTGACTTTATCAACAAGGAGCTCATCCTCTTCAGCATGGCTGATAATATCCGTTCGATTCCTTCGGTTGTGGATGGCCTGAAGCCTGGTCAACGCAAGGTCCTGTACACCTGTTTCCGTCGCAACTTGAAGAAAGATATGAAGGTGGTCGAGTTGGCGGGTCACGTTTCAGGTATGACCGCGTATCATCACGGCGACATTTCCCTGCAGCAGACCATTGTGGGTCTGGCACAGACCTTCGTCGGGTCCAACAACGTGAATTGCCTAGAGCCCAGTGGTAACTTCGGTAGTCGTCTCCAGGGTGGATCCGATTGTGCTAGTGCTCGTTATATCTACACTCGGCTGTCGCCGTTTGCGCGACGTATCTTCCATAGTCATGACGATCCGCTGCTCACTTATAACGAGGACGATGGTGCCAAAATCGAACCTGAGGTTTACGTACCCGTGGTTCCCATGGTCCTAGTCAATGGTGCTGACGGTATCGGTACCGGGTGGAGTTCATCCATTCCTAACTACAACCCCGAGGACATTGTGGACAACCTGAAGCGGCTGATGGATGGCGAAGAAATCAGGCCCATGCAGCCATGGTTCCGCGGATTCACTGGTGAGGTCACTGCAATTGGTGGCGACCGCTTCAAGTTCAGTGGTATCATCAAAGAGACTGGCGACAAGGAAGTTGAAATTACTGAACTTCCTATCCGTACCTGGACTCAAGACTTCAAGGATAAGCTCGAGGAAATCATCAAGGCCGAGAAAACTCCTTCATTCATCAAGGACTACAAAGACTACAACACGCACACCAAGGTTCACTTCATCATCCAAATGGACGAGAAGAACATGAAGGGCGCCCTGTCTGATGGCTTGGAGGAGAGGTTTAAGTTGTCCAAAACTTTGGCGACCACCAACTTGGTAGCATTCGACCCCGAAGGTCGTATCACAAAGTATGCCACCGTTGATGACATTCTCAAGGAGTTCTACACCTATCGTTTGAAGTTCTATGAGAAGCGCAAGCAGTATCAGCTCTCCCAGCTACAAAAGGAGCTTGAGAGGCTCAGCAATCAAGCACGGTTTGTTCAGATGATCATTGATGGGAAGTTAGTCGTCTCCAAGAAGAAGAAGCATGTCCTTGTTGCGGAGCTGAAGGAGAAAGGATTCAAGCCATTCCCCAAGGTGGCTGAAGCTGTCAAGGCTGGAGAAGCTGAACCGGTCGTCGAGGAGGAAACTGAAGAGGATGATCAGGACGCCGAGGTCCTATCCAATGCCTACGATTACCTTTTGGGTATGGCCATTTGGTCTCTGACCCAGGAACGTGTCGAAAAGCTCCGCCGCCAGATTGGAGACAAGGAGATGGAGATCGACGAGTTGATCAAGATGTCTAAGGAAGATATCTGGAAGCGCGATCTGGATGACTTCATCGCTGAATGGAGATTCCAGCTCGAGGATGAGCAGCGCCGCCAGCGTAAGGTAGCCTTGATGGATCGGCGCAGATCCTCAAAGCTTCCGACGGCTGGCCGTAAAGTGGGAGCGAAGAAGCGCAAGGCCGCTCTCGGAGATGATTCGGACGATGAGGACTTCGCCGCACCTAAGTCGAGGAAGTCCGCCGCCGCCAAAAAGGCTGAACCTAAAGGAGGTCTTCTCAATTACCTGAACAAGGCACCAGCGAAGTCTAAGTCCCCGCCGAAGGAGGAAGACAACTCAGATGATGACTTTGAGATGGAAGTGATACCCAAGAAGAACAGAGGAGCGTCTAAGCCCAAGGATGAGGAAGAGGATGATGTCGTGGCTCCGTCCGCCCAGTCGGAAGTAGAAGAGGTGCTTCCCAAGAAGAGTCGCGCAGCGCCCAAAGCCGCATCTAAAGCCGCTTCCAAATCCAAAGTGGAAGAGGACGTGATGGAGGTCGAGGCACCTCCTAAGAGGGGCCGACCAGCAGCCAAAGCGAAACCAAAGCCCAAGCCCAAGGACGATAACGAGGATGAGGACGATCTTGACGATGATGACTTTGTGGAGATTACCAAGGCTGAGGCGGCCAAGTCGTCAGCTCCCCCCAGCCGGGCCCGCAAACCTGTCAAGTATGCCTTGAGCGATTCTGACAGCGACAACGGGGATGACTTCCTGGGCGATGTCAGCCAGATGGTCAAGGGCATCGGGGCCAAGGATAGCGCATCCACGTCTGACTCCCGGCTGCTTTTCTCTGAGCAACAACCCGGTAGCGGCTCTGCATTGCCGACGAACTCCTCGAAGACGTCGAAACTGTCATCTGATTTCGACGCGGACGAGACTGATTACGGAAAATTGTTGCCTTCAAAATCTCCTCGGCGGTCGCTGCAGGTCAAGCCTAAGGAAGTAAAGGCCTCGGATGATAATGACATGGAAGAGGAAGACGACGAACCTATCAAACCTGCCGCCTCCAGGGCTAAGCCCGCTGCGAAGGGCAAGGCGACGACCACCGCTGCGAAGTCGACCACCGCAAAGCCCCGCGGTCGTCCCAAGAAGGACGCTGCTAAGCCTAGTGCTCCGGCTACCAAGCAGACCACCCTGTCTCCAGCTGCCAAGGCCTACGCCTCCAAGCAGGCCAAGGCCGCTAGCAAGAAAAGGCAGTTAGCCGATGATTTGTCCGATGACGATATCGATGCCATGGCCAATGATATCTTAGACTCTCCCGCTGGGGTTAAGAAGACCGCCGATTCCGACGAGGACGTGCGTCCTGCTCGGAAGCCCACTGGCCGGCCGGCACGGCGGACTGCAGCTGCAGTTAAGAAGACCTATGTGATTGATGATGACAGCGAGGATGGAGGTGATTCGGAAGATGATTTCCAGGAGGACAGCGAGTAAGCTGAGTGATGGATCGGGAGACGTTGAGCGTCTGGATTTCATTTCGTTGTATTGGTATCAACTTGTTGATTGCCATAGTTTATCTTGTGTTTTCTCTCACTCTGTTACCTTTCTATGAATTTGTGTTGGCGTTAGGTCTCGGGATTGAATCGGGTTTTAGGATGGATAACAGTAATCTAAGAGATTTACCACCGAAGGTATACACCAATCAAGTAGGGCATCTGTAAGCCGGAGGGAAGTCCGAAGCTCCACAAGCCGACAAGCTTTTTCTCGCCGAGTCGGAAATCGGGCTTAGTGCGCGGACCCGATAACCCGTTCAGGTAATCTTCTATACCGACAGGCCCTACTCTATCTCTCATGGGCCCTTCACGCACACAAATCCACCAAAGCTTCCGAGTCAGTCCACTCTAAATCCGAGATAGGCAATGGTTCTATTATTCAGCATGTACCTGATTTATTTGACGGCGTTCTCCCCTCTCTCGTTCCCCTGCTTGACTGTGGCCAGCAACTGACCCTACCATGCAGTCCTATCTCCAATACCGTCGCATCGGCCAGGCGGTGCGCAGGCAGCTTGCTGACCTTCCTGAATGGGGCCGATGTCCGCAAGGAGAGGACAAGGATACGAGTGACAACACCAGCGAAAATGGTGAAACAAACCGGGAAAAATGTTCCGAGCCGCGGTCACTAGCGATGCCACCAGGCGTTCAGCCGAGAGGTATCACGGATAGTATTGGAACACCTTCGTCAGTTTTTATCGTCGACTGGGAGCAGGATCGGGATCCCATGAACCCGCGTAACTTTAGTATGGCAACCCGAATCACTGCGACCCTGATCGTGTCAGCCCTCGCCTTCGCAGTCGGCGCGGCATCCTCAATCGAATCAGCTGTGATACCCCAAAATAGCGCCGCATTCAACGTCAGCGAGGTCGTCGCCTCACTCGCGACAGGACTCTACCTCCTCGGCTTCGCCACAGGCTCCCTCGTTTCCGGCCCGTTATCCGAAATCCTGGGCCGCAACGCCGTGTATATCGGCTCGCTCACCCTGTTTATGATCTTCATCATGGCGAGCGGCCTAGCCCCCAACATCGGCGCCCAGCTCGCCTTCCGCTTCCTCGCGGGCGTCTTCGGCTGTCCTCCTCTCACATGCGCTGGCGGCACAATCGCCGACCTCTGGAACCCGCTCGAAAAAACTCTCACCTTCCCCCTCTATGCCATCCTTTCCTTCGGTGGCCCCATCTTCGGCCCCGTTATCTCCTCTTACATGGGCCAAGGCACCCTCTCCTGGCGCTGGACTAACTGGATCATGCTGATAATGTCCGGCCTCATAATGGCCCTGATCCTCCTCTTCCAACCCGAAACCTACGGGCCCCTGCTCTTGAAATGGAAAGCCGCACACCTACGCCAGGTAACAGGCGACAAGCGCTACCGCTCCGAAATGGACGTTGAAAAGATCGCCCTCTTCGACCGGATCACAAGCGCCTGCGCGCGCCAGTTCTCTCTTACCATCCATGAGCCCATCATCCTGCTTATATCCCTCTACATGACGGTCCTCTACATCGTCCTCTTCACCTTCTTCGATGGATACCCGTACATCTTCCAAGACGTCCACGGCCTAAGCCAGGGCCTAACAAATATCGCCTGGGTTGCCATGTACGTCGGCATCGCCCTAGCAAGCCTATTGGTACCAGTTGTATACAAATGGACGAAAAAAGAATTCCAAGCCGCCTCACCAACACCATCCAACCTAAGCGAATTCCCAGAAACACCCGAAAACCCACATCCAACAAGACCAGAAAACAGACTCTGGTTCGCCATGCTTGGCGCCCCCTTCATCCCCATCGGACTCTTCTGGATGGGCTGGACAGACTATGTAAGTTCTTTACACCCAGCCCCTTCTAACCCCCATACCCATACCATCAATCAAACTAATGACTGAGTTGAAAATCAAAAAAAGAAATCAATCTCGATCTGGTCCCCCATACTCGCCTCCTCAGTCTTCGGCTTCGGGACAATAACCGTCTTCATATCAAGTTACATGTACGTGATTGACTCATACGATATCTACGCTGCCTCTGCGCTGGGCTTCATGACTGTTTCGCGGTATTGCGCTGCGGGAGGTATGACGGTTGTTGGGATCCCGTTTTATAAGGATATGGGGGTGCACTATACATTGACTATTTTGGGGTGTATTAGTGCGGTGATGACGCCTGTGCCGTATATCTTTTGGGGGTTTGGGGAGAGAATCAGGTCTTGGAGTAGGTTTGCTGTTGCTTAGATTTATAGTTTTATTCTACATACCATTTTGTAGAGAGGGTGTAAGATAGATAGGTAGAGGTTGAGGGTAACATAGAGATAGAATAGATCTAGAAGGTTTAAGGGTAAATTATAAAATTATATTGATTTGGTTTGATTTGATTTGATTGGAATGAAATGAAATGCAACAATCACAATCTCAATCGCAATCCGAACCCCGACTCGTTCCAAGAAAGAGAGCAAATGAATTGCTTCGGGATCATCCATTGCATCACTAGACTGACTTTCTTCGCGGGCAAATACTGAATGTGTGCTGTGTCAATGATTTTCTTTCTTTGTCTTTGTTTTGTTTTGTTTACCTTATTTATCTCCTCTTTCTTGGTATGACAATGGAACCTGGGATTTTAATATATTCCATTGTGAGCAGTATGCATAGCAAACATTGAACTTCAAGTAACTCTTATAATAACCCTGAAGAGCAGTGCAAACTAATGCTTTGCGACCCTTTCAGGTTACTGCCATATAGCACAGGTAATGGATACCTTCACTCTATGTGCATAACCCCAAGTACCCATGGAGCTATTTGAATAGTGACTTATTGTACATTGATCATTTCTTCCATTGATCCTAACTATAGGCAGCTACCATGGATGTCAACAGTATTCCTCACCTGAGAGATGGATGACTTGTTTCTTTGTCCGCTAACCCCTTCGCATTCTACATGAATTAGTATATCTGACTCCTAGTAATAACATAGAGTATCACGTATCTTAAAGAACAAAGCCAACAATAAATATGCGCTGCAGATGCCCACGTCAGAGCCACAAAGCTTCTAGACTCATCTATAGCTGCGTTCTCAGATCTCCACGCGAAGAGGGAACATACCACTATAGTGACTCTTACCTGGGCATTGACCAGTCTTGCAACAGGGAAGGACGCCACGAAGAAGCTCGGGTTCTATTTATATAAAGACAGACGTAATGCGAAACTCCTTTTCTTTTCAATTATTTCCTAAAGGATCCTACTTTTCAAAGGAATTAGTATCTCTTTTTAGAGACACCTATATGTCCCTACTCCTAAAATCCCTTTCAACCGTTACTAGCTGACCTGGGGATAGTTGCAACGTATCTTTATTGATCAAGCGTGGATGGTACAACTTGTTTCCTTTTAACCCTTTCATAACGTGTTATGCTGACCACGAAAGACCTACAATTGATATTTGTTTCCTTAGAGCTCGTCGTGCACCCACTCTACCCTGCCCCCTTGTCTGAAAACACCAATTGCTATCTAAAATAGTCAATCATACATTGGTTTCCTTAGTAACAACTAGGCCATAGGTAAGCACCAGCCGGGATGCTTTTATTTCTCTCATTGACGCTAGCGTAGTACTGAGCCACTGGTTAATATACTACATAGTTCGGCATGTGACACGGCGAGAAGTGCCCTTCCCTTTGGCTTGGTACTTAGAATTCGGACTCGTTCGATTCGTACAAATAGAGCAGTAGGCCGGACTACCTGCTCTCCAGGATCTTCCTTACCCGAGTCACCGACAAATATATCGACTACAATGAATACGGAAAACGGTTCTCGATCAGAACAGGGCCGTGTACCAATGTCAGCAGAAAGACGAAGACAGTGGCAAGAAAGAAGAGCCCAGCGCTAGTGGAGGCGCAGGTTCCAGGAATATATCATCTCTAGGCCGGATAACACTCTCCATGATCTACTCATGAGGCTATCAGAGGAACGGGATAAAGACAAAAACATCCTAGATATGGAAATAGTCCGGCAATACGTACCTTTTTAAATTGAGGGCAGATCCCTCTCCAATATAGATACGCGGGAGGAGCTTACATGGGCAAAGGAAGACGCGGTCAAAAAGCGAACACATGGAATTGAATCGTAAGTTATAAATCCTCATCCCGATAGTTGCAGAGGTTGCTTTTAGCACTTTCCAGTATCCATGCATATACCTGGAGTCAGCCGTATGATCGTTCGAGCCGTGTCGTAGCCCTGTGGTATGGCGAGGAGCCCAAACTGCCGGAATTCCTTGAGAATATTCTTCACTTCGAGCTTCAATTGAATACTGATCCCAGAGAGATCCGTCCTGATATTTCACGTAAGATTCATCCTGTTAATTCCTAATCTATTTCTAAAGTAGCACAGCCTACTCGTTCTTTCGGCAACCTAGAAATTCTTAGGCATTTTGAAAGATGAATTTCACAATGGAGACCGTGCGCGCCATGTAGGTGTCACAGCGGGCCATATCCTCGACGATGGCATCTAAGACACCGCTGAACTTGAAACTGATGATCGGATATATCCGGTCCAGCTACAAGTAGCGCCTAAGTTCGAACGGCAAGGGAGGAGGAAACCCGCCTTCCGGCAACACTAGCCTAGGCCCCGAGAGTGCTTTGATGAAATCTGTCTGCTTTAGGCAGACGCGCTATCGAATGAGCTGATGACCGTGTGCCATCTAACGGACGCCATACATTGCAATGCCCTGTTTTCTGCGCCGAAACGCATTGATCTAGTTGACTCTCTCCAGGACCCAGCTCTTAACCTCAAAAACGTTATCGAGCCAGTAAAGCATATGCTTTTCCACTGGAAGTGCACAAGCACGGAGATTCGACCGGACAAAAAACCAGTGTACTCGTGGCTGTTGAAGACATGGAAGATGATAGCTCCTCAACACTGGCATTTAGAGATGACACCAAGGAGTGGTAATTGGTGATCAAATGGCTGTCCCCTGAGCCGCTTGCGAACGCTGGCGACTCTAGAAGTCTTGTTTACGCAAGGCACCATGGTAAGATTATCCCTTTAGGGATCCATTGTGGATCCCATGAAGGTTCAAGGGTTAGTTAGGCGTTTCTTCTCTGGTCATGGTGCGAGGAGCTAGATTCTAAACTGGGCCTACGACTTACATTTTGTTCTCCTGACTCCTGCCCCCATAAAAAAGCCGCTGTTGAAGATTCGCACAGTTCATCCTCTTAGTTGTTGTTTGTATCTTAAGGCTTTCTCTCTTGTTCATGAGAGTTTCCGTCGTCAACCAGTCCATGTGCCCTGCGGCCCACTTAGCTGTCTCTACGTTGCTGTTGCTTTTTCTCTTCCTTTCTTTCCTTTTTTTTCTTCGTTTCTAATTTTATTTTGACATTTTGAGGGGGTAGAATATAGATGGGTAGGGGTTGAAACTAATATAGTGATGGAATAAAACAGATGTAAAAGTTTCTAGTTAGGGAAATCTAGAATGAAAATGGTATATTTGATTTGAACTTGGTTTGATTGAAATGGACTGACAAACAAAAGCTATACGAAATAATCACAATGCCAACTCCGACCCGTTCTATTTATTCATATCGCTTGCATCTGGCACAGTACGCTAGACTAGCTAAGCAGACGCCCGGCGTCTCTTCCTGCCCTGCTTCACCCAGACATAATCCTCGTTCACCGGCTGCATGTACAGACTAAGTAGGGTATGCGCCGCTTTCACCTCACGGGAGAAGAGCGCGGATCTGTACTTTTGCCGGGAGCGCGTTTCCACGTTGTATTTGTCGTTTGGCGGCAGTATGTTGTCATCATCGCTGTCGCGGTATTCGGAGTCGGAGTCGGAGGAGCAGTCCGTTGGTGTTTTCATGCTTCCTGAGGAGGGGGTTGAGGAAGGTGTCCTGTTGGAACTTGCGTCTTCATCGTTGGGTTTGGGAGGGAGGGAAGATAGGGTTTCTCGTGGCGAGGGGACGACCGAGCTGGCCGGTTCGGTGCGGGGGGTGTTTACGGGGGTGAATGTGTTGTAGACTGAGCTGGTCGGTGAGACACAATATATTTCCGGAGTGCCGTATTCTGATGAACCCTGACTGGCGGAGCGATCGGGCTCACGGGGCCATGGCTTGGGACGGTGCAAGATGGGGCGGAAAGGGGCGATGGCAGGGGAGCGGAGCTCTAGAATCCGGTAGAAGTTGGCGGTGTCTGTGGCTTTCTGGACGATTTCCGGGTCTATGAGCATGCGGCCGTAGAGATCCAGGTTGTCTGGGGGGATGCACTGAGATGGGAAGTCCAGGCCGAAGAGGGGAGTGAGGACGTGGCGGATATTCCAGCAAAAGGTTGCGGCGACGGCTTTTGCGGTTTCGAAGGGCATCCAGTATCCTATTGATCGGTTAGATAGCTGAGTAGACAAGAGCGAATGCGATCATTACCTTGTGCTGCAATGGCCCCGCCTGTGATACTGTGACAGATGTCGCGAAGACCGGGATTTGCGTTCAGTACTTTGGCAGGAGTGGTCTGAAATCCTCCGGTTACTTGGGGGCCCCCGCGTCCAATGTTAGAGACACGTACCTTGGAGTATAGCTGGCACTTAAAGAGATGTGTTGTCCGAACGAGTCCGATATTGTAGTCCCATGTTACTGTCCATTGCTTGTCTTCTCCGGGGATCTTGAACGTGTACTGGAATACTGTGGGAAATCAGCACCTTATCTTCTTACATGTTCAAGCACGACATACCTTCAAAGCTCTCCCGTCCAGTCTTCTCCTGGAATGTCTTCTTGTCGCTGTTGTATGGTATGTGCCTCGGATATTTTGCGATGTCCCCCATCGGGTGAAGTTGGAATTCGCGGTGCACTTGGGCTAGTGCTTCGTCGCACTCCTCGCAGGGCGGATACCGCAGCTCTCCCCGGATCTTATTCCTGTTGAAGACAGGAGCATCCTTCGCGATTCTTGGTTTCTTCTGACGTGGCGCTCTGCAGGGAGCCGGGTCGGAGCTCGTCAGCGGAGAGCTGGGGAGAGAGAACTGAACCACATCAGGAAGTGGATTCAGTAGTGACTCTATGGACGCCATGAACAAGAATGCTCGATAAAGTTAGAAAAGGTTGTATGTTCCAGGTGCTAGTGAAGCTTGAAAACTTTTCCTCCGAAAGCAAGCAGAAAGATGTGCCGAGCGAGTGAAGATATCAAGATGACCTGGGATTTATCTAACTTCACAAAAGGTGGAGACTAGAGGTTTTCATCAGGCGCTTAGCCACAGAGAAAACAGATTCTAGAGATTCTAGGAGGCATCCAGGGGACGGGAAACAATGAGAGAAACAAAAGGAAACAGCATGAATATCAGGGTACGGATATCCAAGGATACCGCGGCTCCGGGGTAATCACCAGGATGGTAGAAAAGAAAAGGGAAAAATTAAAATAAAGATTCAATAAAAGTAATTATTTAGAAAAGAACAAACACTGATGTCTAAAGTAACATAACCGCCATAAGCATGTCCTTTGTCAGGAAAATCCAGCAACGCAATTAGAGTGGATACTTAACAACACCAGATGAAACGTCCTAGGTGGCTCTCGCTGTTTGCCAGCCATCCATGTACGCTCTACACGAGGCAATATGTTATCAAAGGCAGCGGTGAGCCGGACCTACGACTACATCCTCCACTGGACGACTAAGTTGGGTGGGATGTCTTAGATGGACTGAGTCTTCGGCATGAACAACACTCACCGGTACTTTGCCAAAGGTGGCATCACGAGGTACCCATCGGATTGGACCAGACAACATTGGGGAGTCCAGCTTGCCATACCTCAAGACCAAAGAATGTGTAGCAGGTACTCCCCCAGGGCAAAAAATAGAGATTGAACTGGTAATGAGCTCTCGATCCGTGCGGCTGCCATAACAGCAAGCGACCCGTTCACGACAATTTTCTTTCTAACAGATGAAGGTACTAGGAGACACCTTTGGGTCCTTTTCGAGGCACTTGTTCCACTTCAGATCTGCAGTTACCCAAGACCTACCAAGATGATGCAAAGCCAGGAACGAGACACGGTAGATCACGTTTCAGACACTCTCATCCCCATGTGGAGGTACTGCATGGGTGACGGCAATTGAAACCACTCACATTGCTTTTTCTTGATGTTAATGTCGACGCCATGCAAACAGTTGCAGACGGTGATCTAGGGGGCGTAAGCCTGAACAAGAGGTACCATGGAACCTCTGAAGGATATCCACAGATAGTTGTATCGCAAGGACTTCTTGTGTTCAATCGTTTTGCTCGATCCCCTTCCGTGTATTGTGATATGAAACCACCATCACAGCGGTGGTTATGACAAGCGATCCGTGTACGTGAACTCGATCTCAGAAGGAAGCCACCGAGAGGATTATCCCTCATGGTGGGACAGCCAATAAACGAAGAGACTCATCGGCGTTGGTCAAAACAGAGGGCATTGGAGAGGTCTTAGACACGGAAGGCTGCATATAGCCAGCTTCTTGTCCAACGGAAACCTATTAACGTGGCCAGTGAACAACTGAGTCAGCCCCCCCTCAGCCCCCTGGTAGTCATGACTTGGCATGCAGTTTTGGCAAGTGAAAGAGAAGGAAAGCTTGGGATAAGCCATGTGAAGCTGAGACTCTTGACCGCTAACCCATGAGTAAAACCTAAAGTGGCCCCGATGAGTGAACAACCACTATCAAGATCTAGGTCAACGATCATCGTTATATTGAGAGGGCTCAATAGCGAGGAAATCATTCTGTTTCCCATCCTGATGAGCCGAAATTGCGATGCGCCACGAGAAATACCTGTTTATTAACTTGGTCATGAGAGGTTGAACTGAAGCCTCACCTCTCTTCGAGCGTAACACCCGTTCATTTACCAAGCCGGTTGCTCGGTGTTTTAAAAGCCCAATCCGGATAGGTCAGAGAAGATTTATTCACGCTAAGTATTTGCCACAGGGCTGCTAGACGACACAGATGACTGGCTATAGTCATCGCAGAATTTTCCGCGCTGGCTTCTCTGCAGTAGTCCCACTAGTAATGGTGGCGTTTGACGGTCTTTGTCTTGCTAAATATATATATATATATATATATAAATGATTAAAGATTCTGCATCGAAAAATGCCCTTTGCCTCGTTTCATCCCTTTGTGGTAATGCTCCTAGAATTTCGGCTACGGTTGCATAGTATATCAGTAAAGCCCAAGCTTCACAGTAGCCGGCAGGTAGGGACCCAGGTCAAAGCACTCATCCTACAGGAGTGTCCCCAAATCAAGGGTAGAGAAACAAGGAAAAACAAAGAAAGAAAGAAATAGAAACCCTCTTTGTCAATCTATTGACAAATTGTTCAGGATTGGGACGGAATATCAAATCTAGAAACCGAACAGAAGCCCAACATCCGAGACATACATTTCCTGGTCTAGGGGAAACAAAAGCGAGTTCAAACTGTTCATTCTATCTGTTATTAGAAAGGTGAACAAGCCAAACGACGAAGTTTCATAATGAGGCTTGTCGGTCTCGAAGCAAGAGGCTTTAAACCTAAGCAACCATCGCGTGAGTTGTAAGACATCATCTCGTGTTGAATCTGACCTAAACAGGCTGTAGCAATCACACATGAATCTTGCTCACTCAATAGTGTAGCACCTTTACTAACACGCAAACGCGATGATTCAAAAGACGGGTAGCGATCGGATGACCTGGCAGTGTTGTTGTAAAGTAGAATAGCTAAGTGAGTACTACTACTAGGAGTGTCCAAAACGGTGTGGTTGAGGTGCAAACAGACCAAACTCCCTCGACCTACAATAAAATCAGCTGACAAGACCCGTCCATCGATGACGTTGATATCATTATCTTGGCACTTTCTATACTAGTATTTATGTTCATACTTCGGTAGTAATACACACGATGATCGTCTCATTAGATCTAAATCTTCAGTTAACTTTACATAACCTGATTAAGTGGAAGTTCCCGGTGGTCTGAAACAGGATCTCTCACAACCGGCATCGCAAAACAGTCGCACACCTGTGTGACGCCTCTCGACCTGGATAGCCTTCGTTCACCAGCAGCCAAGCTCATGCTGCTCCGTCAGCAACCAGGAACGGTCATTACTCGAATCCTGGGATGTAGGCTTGCAGGAACCAGTCATCCGGGGATGTATGGGCATACCGATGTCCTAGACGACTGCCGGGGTTCTGCAGCGGGAGAAATGTAGCTCAAAGCGGCCGGAAATATCCCGGAAACACGCGTTGCTTTTCAGAAGAGCACAAGACTACGGCGGAAATAATATCGGTGACATTGTACAACACTTCCAATTCCCTGGAGAAATGACTATGAGTATCTCTTTTCCAAAACAAATGTTCGCCTCTGTACGTGATCATATGTATATGTGTGTATGCCTTACCCGCAGTAGGACCCTAATTTCATTCTCCCGGGCAATGAACAGCATTGGCCAAATTAGAAGGCTCCATTGAACGTAAGAGATGTACATACAAAGGCCGAAGATACTAACGAGTACAAAGATGAGATTGGTGTCAGGGTGAGAAAAAGAATAGGGGAGGAAGACCAGTTCTTTGGCGCAATAGGGAATTTGAGAAGCCAAACCTTCGAAACGCATCATACCGTCTTGTCATCGTACAACACCTATTATCCATTCTTATACCTCCGCATCCAGTACAATTTTGGTTGAGCGTGACCCACAAAACAGTGCCGAATAAAGAAGTTCTTGCACAGGCCGACAAGTTCATCACCCCAGTCCGGTGATTTATCCATGTGCGGTTGATCGAGCAAGGCACGAGGGGAGTGACCCCAGGCAGCTTAAGCAGCCAGGAGAGGCTCCTTCTCCACGCTCGAAGCAGGATGCTCAATGGACTCCGCTACCGCCACAGGCTCATCCTTGGGAGCCTCCGGAAAGTCCGTGGTGTTAAACGCGGGCTCGGTGTCGATCTCCTTCTTAATAACAGGTTCCGGGGTGGCGACCTTAGCCATCTGCGGCGATACGGACCGACGGTGGCCGATATACTCCTGGGCCTTGGCGCTATAGTCATCGACGTACTGCTTCACCAAGCCCGTCGCATGGGAGGTCCGTTCTTCAGCCAGATCCTTCAGCTGGTGGGCCTGAGAGTTGACCACTTCCTGGATGCTTTCGATGTGCGCATCGATCACTTCGCGGTTGTTCATGTAGACCAAGGGTCCCAGGTAGGCAATGGTAACAGCGATCAAAGAGAGACCCCAGAATGGGAGCCATTTGATCAACCAGTAAGCGCTGAAGGCAGCAGCGAAAGCCTGCATGAGTTAGCCCGGACAGCACAACAGGTCATAACAAAGCACTCAGGACATACAGCGACAGTGTGGACGATATTCTCAGCGAACAGGATGCGCTGGAATTCGAGGAGGACGAAATTGAGGAGCTGCTCGAGATCCTCATACACACCCTCGATAGTCTCCTTCGGGATGGTGTAGTATTTACGCGGGCGGAAAGAGCTTGCGAGTCCCTGCGACAGCACGAGTCTGCCACCAAGCTCGGCAGCAGCGGTGACTATGCAGGTTAATCCTTGCCCAGTCCATAGCAACCGGGGTGGGGGGGGTTCGCAACTCACATCCGAGAGCCACGTAAATGAACTTGAAGAACCAGCGGAGCAAAGGCAGGTAACGGGCGGCGAAAATGAAGGTCACGACGGTCGCAAATGAAGCAGCGGTAGCTCGGGGTTGTTCCCACTAGTTCAACGGAGTTAGGTTGGCGTCCAACATTGTGCGATGGCTCACTCACGCTCAGAAGGCTATACAGCAGGGAGTGGTAGTCTGGTGGAGACGAATTAGCTCTGCTTTCGCGGCGTTGTTGACTATTTGGATTTCACCACATACAGGTCAGGTGTTGGCCGGTCGCAGTAGTGGTTGAAGGCGTCACACGAGCGTTTTTCAAGTCGCGTAGCTCTTGTTCGGTCCGGGCTGCTTCCGATTTGATGTGATCAACAACAGGTCCTATTTAGCGGTTGGTCAGGTCAATTGTCTTCTTCATTGCTCTATTGAGGGCTGCCGGTCGTTGCCTGTTTACCATTTGTTACAGCATTTTTGACACCTGAGATAACGTCAGATTGTGGAACGTTGCCAATCTCGGGAAGTGGTGAATTAAGACTAATTCCGAGTCAGTTCTTGCTCCCTTTTTACAGTCAATCATCATCCGGTCTACCCTCAGCGTACCTTACTGCTTCCATTGGTGTCCGGATAGCTCACGGCACCAGCGCTTGTGGCTTCGGCCATTTCGGAAGGATATTTGTGTAGGGTCGGGGTCAGGAAAGAGAAGGGAAAGAAGGGAAAGAAAAGAAAGTGAAAATTAAAGATATAATCAGTTGTAAGGTGGAAGGGAATTGAATGGATGAACAAGGAAAAGAAAGAAACGAGGAGAAAGAGAGAGAGAAGAGGGGGAAACAGGTAAGATTTGGCCTGTGAGGGATGGAAAGATAGGAGAAGCAAAGCTTTGGGTGATGCAATTGACAAGCGAGGCGGAAAGGGAACGGTCGTGTGAGAGAAGAAGGAAGTGTCGCAGTCTTCTCCGCTCTTTTTCTAATTTTCCCAATCAGAAATCGTAAATCATATAGATAATATTAATTAGCTGACTTTCTTGACCGATGTGATTTTTTTTTTCTTTTCTTTTTCGAAGGTTATTCCTTTACTTTTTTATATCCAAGTTATAATTTCTTTTTAAGAGAAAATCGTCATTGTTTTCGAACGACGTAAGGATTACGGTACTGTACTTTTTACCCGCGGTTTCTTTTTTAGTGCGTCTCAGCTTGGGAACCAATCAACATGTGATTTATTTACGGCGAAGATGTCAACTTAAAAAGACTACTACTTACTAACTATTTATCCAGTTAGCGGCCGCAAGTTCGAGACCACCTACCTAATCAGTTTTACCTCGACATCTTTTGCAAACGGTATAAACATTATTTATAAAATATTTACAATATTTACAATATATATATATATATATCTTAATATATTAATATATTAATATCAATATTGATAATCATATCGGTTCTTCATCCTTTTAGCAGTGAAGGACAAGTCACGGGTATGAAAAATCACCAATCTTGATATGCGGCATCCAATGGTGAGAGAAAGTCAACACGCTACTTGTTTGTATAGGTTCGAACGGTCCGCACCGTAGCTGCATGCAATGTTGTTAGTCGGCCGTCTGGTAAGACGATTCCCAACTCCGAGTTACTGGTCCTTCAACCACCTAAATAAGCCTTATTTTATGATTCAGCCAATCCTATATATCATGAATACCCACCACATGTTAGGTTAACTACTCTATTTCCTCCAGCATCAAATATCACCAGATGTGGTTATTCCCGCCAAAAGGATCCAGGCACGAATGAGGTTCCCTGTTCCGAAGTAGGCGTTTTATATATAGGCAGTGTCTTCCGTAAAAACTTTGGAAACCATACGGTGGTGGTCAACACTATATTCTGTTGAACGTCGCAGACGTGGCTGGTGGAGAGTTGTTGACCCTGTCCAACTATGCGATATCTGTTGACCCTGCCCAACTATGCGATATCTCATCGATTCCCAGGGATGAGTTGTCATATGCGTGTGCGGCTTGGGCCTCGGACACCGCCTCTCATCCTTCTCAACTGCTTTTTGTCGGTAAACGAGTTGAAACCAGTCCCTTGCCCTCTCTGATTAGGCCTCATTGACCGCCGATGCCTAAGGCCCGCCCTATTTACCCAATACCCCAAGCTCTATGTTCCAGAAAGAGTACTGTACAAAGTTTGATACATCTGTCTCTGTATCTCAGGCGGGAAATTTTTTCTTCTTTTTTTTTGGTTTTCGGGGGATGAATGAAGAACCAGGATAGGGTGGAGAGGGTGGATTCCTTCTCTAGCTATCGACACCTATATGATCGATACCGCACGCTCTCAATTGGTCGTTCAATCGTAAAGGACCATGAATATAGTTTTCCTCAGGTGACTGAATTTGCTATCTAGTACAATCTGGGGAATCTCTTTTAGGTATATTCACAGATTGTCACTGTAACCTCCAGGAGCCAATTATTATCTGTGACGGACTGGTGGAGATCTGCTCGTGACCTTGACCTTGGTGTAGACATAAACATAATGCTCTTAGAAAAAAAAAAAAAAAAAAAAAAAAAAAAAGGTTCTGTGTTGTTCGAGGCAAGGGGTATTGACTTTTATTCTACACCGCAAGATACCAGTACTCAAGGGGATCCTAGATCAAAAATTTTATAAAGTCTTATGCACCATGATTCTGAGACACAAATCTAGAAACTCCGAGGCCCTTTTTCCCCGTTTTGCTCAGGATATATTCCGTCGATAGTTCCATGACATCACATCACCGAGATATAGACTGGCCCAGGCTTTGAACAAGGTTATTTATTAGCCTTCAATCAAGGTACTTGAAGAAAGGTTCCGTTGTAGAGCGCAGCAGCTTTCTCTTAGAAGGGTCAGGGTGGGAAATCTATAGGACACTATCTAATCCATGCATATGCCAGTTTTAGTCAGTATATACTATCTGCGTGAAAAGAGAAATCTCGTTTTCTAGAACTATCATGTAAAGGTAGATGTCAAGAAGAAAAGAACATGCTACGGATTTAGAAGGTATGGTAGTCTGCCTACAGAATAAGGCATACATGATGTCAAGTCACGTGCGTGGGCGGGACTCACGCGTTTCCCGATGTTTTGATGCCTCGACTCTTGCCGACGACGGACATACTCAGCCCACTGGCGACACCCAATATCCACCCGACTCCACGCCAACATTCAATGCCGCTGTCGCCTCAGGCGCTATCGTAGTTCGGGCATTGTCGCCCTCTCTTTCACTCGTTTGATCTGAACATCAACTCCCCCCCCCCCCGGCCGACCGACGGCTTGGAATCGCGTTTGTTTACATCGCCATGGCCGCTAGCGGCGCGAGGGCGCAGAAGCCTGTGGGCTCTGCAGCGTGGATTTCAACGGAGAAGGAGAATGTTACGAATCTGGTGAATCAGGAGATGGAAGAAGTGGAATATCCGGTGCGCCATGAGATGGATTGGCTGAACGAGCATATGGCCGAGATTTTCTCCAGCAATCAATTGTCCGTTGCGACCGACATATCCCCTACATCCGTTCCCGTGCTGACACCTGCATAGCAATTTTACGGAGGCGTTTAAAACCCCCGGAAAACTTAGAGGCAAAACGCCTCGGACTATACGGAAAAGAGATCCAAATGAGAACCGGGTGGTATGTTTTCCACTATCCCTAGCTTGCTGTCGGCGCTACTGACCTCCTTAGCCATTGAGTGAGATCTTTTCAACGTCGCATAACAGGTTTGAGGATAAGGTTGCGAGTCCGGCAACTCATCGCTCTCCCACAAAACCGGCAGCTCCTGTTCCTGCGCCTGCTCCTGCAAGTGTTGCTGCTACACTCACAAAACCCGAGCACACGAAAGATGGTACCCCGCGACTCCAGTATCCTGATCTGAGCAAGAATATCAACTCGTTTACAACGTACAATACGGACTCCGGTTACCATGGGATGCCGGATGAACGTGAGGGCGAGGACGAGGAAGAAGTAGAGGATGATATGGTTCTAACACAGGTACAGCCTGAATCGCAAACTTCCACTCAGCCCTTTGATAGTCAATCTATCCCGACAGATGTACAAGAACATCGATCCTCGCTTAGCCGCCGCACTACGGGCGCTTCCTTCCACTCGGCACAGGAGGACGTGCAACAAAAACGCGGAAACATGGTAGAGCCCATGCAAGTTGACCCAGCTCCAGGGGAGACTGCAAAGGAGCGAACTCCACAGCCACCGCTGAAGGCTAGGGAGCCGGAGCCGAAGGTAGAGCCAGAAGTACAGCCAGACGCAAAACCGGGCGTAGAGGATGACGAGGGACCCGAACCAAAGGAGCCAACGCCAGAACCGCAAAGAGAGGCGGAGCAAGAAAAAGAATCAGAAGAGACAGAGGAAGATCCACTGCTGAAAGACAGATTATCGCCAGTGAAGACTCCAGTTCCCCAGCCCTCGGAGCCTCGCGAAGAGGAGAAGGATGGTGCAAAAGATGACATGGCACTCGATGACGATGAGAACCTGGATGATATCGGCTCTCCTTCCGATGGCTCTACTCCGGAACGCCCTCTGGTTCGCAAGAGCAGCCTCTCTTTTGCGTCACTCCCTGCTCGCGAGCCCCTTATGAAGAAGAGTCTGGGTGGCTCCAGGATGTCCCGAACAAGTCATGTTGATATTTCTAAGATCAACAGTACTGGGGGATCTAGCTACTTGGGTAGGCAGACTGGTGAACGCAGAACGACCCAGGCAGCTCTGGATGATAATCCCACCCATGGTGAGAAGATAGATGTCGATGATAACAAAGAGAGCACCCAGGACGATACGGATGCAGAAACAAGGGCTAGCAAGCTACACAACAAATCGTCTACTCAGAGGCTACATGAGAAAATTAGCATGCTCGGTAAACTTCAACCATCGCGACCTACAAAATCCATTCCGTCCGTTCAAGGCGTGTCCTCTACACAGGTGACTTATCCGGAACTCCCCTCGTCTAAGGCTGATGCAAAGCCGGATACGGCCTCCCAAAAATCTCGCGGAACGCCAGTTTCAGAGCCCATGGAAACTGAAGATGACGATTGGATTAAACCCTTTAGCTCCCCCTCGAAGGCGAACTTCCCCAGAAGCCAGGCAACAGATATGCCGGAGAAACGCTCTGGCACTGGCGCAGGCCAAGTTTCCGACAACGATAGCGCTTTCCCTCCTCAAAAAGAGAGCACGGCCCGTGAAGACCAAGCAAGATCCGGCGCGAAACAGGGCCTGGAAGCGGTTCTTGGCAAATATTCGACTCCAACGTATTCATCCCCTCAGCGCCCTGTTCATCAGGCCAAACTCTCTACTTCGCACGCAGATAGTCATGTGTCGACCACACCTGTAGGCTCTCCTGTCGCACAAGACGGTCTAGTGAGTGCGTCTAAGTCCAGATTACAATCCATCGTGAGGTCTGCTAAAGGCCTTTTCTCGAACACTGGTGGCGTTGCCGCAGCTGCCAGGATGGAGGCCTCTTCACCAGACGAGCACAGAGTACGTCGCAGTGAACGCGCCGAATCGGAATCTACCAGTAGGAAGGCGCCGCAGCCGACTCGTGTCCAGAGCCCGCCGCGACAGGAAGGTCGCAGAACGCGAAGCTCTACTGAGAGGGAGGAAAGAGAAAGGCGGAAGCAAAAGGAACTTGAGGATCGCCAGCGTGAGGAGGAGCAGGCAGAGAGGATACGACAGCAAGAGAAGGAGATGCAAAGAGCCGCCCAGCTGAAGGCTGCGCAAGAGAAACTATCGGCCGAAAATGAGAGTCGCAGAGCACCGATTACATCCAGTCCGCAAAAGATGCCGCAGCCACAGAAACATTCATCGAGAGAGCCGGACTCTAACTATGAGCCAACTCCAAAACACACCGCCCGTCCGTCTGTATCACAGCAGCAACAGCTACGCCGTCCCCCCAAGCCTACTCGGGAAACCCTGCAAAAACCGAGGCCTCAGCCCGTGTCGATCCGTGTTGGTAGTGCTCTTTCTCGTCAGATCCCATTGGCGTCGTCTTCAGTGTCCGGGGTTGCGGAGTCTAGTACCGCAGCGCCAACTCCCGCTTCCGCTTCCAAGCAACCTACCCTCAAGAAAAAGGCGAGCAATTCGTCTTTACATACTGCCTCTTCCAACAGTAGCTTCAAGAGTTCCGTCTCCAGTCAGACACAGAGAAAGGCCCAACTTGCCAGTGAGAGGAAAAGAGAGCAGGAAGAACGCGAAGTGCGCCGGAGGGAAGAACAAAGACGCGAGTTGGAACGCAAGCGGGCTGCTCAGCAACAGGAAGAGGCTCGTCGGCAAGAAATGCGAAGTCGCGCGGAGGCTGAACGTCGAGAGCGACTTGCTGCTGAAGATCCCAAGAAGGCCGCTCAGATGCAAGCCATCGAAAAGCGGAGGCTGGAGAACGCTCGAAGGCTTGAGCGACAAGGTAGTCAGCAACCCGAGATGGTAAGTACAAGTGCCCGTGTTAATACGGTGATATTGAGAGCTATGCTAATTGGCGTATTCTAGAACTCCGCCCACCCTCCAGAGAGACCAGCTTCCCAGGCTTCTCGTCCCGCTTCCCGCCTGGGTTCCATACAACCGTACAACCGCACAATCAACCCACCTCAGCCCAATCCGGCCAAACCACCCAAGAGAGGGCTCGACGAGGAGGCCAGCCATCGCTCTGCAGCACCGAAGCCAGGCGCTATGCAGCCTTCTGGCGAGGCTAAACGGCGAAGAACGGAAGACGAACACAATCCCATCATGCGACCTACAATGGCTCCGCCGATCCGCCAATCGAACATCCGCAAAGAATCGATTATTCGTAAGGTAAGAGACCTATCATCTCTTTGTTTAGACTTTTTAATGTCCCTAACTTGATTAGGAACCTACGAAGCCTTCTATGTATGGTCATGCACAAGCCACCATGGCTCACCAGTCCGGCTCTTCGATCTTCAAAGCCGCCCAGCCTCAGCGGCCTGCGCATCCGATGGATATGGCCAAATATGCAAGTGGCAAGATCCCCTTCGCAGAACCTTCGAATGCCCCATCCCAGCCGGCTACTCACAAGACCCCGGTTGCCGGTTCTTCGAAGGCACCTCACAAGCCGTCACCGAACTACCCCAATGGCGAGAACATCCATCTGCCAGAAATTGCAACTGATAGTGAGGACGAAGACTCCGATGCAGAGATGCTCCCTGTACCCAAGTGGGCCCAGCCGAAGGAGCTCGAGTCGCTTCTAAGGCAGCAGGAGGGCCTGGAGGCCGATTCCATCTTTGGTCCAATTGCTCCGTTCTCACTCGAGGAGACCTTTAAGGCGGACAAGAAGATCAAAAAATTCCGCGAACGCACCAGTAGTGCAAACTGGGCTGGTACTGATGCACTCACCCAGGAAGAAATCCGAAGGGATCTTGCTGAGCGACAGCGTTTGCGACTTAATGGCGGTTGGTCTTTCAATTAGCCTGTATTTCCTTGCATGATACTTTGTCTTATTCGGCATTGTGGTTTCATTCTGGATTGTTTTAGTAGGAGTAGATTTACGCCGATTAGGCGATTGGCATGACCGGTTAGGCGTTCTTTAAATGAGACTGGACATTGTTGTTACGGTTATCTGCATTATGGACTTTTTAATCGATACACGGACTGGTATGTCATATCATGCAAGGCTTTAATATCAGTGCGATATGTTCGAGCAACGGTGTGAAATTTGATCAATGAACACGGTACTGTACCACCATACCTGTAGCACCTTGGCTCGTATCCGGAAGGTAGGTCGTCTGGCTATAACAGACTTGTTTTCTGTTCCATTACAATCTTGAATCGCGAACGAGGGCCTGCTCGTGTTATGTACTATCTTGTATAGGGTAGAGGCAACTAAGTGGTAGAGGGATGTGCTACATGACTGTCAAAATATATATATATATCCAAGCACAGCATTCTTCCACATCTTAATCAAGTAAGACCCTAAGAATCAATCTACATTACCTAATCTAGTTTGACAGACTCAAAGATAAACTCAAGCTCGAAGTTTTGGCGTTAGAAACAAACCTACAAACATCAACAATTCTTCCCTACAAAGGGGGTATCGTAGAATATCGAGCCGAAAAAAGAGATCATCTGAGCTTTAATGAAAAGTTGTATATATTATATTTTATTTTTGCGAGCCTTATAATAAGAAGCATCATTGGTCTAGTGGTAGAATTCATCGTTGCCATCGATGAGGCCCGTGTTCGATTCACGGATGATGCATGTGTTTTTTTCTTCTTTCCCCCTTCATTTCATGCCTCTTAACCGCCAACCTACAGAGCAAAATCCACCTCTTTTCTTGTTTTTGCTGCCCCGAGCTCACGCGACTGGGGTGTTCTTATCATATAGGTGGTGAAGGCTTTGCCAATGTATCGACAAATAATGAAGTCCAATAACGAAATTGTTATTATCCATTTGTGCGTGTATTGCTTCAGCCGCAGCAGGTCGCACTCGATATCCAGATTTAGTTATATAGGAAAAACCATGCTCAAGTATGATCCTACCTATCTGTTTGCTGAGAACAGTAATGATCTCCTGATCTGGGGGAAGTTCTGAGATATTTGCGAATGATGGACAAGGGAACAAGGTTGTGCCTACTTTGATGTATCGGTCCCCTTCTCGCAAATTTTGTATCTGGAAAGGAACGCCGCCCGAAAAATAACTCATCCTGTGAAAGAAGTTTTGCAAATGGTGGTGATAATGGCTTGGGATTTCCGGTGATATCCCTTGAGCGATGAGGTTTATTGATGCTAAAGAGGCGTGTAAGAATCTGCTCCTATTGGTTGGAACCATTTTAGGAAGGGGTTAGTTGCCCTAGGGTTCTATAGGCTCAACATCGCTCGAGAGCAAGAGAATGAGGCTCTGGAAGCGGAGGAAGCGGGGAGAAGGGGGATGTTGGGTGTTGATTGGCACTTTAGATTGATAGATAGCATTGGTTCAAAGGCTTCTAGGGTTATGCTGGAGTCTCACTGTCCACTTAACGAATAGACGCTACAGGTCATCAAGGTCATCATCATTTAGTTTTTCTTTTTTTTTTTTTTTTGTGAAAGATAATTAATCACGCATTGTACATTTGACTGTGGTCCGTACAATCAAACTACAGCTAGTCTATTATACACAAACCCGCCACTTTTACTCCGCCTCCGGTTCAATATCGCTCACCCCGTCATACCCTTGCTCCATGGCGTCCGGGTTGAGATTGGCTGCATCGGGGGCAATGCCATCCTTGTATTTGGCTTTGTCATGAGAAACCGTCCTCCAGCCGCACGGATGAGAGGCGTCCTTTATATATTCCGACATAGGGAACTGAGGCAATTAGTTTCTAACCCCTTTCAGATATGATGAAGGGGAGAAAAAAACTTACATAGTGATCGTTCTTCTTCATAGTGACCACCCACGGAACATTGTCGAATGTCACCGCCCGCAGTCGGAAATATGTGTTGTCGGGAATCTTGCTCACTTCACTCACAAAACAGTCGAGATCAGGCGTCGGCACTCCGTTGACAGCTGTGATGAAGTTCGTTGGAGAAAGACCATACTGATACGAAGGAGAGCCACGACTCTAATAACATGTTAGCAATTGTCTATTTTCACCAAAGAGGAAAAAGTAAATAACGACATACCCTTGCGCTCACATAGACCTCGCTGTGCAGCTTGGAGATCTGCTGGCGAACGGCATGGTGTGGCTTTTGCAGCACGGCACCGCAGAAGACAACGGCCCGATCGGTTTCAAGGTCCGCGGTCGGTACTGTGGGCACCTGGATCCGCATCTCCTGTCCATTCCGGACAATCAGAGCCTCCAGGAACTCCTTGTCATACATCACGTCGAGTTCGGACACGCGCGTGATAAGCTGACCATCCAAGGTCAGGATAATATCGCCCTCCTGGAAGGTGTCGGCCGTGTTGTTGAACCCAGCTGGTGGGCAATCAACCTTGCGCACCATGAACAGCTGGTGCCGCGACGGGTTGGCCTGCGCCACCTTCTCGATCCACTCCTCCGACACGCCCATGATGCGGGCCTGGCTCATTTGGACCACGTAGCTCTCCATGTTTAGGATCCGCAGCTCGGGCATCACGCCTTGCTGGACCTTGGAAACGACTGGCAGTAACGACGGTGTCGGGAATCCGAGATGATATTCTACATCCTTATGCGAGTTTGGTGTACGCTCTCCCAGATAGTTCAACCACAAGGCCTGGACAACTCCGTCTTCGCCAATCAAAACGCCATTGGAACACTGCCCACTTAGGCCAGTATCCACCGTGACGGCGTCCAGGTTGATGGCTCGATAACGTGGTGCGGAGGCATTTGCTGGGATTGACACGGTCGTGATGTCGGTGACAGCTGTCTTGGCCACCACAATGCGGAAGTTCTGGTTGAATCCGACGAAAATGGCGTCTTGGCCCTGCTTGATGTACTCCGTACTGAGTTTGGCGCTCTGCACGGGGGCCTGCACTAGGCTGGGATCGTACTGAACGATAGTATAGTTCTGCAGTGGATGCAGAAAGACGACCTTGGCATTGACGATGATCGAGTCGGCCACGGTAATGGTAATGTCGCAGAGGTCGTACGGGACAATGGCTCGCGATACGACAACCAGTCCCTTTTCCGCGTCAATGACCAGCCCAAACCCAGTCTTCTTGGCCTGGGGGTAACCATCGAGCTTCAAGGGCATAGTACACGACACGCGCACAAAGCTGCGTACGATCTCCGAGGCCGCAGGCTGACTCACGCCATCCAGCTGGATAAAGTCGGCCTTCCTCGGCACGGGGGGAAGGGCCGGGAGGGCATCCGCCAGATCGGAGAAGTCCCAGAGGCCGGTCTCGTCATTGCGCACCGCCAGTCGCATCTTAGGGTGCCAGTGGCGGTCGATGTAGACAATGCTCGTACCCCGCGTGTGGAGATCCCGGATATGTCGATACGAGATGACCACTCGCGAGCGATCGGGGATGGTTCTCATTACTTCCACAAACTCATCTAGGTTTCGCGTCGGCCGTTTGTCGACGGAATCGATGAGCCATCCGGAGAGGGTATTTTCCAGCTTGAAGGAGCCGGCCGCCTCGCAGACGTAAACCCCGCGAGTGGCAATAGCGTACAATCGCGATTGCTGATAGGATAAATCGTGGAACGTGCCACCTGCGACGGTCACGAAGCGATCAGGCGTGATGGCATGCAGGTCGCCCACTTGGCATTCGATCTCCACATCTTGACCGCCTCTTTGAACCAACAGGCGCACTGTCTGCCCAACGCTCGAATCCAGGATATCGTCCAACCGGATGAACTGTGTCAGGAGTTCACCATTTACCTGCAGGAGCACGTCCCCCTCTTCTAGCTTTCCATCGGCGGGTCCCTCAGGCAAGATGATTTCTGCGACTAGCATACTGGTCTCGGTGGGGGCCGATTTGCGCACGATGGCTTCCCACTCCGACGTCAGGCCCAAACGACGACACTCATCAAAAGGCTTCAGGATCCACTGGGTCTGAATGGTGCCTCGGGTGACAGGCTCGCCTCGGCGTATGCATTCCAGCGCACGCAGTGGGCGATCTAATGGAAGGAAGTAATCGGTTGCGGCCCCGTCTGCACGACCACCGGCCTGCAGGGCAATCGCGTGACCGTCGATATTCACGACCGGACTTCCAGAACTACCACCGCTGGCAGCTGCAGCGGCCTGGATGTAGTTTGTATTGAAGTCGCTGTAGCCCTCGCCATACTCCGGCGCATTCCTATCGAGTCGACTGATAACACCCGACAAGATACTCAGTTTCTCTCCTGCATCGTTACCCACAACCCGAATCTCCGAACCTACTCGCGCAGCATCGGGTTGGAGCTTAAGCTCCGTTAAATTCATATATCGAATGGCCTTCGGGTCGAATTTCAGGATACCGAAATCGTGTACAGGGTCCCGATACACGGGACGAACATCGCACTGAGTCATTATCAGCATCAATTACAGTGGTATAACCGGTTGATACAGACTCCGGACAGGTAGTGCTTATGGCCAAACTTACTTCCTCATGATTATCAAAGATACAATAACCCCAGAAGGGACCTGGGCAGACCACATGACGATTTGTCAAGATATACCCCTTTTCAGCATCGACTACGAAACCGGTGGCTTGACTACTCATCGATAACTCCGTATCAAAAGAACAAGTTTGACAGAAATGGATAGAAACCACGCTTTTCACAACCTCCTCAATAGTAGCTTGCCACTCCGGCGAATCAGCCTGGGCGGGCCCAATGGGCAATAAACGCCCGGTGTCATCTTCATCCTCAATATCGTAGACCGTTCCATTGGCCGGAGTGGAGTCTCCGGGGGTTAACGCAGAGCTTTCGGGCTTGAGGTGTTTGGGCGGACGTTCGGCGGGCGCGATGGAGCTGCGCTTGCGTTTCACGCTTGCGTCCCCGTTCAAGTCCATAGTTTTGGTCAGGGGATTACCCGAGAGCGGACGAGAGCGAATTGAGCGTACAAGTGAGTAGATCGACCGGGTTGGCGCGTGACGATGGATTTTATGAGAGGGAGCTATGGGGGATGACCACCGCTGGGGACCCGGTAGCCGATGAGGCAACGGACGGCAGGTATAGAAAGAATTTGACCGCACAGCAGTTGGTGAGGAGACAGGCGACCACGAAGACGCGGGTGAAAGACCACTGGGTTCCGTAAAGGGTTGTTCGGAAGAAGAATACAGAGATGGCGGCGATGCGCCGGAAGTGGATGATGAGACGATAGCAGCAGCAGTGGTTGACGTAGTAGTAGTCGTAGTGGTCGTAGTAGCGACAGACAAGCTCCTTCTGCACACCAGGAGCGAGACGTAAGACATTCACAAGACCTCCAACGGTCTCGAAAAGGGAAAGGGAGAAGGACAAAGGAATGGTGTTTTGGGGGGTCAGCGTGAAAAAAAGAAGTCAGGCGAACGGTTGGAAACACTGCCGGCAGTACGGCAGGGCGGAAGGCCCTTATCCGGCCCCCTGATTGGCCCACGCCTCCCTCTGCAGTGGCTGCAGGCGATCAAGTGATATGAAGCTTGCCATGTCTTCTGACCGTTGATATTGATCTGGTCGGAGGAACAACCTGGAGGGGGAAGAATTGCTCGAAAACAGGGAATTCAATTACTGAAGCCAAAGTTTGCCAAAGTTTAGCTTCATTGGTCTCGTTTGCTACGGTGAAACATACTCTGTACACATTTAAGGAATATCATTGGTGCTATGCCCGGGATTGAACCGATTAAGATTTTACAGCCAACTTCTCAAAACCGGTAAATGATCCTGACCTTCAGTATTCTTCGTTCTCGTCTTGGAATCGAACACACTACAAAACCTAGCTGGGTCCAGGGGCGGATCCTTGGGGCCTTCAACTGAGAGGCGCATGACATTTCCCGGACAGATTCTCGCGGAAGAGCATTCTCATATGCCTGTGATATCTGACCTTTACGAAGGATAAACCCATCGGTCTTCGTCCGCGGATTGACTGCCGGGCGACATCATAAAAAAAAAGGACAGTTACGGGTCATAGGCAAACGTTTTCGTGGGTATGTCGGTGGCCAGATGTGGCGATCATGACCGTCAGTCTCGACGGAAGAGACAACGTCTATGGAGCTTTGTTCCTTGATCATCTGCGCTGAGATTCAATCGCCCAAATCCTCAACATGAGGGACTGTGCGCATGTTGTGTGAGTTGTACTATCCGGAATTGTCGGTATTTCTCAAACGACCGTCTCGGTAGCCGGAGAAGGGCTAGGTCTGCCGTTGCCCTGAATACCCTGAGGGCTGGGTTGGGGCGTTCCAGCAGCACCTGGCGCCGTGCGCGGGAACAGCTCGGCGAGCTTCTTGTACATCTCATTCATGGACGGCATGTGTGGGGGTGGAGTCATGATTCCCGGCGCCGAAGGAGGCACTCCGCCAGACTTCTTCGCGCGGTCGGCGATGGTGGCGAGGTACGCGAGATTGGCCTGCAGGCGACGCATGCAATCGATGTACTCTTGGCTGGGTTTCTGGGTTGGCCCCTTGGCGGGTTCGGGGGCCTGATCCGACGAGGGATTGGAGTCCTGCGGCTGAGGCGGAGGACCGCCGGCCTTGCCTGCCGCCTGAAGATTCACAACCTCTTGTAACAACATGGAATTGATATCGAGAAGAACTGTCACGCGAGCTTTCTCTCGTGCCGTTGCGGGCGATGGAGTTGCCGGGGCTGTGGCTGTAGGAGTTGGCTGGGGCTGAAGGGTCTGCTGTGGAGGGGGCCTTTGAGGCTGCGCAGACACCATGTTGTTCGCCGAGATCGAAGCCATGTTCTGAGGGAAGGATGGAGCTATGGTTGTGGCGACAGTCGACGGCGGAGTTGAGGTTGTCACAGCCTGCGGTGGCATGAATTGGCTCATGGTCACGGGGATAGGTGGTTGGGCAAAGGGAGCAGAGAAGTTGGCGTGGGGTGGTGCTGTTAAAAGGTGAAGATCACACATTCCGTTAGCGGCTCTGTTGTTGCTCAAATGACGCAAGGCGCAGAAACAAAAGTCGAGTACATGGTTCAGCATGGCCGATCCCTATCCTATCAGGAGTATACCATCGTTGAGAAATATGGTATACCGTGTCTTTTGAGACAGTCGATCCATACCATAGCTAACACAGGGGCACAAAAGAGGGGATCCCCGAGTAAAGAAAACAATGCAAAAATAGAACAAACACTTGAAAAGACAATCAAATAACATAAAAAATGAAAGGGCAAGAATAAGAAAAATATAAAAATAGACAGAAAGAGGCGCGACGTACCAGAGTGCTGTGGGAAACCCGACGGCATCATAGCTCCACCGGGAGCGCCTGCTTGCATAGGCATGGCACCGAAAGAATGCTGCTGCTGGGGAATATGGGAGGGAGCCTTTTGCTGGGGAAAGGAAGGGATCGCGTTCGGATAGTAAGAAAATTGCTGTGGACTCTGAGAGGTAACTGGATAGCCCGCGTGTTGCTGTTGCTGTTGCAACATTGGAAAGCCGGTCGTGTTGGGATCCATGATGGCTCAGTTTCTTCGGAGGGGGGGATGGGATTTGATGGTTGGACAGCAGCGGCTGTTTGTCGAATAAAAAAAGAATAAAATAAATTAATAAATGAAAGGAATTAAGAGGGTAAAAAAAAAGTACAACCAAAAAAATAGAATAATAAAATCGAAATAAAATAGGATTTAATCCAGTTGGTCACCGCACGGACGACAAGGCGAATTCAAGTGAAACTTGAACGATGACTCGCGGGAATTCCAAGGGATGGAAGAGACTGCGCCGTTGAACGACCAGAAGGTTTTCTGGAACAATCCGTGACAATAAAAAAAAAGAAAATCCAAGTGATTCAAGGGTCGAGGAAGTAAAATGATTGGCGGCGATGGTAGTACTATGGGAAGTTAAGGGGCGTGGGAAAAAGTCGGTAGTAATTTAAAAGGGGACAAGAGATTGACTGAGGGAACACGACAAGTGAATAGATCAGCCTTTGCGGAGAGACGAACTAATGCAGCGGATTCTCTGGGCGGTGGAGTCAATTGGAGAGGAACCAAGATCACGCCCCATAATCGTTCTCTAAATTAGCTTTGGGGCGTGTTTGGGAAAAAAAAAGGTGAAACGCCAGACGGAGAAAAACAGTTGAAACTTGGAGAAGGCGTTGTTGTGTTGATGGGTTTGAGTTGAGAGAGATGGAAGGGAAAAAGAGTTGAGGAAGAAATGAAGAGGAGGAAGAAGCTGAGGATGGTATTATGGAGCCTGAATAATTAGGTATCCATGGTTGTATTCGGTATTTGTTTACATACATACCTGCTGTACTAACTTATTACTTACTGTACATACATATTCTGTCCGTCATGTCCGTCTGCGAGGTACCTCAGGCATCCAATAATTGCTGCCTTCACCCTACCCGATACATCCACTGAAGTCATTTTCCTTTCAACGAACTCATACTGCGTAGGTATCATATATCCGAATCAATGGTTGACTCGATACATCACCTTCACAACCTCTCCCTCCTGATAGATACGACGCAGAGAGACTCGATATTTCTCCACGATCACGAACTCGGCTCCATCAAGCAAAAACAATAATTCCATCCCGTATCTAGAATAACTTAGAAATCGACAGTCCTTCCTCTTCGGGTAGTCTCCCAGCCTCCTGATACTGACCCTGCAACGAACCACTCCCGCGCAAAAGTACCAGATAGCCAAGCTCATAAAAAAAATGCAACCCAGGACAGTGGCGCCGCGAAGGATTCCCCGGACCCCAACATACACAGCCATGGTACTGGGAAACGCTATTTGAAATGGCCATGCACATAGTTCAGGGCCGGGAATCGTAACTTCCTCTAAGAAAAAGGCAATGAGGAATTATGTATTTAGAAAAGGTACTATGAGACAGGTTCGTGCGGGCAGAGAGACAGTTAGTCCCGATGCTGCCCCGGCCGTGGCTATTTTCGTAGGTTGCAACATATTCTCCTGGGAGACTCCGGATGGAGTGCCCTTAGCCCATACGGGTTGTATACTCCGAAGCGCTGAACAATAGACAGATGGTCAAGAACTACATGGCTAGCGATCCTATCTAGCGGTGATCCACGCCATGCAACAATAGTTTCAAATAAAGTGCCGTTGGGACGATCCAATGTCCTTCTAGTGGGTGTTCATCCTTACCATGGGTGATCTCGAAGCTCGCTTCGCTTCCATTCACTATCTATCTATCTACTGAGCGGAGCATGTCAACTCACGCCTGGGTTTCTATTTATTTCCTGTTTGGATCCAGCTTATACTAGAACAATGTGCCAATGGGATGGGCTCCGACATTCACTAGCTTGGACCATTCTCTACTAACTCCCAGACCCGCATTGTCTGGCGGGACGAGTCATATAGATCACAAAGTTTACCACATCCGCGATGCATATCTATATCATTGTCGCTGACACATCAGGTGAACCACCTGGAAACGGTAGGCAGTCAAGAACGCCACAGCCGCTGAAAGAGAACGAAAAAAGGAAAAAGATAAAAACAAAAAGATAAAAATCGATTTTATTATTTTGGTCTTACTTGTTTTGTGGCAATATTACGTTGAACCCTTTTGTAATTTGGCTTTCATGGTTGCCGCGTGATAACCATAAATCTGGGTGTCCCGAACGACAGTTAGGGCAGGCTGTCACCGCACCCTAATCCTAAAGGTCCCGCGTACTGTATAGTATGTACCTACTTCACAGGGATCATAGACCGTCTACTCGGTTAGATACCCACTAGTTGCGAGTCACTAAAGAAAAGAAGAAACCCCAAATCTTAGGTATTAGCACAGACAGAAGAGGATCTACGACCTAGCTCTACAGTTAGTCTAAGTGGAAGGTATCATCAAGTGCCGATAGTGATTCATCATTCTGTGAGTGGGGTTTGAGCGTCAGGATTCAGCCATCCAGAGTCTGAGAACCAATGGCCAATAAGGTTCCGTTTATTCCTGCTTCTCTCCTTCATTTTTAGATTTTATTTTATTTTATTTTTAATTAATCTCTCTTACACCAAAGCTTCAGCTGACATGACTAGGCCCTTTCAGTGGAGGAGGGGAACTCCCCTATTGCCACAGTCTGGGCCACCAGGAGGGTCAAGAATAGTGAGAAAACATGGGGAAAGAGAAGGCAAGACCGCTACCCATCCTGTGACAGATTTATGCCCCAGAGAAGAGAAAAGTCTCGTTAGTGCCAAACCCACTATCAACCGATTGAAGCGAGTCATAGTGACAATTTGACACCTTGCCATGTGGATACCTACCAGATTTTCCCCAGCGTTGAGTTGTCCAGAAACCAAATCGAGGGATTAATCCATTGTCCATTTTTTTCCTTTTTCATTTAAAAAAGAGAGAAAAGAAAACAATAACCATTGAGAGAGCTCGGACTAGTTCCAAATCCCTGGCCCCGCAACCGATTTCCGACGCCAGTGATGTTAGCTCACTTAAACTTCCTGGTGAGTCCGGACTACAATCGTTCAATGGGCTAACGCAGACATCAGAATGTCTCCAGTTGGGCCCTAAAAAAAACAAAAAAACCGTCCCACAACGTCATCCGTATCGACTTGCATACGTCTTGCATCTCTTTCCCTGTGGATACTCAGTGGGACACGTATGGAGCTTATTGACTTGTCTGCATGGGCTCGCCTCCGCCAGGACCCTGCGACGGAAATTGCCGTATCTAGATCGGGGACGGGGAGACTTTTTTTTCTTTACGCTGGCTCTAATCAGTTTTACTTTTCGTTCCCTACTATTTTGTCAGCAGTAACTCCACCAGTTTAGTGGCGCAAGTGCATATGCCTGACACCCGATGCGCGAGGTAAGGGGGGGTTCGAGAGCCAGGCGGAAAGAGACACTATTCAGTTCTATCGAGGAAGATCATAGACCAGATAGACATGGGACAGGCATGGGAAAGCAATCGTGACCACTGTGATCCCGATAGACGGGACATCCGCCGGCCGGAAAAGATCTCCAAAGGTCGAAGGACCATGGCTCTGGGCCGCTCTACAGACCGTGCAGGTGGGAATCATATGCCTCCCTAGATTATTGATTGTAGAAGGCGCGGGTCGGTGAATTTTGTAGCCCATGAGCTATTCTTTGCGTGGCTTTGTTCAAACCAGAGCCCGAACTACCCCGGTTGTCACGATTGAGGAGCCTGATACTGATACAAATCAAGTCTCATACTTCATGACCACATCATGAAGGAATCATCTTCGATCCTGTCTCATGTGATTACCAGAATGATGCTATATGGGTGTTCTTTCGCCTCCCACAAAAACAGGGTCTTAGTGTCAGAAACAGTAGTAAAAATAGAAATAATAATCCCAGATTTAGACAAAAAAGGCCGGCTTACAATGTAGAGCGAACAACCTAGCATGGAATGACGCTCTGCAGGTATGATTCAAACCCGATAGAATCCAGTCTTTCCGCCATCCAGACAGTAGATCATTGGGGAGAAGGACAATGCAGATGAGCCATTAGTTCGAAAGCCCAATGCATCCGAGCGGATTCCTGGAGTGAGGATCCGTCGAATACTGTGCCACATACCGAGTAAGGCCACGCACATTTTACTGACACGGCTTTGGGCTGATTAATTTATTTTCTACTGTTTCATTACGGTGTAGATACTCACCCCTCTAATGAAGTTGCTTTTTCCTTTTTAATAATTTTCCATTTTAATAATTATTAGGACAGTATTTTTTTTTCTTTTCCTTTCCAAATATTGGTGTTGGCGCTCTCCCTGAACGAAGCGTGTCCAACGCATATAAAACGCATCACAGCATCGCAGAAAGGAAAGGGCGAGACTGGTTACAGCTCAGGAAGATCCTGTAAGCTTATTGTCGGTGGATCCCGCAAACAACATCGCCTCTCCTGCACCTTTAAAAAAATCATGCTGGCTCTCGTGCCCATTCATTAGAGATGTCTTCTGCGCGTAGGTGCTGCCCTTCTCCCGCGCACCTGATTGGCAATAGGTGTATTAAATTTTAGCATTTAGGCGATCCTCAGTCCCCAACTTTCTTTGAACAGAGGTCAATGCAACCGCAGACCATGGTACTGTAACCACAGACCTCTTCCCCCTGTGAGCCTCCTGGCTGACTTTACCCAGGCCCAGACACCAATATCCATGGATGCGCCGCTGGACGGCTTGTCATCGATACATTTTGCGCTCATATACATTGACGAGAATGGCAAGCTCCGGTTCGAAGCGTCGCCGTCTATTGCGAATAACTGCCAGTCTATTCTATCCCCTAATGTAACCGATACTTTCCTGAGAGCTGTGGCGTTGTCCAACAAAGGCAACCCCGGGGTGATAGGTATGTCTTTTATATCATTCTACGGGGGTCGTTGAGTTAATCAGAAGGTACAGGGTCTCCAAGATCAAACCAAGACCATATGGGGGGTAAAAGCCCCCTCTCGCCCCAATCGCCAGGAATGCATGACGCGAGTAGCTTAAGCCGCAAAAACTCAATGTGAGTACGAGAGGGCTTCTCCAAGAACCAGTGGCAGTCTAACGGGCAATTAGGTTTCAATCGCATCAGGACGGTCACCAGGGCAAGAGAAAGCGGGTGTCTCATGAATGCGTCGTGCCGATGAGCATCAACTGCCACCAAAAAACTATGCTGCCGGTTCGCAATCACAGCCTTCTGCGTAAATACTACGAGAAGGCATTCGAGAGCCTGCAGCAGATTAACTGCCGGATCCTTGCCAAGGCATATATCAAGCTCGTTGAACCCCGCAAGCAGGTTAATTATCCGTATAACGGACGCAAAATCATATCTGGCTCCTCCCAGCAGTTCGACCCGGAGCTTACCAAGCCTGCTTGGTGGCCATCGGGCGTCACCCATCGGGAGCCTGACCATCTTCTCAAGGCCGAGAGAATCCGTTTGCTGGTGCACATTCTCTGTGAATTGCGCACCAGCCACGCAATCTGCGTCGAGAAGCTAAAGGAAGCCGACCAATCCATTCGCCGCCAGATACTACCCAGCGAGCGACTGCAAGTCCTAGACGAGATATACAGCGTTCGAGAAGAAGAGGAGGCCTACCTCGACGGCAGAAGCGGTACGTACTGCCTCCCCTCACCTTCTCCCAAGCCAGACCCTAACTTGTACCAAACAGATGGACAAGCCGTCGTCTGCGTATCCCGGGTAAACCTCCCAGACATAACCGAAGCCCAAGCAATGGGCTCACCCACCTCCGCCCTGAAAACCGACATCAACCCCGTGTACCGCAAAGAGGTCCCAGACATGGAATCGCACACGTCCGTCTTCCCCTCAACCGGAAGCTCCCCAACAAGCGACACAACCAAACACAGCATGGCGAGCACCAAGTCCGCCAGCAGCATCAGCACAACAAACTGGGACCCCTGTCTCCCACCGTCGCTCCCCTCCCTGAACACACTGAAGCGCACCCGCCCCAGCGAGAGCACATACTCCTTGGACTTCTCGACCAACATGTTCCAGCATGAACCCTCCACAACCTCCGTCTCCCTCGACCACTACCCCTTAAAGTACTACGGTGATCCGCACTTGCATCACCAGCACCCTCAACCCCTCCCCGTAATGGGCATGACAGGACCAACGGACCTAACGGGGTGCGCGAACCCGTACTATTTCACCAGTTATTGATCCCTTCCGTCTTTGACACACTCACTCTCCTTCCCCTTCCCCTTGTCTTAACTTAACTCACGCTTCGCGATTTCACACCCATTTCCATCTCATATCCCATATCTCATATCTTCACCCACCACGCTCATTACCCATCCATTTCCTTTGTCATCTCATCATTTCCAGCGAACCGGCGTCCAGGGAGCATTCATTCATCAACATCAACATCAGGAAACTGGAAAGAGAAGAAAATAGCAACATAATACTAGACTTTCGGTCCGGTCCGGCGCTCAAGGCCAAGAAGTTAACCTAATAGAACGGGGATAAGTCAGGTGTACATACTCATACTCACGACCAAACCAAACCTCGGAAAACCAGAAACCAAGAAAAAAAAAAAAAAAAAAAAAAGAAACAAGAAACAAGGGCAAAAGGGACAAACACTCTAATGGAATCAGCATCAGCGACGTGGAGAAAGAAATAGGGACCAAAAGCCAAACCTTTTTATATCTCACAACTTATATAGTCGATATTATAATATGATCGGATGATGAACGGTATTAAGTAGCTATCTTTTATTTCTATTCCCCCCTTCCTTCATTTCTCTCTTATTTAAATAAGAGAAAAAGGATTAAGGAAGAGGACCATGTAAAGTAAAGCAAGGGGTAGCAGGGTGGAGGCTATAACGGTCTGGTCTGGTCTGGTCTGGTGTCTGACCGACTGGATGACATCTCAATCAATTTCAACACTCTGCATCTACCCGCGAGCAGCAACTTGTTTTCCAGCATAATCGTACATGATATGATACATACAGTCAGATGTGTTGTTTACGGTCACGGCTTCAGATCGGGATAGGGTGTATCGAATACGTGCTCGGGCCTCTCCTTTTCATTTTTCTCTTCTTCTTATATAAGTATCTGACGGAGGTATGCACAGTATGTGCCCTGGAGATCTGTGCACTTCCACCACTCAATTAATTAATAGCCAACCGACGACCCCTACACAATATCCCAGAGCGAAGTAAGTTAGCAGTAATCGATACATACATAGATAGATAGGCCCTACATGCAAGCAAACACCACATCGCCTGCGCATGTACTAACTACCTAGGTAGTATGTACATACATAGATGCATTGTTTGTTTATTGCCAGCTGTCCCTGCACCTGCACCCGCGCCGAACCTAATCTGGGTTGCGGTGTATAGTAGTTCTTGGCTAAGATGAGATCTGGTCGTGTTTGCTATAGCTTATAGCCTATGGCCCATAGGACCCTGTTTATTTATGAAGCCTCTGGCCAGTGGCTAGGGTGACTAGTTCTGCGTCCCCAATATTATATTAAATTGTGTTTTACTAAGATTTAGTTTTACTATGTAGGTAGGTAGTAGGTACTTACCAAGTATGGCATGTGACTTTGTCGAGATCTGGGTCTGGCTATTGATAGATCGTGGCGGTATGGGGGTTATGCTAGGGGTGTGTACATACATTGCGGGGACTTGGGTGGTGGGTTGATGGGTATAGGTATGCGATTTAGAGAATAGGGAGGGGCTGCATTGGTAAGTGATATGTGAATAGGGGATTATGGAGTAGAACCTTAGGGTTCTGGTAGATACTTGGGAATATTGCGATCTTGGGATAGAAGTCATTTGCTGTGGATTATTTGGGTTTCAAGGATGCGAAAAGATAGGGAGGTGGTATGTATGGCCTCATAACTATTCGTATAAAACGGCGAAAAAATTTCCTTCAGTCAAATGAAGCAAGTGCACACCAATTACCGCTAGTTAATGCAAAGATGAAGGTCTTTTTTCCAAGTTTTGTAGGGACTAGCGAGAGGACAATTCCCCAATCTATCTACTCGCAGTATATACTATATGCTGATTTCTTAAAATAACACAATTTAAGTATGTATCTGAAAGAGAAATTTATGTCTCCCTTACGTAGAGCACGCATAACATCACTATACATATGCTATATCAGGAGACAGATCCCAGGCAGAGACGTATTTAAGCCTGAACGCACTGGTGGTAGTAAGGGTTCCACTTCTTGCAGACCAGACCTTCCTCGCATTCGGTTGCGCCCTGATAGTTCAGGCCACCACATTGGAAGTAAACCTTGACGCTACCAGTGGCGGCGGAGCTAGGCTGAGGGATGATGTCAGTTGGCGCAGCTGAAGAAGATGAAGCAATAGCTGAAGTGGTACTGGAAGAGGTGGTTGAGGTAGTGCTGGAAGAAGTAGTGGCAGCGGCAGCAGTGCAAGACATAATGGCGGAAGGAGTGCTGGTGCGGATGCTGGAAGAAGAAGAAGAGATAGTGACGGCAGCGGCAGCAGTGGTAGAGACGATAGCAGCAGCGGTGGAAGTGGTCTTAGGTGCAGAAGCAGGAGTAGAAGCAGAAGCCTCACCTCCCAAAACCTCCAAAATGCCCTGATAAGCGGGCTTCTTCTCAAAGTTCTCATCCCAAGGGCAAGCAGCACCGTAGCCGGAGAAAGTGCTGGGCACCCAGGAATACTTATCGGTCCAGTCCCAGATGGTAACGCCGATGCAGCTCTTGGTGTCAAGACAGGCACCGATGATGTTGGCGAAATCCGTGCTCTGCTGCTTCAGGTTCTCCTCGGTCGCGGGGGTCTTCATACGCACGTCAACCTCGGTGTAGGCAACCTCCACACCCAGATCGACATAAGACTTCAGGTTACTGGCGAGATCTTTGCGGGCCGGGGTTTGGCCGACGGTGAAGTGGGCCTGGAGGCCGACGCCGTCGATTTTGACACCGTAGGATTGGATCAGTTTGACGATTTTCTGGGCGGCGGTGGACTTGGCGCCACCGTATTCGATGCTGTAGTCGTTGTAGTAGAGCTTCACATCTGGGTCAGCGGCAGCGGCAGCCGCGAAGGCGATGGGAATGTAGGCCTCGCCGATGGTCTTGTACCAGATGGAATCGCGGTAGGAGCCGTCGTCGGCCAGAGCTATTTCGACCGTCAATATTTCTGCTCATGGATGAAGGTGCTCATGAATCGGATATACCCTCGTTGACTACGTCCCATGCGTAGCAGCGTCCCTTGTAGTGCTTGACGACATTGGTGATGTGGTTCTTCAGAACGGCAGTTAGGGTTTCGTTGGTCCAGGATCCGCTGGTGACTATGCTTTGTTAGCAGCGTCACCGGAGCACGCTTAAGCAATGGATATACCCCAGTTGGGGAGCTGTTGATGCCAAACCAAGTTGTGGCATCTCAGCTTCTGATCATTGGCATCTGCCAGATCGGCAACGACGTCTCCCTTGGTGAAGGAGAATTGGTTCTGGGTAGGTTCAGTTGCGTCCCACTGTTTGGTTCATTCGACTAAGTTAGCCACATTATTGATGGAATCCCCAAGGGACAATGTAAAACAACCTTCTGCGAGTTTCCAGGAGTAATCTGACCAAAATCGCCAGTGTTGTTCAACTGGGCGACGTAGGGGGTGTTGGTGAGTTCGGGGTTGTCGGTGGCAGTACCGAAGTAAAGAAGTCCCTTTGCGACGGCGGCATCATGCAGACCAGCCGCTTGCGCACTTTGAATTCATTGTTAGTTTGGCAGTCCTTGAATAAAGCATTGTATTATTTTCTCAGCATATAAAGGGTAAAAGACGAACAGATGGGCCGAGACACCCACAGCCAGAGCTGTAGTGAAGGGCTGGAAACGCATCTTGATTATATATCTAACAAGAGAACCAAAGGAAGGTAAGTGTTGGACGAATTGATCACCAGGATCTTAGCTTAAAAGAATGAAGAAAGGGCTGGTAAGGAAAAAGAAGGCTTTAAATGTCGAGGTGGACCTACAACATTTTATATGCAATCTCGACCGAGTCGACATTCTAGCTAATTTAAGATATGGATGGCCTCTGCGCTAGACTCAGTTTCATGAAATCGGAATTGTATGACTCCATCATGGAGAATTATTCCATGCTGGACTTCTTCGGCGGCTTCTTTTCATTCATTGATTGGAATTGCTTGTTGGCCCGTGTACTACCAACTGTTCCTGTTAATCTACCTGAAACGCCGTTCCTGACTTAGGACACCAGAATGTCTCGGACAAATTCATTCTTACAGCTTAAATCGAGTGGAGAGTTCTGCATGGGCCGGCGGTTATTCTTTTTCAATGGAGGGATTCTAGATTGCAATAGTAGATAGATAGGATAGTGCATAAGGCGCCTCCACCACCTAGGGTTACGGGTAAATGTCGGTCTCAAGACAAGTAAATTAAGGGATGGAGTCATTTTGACTGTTATGGATCGACGTACGATGTCAGTGGCAGCAACTCCATCAGCTGATGTTTCTATTCAGGGAATCGCTAAACAGGTACGAGTGTATAGATTATCATTATCATAACGGCATTGGACCCACGGGTGTTTGAAGGACGGCCAGACAAGATATATGGCTTCCATGAACAGGGTGGGCCTTGACCGTAGTGGACGGCCACGTTCCCTTCATAGGAGTGTCGTATGGGTAGAAAGACCCTTGTTCATGTGGTGAACCGTTGATGGTCGTTGGCGGAAGAGCTCCACGGCCCATGCAGGTCTGCTAGCCTTTGAGCCTTCTCGCGGATGCCTCGGTTTTGGAGATGAGTTTGCCCTGTGGCTACCTGGCGGAGGCAACGAAGGAACAGAGAAGCTCCTTCAGCGCTGCTTCCTTGCCTTCAATTCCGCAATGAATTGGCCGCTCTTTGCGGTCGGCACAATGAAGATCTTCACCAACTGATCAACAACCTCAACCTTGCTGCCGCTCAGGATCTGCAAAAGAGGCAATTTCTTTCCAGCCTTGACCAACCCGCCCGTGGCAGTCTCCATATAACAGTCAACACTATTGACGGAATATTCATTCTTCGTATCCCATGGCAACGGGAAGATATATTCCAAGTGGTCTTCAATGCTGTTCATCTCAGAAAACCCCTTGATAAAATCCGACTCAGCATCCATGGGATAGAGCAGCATGGTGGGGAATTCGAGGGTACTTTCGGGAGAGAGGGGGTCAGGAACGAGACGAATGACCGCACCGTCCATGTCGGCCGGATTATCCGACAAGCGGGTTCTGATTTCTCTAGCCTTCAACGCAATATCGAGCAGCTTCTTCTCTTTGCGCTTTCTCTCTTCCTCCGCCTTCCGCTTAGCGGCTACGCGCTCGAGGGCAGCCTTGCGTTCAGCGATCTTCTCCGCCGCCGTCTGGAGAGACTTATTATCCGGATCGAGAGCCAAACCCCGCTTCGCAGCATCCTCAGCCTCATCAAGCTTCTCAAGCTTGAAGCAAGCCATAGCGGAACGATAGAACGCCTTGATATTTTTCGGATTCAACTTGAGCGTCGACGCGCAGTCAAGCGTACACGACCGGTAATTGCCTAAATAAAACCAAAAGTTAGGACCCTCCTTACTCAAACAGCAAATAAAAAGAAAATACACACTTACCCAACTCCAAATTACACAACGCGCGATTGATATAAGACGCCTCTTCAACCTGCCTCCACAACTTCTGCTCTTCAGCCATATCCTCAGGCTTCTCCCACTTATCCTCCTTCGCAAAGAGCACAGCAATAGCCTTCGTATAGAACTCCTTCGCATCAATCCACCTCAACTCCTTCGCCGCCTCATTTCCCTGCTCGCGGTAGTTCTGAGCCACATCTCCACGAGTCCCCTCATTCTGCAGCGCCGTAAGCGCATCCAACACGATATTCTCGCCATCTGCAAATAGTCACGTAAGCGTAAGCCAAGGCCATAAAACCCTACTCACCCCATAACCCGGTCTCCCATCACCCGTAACAACAAATTGAAAAAAGAAGAAGAAGAAAAACATACTCTCATCCCCCGCCTTCTCAATATCCGTCATAAACAACGGCGTCTTATTCAACATCTCCGCCAACTCATCCGTCGTATGCGACCGCACAGCCTCCATACCCGGAGGCATCTTCGGCGCACCCGGATTCTCCTTCTCCAACTCCTTCACCCGTTCCTCGTTGATCGGGAACGCGGTCTCTTTGTCCGCGGCGGGGGCAGCATTGGCGGGGCTGCTGTCGGAGGGGGATTTCGCCTGCTTGTTCAAGTTGAGCGACTCGTCGAAGTCATCGGGAAGTTCTTCGATTCGGCCCATGGTGACGGCGTATAAGATTTGTAATGTAGTTGTCTTGGTGGTGCAGAGTTGAATGTGGGGGGGTTTTGGATAATGGAAATCTTGATGCAGCTTGATAAATTGGAGACAAACGGTGCAAACATGAGGGACGGAGGGTTTACCCTATTTCCTTTTTGGGAGGAGGGTAGTGTAGCTTGGATTTGTTTTTGATGTATTTGTTTAATATTGACGGTGCTGTACAGTGCGATATCGGCGAGAAGGTATATAGATATAGCCTATATGTAGTTAATTACCTCGGGTTCAATGCGGGTTTGACGGGATAATCAACCTCTACGAAGTATAGTACCGCGATGTTCAATACCGTTTATCGGGGCAATGCCGGGAGGAGACGTCCATTTCCCCGCATATCGGTCTCCTGGCCGAACTGAACCCTATAGATCTATAAATAAAGAAGGTAGACAAGACAAGGATACAAGAATTTAATTAGATGATATTAGATACAGTAACCTAAATCCATTCACCCAATGTACTTAAGAGGAACTCAAAAAACAATGACCAGAGCAAAAACCCACAACATCCTCGTCCTCCCCGGCGACGGCATCGGCCCTGAAATAATGGCCGAAGCCACCAAAGTCCTCTCCGCGTTCAACACATCCACGGTGCAGTTTAATCTCCGCTCGGAGCTGATTGGCGGCTGTAGTATCGACCTCCACGGCAAATCGATTACGGATGCCGTCAAGGAGGCGGCTCTGGCCTCGGACGCGGTGCTGTTCGGTGCCGTTGGGGGTCCGAAATGGGATAACATGCGGAAGGGGCTGGATGGACCGGAAGGTGGACTGCTGCAGCTGCGGAAGGCGATGGATATCTATGCGAATTTGAGGCCGTGTTCGGCGAATTCGCCGAGTCGGAATGTGGCGAGGGAGTTTAGTCCGTTTCGGCAGGATGTGATTGAGGGCGTGGATTTCGTGGTGGTGAGGGAGAATTGTGGCGGAGCGTATTTTGGGAGGAAGGTTGAGGAGGATGGATATGGTATTTACCTCATTTCTTTAAACTATGTCCGCTTGAAAAGGTAAATCGCACTGACATAAGGGAAATGGAAAAGCCATGGACGAATGGGCCTACTCCACCCCCGAAATCGAGCGCATCACTCGTCTCTCCGCCGAACTGGCTCTCCGTCACGACCCCCCTTGGCCCGTCATCTCCCTGGACAAGGCGAATGTGCTCGCGTCCTCGCGGCTCTGGCGCCGGGTTGTTGAAAAGACCATGGCGACGGAGTATCCGCAGGTGAAGCTGGTGCATCAGCTGGCCGACTCCGCGTCGCTGATCCTGGCGACGAACCCCCGGGCATTGAACGGCGTCATACTGGCTGATAATACCTTTGGAGATATGATTTCGGATCAGGCAGGGTCTATCGTTGGGACGTTGGGCGTGTTGCCGAGTGCGAGTTTGGATGGGTTGCCTTCTGAGAGCCGGAGAAAGACACATGGGCTGTATGAACCGACTCATGGGTCGGCGCCTACGTAGGTTCTTTCTTTCCATTATGGGTTGGGCTTTTAGCTAAACAGAGACTAGGATCGCCGGCAAGAATATCGCCAACCCTGTGGCTATGATTCTCTGCGTGGCGTTGATGTTCCGGTATTCTTTAGACATGGAGAATGAAGCACAGCAAATCGAAGAAGCTGTGCGGACAATTCTAGACGCTGGGGTTCGCACGCCAGATTTAGGTGGAAAGGCTAGCACGACAGAGGTGGGAGATGCGATTGTTACTGTGCTGCGTGGGGAGACATTGTAGGGTTGATCTGTGCTTCCATTGTGTTTGATACCGTCGGGATGTGGTTAGATTGTAGGTTCGTTGATTGATGTTTGTTTTCCTTGTAGAGATTTGCTTTGTGTTTATCACCATGAATAGTAGTCATGAATGCAGAGCCGTTTCTTTGTCAAGAGACCACTGGGTGTTGAGGTCTTTGGTGTATTGATGCAGCTACCAGATGACTAGAAAACGGTAAACATTTCTTTGATCACTTCAGAATTACACTCATCGATATTACGCGTTGCCTCTATATCATAAAAAGAATACAAGGCTGCGACCACCTCTTACTATATACTGCACCTACCGTGTCTATTTTTACATTCTACGAACTCAATTAATCTATACACCACCTGCAGTCCAGTCATTTGCACCTACAGCAAAGAAAAACCGTCGCAATGTCGGCCACAGACCCCAGAACTCCCGGTTCCTGCGCGATGCGCCTCCGGAACCTCGTGGGGCTTTCATCAACCTCTAAAACCGCTCTCCTACGATCGATTGCCGATGACATCCGCGCCGCGTTCATCAGCATCTCCAAGCAACTTTCTCGTGGCACGCTGCGCACTAAACATACGGATCCTATTCATGATCTCATCGCCAGTATCAAGAGCACCGAGTCGCCGGAGTGCCAGAGGATGCAGCAAGAGCTAGAGCGGTACCGACAGCGCGAACGACGGTGGAGGGTGGAGAGAAAGTGGATGCGCAGGAAAGTCAAGGGTCTCGTAAGACACTCAGAGGAGATCCATAGACGGTGGAAAGATCAGCTCTGGAGAGCGAAAGGGGATTTTGATGATGCGGCAAGAGAATTGACGGTGTTGAGATGGAGGTATGAGTTGTCTAGGTCGCAGGGCGAAAAGAGGTCGTTGTTGGGCGAGCCAAGTCAAACGGAGTCAAATCGATGATGGCCGCTCTTGTTTCTTTTATCTCAATATTTCTGGGAAATTATGACAATGGAATTTATCATTATTCCCCTTGGACTTTCTGCTGGAACCGGTACCTATCGTAGAAAAAATTGAGCTACCGAACTTCATGTCTGATGGTAAAAACTGAGATCAGCGGCTGAACTAGTTTTTGAAACCACAACATAGACGGCATCTAACCGTCCACCCATCACATGTGTGGATCAAGGCCGATAGCCAGTTAGGAATTTGGTGTTATCAGCAGCGGGACGAGTGGCGACAACCTTAACTGCTGGGATCCATCCTGTGATACTCGACGTTCCAGAACCAGCTTTAATAATCGAGATGAAACCAGTAGCATGTTGACAGAGATCACAGGCTTATCTGACGCAACGCAGGTGTAAAAGAATTGGCGGCGGAAGAATTGGTGCAGTTGATAGGCAGACAGGAAGTCATTGATGGGGTCGGGAATCCAAGTTCCGAGGTCCCTCGCATCGGCGGCTTTTGATCGGGATGCTGGCAGAAACTGATCACGAAAAGCAGTCTAGAAGAGACGCCATGGAACTATTTATCATTTTTTAAGTCTCCTGGTGTATGTATCGGAAGGTCCGAGTTCCCGGAGACTATTAGGGCGAATGCGCCTCAACTCATAACCTCACGTAGACATGTAGGAGTCAACCGGAAGCAGTCGCAATAAATTATTTCCTTCAAATTTTCACGGCCACCATAGTTTAGTATACTCCGGTTCTCCGTGGGGAGTACCCCATTGTCGAGGACGTCGAAAGGGACGAGCGAATGAACCTCGGCATTTGATACTGTCGGCCAAATTGTTGATTCCTGCCGCGGATCCACTCGTTGCCTCTCTTCATGTGCGCGCAGGAACTCATCGCCTCCTGGACCGAAAGGCTTCTCATATTTCTTCCTTAACATCTTCGATCCTTCTTTCCCTCTTCTTCTAATCAGAATTTGCTGCCGCCCCTTAGACCTCATTCCAACCAGAGCGCGTTGAAAAATTTCACCTTTTGAGGCTTTCCCTGACCCACAAACTATACCCGACCTATACCCCAGACAAATTATCGGCCGAGATGAGCACACCAGGGGATTATGACGCCGTACGGAGGGACATTGTCGCCCAACTGAAGAAGCCGGGTTACGACGACGGTAGCGCAGGACCTGTATTCGTTCGTCTGGCATGGTTAGTTTTTTTTTTTTTTTTTTTTTTTTTTTTTTTTTTTTCTCTCTCTTTTTGTTCTCTGCTTCCTTAATTGCGGTTCTTGACAGGACGACTTACCTAATACGTCTTCTTCTAGGCACTCCGCAGGAACATACGACGCAGAATCAGACACGGGCGGCTCAAATGGCGCCGGCATGCGATATGAAGCGGAGGGTGGCGACCCCGCGAACGCCGGTCTTCAGCACGGCCGGGCCTTCTTAGAACCAGTAAAGGAGAAGCACCCTTGGATCACATACGCGGACTTGTGGACACTAGCAGGTGTGGTTGCGGTCAAGGAGCTGGGCGGACCCGAAGTTGAATGGAAGCCAGGCCGCACAGATTTGGTCGACGACTCGAAGGTGCCGCCACGGGGCCGTCTGCCCGACGGCGCCCAGGGAGCCGACCATCTGCGCTTTATCTTCAACCGGATGGGGTTCAACGATCAGGAGATTGTCGCGTTGGCGGGAGGACACAACTTGGGCCGCTGCCACATGGACCGGAGCGGATTCCACGGTCCCTGGGTGAACAACCCGACACGATTCTCGAACCAGTTCTACAAGCTGCTCCTGAAGCTCGAGTGGACGCCCAAGACGCTGGAGAACGGAGTCAAGCAGTTTGTGTATGTGGATCCTGATGCGGAGGAAGGCGATGACCAGCTGATGATGCTGCCTACCGATGTTGCGTTGACGACGGATCCGAAATTCCGCTACTGGGTGGAGAAGTATGCCGAGGACAAGGATCTGTTCTTCGACCACTTCGCGAAGGTGTTTGCCAAGCTGGTTGAGCTGGGGATTCAGCGGGATTCGAAGGGAGCTGTCGTTAACACCGACAATGTCAAGGGAGGATATATTTCGGCGCCGAAGAAGAGCAATACCCCAACTGGACTGTCGAAGGGACCAAGTGGCGGCGGTTGTCCCCGGGCCAGGCTGTAGATTTCTGTTTTGTGTTTGTTAATTCCCTGTACATAGATACTACATCGGACATAGAGAACCGGCCGTTCAATAGATTTAGAAGATTGCGACACGTACCTCCATTTGAATCCACAAGGTAAAATAAAGGAAAGTAGGATAGTATTAAGAAAAGGGAGACAAGAAAGGAGAGAAAGGAAGGAAATAACAGGAAGAGAAGGTGAAATAGATTAATCGAAGGAAGGGGTCAAAGAGTTGAAGGAAAAATGCGGGGAAAGCTGATGGATTTAATACTCGGCCCGTCATTGGTTGTGACGCCCGTCTATGTTGAACTGGGGAAAGAAATTAAATGCAACGGTTACTTCATGTCGCTTGAATAGGAAAAGAATTCCCCTGGGTCTAGGATATTTATGAATTTCGGTTATCGATTGACCCCCTTTTGTTCGAACGTGTAGAAATCGGTTAGTGTAGAGTAGAGACTTTGGTGACTTTGGCTAGACAGATCAGATAGATATATATCGCCCTGTATTGAACGGATTCCCAGCTGCTAGGTAATTCTACATAGGCGCTTTATAACACCATGACACTTAGGCTCAACAACAAAAGAGAAGACCATATACAAAAATCACTCATAGAATGTAGCCAAAATCAAATGACTCTATTCCGCCAGAATCGCCTAAATCAGTGATAGGTCAACGTACACTACCAGAGCCGGGGACTCCCGGCCCATCAACTGCCTTTCTCTTCACGCCTCTCGACATCGGATTCTTCGGTACGGGCACATTGTACCCACTCCCCTGGTCTGGCCTCCTAGGGTCCAGCTGAGGTGCAAGGTGCGGCTGGGTCCTTCGACCGTCCATAGGTAGTAGCGGGGCCTGCGCCCGTAGCTGTGGAGCGCTAGATGAGATGGCAGGATCAATGTACTGAGGCATTATGCCCTCATTGACATTGTTCTGATGAGGGTAATTGAAATGAGTCTCGACCGGAGTCGGAGCGGTACTCGTGCTGTGGGCAGGATTCGGCGCTGGGGTGACAAACATCCCCGGGGTGAGCTCGGGCGGTCCAAAAACATGATCGAGGAGCTCTATCCCGTCCGCAGTCGAGCCCACATCAAGGAAAGGATCTTTATGTATATCATTCTGCATATTCAGCAATGAAGTAAGTTGTGTGCTGCGCTCATTATGCGTACTCGGCTGTATGTTGTAATATCCATTGTACGGAGTGTGGCTGTGCTGCATGTTGTACCGCTCTCGCCCCTGGGAACCCGCCTGCGCATCGTACTGTGTATTATACGGCCCCTGATACGGTACATTCGAAAGATTATCGTGGTGGTGCTGCGCATTATACTGTTCTGAATGTGGCTGAATGCTATGCTGTGAGCTGGACTGTGCATCGTACTGTGAGGTATTCCGTTCTTGATGTCGTCCATTGAGCTGTGCAGGATCCTGTGTGCTAATCTCCGTATTACGCAATGCAGTGCTGTCGGCGAGGGCGAGGAGAGGTGGGACTTCATGAAAAATGGACAAAGTCGGAGCACCGTAAAGTGAGGAGGTTGCCGGTATTCCAATCATTTGTGGTTCTGGATCGGGCAGCGGGGATGTCAGGTAACGGACATTCATCTTATATGGACTAGTTAGCGATGGATCCAGTGTGTTAGCATAATGACCCACGCCTAAAGAACCATTCAACGTCTGGCCGCGGGTTTCTGGGTCATAGGCCCCCGTGGCCAGAAGGTAACGGTCTTCCTTGCAGTTGATAGCTCGCCTCCATGGAAAACCCATCCGAGCTTTGGGGGCTTCAGATGGGGTCCAGGAAATATGCCCCTGGAGGAGTAACCTCTGCTGGCTCTTGATATTAACCATGTCACCTAACGCATGCAAGGCCACGTTGATAACCTCATCGTCGGGATTCATGATACGTTCGTAGAAGAGGAGTGGAACAGGCTTGTTTTTCCACCAGGATTCGGGTACTTTGTCGTCCCTGTGCGCTTGAGCGATACCCCCGACGATGACGCCTGAAAGCATAGCGCTGTCATATATTTTGATTTCACCAGTGTCGGCTTCGCCCCGTTCATTATCACTCCAGTAAACTCGATAATGATTGTCCTTGGAGTAGATCCCACCTAGCCAGCGGTATGCTGCTGTCCCTCGCTTGCCCTCCTTCGTAATGTAGTCAAAAGAGACGTCTCGGGTGTGTTTCTTGACGGGCACAGTACCATCTAGAGTTACAGCTAAGCGAATCGGCAGATCATGCAGCTTCCTCCGACATACCACGGCTTTATCTTGACATTCACCACAACGGGTGATATACTCAGATGCAAATGAGCGGGAGATCAACTGCTGCATCGATACGCCCTTCGTGTCTTCCGGGCATGTAGGCGGCATCACAATTGCGCAACTATGGTGCGCAGCGTCCGTGGCATTCTCTGTGCACGGGGGGCAAAAGGCGATTTGCTCATGATACGTGAACAAGAACTGGCCAAAGTGGTCGGTCGATACTCTCCACATGTCAAGGAGAGATGATTGTGCATCCGCCCCGGCGCTTTCAGTCGCCGCCGCCATCATCGACCAAAAGCGATCTCGGGAGTTTCCTCTTGAGCAGAGATCCCAGTTAACATCAGTGGCTTCAATAAAGGCTTTCTCCACATTCGTGAAGCGCTCGCACCATTCGGGGTCTTTGCGGTCGATGACGGTGGATCCGGCATCGAGCAACTTGCCGACTACAATGATACTGTCAATGGCAGAAGAGTTGTTGCAGTACACAGGTCCCCGACCTCGATAAGGGTACTTATCGCCGTCTGCACTGAAAATCAGTCCACATGGATTATCAGGGTCCGTAGCGAGCTTCACATGGGATGTTGCGGGGAATGATCCGATGTTGGCTTGCTGAAGGTCTTCTTCTGTCGTCGCGGTCAGATGTACTCGGCCATCTTGGGTAGCAGCGCTGCGATGCCGTGCGAGATCTTCATAAGCAAATTGCATGACAGCCCGTTCAACGGCCTCAATAACAGTTCGAGCCATGACCTTGGGAAGATGCAAATTGCGTTTGTTGCTATTCCCCATACTATTGTTCGTAGACTGAGCGGGTGATACCTCGATCTCTTCAAGAGCATTGTTGACTTCTTTCGGTTCGCCATAAACTGGATACAGCATCTGTTCTATATGGCTGTCGGGCCTGGACTGTAGAGCGTCGAGGGGCCTGTGGAACCCCTCACTTGGGATTTTAGTGGTGGGTGGTGGATGAGGATAGAACCTGCTAATGGGAAGGAGATCTGGATCATCTAGTGAACATTGCAATAGCCGAGGGCCAGCATCTCTCATCTGGAAGTCCTTTATCTGCTCGAAGTTCTGCGGTCGGTGTTTGTCTTGCTGGTAGTAGAAGAGCTTCCATAGAACTTTGAAGCACCTGAGGTTGGTTAAGTCGCCCTTCACACCCATATCGATTCCCCAACTGTGAAACCTTACCCACCTTTTAGCCTCTTCACTGGTTGCTTTACGAGCTTTTGAGGCTTCAGTTGCTGTTCGCCCGCAAACACGCCAATTGCTGGGGGGTTCGGGCAGGTCAGCCAGTTTGACCATAGGGTAGTTGAGCTCAGGGTTATATTTGAAATCATCATCATCCTTAGTCGTGGGTTTAGTGTCGCTGCTGTCTGAAGACATGATATATCGCTTGAGTGCACTTATATCAAGCGACTTGCGGATCTAAAAGGAGTTCGAAGAGAAGACCAATGTTATGAGTGCGAAAAGCCAGTATATTCCATACAAGTGTTGTTTCAGTCATCAATGTCAATAACGATTCATCCATGGAAGAATATAGAAGATCAGGTCGATGAGGTTTCAAGAAACATCTTCTGCAAGAGGAGATTAATACCCGGAGCCGTCCTTCCGCGTAAACTGGGCCATGAGCGCTTTTCAACTTAACCTATATATAAGACATAAGACGTAGGAACAAAGGCTCAATCATGTCCACTAAGGGTTATTTGAAAGAGACACAAGGGCATTGGGTTCATAACAATGGCAAAAAGAGATGGTATTGTCTTTGTCTTGTGCTATCTAGTGCTTGATGGATGCATGAAGGTAGTGTGCAGTGAGATAATGGCCACAAGTCATTCAAGATATCCACAAGGGCATGGGTAGCAATCGAATTGCTCCCAGCAGCGGGGTTATCCAAGCTAGTTCATTTCTTTAGGGATTGAGATATCCTCCGTAGAGGACATGGCAACAAAGAACTATGGGTGTCTTGAGCCCATGAGCGGGTAGTCCCGTCAAGGTAGGGTTAACTAACGCAGTAGTATCCCATATCGAGAATATATTCCCGCATGGGTGAATGAGGAGTATCCTGTAGATGCTCTTTTGCTAGAGAAAGAGTGCAGAGGAATGCAAGGCACAACATTGCACAATGCTATAGATGAAGGCATTCACTAAAGAATGAGAGCGTTTAAGCTAACTGAGCATAACAAGGAAATGGTACTATCCCACTGAGTTACTTGGAATGTGTAATGTGTGTCCAAGAAAATTGAGTCTCTCATCACAATCAAGAACTGATAATAATGTTATGGGTGAGAGAGCGATAAGCGTAATATTACCATACCCACAGAACCGTAATCTTACACAGAGATCACATGAGCGAAGCCCCTACCCGGAGGAAACCAGTCTAGTCCGCATAAGGCTAGCATCACCAAGAGTAAGCGAGCGCACAAATGCCAGAAGCGGCCTAGCGTGATTACCCGATCCCACAACGGGAGCCGAAGCAAAGTCCAAAGCAAAGTCGGGCCCTCGATTTGTCCTCCTTCTCACCCCTCTCGCTGTCGACAATCAATCGCGATCCCGTCGCGCATCCGCCAATATGTGTACGTTTTACTCCTCACCCCGAGCTGCTTTTTGGTTGAAGAAAATTTCTGGTGTCTTGCCGTTCGCCATTTTTCCCCGACAAAAGAGGCGGGTTGCAGTCGGTCCCCGGGACGTCGACAAGAGATGGAAGAAAGAGATGATGATAATGAAGTGATGGCGTTTGAGAAGCAATGGAGAGTGCAGAAAAAAGGCTGACTGCGATTCTTTTCTGATTACAGCGCTCGTGTCCGGCGAGAAGACGAACTTCCAGTACATTCTGCGTCTGCTCAACACCAATGTTGACGGCAAGCAGAAGGTTATGTACGCCCTGACCCAGATCAAGGGTGTCGGCCGCCGCTACTCCAACTTGGTCTGCAAGAAGGCTGATGTTGACCTCAACAAGCGGTACGTTTTCCGGGTTTTCTGTCCCCATGTGCATCCGAAATAGGGACCTTCTTTGTCAGCTGGAAAGGAGTGGTTGCCAGGATAAAGAAACCAACATCGAGCATGAAGGACAAAGTCATTAACGGGGTTTTCTTTTCTAGCGCCGGTGAGCTTACCACCGAAGAGCTCGAGCGTGTCGTCACCATCCTCCAGAACCCTACCCAGTACAAGATCCCCACCTGGTTCCTGAACAGACAGCGCGACATCACCGATGGCAAGGATAGCCAGGTCATCTCCAACGGCTTGGACAGCAAGATGCGTGAGGACCTTGAGCGCCTTAAGAAGATCCGCTCTCACCGTGGTCTCCGTCACTACTGGGGTCTCCGTGTTCGCGGTCAGCACACCAAGACCACCGGTCGTCGTGGACGCACCGTTGGTGTCAGCAAGAAGAAGGGCTAAACTATACGAGAGGGACACTACTGCGTTTTTTCCTTCTTGCTTGTTGGTGTGTTTTAACGAATTCTCGTGGGACCTGCGCATGATCTGGTGTTAAATACAAAAATTGGCACGGGTCTGAAAATGAAACAATCATACCAATATGACATGAATCATAAAATCTTATTTCTCGTTCGAACGATATACTATCTGGACTTGGATTACTACTGTGATTCAGACTAATTCCCACATTCTCCCCCTTCGTCTACCGGAGCCTACATGATGCATATAATTGGCCTGGCGTAAAAGTCGGATACCAATGTATCAGATATTAGAGTAGAATTTGTACAGGTGGTGGGTGAGAATACTGCTAAGGCTCTTAACCGTATCTTTCGTACAACTCCCCAATCTACTAGTTAGAGACACCCACCAACCAACCAACAAAGTATTCCTAGTTTAGAAGTATAGTCACCCATTTTATTATGCTACAATGTAGCAATTCAAAGGATATGCAAAAATTCTATGAAAAGGACTGGAGTTCTAGTAATCGTACGCTCACACTATATGTATATGCGGCTATATATATAGCGCGGTACATTTATGAAAATTGATGTACAAACATCAAAAGTACACAAGCATCTCAAAACGTTACGCTTTCAAAATATTCCGTGAATTAGCCTTGCGACTAGCGCCATATCCTTGAACAGGTCTAGACATGTCTTATTCTAGACCAGAATGGCCGATTCAAAACCATTCACCACCCAACCAGCGGTTGAAGAACTCCAGACTAGCCTCGGGCTGGTCCATCGGAACCATGTGGCCACCGCCATAGAGACGCATGAACGTGAAGTTCCCGTGAGATTTGATCTGGCCAATCTTCTTGCCTGTGTGTTCGTTCTGCTCAATCTTCAGGTCCTCCAACTCGAGAGAAGCATACTTCTCCTGGCCAGGCCATTCAAGAGCCTCAGTCCAGGCCTTGTTACCCAGCCAGTTGCAGATGTAGTCGGCATCACCGGCATAGATCAGAACGGGGATCTGCTCAAGAAGGCCAGGAACCAGACGGTGGTAGGGCTTCATCCAGTCACCGTGGAAGAGGAAGTTGCGGTTGATATCAAAGTTGCACGAGTCATAGCCATCAACTTCGGCACCCAGCGCCTGGCGAACTTCAGCCTTGTTGAGATACTCGCTCACATAGCCCATGCCCTTGTAGCACAGGTTGCTCTCATCCTCACACTTGCTGCGGACATCATAGACATTCTGTCCAGTGCGCTGGTAAGGTCCGATAAGAGCATTGTTGCAGTAGATCGAGGCAGGGACGCAGACCCAGGCGCTTTCTGAGTCGTAGCAAGCCTTGATCATGGACTGGCAACGGGGTAAGGCATTGTCCATGGACTGGCAGGTGCTTTCGTCCAAGACAGCCGGGTAGCCACCTTTACCACAACCCATCGGGCGGTAGTACTCATACTGAGTGAGGCCGTCAGTGAGACCATTGCCAATGAGGACAGACTTGAGGTTTATGTTGCGGTTCTTGTGGGACAATATCTCAGATGCAAAGACAGGGATATAATGTCCGGCATATGACTCGCCAGCAATATGGAAGTCCTGCTTCGCATACTCGGGGAATTGTTTGAAGAAGAGGGAGAGCAGAGCGTAGACGTCCTTGCCAGCAGCAACGGTGTCACTAACAGCGGAGCCACTGTAGGAGTAACCGACATTGACGGGCTGATCAAGGAAGATCACGGAGGCATTGGAGTTCCAAGAGTAATCGTTGTAGATGGGCTTAATGTTCTCATCGATGCTGCTAGGTCCAAGCTCCATGAACAAGCCGGTGAGGGAAGAGCAGCCGGGGCCACCGTTCAGCCAGAGAACGACAGGGTCGTTCTTCGGGTCATTGCGGGATTCAAAGAACCCTTTTGCGAGATTAGTATCAGGAACAAGAATCAAATGGCGGTCAAGAGAACTCACAATAGAACAAATGCTTGTCATTCTCATTATCATCGAGATAGCCGGTGTACTGCTTCACACCGGGGTCAATCCCGAGAGCCTTTGGATCAGATTTCTTGACTCTGAGATCGTAAGCCTCTAGCTTTCCGTCGATCTCCCTCTCTGATTCGCCGTTGGCATTGTTCACCCAGATCTTCTGGACATCCGAGCCACGGACAATGTGGTCCCAATGAGAATCAGGACGACGAGTATGCTTCTTGGGAAGAGAGAAGACTGGGTTATGGTCCATGCTATCTGGGAAGTAGTTGGAGACTTCTTCCCAGAGCTTACGAGCATCATCTGAAAGGGTCTTCAGCTGCTCCTGGAAGGCATGGAGTGGCTTGGCGAAGCTCCCCATGCTGTCCTCAGGCTGACCCAACACCTGCTGGAGAGGTGGAAGGGCCGCGGAGGCAGCCCCGACCAGCAAAGTAGCTGGCAATACTCTCATTTTGGATCACTTTGATTCCAAATGAGATGTGAAAAAGGGCAGTTTGGGATGGAAGGACGTGATGACGATAAGAAGGTACCTTGCGGTCTAAACAGCTGCTTATCAGTACCAAGCTGTTATTGGGATTGGATAGGGAAGATGGGAGGATTAAAACATACGGGAAACAGCAGATGTAACAGACGCAAAGTAGCCGATGAAGAATCAACTACCTGCGAATATAGGCAAGAGGGAAGGAGGATGAAGAGAGAGGAGAGAGGAGGTGAACCTTCGGTTAGTTGGGGGAGCGATCACGCCGATGACGCCGATAACACTTCCCAGGGCAGCCAATCATCGTCGGGGGGGACCTTCCGGGGAAACCAAGTCACGCGCTGAATCAGCCATTCCTTGATCGCTGAGTCATGGAATCACGAGATCTGCGTCATTGTTGTCTTGGCCAATCACGAGACCGTCAGGAAAAGATCCAAAAAAAAAAGTTGCCATAATTCTTCACACATTAGCAAAAGATACCCTTTTTCTAATCAAGTTTCTTCCCTTTTCTAGCCCTTTGCTATTGAGGACTACAGAGCGTGTCTTCCGGCAAGACACATACAGCAACATGCCCATCCAACAGCCCTCCAATCAGATCAAGTTTACCAACGTATCAGTGGTCAGGTTGAAAAAAGGTTCGTCAAACAATTTGTCTGTTTTTGTTAGTATCTCATATTACGAATATGTATGCTTGACGAAAGGAATGTGTTGGATGAGGATAAAAGCAAAAATAATCTACATGAAAGATTAGCCCCGCAACCCTGCTAACATATTTCATCATCAGGTAAAAAGAGATTCGAACTCGCCTGTTATAAGAACAAACTACTAGAGTACCGCTCCGGGGCGGAAAAAGACCTGGACAATGTTCTTCAAGTCCCTACGATCTTCCTCTCCGTCTCAAAAGCCCAAACCGCCCCGTCAGCAGAGTTAACCAAAGCGTTCGGTGCCAACACCCCTGCAGACGAGATCCGACAGGAGATTTTACGGAAAGGCGAAGTGCAAGTTGGTGAGCGTGAGCGAAAGGAGATCATCGAGCGGGTGGAGAAGGAGGTGTTGGATATTGTGTCGGGTAGGCTGGTTGACCCGACGACCAAGCGAGTCTATACACCCGGAATGATTTCTAAGGCGTTGGATCAACTGAGTTCGGCGAGCGGGCAGATGCAACAGGCGCAGAGTCAGAGTAATAGTGGGGATGGAAACGGTGATGGAGAGGAGGGTCGCCCTGCTCAGCCCCGGAGGCCGCTCTGGACCGGTGTCACTTCCAACAAGTCGGCGAAAATCCAAGCTCTTGAAGCCATGAAGGCACTCATCGCATGGCAGCCGATTCCAGTTATGCGAGCACGGATGCGTCTTCGAGTGACTTGTCCGGTGCCGCTTTTGAAACAGAGCGTTAAGTCTGGAGCACCCGCAACCTCGAATAAAGAGAAGGAAGCCTCGTCGGGCGGCAACTCCAAATCAAATAAGAAAGGTGGCAAAGGGTCAAAGAAATCGGCACGCCAGCAGGATTCCGATGCTGAGGGTGCCTCTGATGTCGAGCCCCCGCAGCCGAAGGCACCGACTAACGTCAAGGACAAGATTCTGAGCTTCGTGGAGTCCGTCGAGTCGCAAGAAATTGCAGGCGACGAGTGGGAGGTTGTTGGATTTGCTGAGCCGGGGGCGTTCAAGGGGCTAAACGAATTTGTGGGTAACGACACCCGGGGCAGAGGACGAGTAGAAGTGCTGGATATGGCCGTCACTCATGAAGACTAAGAGGCCTAGATGCGGGAGTATATATTCAGTTTGCGAGCCTTTGCACAGCGCATGGTCGATTCACGTATAGATAACTTACACTCAGACTTGTGCTATGATTAATGATTACTCGGGTGGAAGCAGGATACCAGTGCTAACGGAATGATCACTCAGATGATGATCTACCTCATGCTCTTTAATGAATGAATTAGAATAAATACAAACAGTAACCCAGAGGTGCTTCTATTTCTTGTGAGTTGCGTGTATTGTGAGTACTGAACGTGACCTGCCTAGACCTAGGTACTCGCAACATGCACCGTTTTACTAGGTAACACCCGCTATTGCGCGCTTCAAAGTGCCACGGGTCTCAGGGTAGTGCTGCAGTAACCCCAGATCCCCTTCAGTCTGATTCGAGGACTTTGCAAACTAGCGCCTTCAACCGCGTCTTCTGCTGAACGAAGCCTGTCGAAGATTGTGTCATCATTGCCAAAGTGGGGGTTGTTGACCGTTGGATTGTTGGATCCGAATCAATCGTTAAATCTGCGCTACACTTGTTTTATACTACCCCATGGGTCTCGTGTCGTTTCTTATAGAAAATGGTGAGATGATTGCTACCGATAAAGCCATATTAGGTGTGTCATCGAGAACCATCTCTCACTCGAAACATTATCGTCATCCATACCCGTCAACTCACAGATACTACGCTCAATTCCCAACTTCGACTTGGTCGAAGACTAGTGCTGCGAGAGGCTCTCCTGACCCTCGGCTCCGGCGATGTTATTATTGTTGGTCGTAATGCATGGCTGTGGACCCCCAAGAGCCATATCCAGGTCACAGTCTTCAGCCGGACATCCCTGCTCTCTTCGGTATGGACATCTTGAAAGGCCACAACGAATACTCCACAGTTAAGTCCCCACTATGATATGAAGTGGTTGGCTAGTGGAGCGAGGAACTCTCGTATTAACGCTTTATTGGCTCCATTGACGGCGGCGCACGGTGCCTGGGACTAAACCTTAACTAGGGATGATCCTCCTTCCAAGTGGGACTTACGTTGGGGGTTGAAAACTACCAAGATTCCCTGCCTCCACACTCGCTAGATGTGGTTCTTGTCGGGGAGGTGGTGTACCTGTCAGGGAATTTCATCATGGGAGCTGCGAGACACGAGGGATCACCTCGGTCGGACTCGGGATCCCCGTCAAGGGAAGAAAACCCGCAGGACGAGTATGCGGTCAGCCTCCCCTCCCGTTCATCTTCGTCATCTTTTCGGTAGCAGCAGGGACTGACCAGCGCAGGGAGAGCTGGACTATAGTGCAGACTCCGATTATGTCGAGGAATTGTGAGACATCATATTGGCGATACTTGTTGGCTACGTTGACACTGATATCCCAGTGCGAGCGACACCACATCGCTCAATTCGATGATCACCGCTTATCGCTATGAGAATGGTAGACGATACCACGCCTACAGAGATGGTGCTTACTGGTATTATGACCGTTTAAATGCTCTCTCTCTCTCTTTCCCGAAGTCTATATAACGATGGGATATGGACGGCTAAGGTGCGCAGGGGCCCAAACGACGAGATGCAAAACGAACAACTGGATATAGCGTACGTACCGGGGATGTGAACAATCTCAGTAACCATTCTGACATTAATCTGTAGTCATCATATGTTCACCATGCTTCTTGGAGATAAGTTGTGTCTTGCGCCCATATCTGATAACATTCAGGTAAGGTCTTATAGCATCTGCTTGGAGTGTGGGCTGATGAATGTTAAATAGAGAGTACTCGATGTCGGTACGGGAACGGGGATATGGGCCATGTTTGTGCAAGACAGTATAGATAGACCATTTGTTCTTACTAACGGATCTCTAGTGACTTTGCAGATGAATATCCCTCTGCAGAGGTGATCGGAACTGACCTATCACCCACTCAACCAACTTTTGTCCCGCCAAATCTCCGGTTCGAGGTCGACGATGCTGAAGATTCATGGGCATACCCGGAGAACCATTTTGATCTCATCCATGTGCGTTCACTATATGGGGCAATTTCCAACTGGCCTGCGTTCTATCGCAATATGATGATGTAAGTTGCACTAAAGCTCCTTAACCAAGTTGACTTGGGGACGTGCCTAATGGCGACAGAGGTCTACGGCCCGGCGGATGGTTCGATCAGCTGGAAATGTCGATCGAGTTTAGATCGGACGATGGCACCGTGACGTATGACCACATCCTGGCAGAGTGGTCACGCATCTTCATCGACGCAGGTGAGAGATTTGGCAAGACGTTTCGTATTTGCGATCTTGCGCGTGACTACATGCTGGATGTTGGATTCGAAAATGTGACCGAGCGGCGATTTAAACTCCCTGTTGGTCCATGGACCAGAGACGAACACTACCGGAAGCTGGGCATGTGGAACCTGCTGCATTGTGAGAAGGGCATAGAAGGATGGGCTATGGCACTTCTCACTCGCGTGATGGGGGTACGTTTCTGCTACTTTATAAGCCTACCCAGGCGCAGGAGGGCAACTATATCGTTTCGCTCGTTACTTACAGCGTCTCTATTAGTGGAGTTATGAGGAAGTACAACTATTTTTGGCAAGTATGAGGAGAGGGTTACGCGACTACTCAAGGATCCATGCCTATTTCTACGTGTAAGTTCTGCCTTGCTCAGATATGCACCGCTGAGATACAATTGATAGCTGACTATTCGGTTCCTGAAAAGAGTGAGTGTCTACGGCCAAAAGCCACTCAAGGACCACAATGCCGATAAATAGATTGTCAGAAATGATGCCAGAAAGCACCATATAGCTTGGACTAGCGATGCTTATACCCCTTGGAACTGTGCAATCCTCCGCCTGGAGTACGATTTCGCATTTACATTATAGAAGGGCAGCCTTTATAATGATTTAATTCCCGTTTATAACCTATCTACAAACTAGTCCTTGAGAGTAATCTCATACAATATATCTAAACACACACAAGCATGCACAAAAGCCCTTTTTAGTCCACCATATACCCTACCCTCAACACCAAAACTCTCACAAAAGTCTCCAAAAACAACATTATACCCCTCACAGCCCGCCCATAATGCCTCTTCATCGTCCTCGCAATCCTCTCCGCCCGAGCCCTAGGCAGGTTCCCACTCGGAAACTCGACATCAGGAACATCCCTTTCCAAAATCCCACAAAGCAGCCCCCATTCATCCTTAACCGGCCACTCCTAGAACCTCTCCTCCCCAACCACAACCCCCGAATCATAGCAATATATTCCTCACAAGCCCACCTCCCATTCAACTTAAATCTACCCGAGAACCTCAACATCATACCCTGGGATATACACTGCCTAATCCGAAACAACTCCGTACAAACCAGCTCTTGCACCAGATCTAATCCACCGGATCCTTATCAAGGTATCCCATCATCTGCTGCATACTCCGGTACGGGGAATCGAGGTCTTGACGAGTATTTTGGATGGCTTTTGCCTCGGTGTAGGCGAGTATAAGTTCTGAGGCGAATCCCTCAGCGATAAGGTCTGCTACACCGACTGAGGAGCTAAGGACTGTTTAAAAGTCTTCTTCTGTTAGGGACTGGGCCGGACAGATGTATTTATTTTGGAGGAGGCAAGAGGTGTCTTGGAGGGAGGAGGGTGGTATCCAAGCCGACGGATTGCAAACACCAGCTCTCGCTCCATGCGCATTTGACAAGAAGGGACATGGAATGGTGTGTTGTTCTTGGCCATGTTAGGTCAAGCATATACTATAATCAGCATTGATATCGTGGTATAATGATCAGATCTGGTACTCTGTACAGGCTGCTTTTAATGCATGAGGCGTGGAGCAGGATGGATGTATAATGTTGAACCTCCTAGATGTATGATGATAGTGACAAAGAACTGTTCTAATATACTCGTATTCAAATGTGTTTTGTCTAGTCTCATATAGTTGAATTGCCTACAAAATAACAGCCAACGTCTTCTGAATTCGCATAATAGCGTTAGTATAGGGTTATCGCATGCCTACATACATACATGCACACCACAACTCTGAGGCACATGGGCAAAGACCTGCACCAAGACATTAGGCGCCATTACCTAACGGCTGCTACACTAATAATATACTTTTCTTCTTGCCCTGAGATGGACGTTATACTTATGATCAAGGCCACGACATAGCCAGTCCTACATCATCTCGATCTCGACATCGAATTGTCAGTTGTTTAGATCTATCAACCGCGATCTATCACGTCAGCACTACAAGGAATCACATTAATGGCAAATCGCGAAAGTCTCACGAAAAGATATACCCCTGACGGCTACACCAGTCAAGTAGGCCTTCCGACAGCGTCCATCGGGATATTGGCACTGGAATGTATCCTGAACGGAAGAAATAGAGGAGTGTTCATGATAGGCGGAACAAACGGAACTAAGCTTTACAGATTCATCTTTATTACCCGTCTTCTTTCCTAACATGGAGTCTTCCCAAACGTGCCATGGACAATGACTTACCCCTGCGCATGTGCTAAAAGTTCCAGGGTCTCCGGTGTTCATGGAGAACAGGCCATCACCAAATCAATACGATCAATACCGATAATGCACCACCTGCAAGAGAGCAAAAAGGGCGCCCATTTCTCAAAATACATCGCTGGTGCTGCACCGGTGAAGAGACTGCCGACTATACTAGATGTGCTTGCTGAGGTTATCTTCTGAGTAGAGAAGGATGTAGTTGTTGGGGCGCTGCTAGAGAGAATCTGAAGGCTAGTGCTGATGAGTGAGGAGCTAGAACTGTTCTTGTTGCCTGTGGGAGCATAAATCGTCTGAAGCTCGACAGAGCTGGAGAGTTCTTTGAGTAGAGGTCCGGTGGCTGTTTTTGGTCTTACTTCCTGCGCTGGTACCAAAGCTAAAGGTAGGGCCAGAGGTAGAACTAGGGATAATAGAGTCAAGGTTAGTACCGGCATTAGTGTTAGCGTTGGCGCTAGAAGAACTTGAACTAGGACCAGAAACACCGGAGGCAGAAGGACCGGAGACATACACAGGTGCAGAATCATACCCAGAGCCGGAACCCACGTCATCGCCCGCCGTTACGAGAACTGTCGCTGGAGAACCACCACTGATATTGCTGACTGTTGGAGCCGCAGCAACGGGATGCACAGTAGTTGAGACAACCAGAGTTTCGGTCATCACCAACGTACTCGTGGAAGCTGGACAGTTGGGAATAGATGATGGACAAGCAGTGATTGTTGCAGTACGGGTACTGAAGATAGTGGATGTAGTGGTTGCTCTCCCGCCACTAGCTTGATCAGGATAAGAACTTTCAGTAACTGAAGGCCCAGTGGTTGGCAGGGATTGAGTTATTGTTATAGGACACGCGGCTATCGAAATAACTAGGGTCTCAGTTGTAACTGAAGTATTCTTCGCAGAAGCGGGACAGTCCGGAACAGTTGAGGTGCAAGCGGTAATAGTTGTGGTACGCGTGCTAAGAATGATAGATGTAGTGTTTCTGTCCTCCGCACCACTAGGTTCGCCTAGATAAGGATTTTCAGTAGTTATCAAGATAGTCATTGGCTGAGGTTGAGTGGACATCGAGATAGGCACGGTTCCAGGAGCAACTGCCGTTCCGCTTGAAGAAGGCACTAAAATGGGACTAGTCGAGAAATGGAAGGAAGATGTAGAGGATGGATATAGAGCAGAAGGGCTAGTGGCAGCATTAGCAGCAGAAGAACTAATTGGTATCAAAGCGCTGGATGACAGAACATTTGCGAAAGTCCGCGACGAATGTAGACTGCTGTTGACTGGCGTTGCAGTGGGTACCGGGAGGGAAGTAAGGATCGACAGTGAAACCAGGGAAGAGGATGGAACTGACAACGTCAAGACTGTAGCTGATGATAAGACCGACGAAGTAGTGTCAATAAGACTCGGAGTCGGAGACGGTGTGAAAGTGGGTGTTATAGTTGCCGTGGAACATGATGTGACAGTAGACCCAACAAATTGCATCTTGTCAATGTCAATAGCTGATCCAGCATAGCTACCACTGGCGCCAGTACAATAAGCATAGATCTCAACTGTGTGTTGCACTAATGTGGCCGGAGTGTAGCTGAACGTGAGTGTATTCCAACCGATTTTAGCTGTGGTGACAGTCACGGTTGTGCTATTAAGTAGATCGGCGGTGCAAAAAGGAGTCCATATCTGCCTTGACATAACAGGTCATGCTAGCATGGCTAGTAGAAGGCTTGACGCGATACTGGAATGATCCGGTGTATGGCTTGTTCGCGACAAAATCACTGCTTCTTTGATATAAAAGTAGAGTCAATCACGTGGAGCCAGTCTCTCACTATCACCGGGTTAGCGAGTGAAAAACAAAATACGAGTCTGTCAATCTCGTACAGGTAGTTTGCCCCGTCAGTAGCATCATTGCCAATCACAGAGCCACTTGTTCCAGAGGCAAATCCCCTGGGACTGAGAACATCTTCAAAAGATGGGTTTGGCAGGGCATTGGCGGCTGACGTCGTCGTGCATGTCACAACCTTCGTGCTATCAGCTGATACCACCGGATAGAGGGATTGTGACAGCAATAAATTGCAATTAGTGTCTGTAAGCGAAGCATGGCAGCAAAAAGGAGGAAGAGAGTGTAGACCAAATGGAGGATAGAAGCGAATGGGATGGCAAAACGAGGAGACTATCGGTGTTGATAGAAAGAGCGGCTACGAGAGGTAACACATATGGCTCATCTCAAACAGGCCAAAAGGTTTCTTCTACAAGGAAAGAGAAAAAGCTGCTAACAAGAACTACAGGTGGTAGAAGAGGATAAAGCCAGGTATATGGGACACCTTCATCTCGACCACGAATCTGGCCTGATGTTTTTTGTTTCCCTTGTACTTTTGACCTTTCTCCCCTAGTAATCTGGGAGCTTTAGTCTACAACGTAAGTGTTTGCAGTTATTTTACCGATATATTTCGCCATTTTCAGGGTATGCTCCTGTTTTTGAGAATTCATGGCTGTCTGTACGGAGATCTCTGTGGTTGATTGATGGATGGAAGATCCAGCCGGAGCTAGTCCGAGCAAGCCACTACTACGTCGCCGAACTACTAGCGAGAGAAGAGGCAGCTGATTGGAAACCCTGGAATAGATGATTTTAGATAGACTACAAGAGTCTCAGCCACGTCATGACCAGGACTGCAAGTACGGCTGATACCGCATAGCTAATCGTTTGATGAACGGAGGATGTGTAGCGGCGCAGCCATTCCCTGTATGAAACTTCGCATTTGTTAATGTGTTTCATCTACAGCATGAATAAGAGCAGACTATAGACGGGGATTACAGGTGTAATATAAGAAAAGAGCCCGACCGCCGAGATGATATGATCAACGTTTAGTGCGGATCTAAGAGGCAAGGTTGGTGGTGACTCCGATCATCTTGGACTGACCATTTCTGCCTTGGGAATTGCATCGTGATGCGTTGAGACCCTATCTCTGTTATGATCTGATGGGAGTTGTCGGATTGAGCTCCGTAGACCTAAGAGCACCGATATGTTAGTAGTGTTAATAGGAGTAGAATGATTATAGGGTAAGTATACCGAATGTTCAGGTGACTCAGGTGGAAATTCTCACGTGCCGTCATGACTAAAGCGGCGTCACTCATATCACGGACCGGCAGAAGACATTATCATCCATACATGATAAAACCATAGTATGTAGATAACATGACCGTAGCTTACTAGAACTGTAAAGGAAAGAAAGGAGGATGAGAGGAAGAAGAGAATGAGAGAGAGAATGGTCTTGGCCCGATCTGTGCACGTCTCGGTATGCATAAGCGAGGGAGACATAAGAAGGAAATCATTATGATGTATGGGCAAGAAAGTTTAATGCGGAATTACATGATGATCTGATCTGGTCGTGACAAAGGGTTGCACCTATTCGGTTATAATTTATGGAGTTTGATGCATGTATGTATATGAATGGTAGAATAAAAGAAGATTAATCCTACACAACTTACCGCCTGCGGCAGAAAATGGGAAGACAGAACATTGTATGTAAAACCAAGGACTTCAGCTCAAAAATTTCAGTGTATCGGGCAGCGAACGGTGTAAAGCTTCAGCGGGCCAAGCAACGGTTTCTAGGCTAAGAGCAAACCCATCCTATCTAAACAGAGTTAACCTCGCTACGACGTTGAGTCTATTATAGTTTGACGACGATCAGATCAACAGTCCAAGAAAGCCAGGCCAATGAAGCAACATCAGTCTTCACCTCATTGGTAGCCGCATCCTGTGACCGTCATTCTAGGTGACGCCGATCGGCTTCTAGGACCAGACAATGTCGGTCTATTGTCTTGGCGGAGATGATTTACATCCACAGTCTACACAAGGTTGACTTTCCAGTGAGGGGAAAAACCTAGAACGGAGGCCAAGTTGGATCCTCCGTCTTTCTCCGCGGAAATTAGAGGACACAGTCGTTGATACAGTGATTCTTGTATTGGTCTAACAGTCATGTACGTACAGTAAAACCCACCTGGCAACTGCACCGGACAGAGAAATAAACAGGTCAAACCTCAAACGGGTATACGCTCAAACGATAATACACTAAAAACCGTTCGCTTTTGAAAACGTCGCTCGTTGCATGCATGAAGGTAGTTGAGGTCCGGGTTGGGGGCAATAAGCAGACACCCCTCGCGTCGAAGTCGCGTAAAGTGGTCCTCAAAATCAGATTGTCCGGGATCAATCACAACCAGCCGTCACACTACTCGGGGGAAAGAGGGCGGAGAAAGTAAGGTCCTGGGTCGTGGAAATTAAATACGAAACCAAGTTCGAGAAGGGACGCGCGGTGGCGGTGGTCGGTTGTCTCACGTGACGTAAGAAAAAGAAAAGTGACTTGGCCAGAAGTCGGTTTGGTTCGACTTAACCACAGATTTGCACGGCATTCAACGCACGGGTCAAATCATCCGGGGAGAACGGCATATAGCTTCCTTTGGGGGATAGAGGTGGGGGGGAGATGGCCCGCACCACCGGGGACGTGTATCGTATCGACTCCTTCAATTGTGCGATCGAGTTTTGTCGTATACCTTCGTCGAAGAGGGTCATCATGGAGCTACTATAGCTGTCCGCTTCGTAAGCCGTCGACGAGGTTGATCCGCTGTTCTCTTGGCGCTCCTGGGCGCGCTCATTGTCGGAGATCGTGGCGGATGCTAGTTGAGGTTAGACAACGGTCACACACGTGTGGGGAGTAAGAATGAGGAATGCGGCAAGGGGTAGGGTCAACATACTGTCAGACAGATCCTCTGGGGCAACCGAGGGAAGCTCATCGGGAGCCACATCATCCTCCTCTACACGAGGCCGCAAATAGTCGGGTAGGGTTGCGCAAGGGGAGAGTGAAAGATCTGGAGAACGAGGTCGATCGGCCTGGGCTTCGGTGAAAGACCATGCAGCCAGGGCTTTTTGGTGCTCACGGTCAAACGGACCCTTGAACTTGGATGGAGGAATTTCATGACGCCTGTAATACTCGATTTTGATGGTATTGTCCTTCGATTTGGAACCGTTGGATGAGCGACGGAACACTCTGCGAACCTTTTGTCGAAGACTCATATTGGTGAGAAGTAGTGGGAAAGAGCCCCTCTTCCTGGGTTTAGATGGTCGAGTATTGGAACAGGCGTGTATATAGTTTGATATATGGTGACAAGCGTCAAATCAAGTCGGCACCTCAGAGTAGCGGACCTTTCCCGAGAAGGGAATGGACGCGAGGGAGAGCGTGCAAGCACAGACGACAGTCGAGAATAGGGATAAACTGTGATATCATTGCATAGGTCGGTATTATAGGAGGTTGGTGTGGGTAAGGAATAGAAAGGGGGAGGGAGAAGAAGAAGAAGAGTGAGTAAGAGAGAAGTCATAGATAGAACATTTTGGGGGGGGGGAGAGGAGAATATAGCTCAGACAAGTTAAGTGGTAAACTGCTACGGAATACCACTCCAGCGGTTACATGGATCATACCGATGATTTCATGGGGATGGAGAGTTTCCATTATGATGCGAATGAAAAGTGAGACTTGTCATTGGACAGTGAGTACCGGTTGGGGGTGCCAGTACCAGGTACTGTACATAGTTGAATACCAAATCGATGAGACATACCCGCCTTTACCGGCCGTACCGTATTATCCGGGCCTCAGGTTATCATCCTCCCTGCTGGGATTAGTTCGGGTACTCTAAGCCGCGATAAGCCAGCGCTACATCCGGTCAACCAAAAAAAAAAGAGGGGTGTCAACGTGGAGAATTGTGTTTGTGTGTGTGTGCATTAATCCAGACCAGACTCGACTCGACTATGATCCAGTTTACCCGAATGGACTATTTTGATCTACCTATGGCATTCACAATTCTGGATTGTGATCGATCATTTGAGAGTCACTGGGGGATTTTATCCTTTGGAGAAATCATCTGGGGACCAATTATTGATTATTGTTTTGGTGGCTACCAGGACAACTGTGCTTCTGTGCAGTAAGGCTCTCAAAGTCAAAGAATTGCTGCACAGGTGCAGCGGTGCCGATGTCCGACTGTCACTCCCTTGGCTGATTACCTTTCTCGCTCGGTTCCCAATCAAAAGCAATATTCTGATCGAAACAGGTACTACCCTTTCCTACCAACTCGACCATGGTTACGTTTTGGCGGGCGGTTCGCCGCTGGCCAAGCATTCCTGGCCGTCTATAGGTTGTCAAAGACCCCCAATCAAAGGATATGGTAGGACGCAGTAGTCAAAATTGACAAGTGGTTGCCCTCCCCGACGCACGGTATTGGCGGTTCACACCTCCATGATCTAATGTGGTGGCAATGGCAGATACATTTCCACTGCAAAGACGAGAGAAAATGGAGCGCTGTCGTGTCCTGCAGCGAAGAATTCCAGAACATCCGGCCAAGCCGGTCCGATCGACGTGCCACCACCGAGCCAGCCAACGCAGAGAACCCGCTATCTTCTGAAGAACCCGAGTGTCATCGGACGTGACATGCGACCGAATACTGGCGCCGACATACAAAAATTTACGTTTGATATTATAATCAATTTATCGATCGTTCTAGGTACGTAGACTGGAGACGGGGACTCCGAGAACACTTTCTAACGCTGGGTAGATTTTATACTATGCCGTCATGGGGCAGGCGTGGTGGGTACACAGCGACTATAGGCACTAGTAATAATTGCTAATATCCGTCAATAATTTGGTTGATGATAAGTATCTGGAGGAGAACAAATAATATGTGGGATGTAAAAACCGACCCATCGGGGATGCCCCCACTCGGCACGCTGCTTCCGTCTTTTTTGAATATCCATGGGTTTTGCTTCTAAAGAAAATTAGGTTGCCAGAACCTTCAACAACTAGGCCGGCTGGCCCAATGGTAAGGCGCTTGACTACGGATCAAGAGATTGCAGGTTCGAATCCTGCGTCGGTCAATATTTTTTTGGTGATTGGCTACTTTTGACTCATTGTCATGAGCAATAGACGTCAGGCTGAGTCTTTCTTTGTTGCCTCCTTTCCCTTTTGACCCTCGTTCTTCGTGATAAATACGCTACATTTTGGTTCTGCCAAGTACTGACTCTGTAACTCCGCAAGGGGGTCTGACCGAGGTTTGTTGGCTCGACTGATTAACTACTCCGTTGCGTATGACCTATGATGTCACATATTTTTATCCCTTCTGGAAGATTCAGATTCTCCATGTTGCCTGGATTAGGCATTCATACATTCCGCTGGAATTCCCGCATCATTTAACCGCTCAACACGAGGACCGGCAAGGAAGTTGTTACTCATGCTGACAGTGCCTGAGACCGCCCGGTGCCCAGAGCCAGTGAACATTAATTTAGTCATAGAACCTTATGCGTCGACCGGGTCAGGCCCTGCAGGGCACACAGTGTAATTCAGATTTACCCATACGTAATTTGAAAGAGTGCACATCCCGGCGGAAGGAGGCTATTTTTGGCTGAAGGACGGCACACATTTTTCATGATGTAATTTGCCGGTGGACCACCCTGTCGATGCAGTTCATTTCAATATGCAGTGCCGCGAACCTCCCTTGGGCGTCCTGCATAGCTACCTGCCTGTGCTGTAATACCTTGCCATGTTGTAGAACCCCTTCACTGATATCTACCATGAACCTGCTACTGTGTATGATATTGACCATAGGTCAAGTGCAGACTTACCCTACTGGGAAGGGTGGTGGTCGGAATAATTATAGTCCGGGTAGGGTAGGGTAGGGTTACTAAGTCCCTGTACCCCAACCTGACTAAGAGTGCAACTACACTACTGCAGGCACAATGCGGATCAACCGCCACCGAAAACAGCGGACTGCTTCGAACTCAGCTAATGCGCTCAGCAAACTAGAGCTTCTTGAATTCCCCCTTCGGAATAATTTAATGGCATAATAGATCAATGTCACTGAAACCAGCGAACGTCTGGATTCGTCTTTAGGGCTAATTGAGCAATATCAAGCTGAGTGGAGGAAGGCGAGAGCTGTTCGTTCCCGAACTATGCGGTCGATGATGAAGAGCAACCATAACTGCATAGAGTAACATTAAAGAAATTCTCGTAATTGTTAGGCTTAATTGGGACGGCAACAATCGCAATCTTGAGACTTATGTTCCTTCATTTCAATGCCCCCCATCAATTTGGTAATAGAAGATTACTCCCATGCTGTAGCGCGCAAGGATCGAAAGTTGTGTCCCTTGGATGCGACTCATGTGACCCGTGCGTGACCAGGTGTTTGTTATGTCCATTGTTTGCTTTCACTACAGTCGTTGCAATTTCCTTTTAGAGCTTACTGGAAGACCTGGAACTCGTACTTTTCTCCCTTTCAACTACAACGATACTTCGAGGGAGATCTCTTGATGCTGGACGATTATTGTATGCACTGGGAAGCGTAGACAACCTTCCCGACCATCGCGGATTAACGTTTCCCGAATCGATTAGCATTCGGAAAGAACCAACATACCAGACCTTCACCCGCCCCTGACTTCCTCAACGCAACCTATCCGTTTCCAGACTCCCCCAGCTCGGATTGAATCGTTCGCCATCTCAATTCTACGTCGACCTTCCATCCTTTTTTGCTCTCGACCATCCTGTAAGTCTTCACGGGACCCTCAGAACCCGTGCAACCTACTGTCGTCATCGATACGTGTCCAAACCCTTCCTCTAACCCTTCTCTCGTTGTCAGGTTATAATCGGACGCAATGCCTAAGAAAGGAGGAAAGGGCAAGAACAAGAACAAGGGCGGAAAGGCTGGCGGTGCCGCCGCTGCCGCCGCGACTAAGAAGGTCGCCGATACCCAAAACCCTGTGTGAGTCGCATGTTGCATCGATCGCACCGGATCTTTTCGAAGAGGAGCGGTAGCGCATCGTGGCAGTTGTACTGACACTAGCACAGAACGCCGAGCCAGGAAGTCGAGGAGACCGTTGCCACGGGAGAAGGTGAGGCCGGCGGTGTTGTTGCAGAGCCTGTTGAAGCTGTGGCTGCGGCGCCTGCCACCACTATCCCCGATGCGACCACCGAAATCCCATCGGCTGCCCCGCCAGCCTCCACCGAGGAGGCGAAGGAGATTTTGCAGAACGCGGTAGACAAGGCAGAGACCGGCCCCGCAGACAAGGCCGAACTGATTGATGGAGAGGTGGCCGGAGCAGGTAACACGGATTCGTTCTGCCTTTAGGGATAGTTCCAGGACTAATTTCTCGTCTCGCAGCCGGGTTGCCTACGACCGATAAGAATCTCAAATTGACCCCGGAGACTCTGACCTCCTCTGTCGGGCCGGAGACTTCCCTCCCCGAACGCCCGAAAGAGACGGCTGTGGATGTCCATGATACTCACGCGAAACGGCCATACGAGAGCAGCCTGACCGCGAAGGATGACGAATTGCCTCATAAGATCGCCAAGGTGGACGATACAGTGACGGCTGCTGGTGCGACATCTGGTCATGTCGCTGAGACGGGTTCATTGGCGAAGAAACCAGAGGTTCCCGCTGAAACGAGCAGTGTGCAGCCCCAGATCGTGCCGGGCCTTGGTGCTGACCCCAACGATCGTGTGTCGACAGTCCTGAACGTCCCCGGCCTTTCTTCAGTGGAGGACAAGTCCACTATCCCCTCTACCACTGGAACGTCCGCCGTTGCTGCATCCAGCACCTCCGAGCTCAAGGGAGCCGAAGATATTGCTCCCACCGGAGCACCTACTACTGTCACCACCGCTGATACTGCCAAGGAGTCCAAGGACTTTAAGACGCCCAAAGCGAAGGACGAAACCGCACCTTTGACCACCGCTACTCCCGCTGTTGTCGACGAACCAAAGGCTCCATCCACGACTGAGCTAACAACCGCCGGCACCGCCACCTCCGCTCCCCCTCCTCCTTCGGAACCGGTCCTCAAGGTCCCATCCAGCATTCATGATGGTCCGGACTCGAAGGTTACCTCTGGCAAGAAAGCTGCCACGCAAGCTGTGTCCAACGTGGAACAGAACGCGCAGGGTGCTCCCGACAACACCCATGGTGCCGCGAAGACGATGCCCGAAGAGAGCAAACCGGCCGCCGAGGTTCAGGAGGGCACTGCTGCGGTTAAAGACCAGCTCCCTGCGGAGAGTCAGCCTGCAGCTAAGCAGACTCAAGAAGCGGGTGCTGGTGTTGCTAAGCAGCCGGAGGAGATCAAGAAGCCCGAAGAAGCCAAGACCAAAGCACCCCAGGCTGTACAGGATGCTCGAGAGAACGGCGCAGCTGCGGCCAAGAAGCCAGAGGAGCTAAAGCCGGAGGACATCAAGAAACCGGAAGAGGCTAAGACGAAGGAGCCTCAGGCTACACATGACGCTCAGACGGGTGCCGCCAGCCAGCCCGAGGAGGGTAAGAGCTTCGCCGACCAGGCTAAAGAAACTGCGCAGACTGAAGCCAACAAGGCCCAAGATCAGGCTGAAGATAAGGCTAAGGCCGAGGCTGCCAAGCTCGAGAAGCGGAAGAGTGGCCTGTTTGGGTGGCTCAAGCGTAAGTTGAAGGGCGAAAAGGCCTAAATCGGAGTAATGATGTATCTCCGCTCGGACTAACATATTTGCTGTTGTTTTGTTTCATAAATTCTATTTTCTTTTTTTTTTTTGGCTATTTGGCGGATGGGATGGACGCCCACAGAGACCCTAATTCCTGATACCCACGGACCCCAAAGGGTTGATGAAACAGAAAAAAGAGAAAAGCCGAACTGGGAACGAAAAAACGAAAAACAAAAAAAAAGTCAGAAGCGATATATCTTCATGTATGACAATGGCGTGTATGATAATCGACGGGATAGGACGGATACCAAAAGGATGCTGGACGGTTGGATGGGATGGACATTCTGTTCTGTAAAGCTTTTTGCCTGTTTCTGCTGTTTGTTGTATTAGTTAATGGTAATCAAAGAAACGCAAACTTTTCTTTGTTTTTTCCTGACGAACGATCGTGTCTCCTTTTTCACTAAGAAAGATGAAAATACATGAGACCGAAGTAATATAAATGGGGTGATGTCTTAATCTGATGTGATCTGATCTGATCATTCACCGCCATTTTCCCGTACTTTTGATCATGAAAGCATTGATCAGATGCCCTTTTCTCTCTTTCCTCGTATCTGATATCTATTTTTAAGTCCCTTAACTAGCTAGGTAGTAGATATTGATCGAGGTTGGCCAGAGGAACATTGTCTGCTAATAAACTGAGCGGATCCAGACTATTTCTTTCCGGAATAGTTCAAGTTCTCGCGATCTAAATAAGGAGTCTGGGAATAGGGGCAATATTGACTATCTATGACTGGTAGTGTCAATCGATGGATATAATATTGCTCGTATGACTTTCAATATGGTGTGGTGCGGAGTGATATTCTTTTCTTTATTTCCTTTTTGTTGTCTTCAATGAGGGTATTAGGGTGTGTACTGGGTAGCTGGGTTTCTGTATATATTCTTGGTGTGGTGAAGTAAATTTCTTTTTTTGGGCTTAGTATTCCGGTGAGCCAAAAGTGAGTATCATTATGATAGAGATCATATTGATGATTACAGAGCTAGTGTTCATTAATTCAATATAACTAGTTCAAGTATGGCCTGCACGGGTGCGCTTGGTGGTACTATTTGCTTGTATTGTTATTCCTGCAGAGGCTATCAACAACTATTGATGCTTTGTGCTCTGATTATTGAGTATTAGACTGACTAGTAGTTATGGCTATGGCTCACTCGACTGGAATTATATACAAATGGTCCAGATATTTACGGTATCCTAGGCGATGTAGAATATGCTTATTTACTTATCAGAGTATGGAGCAATCCAAGGGAATCAACGAGAAAGCAGTACAAGATACCATAAAACAAAGCTTATATCTTCAAAAACACATACACGGAGATATATGATAGGGAAGGTATAATGCTTATCAGAGTAAAGCTAACCTACATCTAGACTAGATGACTGTGGCTAGTGCACAGTAGTATAAAATGCAAATTGCTGCCTTCGCGTATAAGGCTTAAATCAATCATATAAAATGTTAGTAATCATAGCAAACCAAGGCGCGTCCATTATATGGGTGAGAAAATACCTCCGTAAATCCTTTGTGTTCCTCCAGTTGTTCTTGTTACGTGTCTCCATCCTACGAAATCCTCAGATTCCCTAAGATTAGCCGAATGTCTTCACAGTACCTCGGATTTATGTCGTCTCGATCTGTCGCTCTGATAATTGCGTTGTATTGAGAGTCTACAATCATAATTCTGTCTTCAAGCAGTATTGTCTGAATATCAGACCGACGGGAAGGAACAAGCGTCCATGAGCGCGGCGCCCATGTATGTTTCGAGCCCCTTTTGAGGATCTTTCACTCTCTTGCTGAAAATTGCGCCCACCAAAAGCTCACTGCCATCCTCTACTACGATCTGTGATGGAGTGGCTCCAGTAGAGTCAATAACGACGGGATCAGCCCCCCTGTCTAGTAAGTGTTCAGCGAAGGAAACCTGTTCCGTTCTCACGCTGTAATGGAGGGACGTCGCTGGGTTGTCATTTGGCAAATCCAAAAGTTCAGGCGCTGCCTTCAAGAACAAGTCCAGTAATACTCGCAGCCCATCTGAGAGAAGACTATATGTACTCTGTAGGGAGAATAGTGTTCGAGTAGTACATAGAGTATCGTTGACCCGTGATCCTCTCGCAGGGCCCCTATATCCGTGCCGTTGCTGATGAGCCGGGCTGCTATTATCGGCTCATGCCACGTGTAAAGCGTACATACGTGCAAGGAATTTGGGAGCGTAGTTGCCTTGGCTCCATTCTTAGTTAGCGCGTCGCGTATCGTCGGGCTTTCCAAATGTCTCTGATTCGCTTTGTCAAGTGCTAGTTTACCATCATCATCAGGCAAGCACGGATCGGCGCCGGGATTTAGTAATTAGAGCACAATGCTTCGTGCCAATGGTCGTTGTACTTATCCTTATAACGCCTGTGAACTTGCAGTGCCTTAGCGAGTGTTGTGTTTCCCTTCTTATAGTGGGCATTCGGGCGTACACCTGCTCTGAGAAGATTCCGGAGTGTCAAGACGCCGGGAAATTTGTCTTCGACAAACTGATGCAGTTTTTCTGGCGTCATTAGAGGAAGAGGTCTGCTTGTGAGTAGGGATCTACTGAAGGAGTGTAGGTCCATCGACTCGGCGATGTCTAGGAGGATTTCAACTAGGACCTTTGAGAAAATAGTTTCTTCCAGTTTGGCGCTACTTGTCGGTTTTGATGGTGTTAAGGTGTTATGGATAGTTGTCAAGATCTGGAATTGGAGGAAAGGCAGTTGTGGTGTTCGTATAGTCTTAATGAGGGCGTCATGGCTCCTTCGGTGACACACTTGTTCGCTTAGAAAATGTGGTAGCATAGAAAATTCTGTTCGCCATTGTAAATTTGCCTCTGGATGAGGTTAATCTTTCCTATCATGGTGTATCCTTTGTCTTTGGTACCACTACTACACACTCGCTTTATATGTGTGTAGGTTAGCTCTAATTCCTTGAGAGGGTCTAGACGAAGACTCTTTAGGACGATGTAGTTCAATGATGGATGTTCAGTGTAGGCTGACACTACCGTAGTTAAATGTCATTATAATATCCCCTGTTTGGGTGATCGGACTGTGGGATTCTATTATTCTTTTCTTGGTTTCCTGAATTTGACGGTCTGTGAAGCGCTTATATATATAGCCTATGTGTGACTAAAGCAAGCACCATGGTAATGTCCATCTTCCCATTGAATAGATGATATGAAGAACCACCGGAATAATACGGAAAATGCCCTACATACTTTGAACGAAATCGGAAAAAAAGAGAAAGAAAATAAAGGATAGAATATTCAACGATAGTATTTGTTTTTGTCTTGAGGAAGACTTCACCGATGTAACGGTACAGGGTTCAAACAAGTCAGGTGGAGTCACGGGGATTGCCGGATACTGTACAAATGTTGGTTTATTCCTTCTTTCAGTCGAAAACTTCAATCGTCTCTCCAATAGTCGCAGATCGTTTTTTCTCTTTCTTGGACTATCCACTCGACTCGAATATTACGTCAATGTCTTCACGAACATACTATTCTTGGGACCACAATAAGGGATAGTGAAACAAGTCCTAGAAATCAGTTGCCGAATGATACTCCACCCCCCCCACGAGGGATTTTACCATCAACTAATGGCTGGAAGAACTGATAGCGGAGAATATCCACCAAATTCACGGTCCCATCCCACCGATGCACGATTTCAGGCCAAGCTTTCTCTAAGCTTTGAATATCGCCCCCCTGATCCTGTCTTTGCGATTCGCCCACCAACCTGGTGATCTCACCCACTTGCTGCGCCACCGGCTGAATACTACGCAATCAAGATTGCCCGACTACCCATCTGGCGAGCGATCTGTATGGCTACTGGCCGCCGACTCGCGTGGCTAGCGAAAGGCCTAAACGTTCGCCTGTGAAACAATAGCCACTCGTGTCGGCTGCCCCTCCCCTTTCTTGTTGCCTGACCTGAGTTCGGATCGTGCCGCCCGCTGGGAGCTAAAAGCGCGCCCGATTCCTGTCCCCCTCGTTCTCGAATTTCGTTTTGATATTATTTCGTGTGTACAGTTCAATTCTTGCATTATCTGGCATATCCCACCGAGACAATGGTCCATCTCGCTAAAGTCCATCGCAACAGTGATGTCGACTCCACAATTAAGCGTGTCGACTCCATTAAGTTGGAGAACACTGACGAGGATGGCTTCTACTCCAGCGTCTACGGCACGCGGTTCGCAACGGAACAACTGCCCCAGACTGAGATGCCGGAGCGGGAGATGCCCCGAGAGGTGGCCTATCGCATGATTAAGGATGAGCTGAGTCTGGATGGAAATCCGATGCTCAAGTATGCACTGATTTTCCTACCCTGTATATCCGTACTATGATTGCTAATTGATGTAGCTTGGCGAGTTTTGTTACCACTTACATGGTATAATAGCGTGTTTTATTTCGATCATCAGGTGCCATGCTAATTATAGTAGGAAGACGAAGCCGAAAAGCTCATGACTGATTCTTTCAGCAAAAACTTCATCGACTATGAGGAGTACCCCCAGTCAGCGGAGATCCAGAACCGTTGCGTCAACATGATCGCCCGCCTGTTCAATGCTCCTGTTGAAAGCGAAGATGAGCACCCAATGGGAACCTCGACCATTGGATCCTCCGAGGCAATCATGCTGGGTACTCTGGCCATGAAGCGTCGGTGGCAGAACAAGCGTAAGGCCGAAGGCAAGGACTACTTCCGGCCTAACATCATTATGAACAGTGCCGTCCAGGTGTGCTGGGAGAAGGCCGCACGGTACTTTGACGTCGAGGAGCGATATGTGTTCTGCACCGATGATCGTTATGTGATTGATCCCAAGCAGGCCGTTGACCTAGTTGACGAGAACACTATCGGCATTTGCGCTATCCTAGGTACCACCTACACTGGTGAGTATGAAGACGTCAAGGGAATCAATGACCTCCTCGTGGAGCGTGGCCTCGATGTTCCCATCCATGTTGACGCTGCTAGCGGCGGCTTCGTCGCTCCTTTCATCAACCCCAATCTACAATGGGATTTCCGTCTCGAGAAAGTCGTTTCAATCAACGTGTCCGGCCACAAATATGGCCTGGTCTACCCTGGTGTTGGCTGGGTCGTCTGGCGGTCCCCCGAATATCTCCCCAAGGACCTAATCTTCAACATTAACTACCTAGGGGCTGAGCAGGCCAGTTTCACCCTGAACTTCTCCAAAGGCGCATCCCAGGTTATCGGCCAGTATTACCAAATGATCCGACTCGGCAAGCGTGGCTACCGCTCCATCATGATGAACATCACCATTATCGCGGACTTTTTGGCCCAAGAACTCGAAAAGCTAGGATTCATCATCATGAGCCAACGTCGCGGTCGCGGTCTGCCCTTGGTCGCTTTCCGACTTCCTGCTGAGCGGGAGTCTCAGTACGATGAGTTTGCTATAGCACACCAGCTGCGCGAGCGTGGATGGATCGTTCCTGCGTATACGATGGCGCCTAACAGCAACAATCTGAAGCTGATGCGCGTCGTGGTCCGCGAGGACTTCAGCAAGAACCGATGCGATGCTCTGTTGACGGATATCAAGTTGGCCCTTAAGACGTTGGGTGATATGGACAAGGCCATGTTGGAGAAGTACACCCAGTAAGATATTCCGTTTTACACCCCATTTCAGCTTTTTGAATTCAGGCTAAATGTCCCAGCCATGTCCGCACACACTCCACCAACTCACACAAGGCCAAGCACAACCACCCTCACTACAAGGGAGAGAAGCATTCCTTGCAGGGTAAGCACGGCAAGACTCACGGTGTTTGCTAGACTTTATATACTTCCATGTGTACTGTGTACACATCGGAGACAGGATCTCCTCCTTCCATTTCTTATGTATGTTGCTTTAATAGGGTTACACCACTGCTCAGTGAGCAAATTTATGACACATTCTACTTGCTTACTGCAAGCTTTGAGCTTCGAATACCTAAAAAGTAACAAGTCGAGCTATACATGCCCAAGTATATGATGAAGACTGGCAGCTCTCTGGTCTTCTCATACCGAATGATGGCGAAACTGCAAATGTTGGGCTGTACCAATGTCTCTGTGTTTCACATAATGCAACTATTCGCTATCCGTTCAATTTTTGTAGTCTGCGTCCTTTTATGAAAATTACGGAGTACGCCTAGAGAGGAACCAACTAGCCTACTGCTATTTGTTTGCGACTTGGTAGATGGGGTCGTTAGATAATACAAGCCTAGTCAATCTGGTCTGTAGTTTTCTTTACTGTGTCTATTAATAGTGCGCTAAATCTGGTCGGGTTGGACTGGGTAAATGATCCCTACAATGGGATATGCTCAGCCATGCTAAATAATTATTCTCTAACGGAAATCTACTTATCTCAACAGGCTTCGGAGGAAGGTGAAATTGTTGCAGGCTACTTGAGATAAGTTCGCAACGCTCCAGATCGGGAGTAAATTGGGTACTTGTTCATGATTCAGTACAGTATAAGTGTCCAACGTACACCTTTCGATTCGTAGAGAGCCATGACCATGAGTCCTTACCTTCTCAAGCAAGCGTCTATGTACTTCAGGTTAGGTGACGGGGTATTGAAGCTCTGTTTTCCTGGGAACTACTACCGCATTACACATATAAGAGTTGACGGAGGATATGAACATGGTCCCTATACTCTACTATTAAGAGTCATTCTTGCAGGAATCACTAAAATAGCTAGTTGAAGCCTCGGTTCAAGCATACACTTGTATTAAACCGCCATGTCCTATGTTTCGCTTATTCCTTGCCAACATTTCCTATGCTGCCACTAGCTGCCGTGTCAACAATCTACTCTACTGCTATGGAGCTCCTTCCTGCTGATGGTTGTGCCCTCCTCTTCGAATAAGCTCAGTCTTAGCTATTATGTCTCGACTTCAGCTTCGGAGCTGTTTTCCTCTCTTTCTCTCTTTTCAGCTTCCTGTGAAATATCCCAGGTAAGTTTTGTTTCCACTTAATCAGCATCACATAAACACTTTTTCTCTCCACCACATTCATCTCTTCTTAGTATGTGTTTGTCTTGGGCTGATAAAAAATGGTTGATATGGTTTCTGGTCTCCTTATTATTAGGGCGCATTGGCCCTGCTAAGGGTTGGGCCAAGCACTACTTGACGGACCTTTTTGGCCGAAGGACAAGGGAAAGCCCGATCTTGCACCGACTGAGCAGAGGATCTTGAAGACCGAAGTGCGTCTGATTCCATTTAGATGATGCTGACTGATCTCCAAGTGTGGGAAACGTATGCCGAAGCCAGGGAAAGGGATTTTCAGCGCCGGGAGAAGTTTTTCCAACTTCGGGAAACCACGTTGGCAGTGCTTAGTCCCGCGTAGTCAGAGCTGAGTACCTGTTTGGGCAGACGGAGCACCTTCTTGGATGAGAGGGAGGATGCACTCTGTAGGGAAGACGACGAACGCAAAAGACGAGAAGCGCAAATTGCCCTTCGCGAGGCAGCTATCGCGATCGCGAGAGATCCGTCATCCGCGTCGCGTCTGAATCTCGTCGGATGCTGGACAAATATCATTGGAGTTGATGCGTATTGATGAGGTTGTATAAGATGTGTCGTTGTTCAAGGGTCGGCATGCGGGTGGAAGTGTGATTTCCCATGGGATCAGACAGGACGCGAGCGCTCTTTTTCATAGTGAGGCTTATAAACATTCTAATGCGGCGTGGAATCTTTTCTTGGGAGAATGAGAAAGGTAAGACTGGAAGGGGAAATGGCTTGTTGCAATCATTCAACGGATGGCGAACTGAGATACTTGGATTTTAGGGCTCGACTCAGTGAGCGAAAAGCCTCACGTGAGATAGATTCGATGAGTTCAACGGTTGGAAAGAAAGCCAGCGTTTATGTTACATATAGATCCCAGGACCCACAAGCGAATATTCCTTTCCGTTCACATAAGAGAACTTCATGTTCCGATTAAAAGTCGAGGGGAATGCATTCGTCGACCAAATACCATGTGTCAGTAGCCAGATCGTGCTGGTTCCGCAAGAATCGCAAAAATGTTTGATCACGGCTTCGGTTCCACTTTGCGATGTCTCCCTCGGTCACTCCTGGAGGAAGGCTGTTTCCTGGCTGAAATACGCTAAAATGCCCCATACGTGCCTCTTCTGGGATAAGCGTTCCTATCGGTGCGCTGGCTTCCACGTCTATGAGCGCATGATATAGACTTGCGGCAGATTTTGAGTCCGGACTGGTTGGGGTACTATCCGGGTTGAATGTGTAAGCGCCGCTACTGTTGCTTCGGCTACGGGATTGACATCTACTCCATATATGCGTTGATCCCGGAGTCATAGGATCGGTTATCTCTTGAGCTGTGCTCATTGCCATTCCATATGTTTCTTCTAGAGTCATGATATTTTCGGCGAAGGACGCCGCCGTGGTGCATTTGTAAAATCCCTGCACCTGAGGCGCCCGGTACATTAGAGCTATCGCTGCACGTCGGATCCGAGGTTCGCGGCACCGAAGGCTGGTGAACCAAAGAGGAAAGAGGACGCTTGTCGCAAACGTAAAGGGTGGTTGTGTGCCGTCTGATCGCACTGAAGTATCCAGGGCGACGTTGCACTGTTCAACGATATTCTGGAAGTTTGGCAGATAAGCGTCGGTCATAATCTCTAAAGATGATACGCAAGTGGCCACAATTATAGATAGAACTTCATGATAAGTGAAGAGAATGGCGCTAGTGCCGGCCTGTTGCGGCGATATGTCGCCTTTTGTGCGCAGGATCTCCATCAGACCAGTAAAGCGAGTGTGCCAGCTCCTTAGCGTGGCTGACAATGTTACTTGTTGATGTATCAGCTCCTGTGATACGTGGGAGACCTGAAACCTTGTCAAATGTTCCCCACAGGTCCGTTGAAACACTTGAACCTCCGTGGATAGGAGAACGATGGCCTCCCTTGCAGACTTCAGGGATACAAATTCCGGCGTCAATGGGAGATTCGCATCTTCTAGCAGAGCACCAACCCGGACTCCAGAAGCGGTGAAAGCGATTGCACCAAGACGGAAGAAAATTGGAACGATTGTACCCTCTAACAAAGAAGCGTTTGTTGGTGGCAAGGCCCCACAAGCTATTTGGGCGCGCAAGGCAAGAATAAGACGTACACCCTGTTCATAGAGCTGCAAGGCCTCCTCTTCACATCCCTGGAGGGCCTCAATACAGATAAACAATACACAGCTAATCAGCCCAACAAAGATGTCTACGCTACCGCACTCAATTCGCTGGCGAATACTAGACACTGAGCGCGAATACCAGGCTAGCGCGTCTCGGTGGTTTTGATTGAGAGTGCGGGGATCCTGCCGGCGTAGGACGACGGAACCCAGGCATGGCTCAGGACTCTCAAACAGTGCACTGATGGAATTGATAGCATCCCACACGGCAGGTTCTCTCTGGCAAAGCTGCGGGACGACGGTGCTCCAGAAATCAGCATCCAACTCACCACCAACGAACGGTGCAGCGTGTTGAAAATAGTAGGCAAAAGCACGGCGCTCTCGCCACACTGTGTTAGGTGATAATGAAAGAGGGTTGTCAAGAATGGATAAGGTCGAAGGTGCGGAGGAAAACGTGATGGAAGTTGTGGCCTCGTACTCACACTTGCGACCTGTACTGGAGCATCGGACACACTTTGGCTTTTCTTCTCCACACTTGACTCTTCGAATTCTACATGACGCTGAATATTGTCTTCTTTCAATTGAAAGAAAGCAAGCACTTACTTACAAGTTTTGCAGCCCCGCCTAGATTTTAGCGGCCCGATTGAACTACCCCTTAACAGGGCTGACGGACATGTAACCAACATTCTAGAGTAGTAGGCTTAAGACGCCTATGTAGTAATCCTAGGATGCTCAATGTGATAAAATGGGAAGTAGCACAAGTATGTAAGAGTACTGCATTTAGCTGTGATGAGGACGGTGACGAAGATGTGTAGAAGTCAGTGAGTTAACAAGTGTTGATTTGATTATGTCCAAGGCCTCAGGCAGAAAACTGGCTTGCACGTGATCAGCAGGGCTTGCAAGGTCACATGCCGCCCTACTACATATCCGGAAATGTGATATGAATCTATACGAGACCACGTGATCCTAGTGGCTTGGCCGGATCACCAACTCCAGCCCCTGAAGGCTTTACCTATTAGTAGATAATGAAAAAAACGATTAAGATAGTCGACACAGTCGTCCATAGAATTGAGTATCGGAATGACATCCGGTCTTCAGTAAGCTACGTACGTGTAGCTGATACCTGCCCATCTTTCCCCTGAGATCACAACAAAATGTAACCTACGGAGGCCAGGGTTTGTCCAGTATGGGAGAAGGCCACTGAACGAACATAACCTGAATGACCCTTGAGGGTCTGCAGTTCAGTGCCGGTTTTGGCATCCCGGAGCTTGGTGGTCTTGTCATGAGAGCAAGCCAGAGTGCCAGAGTTTGCCCATCATGGGAGAAGGTTACTGAAAGAACCAAAGCTGAATGGCCTTCGAGGGTTTGTAGTCCTGGGCTCCATAAATCCTCTACCTGTGGTAGTATGTATATATGTTTCGGTATGTCATCAGAAAACATCTTTCTAATAGTGCTTTGTATTGATAAAAATAATAGCCCCGAACAATAGATTTGAAGCGGAGCAATGCTCGCAAGGTAGACGTTTTTGAGGGTAAACCTTCTTGCATTATAGAGGAAATCTGAAAACTCATCACTCATGCTTGTCTGTATTATTTATTAGTTATTACTCTATTGTAAAGTGCATGGAGACCATATGCTTGACTCCAGTGCATCTATAATTCCCACAGCCTCGGACATGATTCCAATTAAACTTAGCGCCTCCAACCAGTGAAGAAAGTGCTGTTTAAGGAAAGACAAAATTTTAGACGCAGATATAGCACCTTTGCTTTGTTTAAGATGATGCACCCAATAGCGACAGGAGTATTCGAACTCTGCCGAGAGGTGCAAGTTGATGACCTGATTGTCTATTTCCATGCACTGTGTTCCATAACTTGCTAGACCGCAGTTATTGTGTTTGAGCTCAGTACCCATGATACGAAGACAATGTGACATTATTTTCTCATGCCCCTCTTTCTCATTGACGTGGAAAGGCCTTTCGGTGCTCAGGAGATAATCTCAAAAAGGTTAAGTGCAAGATGCGGATTGGTGAGTTAATATTCTCTGGTACACTGAGAACAGAGTGAAATCCCTCCAGGCGGTTGCTAATATCATCTCTTGACAGGTTAATCAGGCGTGCAAGAGTATTGACTGAAAGTGGAGTAGCAAGAAGAATAATGACCCCAATTACACCCCGAAACTCTTGCTTTAGTTGCTTGGTCTCTCTGTCATTTACACCGGAAAGGAGCTGATTTAAGATGGGTAAGTATGTTCTGTCTATCTGGGATCCTGATAATGCTGCTTGGTCCTGGAGAATTGCTTCTAGGCGCTTTTCCGGGCGCCATTTCCTCTCCCCAATAAAGTGGCGAATAGTGGCCGCGAAAAATAAATAAAGGAACAGCCATCTTCACTAGCTTTTCTATACTTTTATTTCCGGGCTAATCTGAGGGAAGAGAGCGCTCATTGCGAATTTCCGAAAGTTTATATTCCAGGAACAGGCGAACATCACGTTCAATCGCGGACGCAGGAAGTTTAAGAAGAACCAGGTCCTGATAGTTATTATTCTGCTTGAAGCTAAGACGGATTGGAAGTCCAGGTCTGCTTATCGGAAATATTTGAAGACATATTGATTTAAAAATCTGTAATCTGAACAAAAGTCGAAGTATGACTGCTATATCATCTTCCCAGCCACATTCATCCAATGCGTCAATAACAATCACAGTTGTTGTAGGTTGATTCAGATACAACTTAAGCAGGGGCTGGAGAAGAAACTTATCAAATTGTTCACTGTGAAATTTAGATGAGATATTCGGATCATTCTCAATTGCGGTCAAGATATCAGGCGCCAGCCGCCGATGTCTGGCTACCAACTGTCTTGCGATAGTTGATATCAAGTATTTTGTAGTGTCACAGTCGGCTTCATCTCTCTTAAAAAAGAATGTGGCACCAAGTTGTCCTTTTTCTTTGAATAATCGTGCAACTGTCCGGGAGATAGTCGACTTCCCTGTTCCTGCCATTCCATTCAAACAAAATATATATTTACTGTCTGCAGATTCAGCCTACTTCAAAATTTGGGAACGGAGCCCAGTTCTGGTATCGGGAAGGCAGAAACCTTCATGTTCATTAATATAGGAGTCATAAAATACCCCTTCTGCAACACGTAGATTCACGAGGTTGAACTGTTCGATAAGGCGTTCCATGGATGCGGCGAGTTTATCAATGCGACAGAGGGTCTTCTCCGCCTCCATTTCGCGGTGGTGGCATTTGACTAATCCAATCCACCCTGTGTAAATTGTCCCTTTCTTTTTCCTCAGAGGTCTTGAGTTCCATGAGCGGGTGCTCGGTAATGGCAGCGGCACAATTCAATATCTTCCTGCCCATGCCAGGCTCTTGACAGTTTCGTATCTGTGCTGTATAACGTAGGATAGCGCTGTAGAGTCTGACTATCGTATTTCCCACATCATCCTTGATACTTGAGTTGCTGTCATGGTAGAACTTCTTCTCAATGAAGGCACAATGTGTGAGGACATCCGCTAGGTATTCCGATGATTCGAACAACGCGTTTCGTACGTCATCGTGGTTTTTGGCCACCTAGGTTTCCAATCATAGAGTAAGTTAACAGCTCTTCATAAACGCACTGGCTGGTATTACATACTGTTAACCCAAGTGACACAATCCTCCAAGCAGCAGCTGCATGCTGGGTAAGGTCAGAGGCGCCAACCGCGCTGATGATATCTTTGAAGGATAGTGCTGCATTAATGACCTTTCGCGAGGATTCTCGAAGTGTACTATCTGCTTTCTGTCGATATTTCTCGTACTGCTCTTCCGTTACCCGGATGACCTCACCGATCAGGACTGTCGTTCGGCATTGATTTTCCTTGTCACCCACGTCGGCATGGATGTGGACTGTGGGCAAAATTCGCCGCTGCCTCTCATCCAGCTGGTGATAAGCAGTTTGCCACAAGTCTACTGGCCTAGAGGTTTGCTCCTAGTGAGTTGGCCGGAACGGCTGGATGGTGGACTGGATAGAAGAATTTGACAGTAGAACATTGGTCGCGCTGTCTTCTTGGAACTTCACTTGCTTTGTCTGGGGTTCGGCATTTTGAGACTCATTGTATTTGTGAAATAGATCACGAAAGAGGCCTTTTAAACGCCGGGACGTCTTGAATAATCACGATTATTTTGAAATCACGACCTCCCCAGTTTCGTCAATATAGCTGAGAAGCTTTCTGCGCAAGGCAAATTGGGGCGGGAGGGGCCGAGTGCCCTCTTGTCTCTCTCGCACTCCACTAATTGATGTGCTGGCAAGGCTGCACAACAAGGATATGCCTGCTCGTCATTGTCCCGTATACACAGCTCCCTTTCGGATCTAACTCATAGCATTGCTGGCTCTGCTTAATAAAATATGGACTTTGCGCTCTGTTTGGCTGCCCAGAATGATAGTTCCCAGCACGCGCCGAAGCTTTCGTATGCGAGTCTCCCAACCTCCTTGGATTCGAGCACAATGGGCGAGACCTCTACGTAGCCATGCCATTTTCAGGGCCCTCTTCTCAGGGTGTATCACCTCGGTACACTATCTCGTGGCATAGGGGCCTCCAACTTATTTCCTAGCCGCCATCTTAGTGCAATTTCTTTCAATTGGAACGAACTTGAATACAGAAACTGAGAGGGTGAATAATCTTTGAGCAGATTATATTACTCTCGTTTGATTGGCGCTCGATACCTGCCTATTCATTAGTGAGCTAATGTAGCTTTTGCACCTTTCCTGGCTTGAACCATGTACTAATAAGTCAAAAGTGAGTGTGCAGACAGTCACCCCGATCAGGGAAGGGAAGACCAAAATATGTGGATAGTATGCGTTATATCAACCTCGAATGACCCTAGGCTGTTGTTCGTAGCAAGCACACAGACAACTCCTCACGAAATACCAGGACAGAATGAATATGGAACGCCAAGCAAGTTGAGAGCAGATGATAATCCCCAAAAGAGGAAGCATGCGAACGCCACTCCAGACTCTGCGCCCAAGGCACAGTGGACATGATTTCCCACCTTGTTGAGTACGCGTGCAATATAGAGGATATCAAGCAAGACCTTGCACTAGTCTCCAAAGCTAATGCATTCCTGCACATTAAACTGTTACCTTGGCTTGGGGCCCTGGGGGTTGTCGATCGGTTATCCACCGCGGTTGACACGCTACGCAAGGTCGAGGACTTTGTTCCGGTAGGCCCTGAGGGCTTACTATTCAATTCATACTTACCCCATTAGTGCTACGACGATGACTGACTACTCCTCTTGAACGTGCAGTCCACACCAGACGCGGCAAAACATTAAGCCACTCAATCACGACACACACCGTTTTGCCTTGTCCGATTATGAGAATAATATCCATGCTTGACAAGAAATGTGAGACGATCTCTTGTTTTACCCTAATGGAAAGCTTGATCAAAATGGCTAGGCTGCATAAGAAGTTTCCATGGGTACCTAAAGGTTCCACAACTTGAACGACATTGGGGTCAGTGTATACGTACTCGCGAGGGCCATAGCGACGATACTACCCAGGCCACAATATCAAACGACGGACGGCTGATAGCGTCGGCTTCGGATGACTACACGGTGGGTTTTTGGGACGCTAAAACTGGCCTTTGGCAGCACCGATTGGAGGGTATAGAAGCAGGATGGCCGCCGTTAGCTTCTCTTCTACGGGCCTTTAGCTTCAGATTCGGATGATGGGGGTGTGTGGGTTTGGTCTGATTGAAGAGCTGGTAAAGATACCCATCAAGCAATTCTCGTATTGGCAGGTTACCAATGCGGCTTCCAATCATGTTATGAAGCTCTCGATAGACTTCCATCTTGACAGTGACTCGGCGGAGATAATGAACGCCATCGAACAAGGGGAGTCACTAACCAATCTACTCGAAACGGTTGAGATCGACACCGCCCCGACGTTCGTGGATTTACTCATCGCCTACGCACCCCCCTGCTGGAAATTCAACGCACACACCTCTCGCCATGGTGGTTGCTTTAATGGCATGCATATCTGTCGAAGTCTGCACTTCAAACTGGAACATCTCCAACAGACGCAAACTCACAAAAGCACAGCGGGAGGGAATCACTAATCATGTATCAAGCGGTCCAAGGCTGGCAAACGGTCTCCTACTTTAACCGATTTACCTACGAACGAAACCGCTTCCACGATGCAGTCGAAGCCCACCTTACAGCAAGCGAGAACAGGTCCCAGCGCGACGCATGTATCAAAGCCTTAACTGAGTTCACCGTCCCAGTAACCTTCTTCATCCTAGTCCCCCAGTCATCTACGAAATCACCCGCGGCAACGCAACCCCGGGCGCCTTCGTCTTCTTCCTCCAATACTGGAGTACGTCTACCCTCTCAAATTCCTCTGCCGCCAATACCGCTGGCTCATGTCCGACGTCGTTGAAGCAGGACGCCTCCTCACCCTCCTCACAACAACCCCCACCCATCACCGACAAAGAAAACACCTCAAGCACCTCGGCTCGGTAGAAGGGAAGGTCACCTTCCAAAACGTCTATTTCGCCTGCGACAATCGAACCCTAATGCTAAAGGACATAACCATCACCGCTGAATCAGGCCAAACAGTCGCCCTAGTCAGCCAAACCGGCATCGGGAAATCCTCCCTCCTCAAACTTCTCCGTTTCTACGACGCCTCCTCCGAATCCATCACAATAGACGACCACAATATCCGTGATGTATCCCTAAGCTCTCTCCGCGAAAGCCTAGGCGTCTTCCTACAAGACCCCCTCCTCTTCAACTCAACTATCATCGAGAAACTCCGGTACGCGCGCCCCTCCGCCACAGACGAGGAAATCTTCTCCGCTTGCCGCGCAGCGGCCATTCATGAGAAGATACTTACCTTTGCAAAGGGGTATGAGATGCGTGTTAGGGATCAGGGGTATAAGCTCTCTGGGGGCGAGTTGCAGCGTGTGGCAATCGCTCGAGTGGTTTTGAAGGATCCGCCTGTTTTTCTTTTGGATGGGGCGACGAGTGCGGTGGATCCGGAGTCGGAGTCGGAGATTCAGGGGGCGTTGGAGATGGCTAGGAGGAGGGCGACGTTTGTTATTTCCACATCAAAATGCTATTATCGCTAGAGCATAATACATGCTGGTTATCGCAAGAGGGGAAAGCCACACCAGGTATTTTATTGTCGCCGCCTCTAACGATAGCCCTTATACGCTATTGACTCATTGTGTCCCAAACCCAAAGTTCAGCATTGGAGGAAGCAAGTAGCCGCGTGCCGTCGGGTGAGTACTTAACAGATGCCCAGGTTTGTACCCCAGAGAGCTGGTGATACTGCTTCATGGCCAGATTCCAGATCCCTAGACCTGCATGGGACGCCAAGGCTAGATTATCTGCGTCGGAAGGATAGTCCAAGGAATAAATCCTACCGAGATTATTTCCAATAGACCGATAATTATCCCCAATCCATGTCCAAATCCTCGCACTCCCATCATCGGGTCACACAGTAGACACAGTGCTCCATACGTTTCTTCCTCGGCGAGGAGCGTATCCGAGACGATCCCCGGCTGCAGAGGCACCAAATGTGCAGGGCCCGATTCGTAGCCAGGCAGAGGAGACTGATGGCAATGCATGGTTGCCCTCTTTGGTCCTACTTGGGCATCAGGGATGGTAGGAAGATCGAGAAACCTCGCAGGTATATCCACCAACTGCCAGTTTCTTCGATCTCTTGGTATCACTATCCCCTTTCCAACAGTCTTCGACCTCCGAATGATTGAGGAGTGGTTTGGCGCCGTAGATTTCTTTTCGTAGTTGACCATATTCGCGGTGCAAAAACGGCTGAATCTCCTCTGTTGCCCCTTTACTAGTCTTAAACCATGCGCGGCACGTGTCTGTAAGGGGGCAGAGCAATAGTACTTGGAATAGCTGGATGGCGAGTGCAAAGGTCTAGTTGGGAGAATGGGAGAAGGGCAAGGAGCGGGATCTCGGAAGCCATGATAATTAATGATTGATGCTCCTAGGACTTTAGATGAAGCGAGACTTTGCCTAGCTGCAATGACAGACCATACCAGCGTCAGGGAATTTGTGGAGATGGTCTGAGAACTGAAATGGATAGAGGTCGTCGACTACTCCCACAATAAATAGCTCTTTGAGGAATGCACGACAGAGTGAGAAGACCTTTCCAAAATAATCGAAGATTGAAGATGTAACAAATGGCCATTTCGTTTTGTTCTCCGCTTCGTCCGACCAATACCAATGACGACGGATATCACGACGTATAGAAAGGTGGTGGGCACACAGCCATAGTGGAGAGCTTGACGAGCCTCTACCCTGGTGATCATGGTCTAACTAATCGGAGCTATGATCGCTTCCATTGTTCTGTTTAACACATTCCGGATATCCAACCGTTTAAAATACTTAGTCTGGCAGTCTTAGCTCCATGAGTCACGATTCTGTTGTGAGACAACTAATTAGTCAAGAAGCATGCACCTCAAGGTGTCAGCTTTTATTTACTCCATTATAGCCAGTTCCTTGACCTCTTTGGCCTCTCGGTAGGCCTGATCCACTCAGCATTGATATATAGGCTCTATGCAAGATCCATCTTTATCACATGCTATCAGGGCCACAACGGGGAAACATGAAGGCTTACTTGGAAATAGAACTTGAACGATCAGCCTAAACGGGATGATCTACAGGGCTGTAGAAATTTCTGCTTATCATGCCAGCCCAACTGCGCATTTATTACTGGATGTATCGACCCTTAGTGGCGTAGCACTGAGCCAAGAATAAGTCAAGAGAGAGAATCTGTCATTATGGAGGCGCAAAGTAGTATTCGTAGATGCTTTGCCTGATCTTTTCATGAAGGTAGGCTAGAGTTGCTGGCACTGTACACATGCCCGTACTTACCAGAAGGTGGTGAAGCTTTGTAAGCCATTAATCACATTCTAAGCTAATGGGTTAATTTATTTGTTCAGAGAATTGAGACTGAAGGGCTAATATTATTTTATTGTATTGATTGGTAAAACTAAATTAAAATTGCTTGCGTCTATTCGTTTAGTCTAGCCCTGGTTTTAACGGGCGCTTTCCAGATATAAAAACATATCGACCAACATTAAATGTACCCATGAAATTACCTAGTATCGCAGACACCTGACATATACCTCGTAAATTGACCACCTACGGAAGTATGCGGATTGTTGAATACTGTGGTACTCAGGCCATATATAGATGGCCTCATGATTCCCACCTAGATAGGCCTTTGAGGTAGTTTGATAGGATCGTAAACTCTGACCATTTTGGTGTCGTTTAATACGAATATCTTAGAAGCTATTCTATAACCAACAAGATGCGGGAAATCTTCGAATCGTTAACATTAAACATTCTGTATGACAGAAAACGGGACCTTTGTCTAGTGGAATGATATGATGAACACAATTTGAAAATGACTACTTGTCTAAATCAACTTACCTTCTCGCTCCTATCATAACATACACAAAAAGTCCTCTAGATACTGTTTATATCGTCAGTCGGACTTGTAGTCCGAAAGCCCATGGTGCTATGTGAGCCACGAGATCACGGATAGGTTATAGATATTGTTCAACCGATTCCGCCATAGCTACGATGGTATTAGCTATTGAGGGTTATCAAGTGTTGAAAAAGCTGTTCGGATCTACTAAAACCCCTACATGAAGGAAAATGAGTATACGACTGAAGAAACCTTCGAAGTCGGAAACAATGCTTCTTGGCTCAATAAAATCATACAAGGGTTGTGGCTGCGAGAATACAGATAGAGGTAACGATATGTCGAATATACTAGATTTAGTGCCGTCAAGAACAGCTATGCAGAAAAATTAAGTCAGGCCACCTCAAACTAGCAAGTAATAATAAGATTCAAAAATTCAAATATCAGTTCATCTGCTACCTCTATCGCGCTATCTACTGTGACAAATTGTGAAGTATAGGATAAAAGGCTCAAGCTAGTAGATCCACCTTCGCAGTTTACTCGTTGCACTTGCCCTTCTACAAGGGTCGAATCCTATTAGCAATGATGGTGGAAAAAGGAAATTGAGCACACTCACGCAAATCTCGAGGCACTTCTTCTGGTCCAAAGCAAGGACAGTAGAGTTGCATGTAACATCGCACTAGAATTAAGCGCATTAGAAAAGTGGAACTTGTTATTGTTGCCATGGGCCACTGTCAAGAACGTACCGCAACGTTGCAAGCCTTGTTTCCGAAAGACGGATCAGCTTCAGCCTCGGGCGCGGCTTCGCGGGTCTTCAGGGGCTGGATTGAAAGACGATCAGTAATTAGATAATGGGATAGGTAGAGTCGAGAAGAGACTTACACCGAGGTCGCAAGCCTTCTCACAAGCCTCCATGGCAAGGCCTGCAGTTCCCACGGTCTGTTGTAAAAATGTTAGATGTGTCCTAACTGATATCCTCCTTACTGAAGACTTACACAGGCGGCCTTGCAAGCCTCCTGGCAGAGCTTCAGCTTCTCGCCGGTAAGGGACCAGCAGGTACGCTTGGCGAGGTGGCCTTCAACTTCCTCAAGGGCGGGCGCGGCCACGGCCGTGGCAACGAGGAGAGGGGCAATGAGAAGCTTGAACTGCATCTTGGATATTGAATTAGGTTGACAGGAAGTCGAAACTTGACGATTGCGACTTGAAGGTTGAAAGCTACCAAGATAACTGATGATCTGCGGTGGTTGGTTTTCAAAGTTGGGAGGAATTGACACCCTTTTTATATCTTTTCTGAATGCATATTGTCCCATTGATTTTGTTCTATCGGACCTTTTCTCCGTGATACTTCGGAGATTTTGTTCGTATTGTGGAGCAAGGGATTTCTCAGGATTCTGATTATTCGCGCAACACTCGAGGCCATAACTGCAATCCTTCAGACTTCTTCGACTGAGGGTGTCTCGGATAAGAAACTAATAGAAGTCCAATGGAGTTTACCATTCTGCGGCCTGGATCAATGTTGTGGGGACACCGTGCTGTGAGATTTCATTGCGAGTGTATTACGGAGAGGTCATGCCCAGTGGTGATTTGACTCACTGGTATCAGAGGTGCATGCTGATGAGTGTCATCATAGATACATTTTAGATACTGGTATGCTGTATTTTTGAATAATGTACAACGAGAGGCCTTATTGTAAAGTGAGGACCGAGAGATGGCAGGCTCATATGATATGTCGGTCGTAGCAGGGATGTGATCCTTCGAGGACCGGTGCATAATAGCGGAGTATCAGACGGCTAGTAAAAAGCCCTCTAGACCTAAGTGGAAGTTCTTCACACTATACTTCATGCAGGCAGTGCATGCAGTGGGCCTAATCTGCTATGTTGGATATGGTGCTCTAAACACCGAGTTAACATAGGCAATATAGTCTGAAACACAAGGAACCTGACGATCTAAGCACCTAGAGGGAGAACATCATACTACGTACGATTTTCATCAATTTACGAGATATGCCGAGAGCATAGTTTCTTATGGTCATCTGCCCCAAAGCATACAACCACTTCTAGACTGAAATACAGAGGTTGAGAACAACTGATTACCCTGCTAGTTACATGTAACCCTAATATAAATGAATATGCCATATCTCGGAAGACTCTCTGCAGAGGTACAGCGGGGATGGCTAAAGTTAAGGTAAATGCCTATTATCTAATCACTCTTAGGATTGTGAGAACTATGTTTCAAGCACAATAAATCTGTATAAACAAGAAATGTGCTATGAACAGTACGAGCAATGGCCTCGCTTAACAAAGCTCGTGAGCTGCTTGAATCCACCAGCTATACTCCGGAGTGCAACCCCTGTTCAACGTCCTCTGACCATATAAGGATGCTAGTGCATGAGGCAATTTACGTAGAACAAATAAAAGTAAATGAATGCTGATCCTACAGTAGCTAATAGCTAGCGTGGTCTTGGTGAAGTTTAGGTTCTTGGTAAAGGTTAAGACACAGTCTTAGTTTTGGCTGTACAAGTGCTGTCAACCTATGAATGAGCTGTTTCACTGACTTTTTCCCACAAATAATCATTACTATTTTAACAAATACCGAAAACCAGTACTTAGCAAACGAGCAAGTTTGGGTCGAGCAAAAAGCCCGAGATGTCAATGTTCACTACCCCTATATAAGGCGAACATCACTGACAATCAGCCAAGACGGGGAACCACCCGGAATGTATGATTTACGCTCCTATGTTCATGCTAAGGGCCGCAGCGGAGAAATTATGAGACAAGCGGGTTACATAGTTCACCGCATTATAAAACACCGGAAGTTCATAGTGTCATGGACAGATGTTGGTCCGTGTATAAGGGTTCAGTGAACACAATATTTTCCAGCTGGGAGTCACGCGAGTGGCATTCCTGACAGAGTAAATTGGTAGCATTGATTCTCGGCTTGAATGTAAGACATTCGGTTTACCTGGTCCCTCGTTAATCAAGTCATTGAGATAAGAACGGAGCTAGCCTACTTGAAACCTAAGTGAGACAAGCTTGGGGCGCAGAGGGAGAAGAGAAAAAGCTTAATTGTGTGCGGAGGGCACGGATATGACCGACTTCCTTAAAAGGTCATCTTGACGTTTGCCTATTGGTGTCAAGAGACATAGTAGCTAAAAGGACTGACAGGAAGTGGAGACGGGCTGGATTCACTTAGACCATTCTTACTCTGTAGTAGGGAGTAAGGGCGTTCTGGGCGTGGAATTAGCCGCGAAAGAATAGTCAGTTGACATCGCGGAAGTTTGAAGGAGCCGAACTTTAGCACAGGGCATTCCTAATACCATGAATTGACGTGCTGCCATTGAGCGAGTATTCTGAGCACTAAAGCTCGAAGGAATGGTGTTTCACCGAGTAAACTCCCCGAAATTCCCCTCTAGTTGGACTGACTCTGACTGCAATATCGTTGCAACCTAAACCTAGGCTAATTATGGACAAAATGATCTGCAAAAAGGCTAAGTAAGCTTCCTTGACAAGCGAGACTAAAAAGCTTGACTATTGCATCACTAAGTGGGCAAGAAGGATTGCTAGGTGGAAGCCGGGCTCTTCGACTTTGCCACCATCTTCCCGTGTTATAAATTGTACCCAGTTTTCCTCTTTCCAGTAGTATGGAAGGGTCTTAATAAATCAGTCTTGATTCTCCTACACTATTATCTCCTATACCTCCGCTGCACTTCCTACAATGGCTCCGCCGGGTGTGATCTTCTCCTTAAGGATTTCACAAGCGATATATGCTGTTGCTACATTCGCGCTCTTGTGTGTCGGTAGGTGATAAGGGATTCTAGCAGTTTCATAATAAATTGTGACTAACATGAGCGTTATCTAAAGCGGCTCATTCATACTTTACTTCGTTCGGAAACGTCCCGTGGGAAATCACGCTTGCGTTATTCTCCTCGTGCCTCTCACTCATAGCTGTCTCCTACCTAGCTTTTAGATCCCTTTCTCCCTCGAAAGGTACGCTGGCATGCTTCCTTCCCCCAAGCCATGTGCTGACGATTACCTAGCACTCAATAAATCTTTCTCCTTTGCAATCTACTGGCTTGTCTCTTTTGTATCTCTGGCTGCTTTCATCTCCCTTGCAAAGTTCTTGGCCGGAGCGAATCAGTGCGAAGACACCCTGTGTACAGCGACAAAAATAGCAACAGCCGTGATATTCTTCAGCTACGCTGTGTGGACAGCTGCCACTACCCTCATCGGAATAGAAATCTCGAAAGACAACGGCAAAGCCGGAGCGGTGTCCCAGGAAAGGCCCATGTCTCAAGAAAAGCTCAAAGCTCTGTCCAATGACTAGCCAGCTCGGCGTTTGAACAGGAGCACAGAAGCAGACTAGAATAGATTTATATGGGATATGAAGAAGATGAATTTGTTCATGTTTGGATGGGGCTTCAGTCCATAAGGGATAGTATAATGTATTATTCATATTCGGAGACATGTTATTGATTTCCTATGTATCTAAGGATGGAAATGGCTCTACCACTTTGCCGGTGAGACAAATAGTAGACAGCATTACACCTCATTGCTAGATGACTTAGATCAATGTTTTTGGGGGCAGTGCTTGATACATGTCTTACTCTGCAACCCGTGGTGGCCCTTAACAAACAACTAGTTATATAGAGCGGCAAATGTCGTTGGAATATTGTGTCTCCCAGGTCCAAGGATCTTAAACCTAGGAAGACCAGTGTAGTAGTGTTCAATTGAGGGTAGAGTTAGATGAGGACAAAGCTAGATGCAATGAGACATAACCAATGCATACGATTGAAGGAATGCTAGACAAACTTGCCACTTGAAATCGAGTGCAGATCCCAATATCCTAGTATGCATCCTTCATTCAGTCAGCCATCTGTTGTCCATTTACCTCCGCGCTAAATCTCGCAAATTGACTATGCTCCCGTAGCCTCTGGCCATATTTCAAGAAAACAAATGGCGTCCCACAGTATACCGTCGCAATTACAGCAATAATGCTGGTAGCGATATTTGACCCGAGCCCCGAATACATCTGATAAGCAAACAGAGGCATGCAACCGGATGCAATGGCACGCAGACAGGCGACCACGGCTAAGCCCGATGACGCATAAATGGTATAAGAGTCAGCAATATAGCCACTTAGCGTATAGGCGAACTCATTCGCGGCAAAACCGATAAGAACGAGGCCGAACATGGGGACGACCCAGTGCGTGTGGACCAATGGGGGGACGGTCCAGCCGAAGATCCAAAGTCCCATAGCGAGTGCGGGGGCCGCGATGGCAAACCCACCAATTTTATCCTCTGGCTTCGAAGTTTTCTGTTGTTGTTGCTTGATAACGTAGTGGTCCCAGAAGCGGATACAGCCGCTGAGGAGGACCCCAGGTAGTAGCGCTAGGAAGGGGAGAGAGGTGGCTCTCTGGCTCCAGCCAAATTGGGAAAAAACCACGGTGAATGATTCGGTGAAAAGGTACAGCATGCCCCAGGCTGACGCGTTCATCACTGCGACGAGGATGATAATGGGCTCTGTGAAGCCCACACGTGCTGGTCGTAGGAGTATTACCTGCAAGAGCTCTCGCTTGCTGTTCACGCCATCCGGGTTACGAATCTCCAGGTCTAAGTCTCCAACTTCGGTCTTTAGTCTGTCGAACTTCTGTGAAAGAAGTGTAGTCGGTCGGGTTTCGCGGACGCCAAAGAGGAGAGAAAACACAACTGCGGTGGCCATAGCAGAGATGTAATAGATCCATCGCCTAGTCATCATGGTCAGTACACATACCGGTGCACAATCTTCTTAGGCAGCTGACGAGGGTGCTAACATACCATCCTATACTACTGACAATATAAGATCCATATATAGGCCCGACACACAAGCCTATCGTGGTGCTGCAGTTCCACAACCAGATAAGCCAAAGTCTTGTCCGGTGAGTATACAAGTCCTCAATACTTCCGGCAAGTACAATTGACGGTACAGCAGACGCGTATCCAGAGAGAAAACGGCCAACGAACATACCTACCGGCGAAGGGACCACACCAACTAACAACGAGGATATGCTGTACACGATCGCCGATAATAAGTAACCCACTCGTCGACCATGTGTTTCGGAGAATGGGGGCATAATCAACCCTCCCAACGCCTGTCCCATCCCATACATGAACTGAAAGCCAGTTAAGGCGACAACCCTGCTCAGGCCGTATTCCTGCATTGTCTCTTCTGCAGCCGAGGCACCAGTTGTGCTGATTACAGTCGTGTAGAATTCCAGGAAGAAAGGAACCATCATGCTGTACAGCTTGTGCTGGACTGGCCAATTACGTGGGAAGAGCTCATGCTCGGTGTCCCATTCTATAATCTTGGAGTCCCTTCGCCGAAGGCCGCTGCGAGCAACTTGTCGGTCGATGCCATCATGCCCCTGCTTCTCTAGATCATCTGCCATGTTTTGCCCAGTATTCCTAGAATATTTGACCTAGAGGAGGCTGACTAAATAATCATATTATGGAAAATTCAATGGGTTGATGGGATTTAAGTATGGCAAAATCTTCCTTGAAAATCCACATAAACGTTCTTGTACATTTGTGAGCTAGGTAGCAATTTGATGACCAGAATGCGTGTAAGAACGCCGGTGGGCCCGGTGACGACACTTCTGGACGATCTGCGGTCTTCCTCGTCGGGGCCTATCTTGTAAACGTCTTTCCGAAAGTGGCATATCTTCCTGTTCTTCGACCCAGCACTGACCGAGAAAGGTAGCTTAGGATGTCTATTTGTACTTATAATTCCCAGAGAGACAGCTTAAAAAGCGCTGGAGGACTTATTGGGTCCATCTAGGGTGAAGGAGGCACAGTGGCATTGTCTTTGTGTCCCGTGGGTAAGGTGCAAAATAGGGTTCAGAGCCGCGCACCAAGGGGAAAGAAGTTCCGCGAATCGTGGTTCTTCTCAGCATGGGGCTAATATACCAAGATCTCTCTTATTAAACAGTAGTTCAGCCCACTTTGCAGATCTTGGTCACTTTCTCTAGGACGTATCAACGTGACGTCAGCTAGCATCATAAGGATAGCATACATTGCTTTCTTCTGCTCACTATATCTCCTTATCAGTGATGCTACGACCAGGACGGAGGGTAGAAAACATACCTAGCGCCAATGGATCACCTGGTTTCGCCGGGGTCGTATGCAGCGGGGTGCAATGGGACTTGGAAAAATTCGAAGCGTAGCTATTGCACTTAGGTACCTCACTCGAGAGGCCCGTCAAAAAATCAACGCTACGGGATACCCTGTTCCCTTTGATTCCTCAAGAGGAATCCACTTCCAGGCCCTGAGGTGTTCTCACGCGAGACAAAAGAAACTTGGCGAAAGCAGCAACCGAAGCAACCGCGTATTTCTGCTACCTTTTGTTCTTGTGCGAGTCTGCATAGTCACAGACACCCTGAAATACCCGTGAACGAAAGGTATTCACGAGACCCGCTGCTTCCATCTCGAAGCAACAAATATTATACTGGTTTGCCAGCTTGTCCCTCTGCTCTGCATCCTTGATAACCTGGTTTCCAGACGCTATGGTGCCGTAATGAACAACAGGTTGATCGATGCTCGAGGCGTTGGCGTCAATTGTCGTTGAGTATCACAGGTTTAGCCACTCTAGACTCCCAAAGACCACTACTTTCAGAGCCCTGCTGTATTTCCTTGAAATTTAAGGCTCATTGGATCCAGAGATGTAGTCTGGAGGGAATGCATAACAACCATTGACTGTGCTAGAGCTCGCCGTGCTCTAACGTCTATATCAGGGTAATTAGGAGAGTATTCACAGCCAATTTGCGAAGGATATCGTTAATTTATGTTGGTTGAATGCAAAGCAGCTCAACCACTAGAAATATCCTCCTAGGATCTTTTTTGGTGGCGTACCAGTCTTCATTCCAATGAAAGTCTTCCATAACAGAACCGACTAGAATAGTAAACTCATTCAGTATGAATTTGAAACAGCTCTTATCCTTAACAAACACATATAATAAGTTAAGGTCAAACTATACCGGAGTATCCTACAGCGAGTACATACTGACTTATTAATAAATAATAATACATTCGTACTTAATTCTACTATTGCGATAGCTCTCGCAACTCTCCAGATATAGTGTATTATCCCACGCTTCAGGATCTATCACTAAGCAAATAGAGGCGCTCGGAACATCAAAACCAACACCCAATCAGAACATGTCATTTTCACGCGTCAATCAACTAGCCAAGGCCCTCTAAGGCGGCAGGAACCGCTATGGAGGCCCAAATCCCCCGTGGTGGTGGCCTACCGAGCGCGTCGAGGTGGTTACCCCTAAGGGAGATGCCACCACCATCCCCAGCACCGGCCCACCAGTGGTCCCAGTGGCCCCAGTGGACCTTAGGGATACTGTTTGACCTGGAAGCACTAGCAAGGCTGCTAGAAAGCAGTGATTCTAGCAGGACTCTGCTCAGGGCCTCAAGTAGGACCAGCACCTGCAGCAACCGAAGCAGGCAGAAGCGTGCGGAGAGAAACCGGGGACCATCAGGCCTAGGCCTAGAGTTTAGAGGCGAACTATATGAGCAAATATAAAGCGCTAGGAGCTATACTAAGATATCAAGAGTTGGAACGCCAATTAGAACGAGAGGCACAACAGGCCTACATCAACCAACTAGTAGAGGCCCAGACAGCCCAGCAACGCGTCCGTGAACAACAGTATGAGGCCCGAATTAAGGTTCTAGAGAAGAAGGTTCAACAGTTTTAACAAGTCTAAGTAACTTAGGCAGCTTCCTTAGCATTTCTAATACCATTGGCAGTGCAAAAAAGCACCCAAAGCAATACTATCTCAGGGCCCCCAGAGCCCCGAGATCTCTAAAGCCAGCCGGCAATGTTTTCCACGTATAAACCATATAGCAGAGCCGCACCTAAGACTACAAGACCCAGCAGACCTAAAGCCATATTCACAGATATTATAGCCCTAATAAACACTAATCCTGGAAGACAGGGCTGGGAGATGGTCACTAAAAAACGCTATTAAAAGACTCTTAAGACCCAGATCTAGATAATACTATCACCTCAGCCAAAACCTAGAAAGTGGACCCCCTGGAGGCCTGCAGGTTAATACTCAGGCAAGAAGGTGGCCTAGAGATACCTAAGACAGAATACAATCATATTATTCTAAAGATTAATATTGCCCTTATAGAGCCAGGGTACCACTATCTCCTTCCTGCTATCTGTTGCGCCTGTTGCACTTGGATATTCCTTGAACGGCTGGGCGGAGGAAGGCTGCAAGGGCGACATGATCTTCTCGTATGAAATTGATGGCAAGACCGGGGGATGCAAATAGATAAAACACATGGTTCCCATCAAGTCCGTTATGAGAACTGGTAAGCCCGAGGGTCAAATGTTAGTCTCGCAAAATGGCGATTGCTCCAGCTGGTCGGCGGTGTACCTCACCGATGACACCAAATGCGTGAACACTCCCACGCAGTTTGAGAGCTACAATGTGAGTCAAGTCATTCATCCCCGGGGCTACTGAATCGGTTAACCAATTCTTTAGGTTTGGTAAAATGGCATGTCATACTTTTGTCGAAACAGGCTCTTCGTACTTAGGTCGTTTGGGATCTCATGCATCCTTAGAAATGAGGACTATGCAGAAGTGTGTTTGGATTTTTACGGGCAGTTGACGGGAGCTCACTACCTTGGTGCATACCTACTGTTTATTAGCTTGCAACTACGATGCTTACATTTGCTTCCTCTTACATTCATACTAAGCTCAAATATAGAGAACTTAGGCTTCCATTCGACTCAACATCTGGGTCCCTACAAGCCATATTAAATATATGCATTGTGAACGGCTAATGACAACATCCGTACAGCAACGCCTGTAACGTCTCGACCGGATACTACTTATATAGCTCAGGCGGCGGTTAGGATATCTGTGTAAAGGCAGACCCAATTGGTGGACATATACCGGACTTGCGAATAAATAACTTTCCCTCTTCAATCGCTAGATTTCTATAGTTGACTCACCTGATATACAACTTTTTACTTCTAGGTCATTCAGGATAGCCAGGTTCTGGATACCTGGAGCCAACCACGAAATGCAGGGTAAGTGGTTTGAATAAGGTGGCCATAAGAAACAACTACGCATTAGCGTTAGACCCATGTCCATATATCTTGTTGTTGATTCACTGATGATCTACCCCTGGTCCTCTGTACGCTTTTATTAAACATTAAAGCCCTGCGCTACTCTGTATTACACAAGCAAATAAGTCTTACACTATGTCTCTTATGTCGTTTTCAAGTTCGGATGGTAAAACGCAGCCCATGCGTATTTAAGGACCGTTCCGCTTATGTAACATCATTAAAGCCGATTTGGACGAATTAGGGAAATTCCTAGAAAACGCTCATTTACCCTAAGCACGTTGCATTCCTTCAGAGAGGCCGACCTATATTTATCCCATCACGGGTAAAAAAGGTAAAATGGTTTGGAGCAAATGATAGGACAGATGACAGCTTATGGCGAGGCCGCTTCAGACTTTTGTTGTGCTGTGTGTTTATAACCACGTTGACCGATGTCTAAAGAATAGATATTCTACTGATCGCAACCTAGAAGGCTATGGATGAACCACACAAATCTTTGATCGACTGGGAGCTCCAACACAACATAGAGTGCATACATAAAGGGGGCTTGCGTGTCAAGGAGCAGGAAAGGTGCTCATATACAATCAAACTATTCTTCTAATGGTTAAGACTAAGGAAAGATTAACCCGAAATCAAGCAAACGGCAGTGCTTTGGTCTCGAATGCTGCGTAGTGCAGAACCGGTTATGAACTTTCACCCGAAACACACCCACCTAAACGAATCAGATCGATTCAGACCCGAGCTTTCGTTATCCACCCATAAGCTAAGATTTTAGCGGCCACCGTAGCACTGGGGGCGTGGTTTCGTATGATTAAAGGATCCTGTAGACCATTTTTTGTTCTATTCACAGCGCGTGTTCTCTCTTGCTATCTTCAATCTCCGGCCTCTCTGTACCTTGCGCAGACCGATATTAATTCTTAGGTCTCTCGACATGGTTTCATACGATCCGCCGTATGGGTTCCCTCTTCGAAGGAATGGAACCTGTCTTTCCAGCGAGACTAGCTGTGGCCATACCTGGGGCGGCTTCTATGCGTGCTGTCCGGGCGATTCGGTTTGCCCCGGGGCTACAGAATCAATTCTGAACAATGTCTGCTGTCCAACTGAGTCGGACTGTACTGCGCCGCTCCACTCCACACCACATTGTGCCAATGAGACTGGGATACTGTTTAACCATACTGGCTACTTTTGCTGCTTGCCTGGACAGACAGGATTTTGGACGGATAGCCCCCAGGACGCCGTTGGCTGCTCAGACGGTTCTCCTACTGAGCGAGGGGAAACAATCTTGAATACAAAGACTCAGAGTCAGTAACGACCTCTTGTTAAGTGGACTGGGCTTGGCTTCTGACAGAACTCAAAATCTCCAGGTTTCTCCTCTACTCCATTATCCACCGCAACAGCCTCGGCTTCTACGAAATCCACATCCCCGACATCAACAAGCTCAATACCCGCCGTAGCAACCACTTCAGCATCCGATTCGTCTAGTAGCTCTTCTTCCGGTGATCACGCCGGGGCCATTGCAGGAGGTGTTGTCGGTGGTGTCGTAGGAGCCGCGTTGATCGTTGCGCTGGTTTGGTTCTTCATCCGTGGGAGAAAACGATCTCAGCAGCCTTCTGGAGAAGGGGCCGCTCCGATCCCCAGCAGCTACTACGAAGCACCGTTACCACCCACAGAACTTGAAGCGCGAAAGATACCCTATGAGCTGGAAAGCCGCACAGATCAACCACTTCATGAGCTCCCGTCAGAAAGGTACTAAACTGACTTGGTTTCTGTCATCGCTGAGATGGCCGCTACGAGTATAGGATCAGATACGAAGCTCTCCGCGTCTTCAGTAATTTACTTAATACCCATAAAGAAAAGCGCCTAGCCTTCAGTCCAGGGAATCAACTCCTCTCCTCGATAAAGAAATATGGGGATTGAATGGACTTTTGGCAGCAAGGAGCAGTCCTTCATTTCACAAATTTCTCGATGATCCTTCTTCGCCAAACTGAGGGCGTGGGGGCGAGGTTCGACTATTGGCCCCTGAGACATTCTTCTCCACTGCGCGACCGACAATCCCAATCTCTTTGGGATAAACCCTAACTTGCGTGGAGTGATGAACGCGAATCAGCGCCTTCGACCACCAGTGGGCTAAGAACACCATGTCAGCCATGAACATCCTAGTGAAAGCATCGGCATGCCTGAAGACTGGTTTTTTTTTTTTTTTCATTAATTCTGCTGTGTGCTCGGACTCCCTACTCCTCTTTACTCTTATGTCAATGATACGAGTGGATCATGCTTGTCCTGTCCCTAACGACAGTGTGCTTCTGTCTGTCGTGCTAATACTATATCATACGATGTCGGCGTGAGAGCCTTGTCGGAATCGGCAATGTCTCGAGAGTTGGCTAAGCTAGTGGACATCGCGTGGGCGGAGCTCGGCGGGGCTCAAGAGGTGCTTGGGTTTTATGTGCTATATTTTCATTGCTTTGGCGGCGCTGCTACGATGACCTTAGCGTGCATGGTCGATTGGTGATATTCCCCGGTCGGATACAAATCCTCTCATTTGATCTTCACCAATATCATCACCGTCGACACCTCCGAGGCCTGCTATTGGATTCTAGCGTAGTCGTCTCGCAATATTTATAGTCTAATAACACTAATCTAGTCTCAAATACTGAGATGCTGTTTTCGTCGCACATCAGGTGGAGATACCGTGGCTGCAGACTTCGAGCGGGCACTTGTAATCTAGCAGGCAGAAAAGCAACAATGGCAATAGATGCTTGTTCCCATTTGTAGAACTTGGTCTTATTGTGGTGTCTGGGCAATTTCAATCGCGCAATGATACAGGTAACCAATCAGCGGCGTCATAGAGAAGACCAAGGATTGAGAACATACTTGGTTATCGTGCAACTTCTCTTCGCCACCATGCGGCGAGAAACGGGCAAGCTCTGGCAACAGTGTATACTTCCAACAGTTCGACCTTTCGGGTCTAGCTGATACAGTGCCAATTCGAGCTGATGGAGGTATCACAATCCCTTTTTTATTCTATATTGTGGAGTACCTAGTGTCGTTTTAGCTCCGACGACAAAGGAACCAACGGCAGTCTCACTTTGATAGTGGTCCTTGGTTCTTGAGAAAGAATCATTGTCATCATGACTCGCTTCGACTTTTGTCGCTCTTGCGGCTAACACGTTAGATTGCCCGCCATTGCAGCGTACAATGTTGATCCCAACTCAGTATCTGTATCGGGACTCTCCAGCGGTGGGTATATGGCGGTGCAGCTCAGCTTGGTGTTGCGTTTCCGACACCCTTCAAAGCCGGTTTTGGGGTCTTTGCCGGAGGCCCCTTTGACTGTGCTCGCGACCAGTCCTTCTATAAATGCATGTACAACATGACCCATTCCCAAAGCAACAGAAAACACGAAAGCCTGGAGTGGAGTCGAAATTGACCCCCTGTGACCAATCTGTTACATCGCAAAATCAACATGGAAACCAGAACGGCAGATTCAGCCATCGGGTCCAAGCGTAATGCACCAACTTAGGGAACATCTATAGGTATAATAGTGTGGGTGTAGTTTTGCAATAGATGCACAGTAATCTAGGCCTCGCAATTCTGGCCAACTCTCGGGGGGAATTGTTTCATTCGATCGAGGTGGCTCCTATGATGCCCCTGGAATGGATAGCACGGGATATATGTATATCCCTGGAGCATGCAAGTAAGGGTCCATGACCTTGCAAATAGCATGTAGCTCTTCATGGGTGCGATCAGAGCCACAAATAGATTGCACTCAAGTTTGTTGAGCATACGGGATATACTATGTGAGCTGGTAAGTACGTACTTGTTTTTTATTACTACCGTACTATTGACCTTTGGCTCTTTTCATTTTGGGTTTGCGGGCACAAATAATATCGTCGTTCTCTTCCTGCAGATAGTCCCAGAGTACCAGCTGCGTGCCGCTTGGGGAGGAACGACGCTTGTCAACATCCATGCATGCTGGGACCTTGTTGGTCCACATGGTAATAACACCAACCAAAAGGGAGGCAGGTAGATCCGTTCCTTTGTCCCGGAAGTATCTTATCTCGTATGCTCACCTGTTGCAGGACTCCAAATGTCTGCGATCGTATATCAGATAAACCAAATTATAGGTGGCTATAAAGCCAGCAACATGGGTAGCACGGCTAGAAATCTCGCTCTCACGTTGTCCGCCGTAAGGCCGCCACCTGGTTAGATCGAAGCTTCAATTCAACCCTCTCGATTGGAAGGCTGTGGTCAATTCAGCCCCCGGGAGCAACTACAGAGATGTAATACGAGCCCCCAACGCATGCTAGGAAGGCCAGTCCGTATGGGTACTCTCAACACCACTATCAGAAACTGTAGCTTCTGTATATCCCGGGCATCACACCGTATCGTCCGAATCAGTACCTTTGGGCATGCGAGCGGGAGCTACCGATTCAGCCACTTGCTTATTTATCTATTCCGCTGATTCGCCAAAACCCCTGCAGCTCCCGCTTAATAAAAGCACTTATCCCTCGGATCTATAATGACTTCGATATGATTTCTCGCTCTGATTCGATACGAGGACGCTGCCTGATTCCGAGCCCTTAAGGGCATGAGTCATGTGGCCCATACTACCTTATCATCACATCCACTCTATGCCCCTCTTCTCTTCCAGACAATTCCCAAGGAACGATAATAAGAATTCATCCCTCTCGATCAGGAAAACCACAATGGTAATACTCAAACAGTGCCCAACCCAACCCCGGGTGTTATCAGTAACGACCTCATCATCCCACAACTTCTCCAAAAACGCCGTCTCCTCCATCAATCTCATCTCCGGGTATGGCATCGAAGGCGACTGCCACGCGGGCACAACCGTCCAGCACCGCTCTCGCCTACATATAAAACCGCCCCCAGCAAACCTCCGACAAGTACACCTCATCCCGACAGAAATACTGACTCAGGTCAGTTCTACGATGTCATCTGACATGAAGAACCGGCTGATGGCACCCGGTGCTCTGGGCCAAAATATAACTACAGAGGGAATCGATTTGTTAGGACTGGGAGTTGGGACCGAGCTGCATTTTGTGGACGATAACTCGGGCGGTGAGGATGAAGCAGTTCTTGTTGTTACCGGGCTTCGGAATCCGTGTCCTCAAATTGATAAGTTTCAGGCTGGATTAAAGGAGCGGTTCTTGGTCCGGGATGGGAATCGTCGGATTGTTGGGCGATTGGCGGGGGTTATGGCTACGGTGAAGCAAGGGGGGATTATCAAGCCTGGGATGAGGGCTGTTGTTTTTGAGCCTGAGCGATTTGTTGCGTTGGAAGCTGTGTGACTGTTCTTTGATGATGTTTTACTGTGGCGTAGACTTGTGCTTGGGAGAGGATAACTTACTTACTATGCTGGTTCCGTCTGATCTGTTTGTGTTTGCGTTTGCGCGGCTGATGGCATCATCGTTTTCTACAAAGATATCAAACTCGATTATATGCTACTCATTATCAATCAATGTGCATACTGTGGCATATCTGAAGTTTTTCAAAATGTTTCCTACAAGCGACTATCCAAGAGAACAAATAAATATAAAAGAAGATTATCTCCTTGATAAGAATTCCACATAGCCGGGATCCCGCATGCCGAGCAGCCGCTAATGCAACCCCATCGCATGTATTATTCAAAAACACTCCGATGATGTTTCGAATCTTCTCAGAAAGAGTACTATTCAACCTTCATCCAATTTTATAATGGGTTTCTATCCCCAGAATTGGAGAATATACTGGCAATGGTTCCATATCACGCACTGACGTCATACATTTAGGTGTTTATATTGGCAAGGACGACGTTTTCGGCCAATTGCTAGACTGAGTTTAGCCACTAGTCAAGATTTCTTGCAATATTATGAGGCTATTGTCTCGCTACAATGGTCTAGACATTCGGAGACTGCTTACTCCTGGCAAGACTTATCATATGACAGGTTTCATACAACCTGGAGGCTGCTTGTTTACTGGCTTGACCCAAAAAACACAGCTAGCAGGGTTACATTATACATAACTTTAAATGGCTCTGTTACCCAATGCATCGTTAACTTCGACAACGAACTATGTCTCAGAGTGTATTACGTAGCAGTCCGATCATGGTCCTTTAGGCACCTTATAATGTCATCATCTATAAAAGACGTCATGGTGAACAGAATGCAGTCCGTAAGCACGAAAAATAAGCATAAATAGAACGCTCTTTTCGATCAGATTGCACCATCTTTCAGGTCAATCGCGCCATTCTTAACTGCATTAAACCAGATTTCTTCCTTCTTCCTAGTTAAAAACTCATCCCAGCCACGTGGTAACGTCCCTTCACAATGAAGTTCTCCACAATTCTCGTTGCAACTGCCACTCTCCTTTCCGGGGCAAGTGCCGCAATTCCTTATGAAGAAGTGCACTCTACCCATATCTGCTGGAAAGCGTGCTTTCCACAAAAGCCCCACTGTCCTCACGGATGGGTAAGCGGATAAAGTCTCCATTCCATTTGGTCCTTTAATAGATGCTAATACTAGAAAAATAGCATGACAAGAAGTTTGGGGTAAGACCTAAATTCCTTCGAAAACCTGCCCGCGGTAAATATGCTAACAAGAGACGGTAGCACTGCTGGACCTGCTGCAAGGATACACACTCGGATATGGACGAACAGTATGATTTCTATTGGGAGGCTTAGGTTAATAGATTATTTCAATCTCGCTGGTGTGATTGAAGCCTGGCGACAACTGTGATAGTCTAGGGTTAAGGGTTCACGGCTATTAGGGAGAAAGTTGAGACTTAGGTAGTTGTAATGGTCTCCGTCTAAATCAAGATATAGCATGGTCTTTTTGGGTCTCGCAGTACCCTGTAAGCCCTTCTCATGGATTGATTAAGAAATTATACATTCCTTACTCACCACCTCACGAAGCGAGTGGTCGAGGAAAATATTGGCTAAATGTGTGCTGAATAAGAAATGAGTGTTCCTACTATAATAGGATTGCGGACAATAGAGACATTCATAATCAAACCGAACAACCATCCCCTAAGTCCTCTTTATGCATCTATTCAACGTAGATTTAACCAGATCCTTGATATAAAGACAAGTATCAACCCAAAAAAAAGATACAGGTCCTCAAGACGGGGCGTAGGAGGCACTCCATCATCTGTGATCGATGTCAACTGTATACTTGACTAATCCCGGCTTTGTTCTGGACCGCAAGGATAAGCTCCCTCCTCGTGACTATCACCGTGTTCTTCTTCATCAGCATAGCACTTTTGCTCTGTGAGACATCCAGCTTTGCAATCCAAGCCACCGGAAGTGAGCTTTAGAAAGCAAATCCAGCCAGCGTCCACCACGGAATGACCATGTAACCTCTCTTAACGCCGAATGAGGATACTGAGCCCATAAGTGCCAGTCCGAGGCCGCTCCCATAAGCACTAATGCTGGTATTCTCTCCGTTCAATATTCCCAATACGCCGAGGGTGGACCCTATGTGGCTAAGTAGGATTACACAACATGTGATCTCAGCTGTAGATTCTGCCGCTTTCAAGACTAGGAGAAGGTAGGCTGCGGTATGGTTGAGCGGTTGTGAGAGAAGAGATATAAAAGGGACCGGAAGGTACAGTACAGGAAAGAGGGTTGAAGCCACTTCCAAGCATTGAGGGATGCCGTACCGTCTAGCTGCCCAGGGGAATACAACGAGCTGGAGGGCCGTGCCGGACATGCCGACTATACTATGGAAGACAACTATTTCGCTCGGGGCGAGACAATTTCGAAGATCTGTTGGTTAATGTAATACCGATCAGCCAGGGCTTTGATAGCTTACTCAGGTCTAGTCCGTTGTTGAATTAAAGAGGCAATTGGACGTCTGGATTTCCTCTTAGCTGTTGTTTGGGATAGTGTAAGAGTTCTAGAAATAGCGAATCAAACGCAACAGTGTGCATGTTTATCACACAACAGGTCAATAGAATAGATCAAGAGGGGGAGAAGAAATGACTCTCCAACGGAGCGTGGACACTAATGTACTCCCTCCTGCACCTCTTGTACTTCTCTCATGCCACCAAGTAGAGCGGCTCGCGCATCATCGCCGTCCAGTCGGGCATAAATCTTTGTTTGACGTAGTGTACCCCAACTTAGAATGCGGCCAAAAGACAGCCGAGCATCAAGGGGGTCTCTTTGTTCGACTTGCGTTTCCTATAGAAGTTGTTAGGTTGAAAAAAGGCTTTTTAAGGAAGGGTAGATCGCACATGTAGGAACAAGGACGCAACGTAAACAACATCAACCACTAACCCGCTAGATATTATACTGGGCAAAGCAAAGGGGAACTTCTTCAGAAGCTCAATGCTGCCAAAGATCCTAGGATAATGTTTTGCTGGATTGACCAAGACTCTCCCTAAGGGAGCACCAAAGCCGGATCCAAGTGTCCACACAAACGGCAGAACGCTGAATGTGTATGGCTGGTATTCCTTCTCAGGGACCATCTCTGCGATCATTGTGTGTTTTGTGCCGGTATTACCGTTTACAAGGCCAAGCAAAACCTCGAGATGACACTAGGACGACCAGGTGCCGTGAAAAGCCGAATAGAAATGTGAATACCATCATGAGCCTCATTTCGAATAGCATGGCACGCTCGCGGCCGACGAAGTTCGAAGCCATGCCCCTTATCACACCCATGGTGCCTGCGCAGGTGGCTGTTACAGCAGAGGTGATGTCAACCCACTTCGGCACATCGCTCTTTGGAATGCCGACAAATTGAAGCATATAAGGCTGCTCGATACGTTAGCCATCGTTCTTTTAAAAATTTGAACTACTAACGGGGTAGTTAGAAGGTAAAAAAATATAAAACAGCATACCACATAGTCGTCAAGGGAAATGAGTACAGCTGTTAATAGAACACTAATTCAGCTGCACGCCTCCCTAGACACATTGCTTCGGACAATGATTTTTTGCTGTTATACATACCGCCTCAACAAGATGGCATCTAGCTAGAGAAGTTGATGAGCAGGTTGGGTATAGATACTATATCCCGAAAACTTACCTAAGAGGGTGAGCTGCTGTGAAAGCAGCTCTAACGGTCTCAACGACCTCGGGACTGCAGCTGAACGAAACCATATAACATTAGGACCCATGAAAAGACAAAGGCAATTCGGCAGCGACAACAATTTATTTCATAAATTTGTAGAGGAACATATGTCATCTTACAATTGGATAAGAAAAGACATGCGTACATGCTGTTGTGCGACAAGCCTGGGTCTCTACAGTGCTACCGTAGGGAAAGCTGTTCGCTACCTGGGGAAAAGGAAAACTGGAAAGAGACGAAAAGGTAAAAAGCAAAACAAATCTGCAGCTGGTATTTCGGTGTAATACACACAGCTGTTCAGCAATACAGGTTGTTCGTCTCGATTGGCGATATGTCCTTAACTCTCCGCGTATTCAATTTCCACATCAAATATCATAGGTACAGCTTCTAGCGGTCCGATCAGACTGACTCTGGCACTCAATTATCCAAGCCTTTGTTAATTGCATCCCAAGCTCCTCTGGCTGGTTGTGGATTGTGATTTATCCCAGAAAACCGATTACACACCGCTATCGCTAGTATACGAAATAGTGGATACAGCTACTGAAGACCAGAGTCCTCCTCGCGATCTTACACTCGATTGAATTAGCCAAGTTCCTAAAGAGGTAGCGAGAAACATAGCAACCAATCGTTGTTGAATTGAACTTTTAACCTTACTCATCCCATCTGGTTATTAGAACTGATATCGGGATTTTCCTACCTCCTATGCCCTTCGTCTCCCTTTTGCCCCTCTTTTTTCTTTATTTATACCCCTACTGCACCGTGATGCGCGTTCTTGGCCTAGCAAAGGAAGCCAGTAGTTGAATGGCTACGGTCTTTGGGGCAGCTATGGTAGATCGCCGATCCTACCAGGTTGATACAATCACTGCAGCCACATCGGATGATTCGGGGTGATGCCAAGAACCCTGGATAGGAACCATTTTGGGCGTTCAAGTATTGGAGGGAATAACAATAGAGAAATTTGATTCATTTATCTGTATGTATCACCTCAATTAGATTTAATTGTTATTTATTTCCCATTTTCTTTCCTTTTTTTTTTCAATCCTTTATTCTCTGGTGTTGATTGACGGAAACACACTGGGAGTAGTGACTATGAGGGGTGGGAGATAGATTTCTCCTATCACATACGAACTATCCAGCTTACTACTAGTACAACTCAGTGCCGTTGCATTTCTTACCAACATAATGACCAGTAGTTACTCACCACGCACCACATCATGTCGTTAGTAGTTTCAACGGGGTTTATCGGACTCCGAGTGATTCCATGGCTCAACAAGGTCGCACACCCGAATCATTTTGATGCCCGGTACGGACTACTGCAGCCAATGCCGGAAGAGGTGAGTTGCCATTTAAGATGACGTTCGGCTCTATGTAAGTGTAGTTCAGTAAGTAGCTTTGACACAAAGAAACAACTTGGACCTTCATCTAGTACAAGTGCTAGTCGGAATCTATCGATCTTTCGTTTAAGTACACCGGTGCACTTTTAGCGCAAAATATAGTACCCCAGATGTTAACAACAAGTAGTTCTGCATCGTAGCCTATTGTAAACACATGATGTATTAATAGCATGTGTGTTACGCAAAGAAGCTGCAAGATCGGAAAAGCAAAAAAATCAGGTCGTGCCCGGGATCGAACCGGGATTACGAGAATCAGAATCTCGGGTGCTAACCATTACACTACACAACCGCTGATTGATGTCGGAATATAAACATCTGATTATATAAGCCATAGTCCTAAATAAGTTAATAACTATTGCAAAACACCTATGTCAAGGGACCTTCAGGACGCAAAGTGTAATGAGGAACACAAGGAACAATGGCCCAGCCCTAATCCACGCTCATTTGGCACCACAGTGCCCTTACTCATATATTTTTCCCGAACTAACATTTATATACCGTATTTAAGTTATTTTCAATTTTTACTTTTAGTAAAACACGAACAAGGCAGTAAAAGTAGAAATCAAAATCGGAATTCTTGGACATTCGCTCGAAAATTGATTGAATCATGCGTTATCTCTGGACACGAAAGGCCTACCTCCTCACCGGAAAAGTGGAGTTGCAGTACATAAGATATGCAGATATTATTTAGTTCCCTAACCACTAGTCTCAGGCAAGGGTTCAATGATCTAGATTAGTGAATACCACCATTTGTATTCTCATTTATTCTCACTCCTAACTGTCCTAGAATGAGAATTATGGACTGAGAAAGCGAGTCCTCCTTCATAAAATGTGTAGCGCGTAACATCGTTCGCAAGAAAACAAATGCTAATTAATACCAAATCATAGCCAACGCCGCCGCCAACGCCAATGGTAAAGCGAGAAACAATCGAAATCAGACACGATAAGATGGGCCAGATGTTGTTTTCTTTCAAGTGGAGAGAGAAAGAGAGATAAGAGACCAAAGTCTTCATGTAGAATGTTCCACTTGCTCACGACATCTGCTCAGCAGGTGCTGCAAAACGGCAATCTCCCTGCGCAATGTATCGTTCTCCTCTTCGATGTTCCTCACGTGTGCCCGTAGGCGATCGCAGTGCTTGGTGTTCATATCCACCTCGATGTCCATCAATGCTGTTTCCATGGAGGCGAAGCCTGCATCTTTCGGCTTTGGGTCTATGAAGCAGCATCAGTAAAATGGCCAATGCAGCAGTAGACAGTTTGCGTACTTATATCCTTGACCTTGGTCATAGCAGTATTAGGAGAGTAATTCAAAGCCAGTGTTACTTCTGATGAGTTTGAACGACAGTCTTGTTCATTTGTTGTTAATTGAAATCCTTCATAGTGGAAAATAGGGCATTTATCATATTGTTGGCCAACAGGGCCAATATATGGTGCTTACCGATATCATTGGATTTCATAGAGTCGAGACTTCCTTGTGATTCGTGGGCTGATAGTCTTAGTAACCACGCAGAGTCGGGGTCGGGCGGATGGCCGCCCCGGAGTTGACTCGGCATATTGTAAAGTATCCGACAAGAACTGACAAATTGTACCCGCAAATATTCCGGGGTTGCAGTTCATATCGAACTGCTTAGTCACGGGATTATTTTGACGTCGAAAAGGTCAGTGTCGGGCCTTAAAAGGGCTTGGGCTGTTTGTTGTTGTTGACTTCGGAGTTAGGGCTGGGCTTCGGGATGTTTGTCAAGAAAATTGTCGGAGACTTCGCCACCGCGCATTAGTAACACTGACTGTAGTTAGTTACCAAAACACATTCAAAACTTCCATCATATCTCTCATGGGTGGCGGTTTTTTGTCCTTTCAGATTTCAAATATCAGCCTGTAAAGATTAACAATTGTTTTATTGGAAAATCTCTTAGATGGTCTTGTTCTACAGAGCCACAACGCCAAGTACGCCTTGGACTTCCGGTCTGGTAGCACCCTTTCCCGCTGGGAAGTTACCAGAAAGTCAAATAACCTAATACCTACGATAACGTCTATGTGTAATTTAGCTTGGATCCTAAATTCAAAGGAATCTATAGATTCGGCGGCATACCTGAGCAGTCCGGCTGCATGTTAGACTACTGGCGCACATTCTACCTCTTATGACGAAGACGGACATATCATAACACTACACTTTAATAATCCGCTGTAAGTATAAGATCACCTTGTGTTGGGCTTTGGAAGAACTCTTTTCCCGGATGCAATCTAGCTGCTTCTATACTTAATTCCTTTGTCTATTCAATATGGTCGTAACAATTCTAGAGACCTAAGTATTCGACCCATTTAGAGGATGGGATATGTAAGTTCGTCGTTTCAGGATGAGGTAACCTGACAATCTTTAAAGAAATCTCGAGTTTTCCCTTCTTTATTGAATGAGGGCCGCAGGCAAGTCATCCAAGTTAGAAACTAACCCTAAGGGCGCTGTGCGGGAAACACATCATACTAAACTGTGATCGACACGCGGTTTTAGTAAACCCCCCTGTAGATGATTAAGAATGACCTATGACTCGTCGGTAAGAAGGGGTAGTTTCTATCCTTCAATGGCTGCTATTAATGATCAAGGAGGCATATCAGGAATTTAACTCCGACAGTGCCCCGAGAGAATTGGAACCGACGTCTAATCAGAGCTAGCGATAAAAAAGCCTCATGCGCGGTCCGTTTCCTGAGGATGAAAAATACCAACTTCGAGAGACAAGATTCCAGGAAGCTGTATCCTCAGCAACTACCTCACACACGTCATTCTCTAGTTCATAGATTTCACCGCGCGCCCAGATCGCAGAGCATCTTCCACGTGGACCATACGAACCAGTTTGTCCTCAGGGAGATCGTAACCTCTTTCCTTTGCGCGCCTATAGATATACTAGATGGTCCCTGGGGAAATATTGAGACCTTTAGCAATACCCATAGTGTGTCCCCGCCCAGCGAGAGTAACAATTTGGATGCATAGTTCGACTGGAAGGAATCCCATGATTCTGGCTCGGGAGGTACATGGTAGCCAAGGGCCCAGTAGGCAGGTAAAAAGGTAGCTCGAATTCAAAACACCAAGATATGAGCGAGGTAGAAGGATATAGCGGTCTTCTAAAGAGTCATGTTTTGAATGAAAATCGTCAAAGCGGACATCTCACGTAGCCCCGAGGGAGATGTTTCATTGGTTCATTTGGGTGAGGTGGGACTCAGGCTCTATCCTGAACGAGAGAAACTTGAGGCCAGTATGTCGCCTTAAAATTTAGTCCGATACTGGAACTGAATCATCTGCGTCCTGACAACTACCATAAGGATTCAACAATTGAGCGATTTATTCCTTACTGTATTATTGGTACGTTCTCCGTATAATAACGCCTAACCCTTATAGTTTTACATATCAGTATATTAAAATCTTATTTTATTTTGAGAATTGTTCCGTCTAATAGAAGATTATGTTCTCTTGTGATTCTCTTAACTTACTATAGCCACAGGATAAATTAGTATGACGCCAAGCATATACTCCACAAACACGCAGGCAGTCCAAACTCTTATCATACAACCTCCAAGATGTCAGCTTATGACAGATTCACAGAATGTTTTTCTTCAGCTGTAGTCTCTCTCGGAGATCGTTAACTTTCGCCTTGGTGATAGAAAGTTCCGACTTTTGTATCCGCCTTGCACGCTAAGCTAATTCAGCACGGGCAATATCTAGCCAACATTTCCGAAGAGGCCTGAATAAAGAAGCAGAACACTTATTTGAGCATTTGCCCTTGTATTGTGACTTCTCAAAGCTAGATTTGTCTGCCTCAGGTTATGTTTAAATCGGCCATTCCCACTTGTTATCTAGAGCACTAGACACGGTAGCAATCATTCTAGATATGAGACAAGGCAAATATACGAGAATCAATTGTATTATTATTAAGGTGAGGATAGTATGGTTGTATGGCTTTGTACATATTCACTCACTCGTTCCTCTTTTCCTTGCAACAGCTTACTTCAATAACTCCTCTTATTCCTCCAATGACTGCAGATACTGTAGTCTTTCTTTCCTCTTTCTGACCCTCGAAATCTCTTCTTCTAAGCTACCAATATCCATATTCTCGTAATGGATAGCCGATTCTCTATCACGGCGTTCTTCCGGGCTATTTGATGGGTGCATATCTGACACCTTGTAACGGTGGGCATCGTCAGTTTCGGACGGTTGTAAATGTGAACACCCCGGTCCAGCTTCTCTAATATCTTGTACTGGGCTTCCTTTTTCTCCAGACGCAGGCATTGCAACCACTTTGCTTGGCGAATTAACGGTCTCTCCGCTTAACTCATAGACCGGTACTGGGAAGGGGCACTGGAATGTTCAATCGCACGACCGCCGGATTCATGAATGGCATTCCCATCAATCTCCAGCCGCATGCCATCCTTTGCAACAGGACATACTGGTCCTGGTCCCATGGGAGGCTGGCGTTCTATAACTTCCGACACATCCGCAGTGCGAGACTTACTCCTCAACCTCCGTCGGCGCAGGAACCACAACAGCGCAGCAATCAGAATAATAGCGGACGGAACAGCAACACCAATACCAGCTTTTGCGCCCTTCGAAAAACCAGACGACGTATTATTTGTTCCGGACACGTCCGATGTTATCGCTGTTGCTGTAGGAGTAGCTGTTTGTGTTCCGCTGCTTGTTGTGGTTGGTGCGCCTGTATCCGTGCTGCGAATCACCACGGTAGCATCACTCGTCGTCGATATCATTGTAGGTTGCAGATAAGACAAGGTTTCGGTCTGCGTTAAGAAGACAGTTGCCGGCCCCATTCGCCCCGTATCAGTTTCAGACGTAGTGATTATAGAAGTGATGACAGGAACACTAGCACTCTGTCTTCTATGAAGTCCTGTATGAGTCGCCATATAATCCGGATGAACTGGCTTGAGTCCATCAGGTCGCAGAGATCGAGGATTCGGTCTGGTTCCCCTAGAGCGTATTTATCAGCGGAATTGTACCAGGGTGTGACAGATATGTTCTGCAGTGCTGACATCGTTGGTCTGGATTATGGGAGCAGTTGTTCATACAGAATTCGAACTCCGGCTCTGTGCCAATGGAGGTAAGTCGCGTGCAGATACAGGCATAATCCGAGTGGGCGCATTTGTGAGCTAAGAATTGAGGGTCCATGCATTTGAGCTAAGGAGAGCAATTTTAGTTGGAGAGAGGAGGGATAAGAGATGGATTGGCATACTGCGCAATGGGGAATGGCTAAGAGGTAAGTTGTAAACTGTCCTTCTTGCTCATCATCTCGGGCAGAAGAAGGCCATTCATATTTAGGGGATACTATCAGGAGCTCCCTGCAAGCATGATACACCGTCATTATACTAAGAGAGGCTAAAGCGAAGTGTACCAGAAGCTATGTCTACTTGAATGAGCCACTGGCCACGCTACTGGGAATCGTTCACGGATTTCGCTACAACAAAGACAATATGGGCATGCAGTCTTAAACTGAACAACCCGGTTTAGCAACACGAACTAACTAGTCGAGTTTTGGATATTCGCGAATTTGGGAGTATTACAACTGTTAAAGTAAAGGAAAGGTTGAAACAAAAACAGAGAAAAACATACAACAGCCGGGATTCGCTGGTGGTCACCCACCCAACTACTAACCGGCCGGCGTGTGGCTTAAGTACGGCTGAGCGGACGGGAAGCCCTGTTCTCCACACCCTGTGGTCGTATGTGTCTGGATTGTGAATGAGAAGTTATATATAGGACTCCCCTCTTCCTCACCCAGCTAGAAAAAAGCTTCTTTAAGCATCCTGATAGAGCCGGTATGTGGCTTATATCCAGCCAGTAGTATATAATATCACGACCTCTATAGACTCGTGAGCTAGCACTGCATAGTATTCTAATATACAAGACCACTTTTTGGATTAGGCTGCTATTATCTTATATAAATATAATATAGTAGCTAGTTCTCTTACTCATGCTTAGTATTCTATAAAATTCCACCAATATGGTTGCAAGACTAATTTAAATAAGATAATAGTAATTGTTAGGCGCACCTTATAGCGCCTGCGGTTGATATTGTAGCGCGTCCCGCCACGTGCTACCCGCTGCGGTAAAATCCTTACCGCACCCCAATAGCTTCAGAAACCAGTGATCGACCTCTGTCATGGGTAACGCGGTCAGTCTTGATACCTCGGCCGATGGAACGGTGGAAAAATCTGGCCTTGGTAGAGTCACGCTTTCTGTATTTTAAAGAAGGGATTTCAGCCCTCTGATAAGGCTGGGCCATTCGCGAATCAGAAGAATTTGAAACCCTGCCAATTTTTTACATTGGACTTCCTCCGTTCCTGTGTTCACATATTGCTTGTTCTAGATTACCGACTAGTACTCTTTTAAATAGTTTGCTGATTCTATAGAGTACACTATTTTACTTGATATTATCTGCCCATCAATATTTAGATTACGTATTATTAAAGGATCCACCTGTATAGGTTGAAATTATACACTGCATACTAGATCATGAGAGTAAATTCACCATCAATGTGAGTGTCTCTTATAAGTTCTAGAAACCATCTAGGCTGTTCTTGAAGTGTTGTCTCTTTTATCTCCGATTGTCCATATCTCTTAGGCCTGGTATTGTATCGTCTGCTATATAGCTAATAAAAATGTCATGTGTAAGCTGCTCGCCCTTTTTCATTAGGCTGCTGCTGCCAAGAAACTGCCCACTTGTAGTTGTTAAGGCATATGAATATTCTCGCATTGCTGATACACCAGCTCTTTATGGGTTACTTTGCACTCAATCAGGCAATGAATCTAAATGGGTGACAGTTTAAGATATCTTTAGACCCTTTTCCAAACCGTCACCAGCACAAACTGTACTTGACCTGATTATGCCAGCTTGGAGGCATCCGGCCGATGGAAGGAATAGGTATGATGTGGATGAGCGACTGAATGTTCTAGGATAAGGGCATATACGAAAGTTCCATCCCATGAATCAGGGGACAGAAACTAGGAGTCATGATCTAGATAGGAGGGGCTTTAACCAGGGATATGAACAAACCAGGAGAGTCCTTGAAAATAGGTCCCTTAAACAAAAAACACGTGGTGTCGTTATTATATGATATGGGATATACGTAGAGCCAATGGGTTGCGGGTAAAATAGTTCGGAGTGCGAGACGGCGCAGCTTATTTGTAGCTATTAGTTAATTTAGCTACATAATTGGGGATGGTCAAAGAGCTACTGGGGATCACGATAATTTTCTCTCTACTTAATTATTAGCTGCATCTAATTTCAAAATTTCTGAGTTCTAACTCCCCCTTAATGGTGTTCACTGTATGTGTCAGTAATTCTATATATTCCGCCAAGATATATACTGCATCAAGGACGGAGAATCATAACAGCACTTAATATCTATTTTTCTAGATCAAACATGGCTTGTAGAAATAAACGAATGTGTGATTTATCAACAAGCCGTGTATCTGACAGAAGAATCCCCCTACCTCTTAAATCTCGCATGCATCACAACCTGTCTGAAGAACAAATCCAGATAGAATTGTCATCTTAATTCTATCACATCTACAAAAGAGTACATACGACCACAGGGTGTGGAGAACAGGGCTTCCCGTCCGCTCAGCCGTACTTAAGCCACACGCCGGCTGGTTAGTAGTTGGGTGGGTGACCACCAGCGAATCCCGGCTGTTGTATGTTTTTCTGTTTTGAAAGTTTTTGGTATATTTTTGCATAGTACCACAGTCTTCAGTCGATATTCTTATATATTCTAATTACACCTTGACAATATTACTGTTAATTGCAACTCAGAGAGCCGCAGGTGGCCGGAGCAGAGGACTGGGTTTCCATTGAACGATCTACTACCATACACGTTGCCCTATGTAATGGCTGTAACAACGTTTATTTACGCAGGTCCTCCTTGGTTAGGTATTGCAAAATGCTAGTTGTAAGGCTTATATGACGAGGTTATTAATCATGTGGAGCAGTTATATTATATTTCTAGAAATAATGCTGCATAGATGTGATGGAATGGACCCTATATGTCTGATAGTTCGGCAATTGTAAGGAATATGGCGTTGTCAATATCGCCTTAGAAAAATATATATAAGCCGGATACTGTAAGTCCGCGAAATCTATCGAGTACATAGTCTTCACTAAAGGTTTTGCAGTACTGTAGTTCGGAAAGATGAAATCTCCAATGTGCTTTGTTCTCCTAAATCTTGCTTGATATTCAGACTTGGCCACGCCGCTCCGGTTCCAGATCATGGCTTTCAACAGCTTCTAAATGTCCCAGCCTCGTTTTGCACAGAATACTTCTCTCGAACCGAACCTTATTAACCAGATTACCGTGACCTTTGCGACCGTAAGGTCGACGGGTCGACTCTGTGGGTGAGAACCTACAGCCGCTCCTCTTCCGCAATGGTCTTGGTTCCACGATCATGGGTTCTAGAAATAACGATTGGGAGCGTCAGCATCCTGAATTCGTCCATCCACACAGTACTGACTATAGCTGGCTCCTGAACATGCGCTGGAGCTTCGCTGACTCCCACGTTTATATCGAGGTATGTTCAGCCACAAGTCCTAATCCATTTCAAGGTCCTTAATTAATACTCAGTAGGAAGGCGGGTAGACATACTAAACCACTATCCAAGAACTACCAACCAGTAAGGAACTTAGCTCTTGAGGTAAAGTTCGGGAGTACATGGTGCTACAAGCGGTTAATAGGGCAGTGGCACTCACAAAGAAAAAAAACAATCTGCATGACTGAACAGCGAGTAGAACCGGGGCATACATTGCAAGAGGAGTTTACGCAACTGAATGCAACAGGTAAGTCACTGGATCACCTTCACAAGGATGTAAAGCAGGGCGTTGATCTCATTCCAAAATATTTAGCTATCTATCTATTTATCCAGATTCCAGAAGCCCATATAGAACTAGGTTAACCGAGCTAGATCCCTTGGTAGTTTGGGCCCCCAGCACGGAGATGTAGTGGCTTCCCTCAAACTGCTTGAGTCTTGGAAGTAAGGCACACCTCAAATTTCCGCCCAATTCTATCAAAATAAGGTTCAAATAAGGAGCATAATAGGCAAGCAACTTGCAAGCATTTCACCATATTCTCTGTGGACAGAAAAAAGATAGAATTTCCTAAATATCTCTCGGAAGAAGAGCACCAGCTCCGCCGTTGTTTTTGTGGTTATTACAGATTGTCGGGTCCATTTTAGAGCAGATTGAATAGATCAGAAAACCGAACGAGGAGATGAAGACCAGGGATGCTGGTCGATGGAACAAGATAGAGATTCAAAGCCACAAGTAAACTGTCTGACACCCTTAGGACCGCCTTTCGGGCCTGAATTTCAGAGCTCACAGGAGGAAGTGAAGTACATTGAAAGAATTAGAGCTAACTGGCCCGGATACAGGGTATGTATTGAAGGAAGTCCACGGACCGATAAATGAAGAAACTACAAGTGAAAATGGCGGGATGAGTGAGATCTCAAGATTCTCATCAGGGGTGTAGAGAGGCAAAGAGCATCTGTAGTCTGAGGGAGATTGAGGTGAGTGGAAGTTGTCAGCCAGTCACGAGGCAGGCTCTTTTCCTCGTGTTCAGGAAGGCCACCATCAACATCTACCGCCTGCCAATATAGACCTAAAGTGGTACAGTCCCCCTGCCTGTGATACAAGGAAAGACCACATTTCTCTTCTACGTTTAGGTGCTTGCAGGTGAGCTGACTGCAGGGTTAAAAACGAGAGCTTCCGATAGAGGTGATCCTAATCTCTCCACGGCGGAGATCCCCAGAGGGCCTCTCCCGGCACCAGAAGCGGGAGATCACTCCATCTGTTGGATCCTCACTTTCCAAGAACTTGCTTATTATCTCTCTGATCTCTGCTCAGCCTCAGCCCCTTCTGGTCCCTCCGTGTATCTTTCCCAGCAATGTGACTGATCTTTTCCCAGGAGATGAAGTGACCATAGACAGTCTAGAGCAACCACATTCTCTTCAAGGTCCGGAGCACGGCCAATCCTATGCTGGCCTTTAACTTCCATTAACATATTAGGTTACTCTACTATTTCCTTGAAAGGTTATGCTACTATTTAATTTACGCCGAACTCCCTCGAAGTTCCTCGAGACTGAAAACTTCAAGCTTCTCCTTGAAGTTTTTCTGGGGACTCAGAGAGTTGACTTCGATGACCGAGTCCAAGTATTCTATTTAGATTGACTATTGGCAAAGCCATGGCCAAAAAAGTTCACTGGCGTGCCGTGCTATCTTACAGAAGACATAAATGATCAGGGGCCAATCATCCCTATCCGCCATCGAAGTCGCGCAAGAATTAAAGTCTCCGAAAACCTGGATCTTAGGGACAATAAGGCAGCCGTCAGCCTGATTTTTGACTTGGTCCGTGACTTCTTCGCAAGTCCTGATATCTCCATCACCGAAGTACAGTTTTGAGGTCATATTATTATCATCGTCCTAGAAAGCGAAGCCAATAAGGACGAAATCCTGAGAGCAGCTCCCCGGCCAGTTGCCCAGTGTAACTGTTTCCAAGTTGTCTGCGCTATGGCCTAAGTAACCTTCCCCCCCCCGTAGCTGATGATTCCAGCTATGAAATCATTAGACCAGGGGTAATGCTGAGCTCCGGTAAGCATCCCGAAGAGGGATGGGAGATTCTCACTTCTTCTGGTGTCCTTGTGAGAGGCCATCATGGCTTTGAGTACATGACAGTCACAGCTCATGGGTTTCCAGGATCTCTATTTGATAGAAAAGTCTATCATGCTCATTCCTTTAACAAAACACTTGGCGAAGCAATCATTAAACTCTCCTATATAGACACTGTGTTGGTCCAACTAATTAAAGGTGTAGAGTTTGTTAATGAGCTATTCGAAAACACCCGTATGACAGTACCACCTTTCAAGCTGACAGGCTTTGTTCAAGCAGCCGAAACAAGAATTGGTAACGATATCTTCCTTGACAGTCTATTCTCAGGTTTTATTGAAGGGACCCGCGGGCCCCACTCCCTACTTCGAGTACCAAGTGATGATCCTTTTGAGCCGGAGCAAGTATGGATCAGATGCCAATGGGGCTATATGGGTTAAAACTCAAACCAGGCCATAGGCGATGGTGTCTGTGGCTCGGTAATTTGGAATGAAAATCATAAAGCTCTCGGATTTTTCTGATATGCTCCCACATCAGGGGTGTTTCGATTGGTGCTTGAGTGTTGCTGCTGATTATCTTATTGACAAGGGTTACACTATAGTCTAGTCTTTTCCTTTTTGTTATTCACAGGTGCGCGAGACACCTCAACATTTTCCACAGTTTGTTGTGGATTGTTCTCAGTTAACTTGCTATGCGTAATTATGTACTGACCTAAAGCAACTTGGTGGCTGGTGGTGGTTCTCTTGTTGCGTCTGAGCTGTTTCACTCTTTTCTATTCACTTCCCCTACAATTCTAACTTCTATCAGCTACTTGAAGCGGTGATGTATCTGTCTTTATAGCGTACGCACAGCAGCATTAAATTGACTGGGGACTCTTTCGCTGAATAGGCACACTAAACGGCTACTAGTAATACGCTGTCACCCAAGACTACGGAGTAAATCTGGGTGACGGCGAAAAGGACACGGTTGTGCGTGGCCTTTGGCACAAAAATTGTGGCCTTTTCGCAGAGCACGTCGGGGAAAACTCACTATAGTTGAGAGACAGCTTCAGCTGCCTGTTAATATATTAATACTAGCCCAGACTTATAATAAGAGTACCGCCGCTACAAAGCTCTCTGAAAACCTGGCCCTGCTATATTGTACCGAGAGACTCACATATGCCTTGCTTGTAGGCCTTGATCTCTGCTTCGTACAGGATGGCCTCTGGGCGTGGGGGCGCTGATACAAGGCAGGATCTTGTGAATCAGGGAATTGAATATATTAGATAGCCTGCCAAGTCGCCGGATATGAACCTTGTATAGGGTAAGATAAAGGATCTAGTTAGTGAGGGGCTTTCTATGCAAGGGGATCGATTATTTAACCGCCTCAGGCAGGTTGTAAACGAGACCTGAGAGGCTATTCATAGTAATTATCTACTAGGATAGATCTAATTGACGCCAGCAAGGTGCCATGCTATCATTGAGGTAGGTAGTGGCCCTGTACGCTTTTAGGCGCTTCAAGGCGCTTCTGAATAGCTTCAAAATTGACTTTGCAATTCGATATTAAAATATTTGATCGGTTAGCAATGACCTACTCGGAATCTCAAATCAACAACTGTCGAACTGTTGTACGCAGAACTGACTACCATAAACCTTTCGCCCGTCCCAAATGAAGCACCGGATTCTCAATTGTGCAAAAGGGAGGTCTGTAAAATTTCCCTCTGATTATCAAGAATCTCTAACTCTGCATAGTCCTTCTTGAAAACTGCATGGATAAGCTGTGTCTCTTCGTACCCTACTCTTATATTAGTTGAGTCAACGGTGAATAAGGCGGGGTATAAACTAACCACGTGTCGGCGGAGAAGTGGTACAATTGATAATGATCCAATCTTGGATCATACCATCTACTCGCCAAGGGTAATACTGGCCATTCTCGTGAAAGCGCATAATGTGTTCGTTGATTCGGTCTTGCTCCCGGACAATCTCCAATGCCCATTTCTGGCCAGGAATCCAAAAATCCACTCGACCGTCTGTGGTCCTAGACCATTCGGTAGAGACTGGCACACCTCTACCGGCTATCTTATTAAAACACCGGTAGAACTCGTCTTGATACTGTACCTCAATTGGTTTTGGCTGTGCACCACTTGACAGTGTCTTGCCTTGGTCTGAGTGCCTTAGATTTGAGCTTGAAAACTCTTGTAATATTGCAAGAGTCAAATCTCGTAAATTTTGGAATTCTGAGGGTAGACTCTTCGCTCTTTTTGCGATGTAGTGTTCGATCCACCTAGGATTAGTTAAAATAATGCAATCGAGGTATGATATTAGAGGTACATGCTTTTCATGGAGTCTCGAAGGAAGCACATAGACTTCCTTGTCGTAACCATCCTCTCCGAGTATTTGCATTCTGTGCAACCATCCGCGCTTGTAACATGTTTCTGCCTCTTTGTTCGGCTCACATAGTACATTTCCTTCCTCCAAAACCTTAGCGAGGAGGTTTGCAACTTCCGTGGTGAGCCAACGGCCCTGGGGCAGTGAACGTGATATTGGCTCTTGAGTCAGTATGTCCCAGACATCCTGATCCCGTTTCAAGCTGTCGACCACGTGCTCCTTCGTCATGACTGATAAATCACGGCTCTTGATAGCATGGCGATAAAACTAATGCAAATTCAGTTAGTCAAGGGTGCATGAAAATAAACTGCGTTTTAGTTGGAATCAAGGAAGAAACTCACATCGTGAATGTACTTTAACACAGAGCTAAGACCACCCGGGTGTCCGTTTGTCAACGAAAAAAGATAGTCTTCGGCGTCTGGACGGAGCGTAAACTTTTCTTGAAAACGAGAGTTCGCTATCAATCGCTGGGCAGCATCCGTGAACTCTGATCGGGTGAAGAATAGACCAATCGGAGGCGATGATGGACGTGACTGAGGGGTCAACGTCACGCGTTGAGCTAGCTTAAAATGAGCGGGCGTAAAAGCTCTGATATCACTATCGAGCTCCATGTCAACACCGCTCAACGGGCTCCCGTAGCAGCAAAAAAGACAGAAGTTGATATCTAGACCTTCGTGGGACAACCGTGGCTTGATTATTGAATTCCAGAAGAGGGTGTCCGAATAGGATCCTTGGGCTTCGTCGACAATGAGGATAGTTCCCGGAGCCAGATAATCCATATTTGAACCAAATCTTGTCCGTAACATTCTCTCGAGAATGCCCCAGGCGCCAAGGCGACGGTTGTCTTCTACTGAAAGGTATTCTTCAAGCTCGCGCCATGTGTCAATATAGATTGAGTTCCTCTCTTTAACCTCATAATATTGCTGCAGGAGTTGAGCCAGTGTTGTTTTCCCGCTCGCAGGGGTCCCCCGCACATGCACAACTTTCTGCTCATCAATGAGGTCGGCGAGTTTTGAGACCGTCTCCGATCGAGGACTGACATACGGACAGAGAATGGAAGCTGTTCATCATAAATATCATTAGTTATGCCATGACATGATCGAGGACACAATCTAACATGTCTCCAGCTGGCTGCTTCTTTGTTGGGTTGAATCAACCTCTGCCGAACTTGCGTCTCCATGTTGTTTGAGCGAATGAGAACAGTTTTGACAGAAAATATCCAGCTGTCCATCCTTAGACGTTCCCGTAAATTCTTTACAAGGACAGCGGACGGTGATATTCCCGGCCATGAAGAGATAATTACAGTCTCCAGACATAATTCGCAGAACTGGAAACTTCGGAGTTCCTGTCGAAACCGGCATGACTGTGGTGGTAGAATAACCAGAAGCCATAGTGTATAGGATCAGCCTCACATCACATATTAACATAAAAATGAAAAATGGATAGACCATGGACAGTACTGGGAGAACTGGGAAAGAGCTCTCGCGAAACAGAGATCCGCAGTAGTGACTTGTATTGTATCACTTGCTTTGACCATGTCGAAGCTTCATTTATCTTTCACTTCAAAAGAGGTGGGTTCCAAGTTCATACCTGCAGATAACAGCGAAGATAGTTCTCAAGCTGATTGGAGAAATTGAATAGAAAAGTGAGAATGATGACCTCCCCCACTGCCCGCAATAGGATCTAGCAATTCTCCCACCTATCAAGTGGTCCAATGTCACATGATCTACGCCTTCACTCACTTGACACCACGACGTCAGCGCCTGAATAGTTGAATACAAAAGTTTATTGCTTCAAAATAATAAGAACAGTCTGGAGTGAGGGAAGAGGGTCACTGACCCTTTCATCACTTAATATGGGGGAACTCTCCAGGATGCACCTTATTTTAATGCATATTTCCTGTGAATCGATTGGATAAGTAGCAATACTACTCCAATCTACGCAGAGACATCCAGTTAAGCCGGGAGGCTGCAAGCAGACAGTCTTATCCAATAAATTGCTACTTGGGGCACAAGCCTGTGACACTGTTCCACATCCCAATAGAGAACGCTATTGATTGTCGTCGTGGGCCTATTATCTATATTTATTTTCGGGGAGACCCTAACCTGTAGCGATACTGCCTGGCCAATATTCATGCAGGTGGATGCCAACCTCCTGATCTTTTGATAGCTGATTCCGGCTGGAATCCTGGCCCATATCGATGCCGGCGAGGCTTACCGAGAATTCCGTGATATATGGCTCAGTGATTGGAGTTATCGAGTCTTTATTTTTGAAATAAGTGTTGTCTAAAGCTGAATGCTGTTTCCTATACTGTTTAACTGCGGGAACTTCCGTATGGGAGCGGCACCTGAAAAGAGTAACTGACGAGGCATGGGAATTCACAGACTTTCCTTGAAGTGAGATAGGTTAGCAAGCTGCGCCTTAAACTAGAGCAAAAATCTTTTCATAGCACATACCAACCTAATACCGACCTTAATTATTCTCAGGCGCTCGAAAGAGTTGATGTTGATAGACATTTAAATGGATAAGAAACTGATTTCATTACTTGACTTCTTTACTCACGAACCGCAAATCCAATCTCGCAAAATCACGTACCCAGAGAGGATTAAGGGGGTGGCGAAGTGCAGGACACGGGATGACTGGTCCGGACAGAACCAAAAGCAAAGGAACAAAAGGAAATGGTGGGAAAAGAACCTAATGTCAAGAGGGAAAGTTGGAAGCTATATAGACCACGCACTGCGATGCCAAGAGGCATGTACATTATTCCTGAATAGACACGCTATACTATATCTAGTAAGTAATTCGCCGTCACCACAGACTACGGAGTATAGGTAATAATTGGGAGGTGTGTTTTGCGGTGTTTACTGTAACAGTGCTACTTCATGTTTGCAGGATAGAAAGAAGAACCTCTGTACTTAGTTGTAAAGCTTAGATCGGATATCGTCCGGTAAGAGTAGAGATAATAAGGCGATTTGGACGAAATGCTCCTCGTCTGGCTATATATGCGCCTTATTATCTCGAGAGGCAGAAGGCTGAAGGTGATGATGGATACAGAACTATTTGTAGGGTTCTGGCTACAGATCCTACAAATACATTGCAACACCCGGAAATTCTGCATTTAACGCGCTGACTTCAACCGCCAGTATCTCCACCAAATCCGCATGTTTTAGTCTAAAAACTGATTCTATAGATTCCCCATATCAATACTTAGTATACCAGCCATGTGCCTTATAGACAACCCGAATTCAGCGAGACATAAGAAAATAATACGATCTAGAGTGCTCCTTTCCAAGCAGCTTGAATACACTGCTTAAAGTGCTCTAATTCAATCTGCGAGTCTCCCCCCTGAAAGAGCTCTGGATAGAGCTCCCAAAAAGGAAAAACGGCATGGAAAATGGGATACAAAGAATGGGATGATGTCCCATGTCCCATCCCATCCCATCCTTAGCATCCTATCCCGTTCCCACCGGTCAGCCTAGTTAAAAATTAGAGGACTTTAGGGCATATTAGGTGAAATAACTGAAAATGAGATAGCAAGTGTGAAGGTGAAGGGAGCTAAACCCATAAATTAAAAAAAAACCCCTCGGATAAACTCCAACATAAAACACAATAATAGAAACAACGACAGTAATTCAGTCTAGGGAGAGAACGCACGTCAGCTATTCAGTTATTGTACAGAAGAAGTCGCTAGAGATTAGTGAGGTTCAGGCGGATTCAGAAAAAGCGGGGAAGATAGAGCGGTACGGGAGCTAAGCCCAAGAAATCAAAAAAGCAAATAAAATGTGAATAATTCGTATATTGAAGGCAAACAAATAATAGAAATAAGAAAGAGGGAAAAAAACATACAACAGTTGGGATTCGCTGGTGGTCACCCACCCAACTACTAACCAGCCGGCGTGTGGCTTAAGTACGGCTGAGCGGACGGGAAGCCCTGTTTTCCACACCCTGTGGTCGTATGTACCAGAATTGTGGATGAGAAGATATATATAGGACTTCTCTCTTCCTCACCCAGCTAGAGAAAGGCTTCTTTAAGTATAGTTGGCGAGCGATGCAGGGAAGCGAGTCATCTGTGACAAGCCACCTGCAATCCAAAAGGTCTAGTACGTTTGTTTGAAGTTTTTCCTTTATTACTCCATTACCTATCCCTCTCCCTCCCGTCGATCGATCAGTATCCCGACAATTAGAGCCGGTATATGGCTTATATCTAGCCATTAGTGTATAATATCATGACCTCTATAGGCTTATGAGCTAGAACTGTATAGTATTCTAATATATAAGACCGCTTTCTGGATTAGGCTATGTTACAGACCCTTGTCTAGTATGCCTTATCGAGAAAAGCAGACGCACAAGGCAGAAAGTGATATCTGTGGCGGACCACCTGACCACCCACCGCCTTCCGCCGGTGGGTGGTCGGCGGCCTACCGGCAGATTCGGCCTAAAGGCAGATTTTAAAAATATCATAAAATATCATCTTTTTGAAGCTATACAAACCACCCAATATGCCTAAAGTGTCTGAAATTCATGATGGACGTGTAGATGAAGCCGCCAAAGCGGCCCAGCAAATTGAAAAACCTAATATCACTAAAATCGCGCGAGAATTCGGAGTTCCTTACCGTACTCTATACGGCCGCATCCATGATCATAGAAAGTCTTGAAATGGTCGCCCCTCTACAAATAAAGCTCTAAATCAGTATCAAGAGGATGCCTTAGTGAGGTGGATTACTAGAATACAAGATCTTTACCTTCCTGTCACGGTATCACTTCTAATTGACTTTGCAAATCAAACCTTAAAGCAGGTTAAATCTGTATAACATGTTAATCAATCCTGGGCATATTACTTTATCAAGAAGCTTCCTCCATACCTCCAGCTTGGCCCTGAGATGCAAGGAACGAAGGAGAAGAAGTGTATAGAGACAGAGGATATTAGATTACTTCAATTTTGGTATATTTAGCTCACCAACTTGCTTAAAGGGGTCCCTGATCGTCTCGTATATAACTTTGATAAATACGGCTTCCAACCAGGTCAAGGAAAGAATCAGAAAGTACTAGGGACAAAGAAAAAGAGGCCTCGCGATAATACTGAAGCAGAGCATGCAGAGAATATCACAGCGCTTGAATATATTGCTGCAGATGGATGGATAATAACTCCGCTCTTTATCTTTAAAGGGCAGAGATTTATGGAAGCTTGGTATGATGATAAGGCTATACCAGAGGATTACTATACTGCTGTCTTTGAGAAAGGCTATATCAACAATAAGTTAATGATCCAATGGCTTTATCAATTTCACAAGGAGACTGAGAATTGTATAAAAAAAGGGAAAAAATATATTCTTCTCTTTGATAGTTATACTGCTTATAAAACCCTTGAATTTCTTTAACTCTGCGAGACTTATAAGATCCTACTCTTTTGTTTTAAACCTCATATAACTCATCTCTGTCAACCACTTGATAGAAAGCCTTTTCTTACCTACAAAATACATTTTTACAGTACAAATAATCTTATCGCGCAGTGGTGTGGGATACCGGAAGATAAATCCACTTTCTTGTGAGATATCATGGCTGTACGCAATAAGACCTTCAAGCAGCGAATTATTTATAACTCCTTTAAAGAACGCGGGATATTTCCTCTAAACAGATCCCCTGTGATTAATGCTATTCAGAATACTCTACTGTCTATCCCTGAGATCTCTATATCTGATCTACCTATATATAGAAATACTACGCCTCCCCCGAATCCGCTATCTTCAAGTGTTAAAAGTACGCCTCCAAAATCAGCTATACAAGCAGAAAAGAATCAGAATAAATTGCTTTATCTAATAAAGGAAATAGAGGTCTCGCCTTACCTTAAGCGCTGCTTAAAATGTATCTATAACACGCAGAAGATTCAAGCGGAACAGCTTATGATAATGAATCAAACTCTAGAGCAAATTAAGGCTGTACAGATACCTCGCTGCCGTAGAGCTACTAAGTGATCAGTTAAACACCTCAGAGGTAATGGTATACTACGCGTACGGGATGCAAATTGCTCTATCGCTGATAGAAGGACTAGGGAGGTGTTGAATAGGAAGAAGCAATTGGACAAGGAATTCAAGGCCGTATATGGTCACCTCCCTCCTATTCCTTCAGCGCCTGCAGCGGAAAATCAAAATCCTGCTTCCTATACTGGAATAGTAGAGGATTCGGGTAATCCTATTTTTTTTATGGATTCTACAGGGTCTAGGCGTTAAATTAGTGTTGCAATATGAATAGCTTCAAAATCTGCCTTTAGGCCGAATCTGCCGGTAGGCCGCCGACCACCCACCGGCGGAAGGCGGTGGGTGGTCAGGTGGTCCGCCACAGATAGGACTACAGTGATGAAAGAACAGGTGACGGCTACCCGAGATAAAGATAGGGAGGATCCCTATGTCACGTGATACCAACTCCGTTACCTACCCCCGGAGGAGTATACGATGGAGTATACGGAACTACACACGGTGATTAGATATACCCCCAGACCTACCCCCATGGGAGTCATCACGGGAGTAGCCAACTAAGGATATATAAGGACACTCATTCATGTACTTAGTTTAGTTCTTCGTGATCAATCTCATAAGTTACTTAGGATATACCTTTGGTATCAAGTTAGTAATTGACTTATTCGCACTTCCTTAACTACTGAGTATATATACTGTCAGAGCCTATAGGAGCCTAAGGCATCAACCACGTGACCTGACCACAACACCAAGGAATCTCTGTATGATAGATTTAGACCTTAAGACAATCAATCCCATTACACGTGAGCTACACCAGCTCCATCATATACTTAGTAGGCCTGGCCTTTTGGACTTGAGCTTTTCAGATATTCATTTACGGCACGTCATTCGGACCTTGGATTAGGTTACCTCATCAGATCCTGGATAGAATCATATTCAGAACCATCGTTATTTGTATCCACAGAATCACATCGGATTCACCGCTCAGGTATAGTCGTCTCGCTACGCAAGGCAGCTAACACTCATAGAGCTCTTGACCGAATAGTCAGGCGTAACAGGCTGCTATTATCTTATATAAATATAAATATTATAAATATAATATAGTAGCTAGTTCTCTTACAGTCTTACTCAATGCTTAGTATTCTATAGAATTCTACCAATTTGGTTGCATGACTAGTTTAAATAAGATAATAGTAATATTATTAAGGCCTAATTAGAATGTGTGAGAATATCAACTGAAGACTGTGGACTGTGGTACTATGCAAAAATATATCAAAAACTTTCAAAATATAAAAAGGACATACAACAGCCGGGATTCGCTGGTGGTCACCCACCCAACTACTAACCGGCCGGCGTGTGGCTTAAGTACGGCTGAGCGGACGGGAAGCCCTGTTCTCCACACCCTATGGTCGTATGTGCTCGAATTCTCTAAGAAGAGAAATATATAGAGGATTATATCGGAAATTTGTATGTAAAAAATTTACTTGGTCATGATTTGAGTCATCTTTGCTCTTCATCCGAGAACATCTTCACTCCTTCTCATCACAACACCTCCACTAAAATGTCAGTACCGTATGGCCACTGGGAGAGTCCACTCACCCCCGAACTACTGTCAACTAGTAGTATCTCGCTTCACGAGGTAGTCGTCAATGTTAGTCCCAACTCCTGCTCTCAAATGTCACAACCACACTAATGAGGTGTAGGAATCAACAGGAGCAATCTACTGTGTAGAATGCCGCCCTACCGAGGACGGCCGCCATGCAATCGTTGAGCATTTGCACGGTGAGAGCCGTGATGTGCTGCCCAACGAGTTCAGTGCACACGCGACGGTGCAGGAGCTCGGTGGCGGTTCAATTGCGATGAGGCCAGACGGGCTGATCACCTTCTGCGATGAGAGGTCTTGCAGCATTTGTCTGCTCGATCCAATCTCTGGTAAAGTGACGCTAGTCCGGGAAGGTGTCAACGGCATCCGCTATGCTGATTTCTGCCATCATCCTACCGATCAGCAGTGGGTGATTGCGATCAAGGAGGATCATCGGGAAGCCACCCCAGAAACCCAGGCAACCATGGTTCATAACTCCCTGGTCGCTATAAATACCCAGACAGGTAAGGAAACCACCATCGCGCAGGGCGATGATTTCTTCTCCCATCCTAAGTTCAACCCTTCCGGGAGGCATGTTTCTTGGATCCAGTGGTCCCATCCGGATATGCCGTGGACCGGAACCGTTCTTCACGTTGCCACTTGGGAGAATGGAGTTATTAAGGATACCAAACGTATTGCTGGTAAAGCAATGGCAGAGAGCATCGCTCAGCCGAAATGGGGTTTGGACGGACTGTTGTACTTTGCGAGCGATAGAACAGGATTCTGGCAGCTGTATTCATTCAACGTACAAGAGAGCGTCCTTCGCCCCTTGGAGTTGAAGGGCCTCGAAGAAGCGGAGTTTGCCACCGCCGAATGGGAACTTGGAAGGTACGACAATCCATTCAACCATTAGTTCGTGGGCGAAACTAACATACGTGTAGCTCCACGTATATTTCTCTCGACGCAACCACCCTGGTCGCATCCGCTATTACCCACGCCACGAGCCAGCTTTTCCTAATTGACACCACTACGTCTACTGCCCAGCAGCTTGACCTTCCGTACCTGGACGTGGGATCCCGCGCAAATGGAATCTACCGCGTTTCCCCAACCAGCTTCGCCATCGTTGGTTCAACGGCAACATCTCCCCAGGAATTGGCTCTGGTGTCCATCGCGCCCACGAAGGAGGCCCAAAGCACGGTCCTGACATCAACGGCATCCTTCACCTTAGACGCGGCATACGTTTCCCGCGCCACGGAATTCAGCGCACCTCAAAAGTATGGCCCACAGCTCGACAACAACGTACACATGTTTTACTTCCCACCCCAGCACCCCAGTCACCAGTCCGTTAACCTCGGCCCGCCCCCAGCTCTTATGTACGTCCACGGCGGACCCAACAGCTGCGTCAGCCCAGCACTTAACCTCGAGATCCAATACTGGACGACACGCGGCTTCGCCGTCTGCGCGCTGAACTACACCGGCTCGACCGGTTACGGTCGCGAATATCGCGAACGTCTCTCCGGATACTGGGGCCTCGTGGATGTCGGTGATGCCGCGAGCGCAGTCGACTATCTTGTGGAGCAGGGGCTTGTCGACAAAGCGCGCGTCGGGATTTACGGCGGGAGTGCAGGCGGCTACCTGACGCTGCGGGCTCTGCACATGTACCCTGATGTGTGGGCGGCGGGGATCAGTTCCTACGGTATCAGTGATGTCCGGGCGTTGCAGGCCGATTCATACAAATTTGAGAGCCAGGATGTGGACCGGATATTGCTTAGTACTACTAAGGCGGAGGATAGGGACGCGGAGCTCACTCGGCGCAGTCCGTGCCATTTTGCCGCGCAGATGAAGGCGCCGCTGCTCTTGCTGCAGGGTACGTCGGATATGGTGGTTCCTGTTGCGCAGGCTAGAATGATGGCTAGTGCGATGCATGAGTGTGGAAGGGTAGCGGAGGTGGTTGAGTTTGACGGTGAGGGCCATGGATGGGTCGGTCATGGAACTATTTATGAGTCTTTTAGGCGGAAGGAGGAGTGGTGGAAGCTTCATTTGACTTGACTTTGTCTCTGATATGCTGGGAAAATAATAGTTTTATATCCATAGCGGCTTAGTCCTGATATTCAGTTGTACAGCGCTATGAGAGGTAAAATTATGGAATGCAAAACACGTTCCACGACGTTGTCCTGAAGTACACGTTGGTTGGGAAGAAGGACCGAGGTTAGAGAACCCACTTAGTTCGGTCATCGCGTATATACAACATGCCCCAGCCATGTCGCTAAGCGTTATCCAGTCTAATTCAGGCGCCTTACCCCCAGCCCAGCAAACATTTTACCATCAACATCCGTTGCATTCCGTCGGCCTGGCAAACCCTCACGCAACCAAACCTGAAAGAAAGGTCCCACTGGCCCCGAATGCAATCCACAGATTAATTAACTGTATAGAGTAAGTGTAAAGGCGAACACTGTGGGAAGGTCTCCTGGGGCCCAAATACTTCCAGTCTGCCGTAATTGGCGGTCTGCACTTGGCATAGCATGAAATATGATGAATGACTGATTCATATATCTCTTGATCTATACATGGGCGGGGTTGAGTGGGGCGACATTATGGATCGTTATGGATCAATTCTTCCTGTAGCCCTGTCCAAAGGCTCTGTACTATATCGGGTAGTGCACCATGCCTCCGTAGTGAATCCAAGTGTATCTTGCGTTCCCCTTACAGTAGGTAACCCAACGCATACAATGCTACAGAATATGTGTCGAATTGATATCAGGGCGGCACAAACTTCGCTGGCTTGGAAATATTTGCCGCTGAGGCTGCGCTTCTCGGCGCAAGTCTTTTGGCAATGTCGGCATACCTCATGTCCCGCTGCCGGGGAACATGGAATGTATAAGTGGAGTTGCTTTGGGGGCGTTCTGTTCTCCTGAGCGTTCGGGCTGGCCTACTGCTTTCGCCGTTCGCTGGTTGAGTATTTACGACTACGGTTTCAAAAACACACACCTTAAGACGCAATTATAATAGACAACTAATAGCTTTATAGAAAGTCGGTGGAAACTGGCGCAAGGCATTTGGCCCTTTAGTTCGGCCACGATAGATAGTACATAATTCGATACTTTGACATATCCCTCAAGCTTCATGTACTAAACCTTTGTTTTTGGATAACTTTGCTCCTCTGAATTTCGCTGTATAGGCTTAACTATCTGAAAATGCTTTATCTTTTACGAATAGGATATAGGTAGATCGTTATATCATAATTGTATTGCAGGCTCGTACTAACCCCTCTCGGTGCTCTTCAAAAAGCGTTCAGTCATTCCTTATTGCAATAGGTGAGATAGCGACTGGCCTAGATATGGACCCGCTGTCGAGTACTCTTGGCAAATTCTTTTGATTAATGAAGGGGTGCATAGGAGTGCTGAGATACCGAAGACGAGGTACGGTTGAGTTCGGCTCATTCTGATCAACGACAAAGAAGCTGTCTTCCCGGTCATCGCACCCCAAGTAGCTCCCAACCGGCCTTGGTACTTTTCTCTTACAGTCATTCATTCTTTAGTATAAGAGCTTGAACAAAGGCTAGTTAGGCACCTTCAAGGTAAAAAAGGCTTACATTCAATCAAACCGAAAGTATATCATTCATCCTTTCAAGCCGAAAAGATGATCGCATTGTAGATAGTCTCCATAGCGAGCAAGTGTTTAGATAACGGCAAACCCAACACTAATTTGCAGAGAATGACCCTCCAACCCACATAGAGGAACATATCAACGTCTGGTTAAGATGACCCCTATCAGCCATGTTCGCAACCAACGTAACCTGAAGAGCGGAGAATCTGAACCATGGAACAGACAATACTATTAGTATAACTACATCTTCCAAACAGGAAGACAGGGCTTACGCCATAGCAACAGCATATAATATTTCTAACTTACCCTTTTAGCTTTAATCAGCAAGCCCAGTATAACTAACCAAAAGGACTATATTACAGAGCATTACCACCAGTAGGTAGACAATCATAACCGTGGAGAGCTGTTGCCCTAGAAGATAAGCTTCACAGAGTTGATTTCGTAGACTAACAGACGTCTTGAATCTCATCAGTATGGTTCTATGCGGTACCTTCCTAAGTGGGTATCGACTAGGTCGGTCTATAGACTTGTGAAAAGCCCTACACGATCATGGAAGCAGTAAGCATAACAAGCCCGCCAAATCCATCCATTCCCGAGCACCATTCCTCCCAACCTATTGTGCTTTTGGGCAAAGCTCTAGCATCCGAGGACTTTTGTATCAATACCGCATGGTTGCTGTATAAGTGGCCATCGTCCAGTTTCACTAGCTCACCGTCTGCGGCCAATCCAAAAGCAGTCTGGACACCAGGTTCCCTGTCGCTTTCTGCTCTCCACGCAGACTCATTGCCTGCCTCCCATAGTTGCTTCCTCGCCGGTAGTGGTGCTAAAATAAGGTGCGTTGGGAGATCACACATTGCCGCTGGCTCGAAGTAAACTAACATATTCACAATTCGATAGATCACGGACAATCTTTGAACCAATTAATACTCTTTACCGTCGGTCGACTGCGCTATAATGGGTGGGTCCAAACCTTCTTCTTGACTCTTCGAATATCCAGTCATTCCAGCTGACTTGCGGACCTTCCCCGCCTGGTGAAGAGCGCGTGCCGTCCGTGAAGTCTTTACGGGAGAGTTGCTTCGCTAGTATCTACGTACTATAGTTAGGACTAGGTAATGGAAAAGAAGCCGGAGAGAGACCCACTGTCACCGTTGCGAGTAATAGGAAATCAAGATTATTGTAGTCCGTCTCGCCTTCATCTAATCGTACGAGAATATAAATAGATAGGGCTTGCATAGCCCCCAGCAAATCCCATTCATTCAACTTCCGATGCTAATATTTCTGTCAGCCTCTTGGGTGTCTCTTTCTACAGTTATTGCGAACTCGACGTACCTCTTCACACAATAGTTCGCATTCCAGCCGCACCTTTTGCCAGAACAACTTTCGACTGGTGTGGGCCTCGCTATCTATCATATGTACCAAGCTGATACAGTTGCTTAGGGGGTCCATGGAGTTATTCCCCACATTATGAGATATTGAATGCGGATGAATAAAGGGTGGAAGGGTGTTGTGGCGCATTATCATTCGGAGATATGATTTCAACGTGTGCATGATTAGATGCGAGGTCCTTTGAGCCCCAGCCTTTCTTTTCGGTCGTTGAATGAGTAGCCGGGGCATATATGTTGGTATTGGTGGCATCGATATACTGGGAGAAGGGATCGGTTCCTGTACTTGAACTGTTCGATAGGTCGGCTGAAGCACTAAAGATGGTGACCTCGATGAAGTGTATGGAACGGATCTTACCATCCATCTGCGGATTCAAGAAGTCCACAAAATTGATATCTGAGATACCCCAATCAAGGTACTCTCCTCCAATATTCGCGATCTCTGCGTCTGTTACAAGTGTACTGTCGAGAGTGATATTATCGTCATTGCTTGCTTGACGATTTTCAACACTGCCAAAGTCTAGTGCGAGCGAAGGTGCTACATTTCCCCCTTCAGTCAGCGCATCATCGCCGCGCCGTGTCCTAGGGCCGTTTCTTTTGGGCGCATTCGTATTTGCAGGATAATGACATTCTATAGCCTTAGCTATGCACCTCGAGCATTCAGGCCGTCGGTTATCGCAGCGCGCCTTGCCTCTCGCACAAGCAACACATGAACGAGACCGGGTGGCAGTACCAACTCGTCGAGAGCGGCAGTAGTATCCATGCCTCTTTAGCGTGGACTCTAAGCAGTACATTGTGAGTACAGAGTCTCCGTCGCGCGATAAGTGGAAGGACGACCCACCTTTGTCAAACGGTTTATTGCAGAGGCTACAACGCAGAACAGTTTGCGCATCTCCGTCGCACATTTTGCGTAAGGCCGCTGCATCCCACGGGAATTGCGAATTCGAATCCCTATATGGCATTTTGTAGCATTTGTCAGCAACGCTACATTTGTCAGCGCTAACTAAAGTAGTAACTAACTAGTTAACACACGGTAGTTACTTAGTTCTTCGGGCGGAACATTTTGTCAAGATGCCAAGAATGCTTCAGTTTCGCATCTCCGAAACCCTAAGCATTGAATTCGTACGTAGTACAAGCCTTTCGAATATGATATTCACACCTAGTTTCACAAAATGTACAAGTCCGTCCTGGAGTCGAAGATGTAAAGTCAACCCTATATAAAATCACCTTTCTTCGCTCAGAGACATATCTCCCATGCAACAACCAAGCCATTCTATCATTCCCAATAATCCAAACCTCCAACAATAACCATGCCTCCCTTCCCATCCCCAACAACAAAATGGCACTCTAAAGCCTACCCCTCCATATCCCCTACCCTTCCCTCCCTCTCTGCCAAAAACAAAACAGTCCTAATAACAGGCGGCGGCACCGGCATCGGCGCCGCAACAGCCCACCACTTCGCCGCAGCAGGCGCATCACGCATCGCCCTCCTCGGCCGCCGCAAACAACCCCTTCTGACCACTAAAGCCTCAATAGAGCACCAATACCCTAACACTGAGATCTTCATATTCCCCACGGACATCACAAACCAAGACGAAGTAACCACTGCCTTCGCAACCTTCGCTGCCGACACCAAAATCAACATCCTAGTCAGCAACGCCGCAACAATCGGGCCCCAGGGCCCCATCGCCAACGTTAACGGTGAACAATTTATCTCCTCCATTGAGCAGAATCTAAAAGGATCACTATTCACGGCTCAGGCTTTCCTCGCCAAAGCCGCGAAGGACGCAGTCGTCATCGAGACTTCGTCAACCGCCGCGCATCTGGACTTTGGACCCGGGTTTGCGGCATATAGCGTTGCAAAGATGGGGGTTGTGCGGCTTTGGGATTCTGTTGCGTTTGCGAATCCGGATCTTTGTGTTTTTCATGTTCAGCCGGGTATTGTTGATACAGATATGAATCGGGAGGCCGGGGGGATTGAGGCAATCGGCTATGAGGATGATGGTGAGTTAAGCTGCGCTATGACTTATGCGTACTTTGTGGTGTGGGGTGATCATGATAAGCTGATTCAGAGTAGTTTCGTTGCCGGCGAGCTTTTATGTTTGGCTTGCAAGTTCGGAGGCAAGGTTCTTGAGGGGGAAGTTTTTGTGGGCGAATTGGGATGTGGATGAGCTTAAGGCGAGGGCTGGGGAGATTGAGGGAAGTAAACTGCTTAGTGTTGGGCTTGTTGGGTGGCCTTTTGGGGAAGATGGATGGAAGGCTACTTGGAAGGAGTAGGTTGCTTTGCGTTCTCGGGTAGTATTTGAGAGAGGGATTGTAAGAGGAGAGGAGACTGTTGTCTAGTCTTGTGCCAGTTGTACAGTGGTGATAATGATTTTGTGTATTCCGATCGATTGCCATAGCTGATATGGATATCATTGTGAGTCAGGCAATCCAGCCTTTCATGAATGTTTACAGTGTGGCATTATATCCTGCAATTCTAGTCTCATCAAGAGACGTAGTAGTCTGTCACATATGCCGCCATTGACAGATAGAAATGCAGACGTGCGCGTCAACGGGTTGAGTATTGACCCTCTCGCTCGTTACATATCGTCTGAGCTAATATACATCCCCAGCTCTAAGAAGATAGCATGGCGGAACAATAGCATAGCAGTGTATAAAGCCCCTTGTCATGATATCTATTAACGGTTCCAGATACTTATCTGTCGACATATGAATTGGACTTCTCAGGCCGAGGATAATACCGCAGTTATTGGGCGAAGTGTCTGTATGTAGTAGAGTCGTCTGCTAGACCCCAGAATCACTCGTCCTCGAGGAATAGCCCCAAAAATGAAACACCACCGCTGAGTACACTGTGTATCATCGATTCTTTAGCCGGCAGTGGTAAAGTTAGATTTATCCTTGAAAATATGATTGGCAGGACTTGTTCTGGTTAAAATTATCTGCACTCATAGCTTCGCAGAAACAGAAGGTTCAGCGACTGGCCCTGTGATCCTATCTTCACAGGACAGATGTGGGGATTTATCCGTGTCCACTAATCTTCCGCCGGTGAACCGGAGAGCCGACGGTAGAGAGACATTCATGAGTCACTTTCACACATAGCTAAAGTATAATAAGACTAGTATTAGCAGTTTGCAAATGAAACTATCCAATCGGCATTCTAGTTTATGCAAGGTAACATATTCAGCATGCTGACAGTTGTCTTGCTAATCCGTCGAAAACGCTTGACAATCAATCCACTAGTTCGCATAACCGCCTCCAATCAAACCCCCACATTAAGTATCTCCATAATCAACCCTGCCGCAATAGACCCACCTGCAAGCCAAAAACCGTTACTGAACCAAAACCAGCAGCTCCGGCTATCCTTCAAGTCGACGTTCCAGACCATGGCACCAAGCGAGGTCGCAGACCCTAGAACCGCAACAGAGTAAAATATAATGGACATCCCGCTGAGCGAACCGCATATGATTAGCAATGCGGTCATAGCCATCAACAACTGCCAAAGGAGGGGTTTTGTCCGTCCTTCGTACAGGACGGCCAAGCTCTTGATCCCCGCTTTCTTGTCGTCTGATAGGTCTTGGTGTGCGTAAATAGTGTCGTATACTATCGCCCAGAGAGTGCAGGCGGCAAAGAGACAGAAGCTAGAGGGATCCACGAAGGTCCAGAGTCCATCGGTGGTGAAGGGCACGAAGCCACCGGCCAGAGATCCCATCACTATTCCCCAAGAAAGGCAGAACCCGAGTACCACTTGCGGATAATAGGTGTATCGCTTAGCCCACGGATAATATGTCCACCCCACTATCCCAGGAATTGAGTAAAGGGTGGTTCGGATAAACCCCGTGGGCATGAGGGGAAGAAAAAGTGCCGCCCCAACTGCCTGAGATATGGTGAATACCAACGCTGCGGTAGGAGACACTGCCCCTCGTGGAATGGGTCGATGGCGGGTACGTTCTACCTTCGCATCCAAGGGTGCATCAATCAAGTCATTCCAGATGTGTATGGCGTTGGATACGAAAAGACTGCCTCCAAACATCAGTGCGCTTGCGCGGATGACATCAGTAGCAGTAAGCCCCGTGTGTATGGTGGCATGAAGAATCCCAAAAAGGTGAGGGAAGAAGATGAGGAAAAGACCTGCTGGGGGGCTCAGTCGGGCCAGTTGCACGAAAGGTAGCCACGACTCAGGGAGATACTTCAGCCAGCCTGACTTGGTATTTCCTCCATACTGTACATCCAGGGAAGCGTTGGTGGTCATCTTTGCAGTAGTCGTCACGGCCATGTTGAACCTTAGGACAGCCCATGGGCATTCACAAATTAATGCAGAATAAAGGGAAGACAATCTGACAAAAAGGCAAGACATAGATAGCAGGTGCTATTTATGCATTTCCCCAATCGGGAAAGTAGGGTTTGTTGCATCCCCGTGACTTCCGGCCCCCATCTACCCTATCATTATGCTCTTTCTAAACCCCTAGTTATAGTATTGACTGCTTATGAAGCAACCGTGTTGGTTTTTCTGATTCTGTTATGGTCGAGCAGTTATAAGAGCTGACTAAGTTCACGTCACCCTTTTGTTGCCACTCGATTCAACCTCGTTGAATCTGACATCCACGACTCCAACTAACACCATGTCGTTTGTAGAAAGCCTCTGTCTGATACACAAGCCCAACAGCTGCGGGAGAAACTGGAAAGGGACCTGGGCTTTGCCACCATAGTATCCAGACAAGAGCCCTCAGCCCGCGTCAATCAAGACTGCGTTCCACTTGCTGTCTTATTTCTTCGGAATCGTCATCGAGGATGGCCTGGACAAAGTGACAGCGTTGGACGCCCACTGGTAAGCTTTTTCGTGAGTATCTACTCTTCTGGAGCAGAAATAATCGAATGTCCCAAGGTCAGCCGCTTGTTCCGAGTCGGCATTGATTGCCCTCCCAAGATCCGCCCATGATGTTGCCGTGACTCTTAAGATCGTACACTCTTTGCGCATCCCATTTTCCATCCGCAGTGGTTGTCATTCGCCGAACCCTGGCTGGTCCAGTACAGGACAGCAAGGTCTTATGATAGATCTCCGGACCCTGAACCAGGTTACTGTCAGCGAAGACAGACAGATCGTGAGCGTTGAACCTCGTGCATTGTGGGGCGATGTGTACAATAGGTTGGATTCTCACAGGATCAGCGTTATTGGCGGTCGCATTCCAGCAGTCGGGGTTGGTAGCTTGATACTGGGAGGTGCGTTCAATGATTTCGATGCTGCCCAACGGAAATAGTCCTGATCAGTCATCACCAGGGGGGGCTTCTTTTATTTCTCAAGCCAGTATGACCTTGCTGCAGATAACGTCAAGGATTTTGAGGTTTAAACGTCCTTGCCCCTGATAGCTGCTCTCTGTTGATATCTGGAAGATCGTGCTTGCAGACGGGACCATCGCCAATGCAAATGCGGACGAAAAGCCCGATCACTTCTGGGCACTAAAGGGCGAGGTGCAAATTTCGGTCAGACACGGACAGCATCTATTGGATCTGTTAAATAACTGTTGCAGGCATCGTGACCCGTTTCGACCTGTACAGCATCCCGTGCACAATATATGGCACCAAGTGGGCATATATCAAATCGAAAAAGCCCCTGCCTTTTTTGAAGCATTTGCAGAATGGCAGGGTGACTATTCAGATGTGAGGGCTACCGTGGCATTGGTTGTTCGTCTAGACATTGTCACGCTAGGCTTGATATACTCTGAGCCCAGTTCTGAGCTGCCAGCTTGTTTTGCTCCTTTCAACGACATACCAGCAATTACCAACGCTGTTCCACCTACGAACGGTACAGTTCTAGCGCTGCCAAAGATTCTGGGCGCGGCTGCTGCCCATTGTTCTCCTCGGTAAGTGACTGGCGTATATGGGCATTTTGGCCAAGTGCATAGCTAACTTTGTAATTATGTGAAACTTCCAACGCCATGACTACCGAGGCGCCAGCTCCAGAATAAACGCCAAGCTGTACAAAGACGTATACAATTTCTGGAGGGAAAAAGCGCTCGCAGTGAAGGAGTCCACCGACGCGAACCAAACTTTTGTTCTTCAACCAATTTCCGCATCCGCGGTCCAGTAGGGCATTGAGAAAGGCGGAAATTGTCTAGGCCTGCAACCTGAGAACGGTCAATGTAAGCCTTTGCTTTCTAGCTCCCTATTTCAATCAGAGCTAATGGCCCTGGAATAAGGTGGACTACTCTCATTGACTGGGAGCGCGCCAGTGATGGCGCGGCCGTCAGAGGCGTCCATCGCCACCACGAAAAAGTGGAAGGAATTAGGGGAAGAGCGAGGACTGTGTAATTCTTTCGTGTACATGAACGATGCATCCAGAGTCCGCTACTATCTTATGGTGAAGACTGAAGTACGACCCGTCACAGCTATTTCAGAAGCTGCAGAATGGCGGTTTCCTTCTCTCTGTGGTTTGATCGAGGAATGCTTTTGCTAGTCAACCCCAGTGGTCCTATTTGCCCAAAAGATCGCGAGACCCCGTTCACACTATCTCAATGTATCCAGTGCTACTAGTTAGTTCGCTCGGTCAATCAGGACAGAATCAATGTTCTCAGGCAACGTAACATCCAAGACGCTTTAATATACCTAGATACGGCGTTCCATAATGAATAATACCCTGACAAACGGGATAGTATCGTGAGGACAATTGTGTTTTCTTTCTAAAAAGCTGCCTAGACATATGTCCGGCCTATTCGCATGCTACATATATATTAAACTGGTCTAGTAAACTGGCTTACTCATCTGCTTTACTCACTGATAGTTCTGATGATTTTCCCTTCTCATCAACGGGCACTCTGAGAGTTGTTATTTCTCAATCTCATGTAGCAGCAAGTCCTCGAATGTGCTTTTCTATCTCATCGAGTTTAAGTTATCAGAAAGACAAGTTGCTTACGTGATCCTATTAAGGTCTCGTTGAGTTTAGCGTGGCTTTCGGAACGGGTCGGGACGGATCCAGACGGATTCCAATTGATGCAATGCAACCCTACATCATCGACAGAAATGAAGGAGAATGCTACTCTAGTAGCCATGCATGCATGTGTAGGGTATTGTATGCCGGAACACGTAATCTCTACATGTTTCACGATATTCCGACAATTTGCCCAGGGATGTATTAGTTCTCTAGATATGGATACAAACTAGTTCGCGACGCGAAGCATAACCCCATTGTTTGGGCAGCCCTAATGCCAAGATACTACAACCAGTAAGATTATTACTCAGCCCACATTCTATGGAATATATCCAAGAGATGTTCCACTTGATTACAGGCTATCCGGAAACTTGAGTCACTACTTATACTCTTTGATTGTTTCAGCAACCCCGAGGTGAAACCAAGCTAAACTTAATTTGGAATGGAAGGGAACAATAATTCTCCCGATCTGGACAGCATACTGTAATAACAAGTAATATAACATTAATGACGAGCCTTGTAATCTTGGCCTGTGTCCCTACGCATAGAAACATCTAGATGAAGAATAAGTGGCAAGCTGTCCGTATTTACGAGATCATCTAGAAATCACTGGATAGTTCTTATTTGCAGGAAATAATTGTATATAAATCGTAACTATCCCAGGCTCTCCTGTAACAAAGAGATTAGAAATAAGAGACCTGTTGTAGTTCTGAGGAAGATCAATTGGAAATCAATCTGATCCCTAAACGGAATTTATTCCGTATCTGAAGCTCTGTAATTTATCCAGTCGAGCCTCAATTCACAACAAGACCTAATGAATATAATGAATATTAGTCTATGATATACCTATAGAATCCAATAATAAAGACCCGACCGTCCAGATAATCGATAAGGAAGAAAAGTACCATACCCGTCTCTTTGGTAAGCAGACCCACCCGCCCTTCGGCGTGTTGGTCTGCCACACCTCAATTTGAAGCTATTCAAGTATTTACACCGCATTGCCTTAAGTATCTATCCAAAATAGTAGTCTAGGGCCTTCCTTATCCACCTGACTAGCTTCTGCGCTAGGTAGATCCCCTGTAGTTTTCTGTGGTGGTGATTTATCGCGTTCCAAAGTTTCCGTTCTCTTAATCTGCCTAAGGGTCTGCTGTCTTTCCACTTGAGTACACTCTTGAATTCGACGTTTTGCATTATATACCATTAGAGACCCTGTTTATGTGATCCTTCTCTATGATTTCTTTCTATATTGAGGCTTTTAATGTTAAAGGTGTTGTTCTAGGTCACTCTTAAGCTGACCGGCTAATTCTGTAGTTTCTAGAGAACTCTGGAATACACGGTCAAGACATTATATAAAGCTTTGATTAAGCTCTAGGCTATTATTAATAAAGCTCTATGCTTTGCTAATACTCTGACAAAGACCTTATATTATAGATGGCAATGATAAGCTTAATGGTGGTGGTAATAGTGTTATGATTATTTTGATCTCCAGTATAGATGTCAAGGAGTATCTACTATTCAGGGTAGAAGACCTGTCAACTAGGTAAGGATACGTAGGCTAAAGGAGAGAGACCAAAGGCAGGCAGTAGATACTATTCAGACAGGAGACTGATTCTTGATCTCCAACTACTACTAACGAGTCGTTAATTTATAGCTGAAGATTCTGTACGTAAAGGGTTCAGATTTCCCGTTGGAAACCAAACCGTTGATGGCCTGATGTTCCTCATCGGTGGCCGATTGTCCATGCACCTGGGTCAGGGTATCCTGTACGTACATCAGGCCGAATCGCTGTCCAATCTGTGACAATAGAGACTTTAGTCTTACATAGAGGCTTCATTATCTCCTCTGGATTAAAGGGATATAGTCCTCGCTTTTTAAAAGCATCCCGGATTATATATTGTTTAAAGGTATTCTCATAAATAGAATAAATCTCTCTCAGAAAATTACTTTTATTATCTATCTGAATATCTCTCTAAATGAGATAGATATTTCTCTTGTAATAAAAGTGTTTATAGACCTGAAAAGGTTGTCTATCAAGAGGCTGTACAAGATGTGTTGTATAAGGAGAAGAGTAGTAAGAAATAATATAGTGTTATCTGCAGAATTAAAGAAATTTATAGATAAGATAGGACTCATAACTGTAAAGGATTACTCCTGGGATTAGTAATTCCATACGTAGGATCTTCCCACTAGGTAAAAAGATCCACTATGATCAACTCCGATCAGAGTTGATTTCCCAGGCGCGGTATATATAGTATCGCAACTTGCCATCGGGGCCCTAAGCCTAAGGCTTACCCGTGACAATAACTATCAAATAATAGTAATTAAATCTCATCTTTTTTAGAGATACAGTGTTTTGTATAATAGTAAAAATACTGAATCCAGTCAAGACAGATCTTATCTGTAGTATAGTCTTTAGAAGATAGAGCTATTTAATATTTCTCTGGAATATCTGAATCATACCACTGCTCAAGATGATATGTCTCTTCAAAGATAAAGTATAGAGCAAGGATAAAGCCATTAGCTATAATATATTCAATTGTAGAGATTACTTTGTCTATTTCTCCAGTTAGATTACTCTTTGAGGCTTGTATAGGTCTTATAGTCATAACTTTTTGACTTTTTTCTTGTCCTAGTTAAAAGCCAGTTTTATTAAAATTATAGATATTCTTAGGTGGAATCTGCTTAATAAATCACTCTAAGTAATTATACCAGTGTTAAAGAATATCTATATCTTCTGTATTAAGACACTTCTTATCTCTTGGCTTTTGCTAAATAAGCTTAAACTTCTCCAGAAGATGTTTAATAAAGCGATAAACCTAGTTCTTGTTAACTGTATAAGGTAGCCTGTCAGTTGTATTCCGCTGCAGTATTTGGTTGGCACTCTGCTCAATCATTCCGGCTGTAGGTGAACTATATAGATTATCAAGCTGACAAATCCAGCGAATCAGCACCTTCTCTTGTGAATTATCAAGGGTCTTTTTAGGGAAAGGACGTGTGCTTTGTGTAGCTCGACCAAGGATACGCGCTCGGAGTCATTGATAAGGAATGTCAAATTGACGCGCTAACACTGAGATATTTGGTTCTTTTTGGCACTTAGCAATTTCACAGGCCTTTAAGACACGTGTCTCTATATCAGAATAGGAATCAGGCATGGTGGTGGTATATAGGACCTTGAATAGCTTCAAATTTATCGTTGAGGTGTGGCAGACCAACACGCCGAAGGGCGGGTGGGTCTGCTTACCAAAGAGACGGGTACCCTTGACAGCATGACAAACAAATGCACGAAACTCAGCATGATGCCACGGTAGATTCTCTCCTTCTAAGGCGACCCAAGCTTTTTGATAAAGATACCTGAGTTTGCATCTAAATCCATTCAGTTCTGAATGGCCCCCCAATGTCTGTCGGTGCGTGTCCGTTGTTGCATCCCGGAGCTTGATAGAACCCGGTGGCCACCTCCCAGAGCCTGACAGTCTTATCGTCGGAGGCGGACGCCAGAACTTTACCGTCTGGGGAGAACGCCACACTGTAAACAGAAGAAGAATGCCCCGTCAGTGTACTGCGTGCCTCCCCGGTG